GAGGATGCACTCGGCCCCAAGCACACGTCGACGCTGAACACAGTCAACAACCTGGGCCTTCTATACGCAGACCAAGGCAAGCTGGCAGAGGCAGAGAAGATGTACCAGCGAGCGCTGCAAGGTTACAAGGACGCACTTGGTGATGCGCACGTCCGACAGTACATACCTGCACTCAACACATTAGAGAACGTGGGCGACCTTTACATCGAGCAAGGGAAGCATGCTGAAGCACAAGAGGCGTATTCAAGCGCGCTACTTGGGCTGCAGAACGTCCTTGGCCAGTCGAGCGAAAGGTGTGAACGGCTCCAAGCTAAGATGCATGCGTTGCCTAAACCACAAACAAGTGAGGTGGACTGTACGCAGCCTCCAACTGTTGAAGGTATTCCCAAGTCAAGACCGCAGCAGCAGAAGACGACAAGACGTCGGTTCCGGCAGTATGTAAAAAATATTTTCCAGTAATCCTACTATATAGCAATGCATAAGCAACGTAAAAAGAGAATATAGGACAGCAACATTTAGGACTGTGAGTGCTCCCGAGTCCTGGTAGTTAGAAAAATCCGAAAGCAGCCTTCGCGCATCGAAGCTCGAAGCTACCGCATTCTGCGCGTAAACCACGTGCGAAGTGTCTCGCTATGCACGCAACCCTTTCACGTCGCGAAATCAAACGATCCATGCCGCAACACCCAGAACAATCGCTGCAAGCTCATTGATCTGGCCTGAGGAGACGTCCGCAGCTCCGGCGGTGGATGACGCTGTTGCAGCTGAAGCAGTTGGCGAAGCTGATCCATTACGAGCGGGCGTGCTTGTGGCGCTACCGTGCGCACGGGCACAACGCCCGTGTTGGTACAACGAGCGCGCTAGCGCCTTCACGGCAACGCAAGAATGAGGTTGTAGAGCCACCCACAATAGCTGTTATCGCGGGATTTTGTGGTGTTGTAGTAAACAGTTGCTTGCGATTAATTTGTGCTATTTATATTTGCTGGGTACGGTGACGTTGCGGCCGCGGCGGGTGGTCTTGGGTGGAGGGCTTAGGGAACGAGCGGCGGCAGCAACACCACCAGCAGCACCACCCACACGCTGTTTTTTGGCGGGAGCTCGTGTAGGAGCCTTCTGTGAGGCCTTACGCTTACCCAATTGGGTTAATTGTATAGCTTTGGCAGCGTCGCGAGCCTCCTTCTTGCGTTGCTTTTCTACCTCTACGTCAGCCTTCTTCTGCGCAGTCTCTGCCTTCTTCCTTTCACGCGCCACACGCTTCTCCTGTTCTAGCCGTTCCTGGAGTATCTTGTTGTTGTACTGTATTTGCTTCTTATCTGCCTTTCTTGCTGCTTTGTCCAGCTCTTCTTGCTCTGCGGCTTGCTGCTGCTCGCGGGCTTCTTGTACCTTGCGAGGAGAGAAGAAGAGAGGTTTGTGCTCGTATCGAGCGCGTTGACGCAAGTCAAGCGGCTTGCCCTTCTTCTTGTGGTTCTTTTTGCTTGCAATTGTAAGGCGGAGTTGCTGGTTTTCGTAGTTGAGAAGCTTATTCTGCGCAGAGAGTCTGTGAAGGAAGCGTTGCAGCGCGCGCGCATCCCTATTGTTATGAAGCTCAACTGCAGAGTTAAAAACTCTGTCAAGCTTGTCGGCGGATGGCTCCGTGGAGCTGGAGGTATGGGTATTGCATTGCTGGATTTGGTGAAGGACTGTATTGGGCTCAAACGGTGAGATGCCTGTGGCTTTGAAGCTGCTTAAAACTACCTTTTGGGTTATACTGTTTAGCCACGCGTCCCCGAACAGGCTCACAAGGTCCGGTGTTTTTACCTGGGCAAGCGCTTGGCTGCAGTGAAGGCGTGTGGTGACTGCGTTGGAGTATCCTGTTGCCAACGGCTTGAAGCAGCCTACGTCGAGCGGCTGCAGCGTATGGGTACTGTGTGGGGGGTAGATAACCAGCAGAATCTTGTGGCGATCGCAGTAATCAATGAAGTCCATCGTTATATGGGAGCCGTGGCCATCAACGATAAGCAATCGCCAGTTATTTCGAGCTTTGTGGATTGTGTAGCGATCAAACACCTGCTCAAGCCAGGCAACGCCTAACTTATCGTTGGTCCACCCTGTAGAAGAAGCTCCTACAAATATATGGTGTTTTCCTGGTTCTAGGTCTGCCACCCAGTTTGATTGTATAGCTTCAGCCTTGCTCCTGTATATGATGGCTGGAGGCAGTGCTGATCCATCTCCACACACGCTCGCAAGCAGTGTAATCCACTCACGATTACCATCTTGGAGTGACTGTTTACTGCCTCCGCGCTGCCACGTTGCCTTAGAGAAGATACGCTTACTCCTGCCACACAGTCCAATAGCAAAGCCCTTCTCATCCATATTGTATGTGTGCCGCGGCTCGATGTTGTATTGGGTGATCTTCTGCTGCAGAATATCAAAGTACTCGGTGTACTTTTCAAGAGAATCGGCGGCGTGCCGCTGCGCGTCCATACTCGTGGCCCATCGTGGGGTCAATCGATCAGTGTGCCGGTGAAGGAACTCAGTAATCCAGCTGTCAGAAACCTCGTTGTGGGCGAGCGCATAGGCAAAATTCGCTATCATTTGACGTGTGGGAGGTAGGTGACGATCTGTAAGTCTCTCAATATACTTCACAAGGTACTCCTCTTTTTGTGGGTGGAGTTTTCGGCGAGCAGAATTGGCTTCTTCCCGGGATTGCTGCACACCTCGCCAGTGCCGCGACAGCGTTGTACGATCAACGCCATGGTTTTTTGCAATTTCTGTATAGCAAAGTCTTTCATTTGGCTTCAAATTACGAATCTGTGTGATTGCATCATCAATTCCAGGCATGGTTGTGGTGCAATTGACGCGTCAAAGTATGAGTATATTGGTGTTGCCCGCTCGTTGTACCAACGCGCTCGTTGTACCAACGCGCTCGTTGTGCCCGTGCGCACGGTAGCGGAGGCTGCTGAGGATGCGGATGAAGCAGATGCAGATGCACTGTCACAAAGTCAGTGAATGGTCTCGCCAAAGGCCTGCATTTTACACTCACGATGCCAAGGCTGAAGATGCTGCTCCACTGCTGGTCAAGCTTGCAATCTGTGCGTCGTCTAGCAATTGGTCCCCCCGAATTTATTCTGGCGTTTCTGTTTGCTGAACATTCGCTGCCCTTTGGCTATACGCTTCGAACGTTTCGCTGCCCGATTTGCTTGCAACGGTCAGCATTCTCTCTGCGCAACTTGGCGTCTTCACTCCCGGAATGTTGATACCGCCAACCATGCCGGACCTGTATCGTTAGTGAACGCTCGTCTACAGATGATGTGCAGTACTCACTGGCAATGCCTTTGCACGCTGCAGAAGTAGTACACTCGATCATCGCTGGTAACGTTCACCACGAACTTCCTGGCTCTGCTATTGGTATCAAAATACGGACCACTGTAAACTGGAGCTTCCATTAGCTTCAGTATATGAAGACGAGAGCTTAACTACCCACAGTCGTCATCATCAGTCTCGCAAGAGTTGCCGAAATACCCTCCACGACATTATGTCTAGGAAAGAGCTCGAAGACAACAGTGTCGCCCTGAACAGCGCCGATGGTCTAAGGAACGAAAGTGAGTGCTGAAGGCCCGACCTGGACGGTATGCACGGCGGCCGAAGCGAGTTTCACAAGAACGGGAGCGACGAAGCGATGCATCTTAGCAGAGCTTGCAATTGGCGGCAAGGATAATTGGAAGATGTCGAAGTAGGCTTTTGCATAACGCGAGTTCTCACTTCTGGCAAGGTGAGATGAGAAGGATTGAGCAAGTTGTGAGCATGCCGGATACTTAAGGGCGCTGCCTTCGTTGCTAGTGATTCATTCCTGTCCAGCCATCAAACCAGGAGGTTACGTAGTTGAGGACGGGTTTGCCTAATTGGAATACGGTTGTTATCAGCTATTGGGTTGAAAAGGAAAGGACTCCACAAGATCCGTTGGATAAGGCCGTCTGGCCGGAGGCTGTATAAGCTACTGGCTGACTTGGCTGAGCATGACATTCGATCCTGTTCTGCGAGACCTCGCACATCAACAATTTGCAACGTCTGAAATGCGTAGAATCAGAGTACAGGGCGTCTGTGATCACACGCCAGTTCGTTTTCGAAGCCCTAAATCTCCAAGATCAACTATTTTGCGACCCATACAGAGCTGGCCCACGTGACCATCAAGAGCCCTGCGATGCGGTTCCAAGGTCTGATACACTCACTCGCTCACGCGCATAGGCATGAAGTAGGGCTGTCTCAGTACGAGATGGATCTGCTGCTGAAGATTGAGCGGTGAAGAGAAGCAGTGGTAAAAGTTGGTAAACCGTTTCTGGACCGCCCTTACGAAACCATCAATTATTATCGTTCGTTCCACCTCCTTCATCGGTCTTTACCCATCAATCTACACAGATGACATTTAAACTTGTAGCGATAGACTCCTAGTACTGGCACGACGAGAAAGGGGGCAGGAGCCAACGGCGGCCACACGTACCCAAGGCTTGCTTGAACAACCATATTGGCAGTTGTCATACCGACCACGCGTCCTGTATCAACCTGAGGGCCTCAGAGCGAACTCGTGCCTTATTTTCGTTCTTAGCAACCCACTCTATCGTTACTTGACGTGTTGCAGTTCGGACATCCTTAGGCCCGTGCTCTCACGAACGTGTCGCGAATCTCTGACGCCATCTGTCTCGCAACACCGCAACCACCAATCCAGACATCAGTCACACGTTTGATCGCTACCTTCAGCAGCATTGTGAGGACGTTGAGATGGAGCGGCATGCCATATATCCGTTCAAAGCGCGGCCTCGTCTAGATCGAAGAAGCAGCCAAATGCCGGGTACATAGCATTGACAGCCTCGCCTACGAACAGGCGGTGGACGTGCGAAACGTGACAGTTGCAGCGATGACCGAGGTTTACAACATATACGCCACACGTTCGGATGAGAGGGAGAATCTTATGTATTCTCTGCCGTGTCAGGTTGTCCGTCGTTCGCTCATCACCCGTTTCCTCTTCTTGTTTCTAATTTGACCTTCAACTACAGCTTGCCAACTTGACTTATCAACGGTCAAGCTTGGGGGCTGAGTTTATATAATCATCTAATACGGGTTCGATCAAGACAGTTTGCTAGGCACTACACCTCAGAAAGAGCTGGAGAAGGACCGCTAGCCTAGCATGAACAAAGTCACGCCTCAAATCCAGGCAATCGCCAGCAAGCTCTCATCAGCCTTCAAGAGACGCAACAATGCACCTTCAATTACCAACCCTCCGTCCCACAATGATGATCGCCAATACCGCTTATCGCGGCTCCTCTTGGTGGTATCGCTCACGCTGCTCCTCCTGTTGTCCATTGCAGCTCTTGTCCTCAAGGCATATAGCTACGGCTTCATTGAGTTCAACGCCGAGATGGGGTTCTATCTTGTGAACGACGAGGTCCAAGGCGAACCTGAAGGAGAGAATCTGGTAGCCGCTCTTCCTCACAACCTCTTCCGTGTGCCTGAGAAGCTTGTACTGGTAGTGGCGATGCTCAACATACTTTTGAGTACGGCACATTTGGCATTCGTTTCTTGGGACTGGAAATCCGGCAGACGAGTGAGTCGTTCCTGATGCTCGATGGACATCTTGAGCTAATTGTCAAACAGACGCAAACGCGCGCCTTCCGCCGCAACGCCATTGTTCTGCACATCATCAATGCCATCCTTGTTCTGACCGCTCTTATCGCCATGTCCGTATCTCACAAAGCCTCATCACCGTTCAAGTACGATCTCATCCCAAAGACACCCAACGCTGTGTCTCCATCTGGGTACAGGTACTACCGTTACGACTCTGGCATTTTCGACCTTGAGACCTGGACCTGCGAGCTAGAGAACGCAAAGGGTGCTGGCGAGGCACGAAAGGACTACCAGGCACAGTGCGATATTGAAGTAGCGGGGCGAACAATCATGGTGCCTTTCTTCCTCGTTGCGTTGGCCGTTGCCGGATTGTCCGTCTGGGCACTTGTCATTGGCGGAAAGCACGGAACTCGCAGCGAGCACCTCTACACTAAGGATGCTGACCTCGAGATGGGTAAGGGAGCTGAAGATGGCAAACAAGTACAAGTCGAAGAAGTTGAGCTTGCGACCTTGGAAGGGCCGGACAGGCAGAAGGAAGGCAGGTTGAGCAAGATTGAGGAGGGTGGAGAGGAGACGGAAGAAGCACCAAAAGAGTCGGAAACAACATTGAAGATCGAGGCGGCCGATGCTCTGTCAGCCGAAAGCAAGGATGTAGATGCAAAGAAGGAGGCTGGTGCGTCCTGACCACTCAGGTACAGAACTTGAACGCAATATATTCTCCAAGTTACTCTGATTTTAAGTGGTGCGATATGGCTTTGGTCGGTCAACGGTGTTGTTCCCCTCATCTTGTAAGTGGGTTTGTGAAAAGAGGTGAGATAGACTGATTTGAATTCCCGAAGACGGCACAATTTTACAGCCGAAGTTAGTAGCACAATACCTTGGACCGCCACTTTGCTTGCATATGTACTCCAGAGTTCGGCAGTCCTTTCCACAGGGCGAACGAACAGAGGTTAGTGCTAGTGCACGGCTCAATACCTTCACCGTAACCTTCAACATCTACGGTTCAAATTTCACGTACAGAAAGTAGCAGCAGCTGCAGTATTGCCGTAGTACTGTAGTAGAGGTGCTAAAAATAGAAAGAATGGGTCCGAGATTGAATGTTTAAGGAAAGTAGAGTGGGTAGAAGACAGCGGCTCTGTTGCGGTATCAATCAGTCCGTACAAGGTCTGACTATGCCCGTAGCAGACTACCTAGTCTACTGTGTTACAGGTCAGGTACATAGTCGTCTTCTCCAGGCTAGATAGTAACTCAGCGCTATATTCCATCGTATTCTACTAGCGGCCCAAGCCGCCACAGTCTCAATCACTCTTCTCTGCCTATACACTCACGTGACCGTTATCACAGTACTATGGTCTACGATCTTGCTTATTACGGCTACTGTACGGCTGTACAGCTTGCATCCTTCATCATTACCTCCCACATCTTACTGCAGTACTTTGTAGCCGTCACCACTCGTAGTACTGACTGTTGGAAGCGCTGATTTTATTAGTGAATCAAGGGCCCTTGAAGGTGAGGCAGACGCCTGGAAGTACATGAAGTTGCGGCGAAAACGTGGAGAAGCGGAGTCGTACCAAGCTTGTGGCGCGAGGTGGCCCATGAGCAACTGATATTGGCCCCTGCCTCTTCCACTTTTGTCAACCCACGCTACATTTTGTCGGCATCAACATCATCATATTGCCGCATATAGCCTTCCCTCCCGCAGGGTTCTGATAACTTTCAAGGCTTTCATCATCGCTGTAACCCTGAACGTTGAGTTTTCCATCGTGGGGTGTCGTGCATCCCGAAGAGGGAAGCCCGTTCGGATCCCCAGGTCAGCGCCGGCTGACCTGCATACCCGCAATGCAGCACACAAGGAAGCGCGAACCGGCGCAGGGAAGCAGATGACAGATGCAGGTCGTGCGACGGTGTGTATACTAAAGGCGGAAAGTTGTCTCGCTTGCGCAAAGCTTGAATGCATGGCTGAGTATGTGATGTCGGTGAATAGCTTGCGACACCGCCGATGCTGCGTGGATGCATCGTCAGAGAACGGGATAGAGGATAATGGGCTGCTGGATGGTGTGGTTGCGCAAGATGGTGTTGCTTTTCTGAGGCAGTCGCAGTGTTGACATGCGCTCAAGTTCTTCTTTTCCGTATCTATCCTAACTGTTAGCAATATTGTTTTATGCCACAAACAGTACCTTACTGTCCATACCGCACATCGCAGCTTATCAAGGCCAAGACAATAAGCAACAAGGCTCCACTATGACAGCGCCCTCTATACGAGCATCGTCCCGTACGCCGACATCCGGGAACCTGATAGAATACTACGCTCCCGACAACCGCACAGCTGTCAAAAGACACCACAACTGGAACTCAAAACATAGTAGTGCTACCAAAGCAACAATTGCCGCATTAGCATGCAAGTGCGAGACAACATACACTCCAAGAATCTCCCCAGGACAAAAGTACAGCACAATAACAGCCCCAATGGATCCACGACAGCCGGGTTCGGGCGACATGAGCCCTAATATACACAGCAACGACTTGAACACCATGGAGCTGCCGCACTTGGTGATGTTCCAAGCAACCGAACGAGGAAGAATCGATTCCATAGCTTCGAGTCCGTCAGGGAGCGAGTTCGACAACTACTCTTGGCCATCGAGGCGTGCGAGTGCACAGCAACAAGTTGAAGCTACAGATTCTGTCGTCAACCTGTTGACACCTACAAAACCGAATAGAGCAAGTCACCTCCGAGAAGTAGACTTCGCTCAAGATGAGGTCGAGAGCCCGATTCAGCCTTCAAAGGAGCGACCTCCGCAGTACCCCGGAAGCGATGGCGCGGCGACATACCCTTCTCTGGCGAAGACAGTGCTGATTATGATCTCGCTGTACATATCGATCTTTCTCGTCGCACTCGACAGAACAATCATGGGACCCGCGATTCCTGCGATCACAAATCAGTTCAACAGTTTAAAGGACGTCGGATGGTGTAAGCCCCGTAACATCGTGTCGAGGCTTGAGCGTACCGCTAACTCTGCCCACAGACGCAAGCGCATACATGCTCACGTCCTGCGGCCTCATCCTCCTATACGGTCGCATATACACGTTCTTCCCCACGAAGCCAGTCTTCTTGTCCGGCATCTTCCTCTTCGAGATCGGAAGCGCGATTTGTGGCGCAGCCCAGAGCAGCATCATGTTGATTGTGGGTAGAGCGATCGCAGGTCTGGGAAGCAGCGGCGTGTTTACGGGAGCGATCCTTATCATGCTCAACACAGTGCCATTGCATAGACGACCGTTGCTGCAAGGCTTATTCGGCGCGTGTTTCGGCGTCGCAAGCGTGACAGGACCATTGCTGGGCGGTGCATTCACAGAAAGTGGATTGACGTGGCGATGGTGCTTCTACATCAACATACCGCTCGGCGCTATTACCATCGGGGTGGTCATGTTCCTGCTGAAGCTGAAAGAGAACAAACCGAGAACGAAAGGCTGGAAGGATACAGTGCGGAAAATGGATCCTCTCGGGACCATCTTGTTCCTTCCTGGTATCACCTGTCTCCTGCTAGCCTTGGAGTGGGGCGCTGCAGAGTACTCATGGAGCTCCCCACGACTCATTGCTCTGCTTGCCACCTTCGCAGCCTTGCTCACAGCTTTCATTGTCTGGCAATATGTGACTCGAAAAACCACTGCAACGGTACCTGCTCGCATTCTTCTTCAGAGGAGTATTGCATGCGGTTGCGCATCGCAATTTTGCGTCGGCGCTACGATGTTGACAGTGTCGATTTACATGCCACTGTGGTTTCAAGCAATCAAGGGAGTGTCCGCTTTCCAGTCAGGTGCCAACTCTTTACCACTTGTCCTCTCGACAGTCTTTGCTTCGATCCTGTCTGGCGGGTTGATCCAGCGCATCGGGTACTACACTCCGTTCATGATCATCGGATCTTGCTGTATGGCAGTTGGTACTGGCTTGATCACTACATTGGCCACCAGCACGGAAACTGCTAAGTGGATCGGCTACCTGATCGTCCTAGGCATTGGAGTTGGCTTCTCGATGCAACATGCCAACTTGGCTGTGCAAGTCGTCTTGGAGAAACAAGACATCCCAATTGGCACCGCCATGCTGTCGCTATGCCAAACGCTCGGTGGAGCAGTGTTCACGGCCGTCGGCCAAAACCTGTATATCGACAAGTTCTCCGAGGGCCTACAGCGCATCGAAGGTATCGATGTAGGCCATGTTCTGAACTCGGGAGCGACTGATCTGACACGTTCTGTAGCTCCCGAGCTTCAGGAAAAAGTACTAGAAGCATATAATCGCTCTTTGACGCAAGGTACCTTCCTTGCAGTGCTCTTTGTCGCCTGTTTGGCCGTACCTGCAGCTCTAGGCATGGAGTGGCGGAGCGTAAAGGATGATCCAAGGAAAGCGCGCCAAGCGGTCGTACAAGATGTCGAGATGAGCAGCGGTCGCAAAAGAGACCCTGACAGGAGCATAAGTGTCGAGAGACGCGTGTCTCGAAAACATGCTATCAGACTGGATGATGATTTCATCGCGCAGCCCGCTCCGATTTGGAAGAAGATGTATCGATCAAGCGGACAGTTTTCACAATGGATGACAACGAAAGTGAACCCAGATCTACGGCCAGAGCTTGGTTTTCCGAAGTAGAGCCGGAAGTTCTTGTCAAGCGCTGAACTGCCTCTGCAGGCTATTATATTCCGCTGCAGTTGGTCTGCTGGCTGTTCGAGATCCTGAAGGTGTATTGATATTGTGTGGACGTACTCAATCCTCGTCAAGATAGATATTGCAGAGCACATGAACCAGAGTAGCCTCATACCCAACTGTCAAGTTTGAAGTGCAACTCTGTGAGGCACTTGAACCACGTCCATCGAAACATAAGATAATGGCTGGTTGGCCTGTCTAACTCCTTAGCCAGGTACTGTTCCGAGCTTACAGTTGGTTCCTGCCAATAGGGTGATGCCATATGTCGCACAGGCAAGAGGTGGTAGCATGTCGTACCTGATTGCTTCTGATGCTTACTGAGGCTTGGCAAGATGTGTGGGCGAATCCCAGCTGCACTGATGGGAGATTGTTGCTGACAAGCAATCTTAGGGTCTGTCTTCCCGTGAAGTTTCTGGGGAGACGGACGCGGAAGAGGTTGTGGTGATGGTCCCGTTCCCATGATGCATCAGGTTGACTAGAGATCAAGATAGTGTGCAGCGGGAGGGATGTCATATCAGTCTGATACGAGCTGAATCCGACAATAGACCTGTGCACGCCACAAAAATATGTTTGCATCGGCTGTCGTAGACAGACGGCAGGATCCATGCAAGAGGCGTGGTACCTGGAAGATGCAGTGTATCATCAAAACGCGGATCTAGCAACTGCATTGGACAGGCAAGCCGAACAGCTTCGGACGTCTAAGGGTGCATACGATAAGGGTGTCCGTAGCAGCTGAAAGCTGGAGGTTCATCTTCGATGCTTTTTCACGGTTCCCCGCTGGTGTCGGATGATTCGTACCCTAACGCTCTCTCGGCCACAGAGATGGCGCAATAGCGTATGTCGAGTATCGGAGTAGCGCACAGTCGAAGCTGGACGAACGTGGGCAGCCCCGCAATGCAGTCGAGGGTGCGAAGTACGAGCCGGTGGAATGTAGTATGTCGGAGGTACCTACATAAGATCCGTACCAGTGTCGACCACAGTGACTGATATTTGTATCCACGCGCTTCTCTTGACTTCTCTGCCAGTGAGAATATCTCTTTCACCACAATGACTGCCTCGATCCACATCGTTTTAAGCGTAGCTTGGCAAGATGCCGGTGATACTACACGCGCCATCGCCATGGCTACGGCATTACGGGACCAATGTCCCTCCGCTCTGAAGCTGAAAATCGACTTCTTGTCCTGTGGCTCGCGCTTCGAATACCAGATTACCGACGCTGGCTTCAATATCGTCCCCGCCCAGCCTCGAGTCAGAGGGATCTCAGTCGCACATGACCTCGGCTGGGATTGGCCAGAGTTCTTCGGATCCGAAGAGATTGCGAAGTCATTCATCGATGGACAGCTTGCAGCCTTCAGGCTATTGAAGCCTGATATCGTGTTCCACGGAATGTGGGCGCCGGCGTCGATTGCTGCTCGATTGTTGGGTATTCGTACCATTAACTTCCTCCCTGTTCCACTCCACCCAAGCGCCTTCGCACATGGCCTAGTGCGCGATCTTCCAGACATGATGCCGTTGTTCACTCGACTGCCTCGGCCGATGAGACGAAACTTGGCTTGGTGGGCAAGTGGTCTGATGACCCGAGCACCTATCTTCCGCCAAAGACGACTTGGAGCAGCCGCAGCGGCTTGTGGATGGCCCGTCAAAGGGCCCATCTCCCTCTTCGACATGAATATGGCTGATCTCAACCTCGTCAACGACCATCCTGTCTTCCATCAAGAGTACTTGCATCGGCTTCCCAGCAACATCGTGCTGACCGGCCCATTGTATGCTAAAAATGACTCGGAACTGAATCCAGACATTGCGATGCATCTCAAGAAAGGTCCCGGTCCGTCCATCTTGATCACAATGGGAAGCTCGGGCACGGAAGAGTTCCTGTTCGAGGCTATTCGGGCAATGAAGCTCGACCCTGTTGATGATTGGAGCGCCGTCATTCTAGCATCGAAGTCGATCTGTTCCATCGACAGGGCCAGGGAAGTTGCAGATGGAGACACGCGACTGTTCGTAACAGACCATTTCATCCCCGCTCCAGCGGCAAATGCACTTGCTGATGTCGTTATCAGCCATGGTGGTCAGGGAACTGTGCAATGCGCACTTGCCGCCGGGAAGCCGATCGTAGGCGTTGCATTGCAAGTCGAGCAGCAGACGAATCTGGATAACGCGATGAATGCTGGAGCTGCCATTCGCATCCAGAAGCAATCCTGGAAGGCGAGAAACATTCGTAATGCAGTGCTCACAGTGCTGCGTGATCCTATTTATGCGGCTAACGCTATAGCTCTCGCCGAGACACTCAACGCAATGGACGGAGCGAAGACAGCGGCTGAAGTGATGTGGAAGTTCATCTTGGATGAGCAAGCAGAGAAGTTGAAGGCTTGAGACGCGTGATGGGCCACTGTTGTCATGTCATATTGCCTAATACCGGTAATGCACGTCCACGCGTCGCGACGCGCGTCCCAAGCGATATGTCGAAAGGAGTCCTGAGTTTTAAGTGAGAGTTCGATGCTGGAAACAATCTGTAGTCACTTGCGAGAGATACCTGTTCCTGTTGTCTGTGATATTGATGCTGATGGTGGATGGTGGCAGGTGAGCCGCAGGAGAGAGTGGGTCTCAGTAACACACTAGTGACTAGCGTGTCGTCATCATTCACTCTTGCCGCTTGACGCGTCGAGGCTTCTTGAACGGCATGTCTGGAAGTCTGCCTAGTATCTTTCAGTACGATATTTCTGGAGTCCATACCAAGCATTCCAATGCTGCTTAATCCAATCTCTAGTATACATAGCGGAAAGACCTCATCTCCTTGTCGGTCATATCCGCATAGTTCATGTCCCCAGCCTCATCTGCGGAAATGCCTTCGAGGCCAGTCTCGCAATCCCGCTTGTTATTCTCCCAGATCAGATAGATGCGGAGAACAAAGCACAGAACGAGTGCCGTACCGCAACAGACCATCATTGCAAGAAAGCCTGACGGGTAGCTTGGAGCCTCGTTGGCAAAGAACAGCTGCGGGCCGATGATGTTGCCTGTGCAATATGCGATGAAGATCTGTATGTATCAACATATTGATCCTAGAGTCGAAGTTTGACATGAGCATGAGGGGATTTACCATTGCGTTTGCAGTGTTCTTCTTTGTAAAGCCACCGATGTTGCCACTCGACATGCTCAGAACCATAGGGAAGTTCGCTGAGAAAGCAATGCAAAAGCAGTAGCCCATGAACCGTGCCCAGATCTGGGTAGGTTGGATCTCCCGAATCATCACAGCGCCGACAAGCGCGACGGCGAGATTCCAAGCCATGAAGTACGTGCGGGTGTTGCGAACGTAGGTGCTGCCAGCGGTGCCGATGATGACGAAGACGCCTTGGAATACTTGACCGAGCATCTGGACAAGCAGTGTGTTTAGCGTCGAGAAGCCCATGCCCTTGATGACGATGGAGCCGAACTGTACAATGGTTAGCAATGTACTTAGTTGATGAGAGTGATGGAGGGAGCATACCCCGTGAAGACCACCATTCGCGATGTTCTGTGCAAGTTGGATCGCAACTAGAAGCCAGATCTTGACATCAAGCAATGCTTCGATCGACTGACCCCATTTCCATGTGTTGTTCTTAATGCCAGTCATGTTCTCTTGCACGCGATCAATGGTTTTTGCTCTGTCGGCCGTGTTGAGGAAACGCGCGTTCGACGGTTCGTTCGGAAGGAAGAAGTAGATGGCAGCGGACCACGCTACAGTGAGTGCTCCAAATAGCAAGAAGACGGCCCAAAATTCAAGTCAGTCTACAAACTCTGTTCGTGAAGACTCTGTCTTACCTTCCAAGGCTCGATACTACGAACATGTCCAACACCGTATGCAAGTATACCGCCGAAGATACCAGCCACAACGTTGCCCATGAACCAAGCTCCGTGCCTCAAAGGTTGTTCAGACCTTTTGTACCACATGGCCACGATGACGGTCAAGCCTGGACCAATCGCTGCTTCAGCTGCACCGAGAAAGAAGCGTATAGCGAGGAGGCTTTCAGCATTGAAGCAAGTCGCAGTAAGCATAAGAATTGCGCCCCAAACAATGCTGTCTAAAATTAGCAAAGTAGGGAGTCGAGCATCGATGGTACTTACACAGAGACTGCGATGGTCCGAGCGACAGGAAAGCGCACTATCAAGGCCGCAGCAGGGTATGATGCAGCCAGATAGCCGAAATAGTATATGCCGCTAGCCCAGCTGTATTGTCCTCCAGACATATTGAGATCAGTCTGCAAGCCCATGATCGCAGTGTAGCCTAATGCCGATTTGTCGAGGAATTGGAACATGTACGACAAGCCCATGATCGGGAGTAGGCTACCAAGCTTAGCATCCAGTATATAGGTAATAACATAACAACAAGTACTGCACTCACTTCAAGTCAATCTTACGCAAGATACGCCGGTCTTCCTCTGGACTGAGGGCCTCCCTGGTGGCGAGGACATCGCCGAGCTCAGTAAGGACTTGGTCCTTGTCTGGATACTCCTGGCTGTCCTTTTTTTCGTTCGTAACAGACATTGTTGGAGGGGATCAGATTCGATGTTGATTGAAGATAGCGTTGAAGTGATGGTGGTTGTCGATGTCCACTGGGTTCTGACGGAGGAAGTGCTCTTATAGACCATGGCTACCTGTAGAGGAGTATGCATCATGCTTGGCATACTGATAACCAGCTACTAACTGAGATACTAGATACGCACGCGTATGAAAATGCGGGGATGCAGATACTGGTCGGCTAATGGTTTGCGGGACTTGCACGCGGAGATATTGACTTTGTGTTGTTCTTGACAGTGCACCACACGTGATCCAAGACCGAGCGGAAGCGACCGATTTAAGCGCTCCTTAACCCAAACGTGGTTTAGCGAACACGGCTTGTCGCCAATTTCAATGGATGCTCAGGGTGAACGAACACAATGGTCAAGATCCGTCAGTCAAGCATTGTCGTCTTGCGCGTTGGTCACAGAAAGAGCGTTGTACGTATCATCCCAAAACGAACAATTCCTTCTGCTCCATTTGCGCTCTGACGTCTACGCGCTTGCCATGACGTCGTTGCATGGCAATGACTGTGACCAAAAAGCGGTGGGCGCGTTCGTAGTTCTTCCCATAAAGTCGGAAGGTTTCGAAACGGTCCAGTATGAATTTATGATGTAGCATGTCATGGGTTTCGAGGGCTGCCATGAACAGAGGCCAAGCAACTCTCAGGTTGGGCTGGTCGCCGCCATGCGTGAAATCCTGAAAACAGAGATTCATGATCTCTTGTAAAGCATAGCGCTGTCGCTCATCCATGGGATCGTTGAAGGCTGTCAAGCGCTTGAAGTCTAGGATGATAGCATAGTACATAGGTACAATTGCTCGCATGTTCGCCACCAGTCTGTGACTGTTGTCGGTCTCTAGAGACAGCTCATGAGCCACCTCCATGAGTTCTCTGAAGAGATCGCCGACTTCATCGATTGAGTATTCCACTTCATGCGCTTGTTCCATTGCTGACGAAGGATCATCGCGATACAATGTCGCAAGCTGAGCGGTCAAGAATCGCAAATACGCACAATGGCCGAGTAGGGCGTAAACGTTGCGGTTCTCTACATCGTCGACCAGCTCAGCCTGAGGGTATGCGTCGCCCCATGTTAGTCGATACAAGGAATTGGAATAGTGATGGAGACGTGCCACTGCCTTGATAGGATCTTTGGATCGCATACGAGTGTCTGTCGGATTCGAAAGCAGCATGTTGAGGATAGCTTCATTCACGTGTCCCCCGACACCAGACGTCGCGGCTGCTGAATCAAGCAATACAATCCAGATTAGAACGCGTGCCGAGTAGATAGATATCTTCGACTCTTTACTCGAGTGGTCTGTCCGTACAGCTACTGGACTATTTTCTTGGGCTCCAAGTTTGTGTGGTGGAAGCTGAAGTAGGTTACCGCTCTGCGACTGCAATAGCGATGCCACACCCTGGAGATGGCTCAAATATGCTCTGCACCTTTCGTCGCCGAATTGCTGTTCATAAAGTAGCATTAGCCACAAAGCAGTGAGGATCGTGTCAAGATCCTTCGTGGTTTCGCTTGATGGCACAATTGCATCTGCCATGAGTCTGAGCGCCAGACCATAGTGGTTCGACGAAGCATTCTGAGCGCTGACCGACGATTGATGCCGTCGAAAATCCATCTCTTGATGCCCAATCGCCACGACCATGTGCATGACCATGGGTTCAGTTTGCGCGATGTTGAACATGAGTGATATCAATGAATACTCCGGGTTCTTAGTGTGATGCAATTTGGCAAATTCGGTTCGAAAATAGCGAATAGCTTCGTAGTCTTCAGCACATAGATCCAGAGTACATCTCCCCGTATCTGTCCAAGCTCCTGTCGAATGACTCGAGGATGGGCTTACGCCGCAAGCTTCTAGTATCGAGGGTGAATGGAACACCTCCAGGCTCGTGTTGATTATAGAAGGTGTACTGCAAGCCTCTGGTACCGAAGGTGAGTCGAGAATCTCCTGGCTCGTGTTTGAGACAATGGGTGAAGCTGCATCGCTGATAGAGGACAAAGGACTCTGTGCGGAACTCAAGCTTCGGTTGGTCCTGCGACGCTCTGCTAGAGTCGGTCGTGGAGTATAGTCGCATGATATTTTCAGTCGCTCACATCGCCCACAGATGGGACGGCGTCGATCGCAACCTTTCTTCACTGTCGGGCTGCGGCACGTCCAGCATCCTGCTCTGCTACGGCGTCTTGTCTTAGAAGTATGCTCCGCTTCTGTGGCCATAGGCGTGGAGGCACACAGGGTCAAGTGCCAGGAGAGACATTTGCGGGGGGGTAAGACATGCTTCCTATCGTGTGTAATTGAGAGAGGAGCGCTTCGCGCTAAGTGGGGAACTGACCCGCCACAGACGCTAAAGGAGCGCTTATTTCGAAAAGTGAAATAGGCGCTCCCTTATCTTCTCAAAATTTCAACGGAAGATGAGGTCGACATCTGCAGCAAGAAGTACCGAAAATCATCGTCCGAGGCTACAAAAACCCTTCTGCATTAAAGATGGACACCACACCCGCTCGTCATCTTCCAACGCGTGAAGCTCATCAATACGCACTACAGACATCCTCGAATTCGGACGTAAAGAACCTCTATTTCGAAACAGCGTCCCAAAAGAGTTGGTATTTGGAGCTCAAATGGGATCGCAGAATGAGAACAGGAAGATGCTGGAGGAAGCACGTTCGATCGTAACATCGACCATTGATGGCGCTGATTCCGAGCTTCACAAGATCAACAAAGCTCTCCACGAGAACCCAGAGTTAGGTTACGAAGAGCATTTTGCGCATCAGACAATTACCTCCTACCTCTCTTCACTCGGATTTAACGTCAAAAAACATGCTTATGGTTTCGACACCAGCTTTGAAGCGGAGTACGGGTCCGGCGGCCGTCTTGTCATCATCTGCGCAGAGTACGATGCTCTTCCAGGCATTGGTCACTCATGCGGTCATAACTTGATCGCGACTTCCTCGATCGCAACATTTACCGCGGCGGTCGAGGCGATGAAGAAACACAACATCGAAGGGAGATTACGGATCCTTGGTACTCCTGCTGAAGAGGGTGGAGGCGGCAAAGCTAAGCTTATCGAAGCTGGCGCGTTCCCCAAAGACACTGCTGCAGCCATCATGGGTGAGGCCTTCCGAAAGCTCAGAATGTAAGGCCGTTGCTAATGACGGCAGCTCATCCAATGTCCGCACATCAGATCTTTTACAAGCCTGGCTACTACCAAGGTCTTGCTGGTCTCAAGCTGATTGCGAGTCACAAGTTCAAGACTGAGTTCAGAGGCAAACCAGCACATGCAGCAGGTGAGCCTTGGAACGGAGTCAACGCTCTAGATGCAGCAGTCTCAGCATACGCCAACGTGGGTCTCCTGAGGCAGCAGATGGAGCCGGATGAACGCGTTCACGGAGTAATCGAGGCCGGAGGAACCGTACCAAACGTCATCACCGACTACACACGGATGAACTGGAATGTCCGCAGCCCTACCATAGAGCGAGCGGCTAAGCTCCTTGCTCGCGTAAAGAACTGTATTGAAGCAGCAGCCTTGGCTTCAGGATGTAAGCTGGAATATATCAGGTAAGTGGCTCGAGTTTTCGTGACCTATACCGTAGTACTGACCGCTCATAGCTCACCCACATACCTCAACCTACGCGCCAACAAGACCTTATGCGAGCTGTACGCTCAAGAGATGGACACGCTCGGTACTAAAATTCAGATCAATCAGGAGAAGATGATGAATGCTTCGACAGATATGGGCAATGTTTCACATATCATCCCCAGCTTTCACGGCGCGTTCGTGATCCCGGCTGAGAAGGATGTGTCAGCCCACCATCCAGCATTCGCAGCGTGTGCAGGTACAGATGAGGGTCACAAGGCGGCCTTGAATTGCGCGAAAGGTATGGCAATGCTGGCATTAAGGGTTCTGGTGGATGAGAACGTTGCGAAGAGGACGAAAGAAGACTTTGAACAAGACGACGAGTAGCGGAAAATCATGGTTACTTTATCTGTACAGACTTGAATCTTAGCGATCCTCAACCACTTGTCAAATAAAGTGCATCAAGCTATTCACTCTTTGTATGCACACTCCGCGATCATAGCCCTATTTCCTTCATCAGCAGCGGTTTTTATTGGTCGATGACGTCACAGAAACGCGCTTCATGCCTGACCTTTTTATGGAGCTGCACGCAAGCTGTCAAACGTGGGTAAGCATGCAAACAGTTAACGGCCCATGGGACTTCTACTCGGCCCGCATCCATGTTTGTGGGAGTTGTTAACTCGAGGACAGTAATAAATATGCTATCGCTGTACCTCGACCTCGAGAGCAGGCTGAGTAGGCCGAGTAGGCTGCCTCGTCTGCATGAGCGTAAGGCAAGCTGACTCCTACGCAATCGCCGCACTTATGAACGAGTCAATTCTGCAATAGTGAAAAGGCAGATGTGGCTCGATGCAAAAGCTTACGAGTGTAGTAATTGACGAGACTTACACTTCACGGATACAATCACCATCCCAGCTCGCGCATATTCACAGCATGAGCGCCCGGCTCGCCCCGCGTATCCCACTTCAGTCGAACGGCAACTCACGCGCACGGTTCTCGATCCGGTGGGCTCGACTGTCGGGGCAGCGAATAAACTGCATGAGCTCCACATCTTTGACCAATCAGCGCCCGCTACGTTGAGAATCCTAGGCAGTGCTGGGTCACCGCACTTTGACGTGCATGCAAAGCCACCTAGGCTTGGGAGCCCAAAGGTGTTGACCATCAACCTTTAAAAGCTGGGTAACCCCAGATTTTGATGATTCAAGGTATCGATATTAGGTCTCCGTCACTATGGCCGAAGTTCCGCCTCCAGCTCCTGCTCCACCAGCTGCAGTATCAGCGTTGGCCTTGGTTCCGTCTCCGACGCCTCCACCGGGTCCTCTGACTTATCGTGAGCGATTAGCACAGTTTCGGATAATAGAAGAGAAAAGGATCGAGCTTATCGAGGTAACTGGAGTGTGACTTCTGTTTCCTGAAGCGGCGCCTAAGATATCGCAGGAACTGCTTGACAAGCTTGAAAAGACCGAAGCACGACTTGCACAGACTGAGCTCGATCTCAACTCGGAGCAAAATGTTCGTCGAACATTGCAGGCTGAGGTTCATGAGGCGAAGACAAGAGAAGACGCGCTCGCACAGAAGCAGGTCAGTCTAACCACACTGGGTATAGCTTCATGGATGCTCACTAGCAACAGGCTAAACGTCCTTTCGTACTGGTGTTGATCGATGTAGATGCGGAAGGCTTCCTCGTAAGTGCTGTTACCTACCCTCATGTAAGCACGAGCCTAACTCTTCCTAGTTCCAGGACAAATACATCACAAGAAAGGCTCAAGGTGGCGAGGCTCTGGCCGATGAGCTACTCATTCGGACACGGGAGTACTTGAGGCCACACTTCGAAGATGCAGACAGCTTGGACATCATTGTACGAGTGTATGCCAACCTCGAAGGTTTAGCGAAGTACCTGGTACGGCAGGACAAGATCAGCAACCTTGGCTCCCTGCGTGCCATGTCAACAGCGTTCAGTGGACGGATAGCAAGCTTCGACTTCGTGGATGTCGGTGTTGGCAAGGAAGGCAGTTCCGGGCGAAAGATACGAGGTACGTTGACTTGCATCACTATGGATCAACTGTTGCCGACTGACATGTTAACAGAGAACCTCTCGTTCTTCACTGCAAACACGCATTTACGGCACGTCATCGTTGGCTGCTCGCCTGTTGACTTGCCAGCTGCTCTTTTGTCGACTCTTCCTCTCGAAAAGGTCACATTGATCGAGTCTGTTCCACTACCCTCAGCACTTACCACACTGCCTCTGAAGGTGTCCAAATACTCCACAATCTTTCCACCTCCACCTCCACCCAAGTCACCGCGACCAACAGGCCGGAACGGGCCACAGCTCCAGCTCATGCAGCAAGAGGATGATAGTGGAGGCCAGACATGGCTTGTCATTCAGCCTGAGAGAAGTGACAGCCGTGGTCACCGTGACTCCAAGCGGCGAGGCAGGAGTGAAGACGAAGCATCCAATATCAGCATCTCGATCGGTCCAGACAACAGCGTCAGCGTCGACAGCGGTCACAGCAGGCGGGTGATGAGATAAAGATGCCACAACCATGACTCGGACAGCCAAACCAGTCTGGCCTGCATTGGACTCGCTTCTTCGGCACGCACAGTGGACTGAGATTGACAGCATAGCATAGCATAGCATAGCATAGCGTAGCGTTGATACTTACTGACTCGAAAAAATATAGACCGTGACCTTCGGAGGACTTCGCAGAGCCTTTCTCAAATATAAGAAGATTCACACTGCTCGTGCAATCGGGCTCTGCTGCAGCTTCAGCCGAGATCATGATGGTCGAAACTCAGGTAGACGAATGGGTTCATTTAGATTTTGAACGCGCAAGCCTGTCTTGAGATTGATCTTTACCCCGAAGTACTGAGGTGTCGAGGCGCTAGTACCTCCTTGGTGTACGCACATCAGTCATTCGCTAACCAATCGAACGCGAAAGACTTATCCGACATCGCCCAACTCCTAGTATGCGTGCATGCGTGCAACACCGAGCATGAATTGCGGAAGGATCTACTTCAGATATATACTTCTGATTTCTCAAAATGTTGGGACGCGACTGTCGCGTACCACATCCTCGGTCTTCATACGTGGGTTCCACAAGCTGGACGCGACTACCTTAGCGTGTACAAGTAAAACACCAAGGGAGCTCGGGGACACGAATGTCCTTCTCCATTGCCCACCAACCCTCAAACATGGCTGACCAAGAACACCATGTCATGTCTGACGCATCTTCGCAACACCGAGCCCGGTACGACCTTCCAACCCATTTTAATCGCCTACACCAACCAACATCAAAAGTCAGATGGTACCGCACACCCTTCTACAACGCCACAATCCTCGGTTTCTGCAGTCTCGCAGCCCCCGGACCATGGGACGCAATGAACTCCCTCGGCGCTGGAGGAGCCCAAAACCCTACCTGGTTAACACCGCCAACGCACTCACATTCTGCCTCATGCTCATATCTGCTGGCTCACCTCTTCGCTCGTCATGTATGTCGGCACCAAAGGCGCGCTCGTCGTCGGAACTATTGGCTTTGCGCCGTACAGCGCAGGTCCGTATACGAACAACCGTTTCGGCACGGAGTGGCTTGACATCCTTGGTGCAACGCTGTGTGGTATCTCTGCTGGTATTTTCTGAGCGTCTGAGGCGGTGATTGCGATTGCGTATCTGGAGCCGAGGAATAGGGAAAAGATGATTGCGTATTGGATTACTTGGATGGGAGGGACGCACCCATGGTTGCGCGATCAACCTGGGCTTAAACCATGAGCAGAACACTGCTGGAAGATTCGGGTATACTGTACACCTGATCTTCATTGTGCTGCATGCCTCGATCCTTTCGTCGCGTTGCTGTTGAATAAACCGGAGAAAGTACCGCGCCCGCATGAGGTGCCAATGAAGCTTCAGATCTACGATAACCCGTGGCAAGAGATCAAGGTGACTACGAAGACATTCTGAAGAAAAAGTTTCTCTTGCTGGTATTCTGGATCGGACAGGTGTTTACAGTGAGGCTGTGTACTGCACATACATCGCCCTCTGGTTAAGCGTTCGCGCACGCTCTCTAGGCTCCATTTTATCCAGCGTCGTTGCAATCGTGGTTACGAACCTGCTGGGCGCATGGCTTGACACGCACAGCGCAGCGCTGAAGAAGGGAGCGCGTTGGGCTTTCGGAGTCATTATGATTACGCAGGGCGTATGGTGGATCTGGCTCACCATCAACGTCACGCAGTACTCTCGATCCGCGACTTTGTACGGCTGGGCAGACGAAGCCTTCGGGCGTGCGTTCGCGCCTTTCATCTTCCTTGATGCAGACTTCCAGCTGAACTACAACTTTGCATTCTTCCTGGTCGGTCAAATTTCCACGAGCCCGCAGAAAACGATTCGTCTTGCTGCGCCTCTGCGTGGCACTGAGTCGGCCTGGCAGGCACTTAGTTATGGTTTGAACGCTTTTCCTATCTTCGTGACGGTTGGGGGAACGTACTTCAATTTCGGCCTTGGGGCGGTGGCGCTGCTTCCTGTGTGATTGGTCGTCAAGACCATCGGTCTGAGGAAGTACAATGACGAAGCTGAGTTTGGGGCTGTGGAGAGAAGCGAAGAGACGCTCGGCGGAAAAACCAGTTCGTAGAGATGTATGTCAAAGCGTTGAATACGTTATGCATCTGCTATGTCTGATCATCCCGACCATGATATGTAACATTGAATGTATAGAATATCTTACAAGATTCCCGACCACACCATCTTGAGATTATACGCCGACCTTGTCCAAAGATTCCTTAGTGGAAAGGAGGCCAAGCTGCTGCAATTGCGCAAGCAGGTTCCTGTCCACTTTCCCAATCTGTTCGGCTCTCCGTGGACTGACAGTGTGTGGCTTCAACTGCACTCGCCTGCCCTCGATGACTTTATCGTTGAGCGAGTCAATTGCTCGCTCAGCACCCTCCTTTGATGCGAAGTCGATGTGTGTCAGGAACGAGCTGTCACTTTGTTTATCCCCCTTCCAGACTGGGTTCAGTGCCCCGATGGCTTCCACCCCAAATGGTCCGAAGTGCTTGTCGATGATCTCTCGTCTTGTGGCGTTAATGGACTTGCCTTCATCCTTTTGATTGAGCCAGCCTGGGTTCTCAACATACAAGCGAAACCGGCGCCCTTGAAGGAGGCCCTGGATAGCCTGGAATGGAGTATTCTCATCATGAAAAAAGAATCGATGTTCTTTCTTGAACCCGTGGTCCCAATAGAATTTGTCGTTAAGCGGGCGGACAACTAATGAACGGCCATGGAGCTGCTGGCCATTCAGAACCTTGATGGCATTCTGCGCTTGCTCTTGGCTACCTAACTCGATGAAAGAGGAAGTATCGCAGCGGAATGTGAAGCGATCAATTCGAAATTGGATTCTCTTGCTGTAGATTTGTTAGTAAAACACGTGACCTGGGCGCAGCTAGGTGTTGTCAGCACCTTTTCTGGGTAGTACTCACACATCAACTCCAGCGTTGCGAAGAAGCTGTTCAATGTCAGCCGGCACGGTATCCCAGGGCAATTTCGTAATTGCAATCGATTGCGCATGGTTTCCAGAGGATGCGGTTCGAGTGGCTGTAAGTGGAACTTCTGGGCCTGTGGCCGGCGTCTGAACGACCTCTTCCCGGATTCGCACGCTCGATGAGAACTGTCGTCGCGGAGCTGCTGTGCTGACAACGCAAAGTATCGAACCGGTGGCGCGTTGAGTTGTGAAGCCCCTGGAAAGAGCTAAACGGCCCTGTGAGATGACCCTAGGCACAGACATTGTAACTGCGGGAATGATGCTTTAGGAACGGAGTGATAGGGTTCGACGCAGAACGACTCTCCCGATGTCTCGAGAAGTCGAGATTGTGTTGTTGATGCATGCGCGCTGGAAAAAAGTCCACGATAGATAATGCCAAGACCATACCGGTATCGATAAAGAAGCGCATCAGTGCGCGCTAGCCTCATCTTGCAACAGGAAACTTCCATCCTTGGTCGCGACATTCGAAGCATTCCTTTGGTTTTGCATCTGCGGCAGCATTTCTTTACAGTATGGTTGCATCCCTACGTTTCCTTGCACGAAGTGCTATTGCCACTAGCCGGTTCAACGCGTGCGCACCAACAACAGCCGCGACAGCAACATTGAGATCTTGTTTTCCAATCAACACCTGCCATGCTCCTCACAGACATGGTTTACACGCCAGTACATCTCGACCTGCGGCTTCTGTCGAGCAGGCTTCTACTGGACAAACTTCCCCTGATCTGCCTTCCAATTCGAAAACCTCACCACTCGATGATCCCCGCTGGCGCCACCCACGCCTTGGTTTTGCTGCTGCTGACCTTCCGCATCTCATCTCCATCAAGCTGCCTCGGACCGCCACCGAGGATGATATGAAAGCTCTAATTGCCAGAGCGGGTTATCCAGAGTAAGTCATAGCTCAGAACGAGCGGCCCGAACACTCTACTCATTTGACTTACAGCGCTCAAATCACTATGTACTACTTTTTCGAAACAGGCAAACCTTTAGATTTCTGCTACCTGAAAATAGCGGACAAGAATCAAGTGGACGCTACCATTGCTGCTCTGTCACGTTTTACTCTCCTCGGTTCTGAGCTTAAGCCAGAGAAGTATGATACCTGGAAGCTTCCTCCTTTGCACCTACCCAGTCTTTTGGCCGGCTGGCTCCCTTCACCAACCAGTGATCTCAAATCTCGAGTCGTCCGACCACCTATTACAACGCCTCCTAAGCTCCTATCCCCTTTGATGGCAGAGCAATGGATACTATTCCTGAACCTACCGCCCGTGGACCCAGCAAAAAAAGATGCTCGTTTCGAGATTACACGAGAGTTCTACGAGAAGTTCCACCAGTACGATGTCGTAGGCATCACAACCCCACGAGAGCACCACAGGAAATCCAACGGTTGGAGTTGTAAGATCCTGTTTGGAAATCGCAAAGATGCAAAGGCGGCACTCAAGTCACATGTGAAAACATCGTTCATGGGCCGCGTGGGAAGGGCGAGAACCTTTAGGGGCGGGCCTGATATCCACAAGTCACTCTGGGACTACCGGCGATCCCTTCCCGAAGATACGCCCGACAGCGAGGTCGGTCACCTGTTGGAGGAGAAGTACAAAGGGTTGTACAAAGTCCAAGATGCAGATCGCCAACGACGCATTCAATATCCTACCCCGGAATCAGCCATTGGGCTCAAGAAGGATGCATCCACATCTGATTGATCGGTGTGATCATCCTATTCATATGAGGCTTCGCATAGCAATGACTGCGGTTGAGACAACTTGTAATATTATCTTGTCCGAGGACTGTCTAGATCCTCGCGCGGAACTGCAACATCGGCCCATCTTTCTTACTCGCGAAAACGTCCTGAATCTGATACTCCGTCGCCCTCGTCCTTCCAACTTCCAGATCCTTACTTCCAGCTCCCAATGTTGTTCCGGGAGCGAGCCTCAGGTCGTACAGGTAGAGAACCCGCGCGATCGTGACGGTCAACTCGACGTACGCTAGACCCTTTCCAATGCATCCTCGTGGGCCGATGCTGAAGGGATTGAAGGCTGATTGCGCAGCAGGGAGGCTGTCGTGCAGGGGATTGGTCGATGGGTCTGCGAGCCAGCGCTCGGGGATGTAATCGAATGGCTGAGGGTAGTAGTTCGGGTTGTGGTGGATGGCGTAGATTGGCACACCCACATCGACGCCGGCTTGGATGTGCTTGCCATCGATTTCCATACCACCTGACAGAACTTGACGAGGAAGAGCACCAGCGACTGGAGGTGTCATGCGCATCGTCTCGTCGATACACGCCTTCAAGTAGGAGCAGCCGCTCAGCTTCGGGCTAGTTACGATCTCTTCGACATCCGAGAAAGTCTCGCGGATCTCCTTGCACAACTTCTCCAGAACCCTGGGGTTGTGCGCCAGGTAGAAGAAGGTACCAGACATGGCCGTGGAAGTGGTGTCAGACCCTGCGATGATCAACAAGTTCGACTCGCCCCACAATTCGTTCATGTTGAAGCCCTCTCCAGTCTCCGCATCCTTTGCGTTCAGGAGGTAGTAGAAGAAGTCCTTGCGATCGGCCTCAAGACCCAGCTTCGTGCGCTCCATGGCCTGCGCCTTGCTGTACTGCATATACTGCGCCCTCTGGCCAGCAATTTTGCGGAAGAACAGCTTGTCCAGGTGCCAGTTGTGAATTGTAAGATGCGTCCCGCACTTCAGTCCTGTCAGCTCACGCCCATATCAAGCAGAAGGGTACACTCACGATCAAATGCCTGTGCGCAGCATTCCCCACCAACTGCGTCGCAAACCGATTCACCGGACTCTCCAACATCCCAAACGCCTTGCCAAACACCAAATCGCCCATGATATCAAACACCAGCCACTCACACCAATGTGCCGCATTCCACGCGCCATTCCAGCCCTGTCCATTTACAGACTTCTCCCCCCCATCAGCAGCATGTGTCTCGCCGCCGGCCCGGCGCCCGAGCAACTCGCACCCCACGCGCACATTCGCGATGATGTATTTCTCCAGACTGCGAATCGCGGCATCACTAAACGCACTGCTCATCACACGCCGCTTGCGCGCGTGCTGCATCTTATCAATCGCACTGTGCACGCTGACAGCTGCCGGCGTGCTGGGGAAAGCTTCGTAGAAGCTCGCCTTCTTGACATTTGATCGAAAGCCGTAGATCGTCTTGAGACCCGTGGCGGTGTTGACGGAAAGCAGGTTTGGGCCCAGACGTACGTACGGTCCGTACTGCAGGTGTGCGTTGTGGAAGGCCAGGTGTCGGCTGCCTTTGTAGGCGTAGTATGCGAGGTAGATGTCTGTGATTTTTGCGAGGAGTGGGCCGGGGTATGCGGCGAGGGGGTGGAGGGTTAAGCGGTAGAGGATTACTCCCAGAATCTAAAATCGTCAGTTGAGATGTTGCATGCTGGACATGATACGGACGTAGAGTGTTAGACTCCCGGAGATAGTGGAGATGAGAAGGAGCGGTGAGGTCAACAGCGACCAGGCGAGACTGAAGAGCTCCATGATGGGAAGTTTGAGGTCGAGATTAGTGTAGGTGAGATTATTGATGTGCGTTCATTGACACAAATACACGACGTGAGCATATAGCAAGCCTCGTATGAAAACGATGAGATCCCCTCTACAAGAGCAGCAAGACGCCTCTACTTAAATAACATACCCCTTCCACCGCCATCCGCACCTCCCGCATTATCCTCATCGTGATTCTGACAAAGGGAAACTAAAAAAAACTGGGGTCTTCTTAGGAAGCTTGAAAACGATCCCGTGCCCTAACTTTGCTGCGATGCTGACGGCGGAAGGCTCAGGTATATGTCAAACATTACAACGGATAGGCGCGGCAATTCAGGGTCAGAACGTCACGTGGACACTCATGCAAGCTGAGATGCGGGGCAGGGGCCGGATAGCCCAGCGGAACGCCGCTCCACTTTAGCGTGCCACGGATACTGGCGATGATACAGGAAGTGGAGGGGCCGGATAGGCTGGGGCCGGGTATTGTGCGCGTAAGGGAGGAAGGTATGGAGAGGAGGATGACGAAAATCTTCGCATGCACAATTAAGATGAGCTATTTTGGGAAGGTGATAGCGTTTGAGAAGCAGCTCATGCTTGATTTTTGGCCTCGATGTCGCAAACCTCACTTCCCATCGCCCGCATCATTGCGGTGAACTTCTATCAACGGCTCGCAACGCTACGAAGCCATAACTGCAGGACATCGAGAACTTTGACACACCGTGCCTTTTCGCAAAGGCCCATCATTCGCCGAAGCCTTTCTCTTAGACTTTTCTGAGGTGGATGTAGTTATCGAACGTATTATTCTTCACCTTTCTCGTCCCGTAATCCTCATGTTTATAGTTGTAGTCCTCGACATGAACATAATCACCTTCCACCTTCGTGACCCAAGCCACATGGCCGAGACCCTTGTTCCACTGCGCCACGGAATTGACTTTGGGTGTCTTGTTGACCGTGACACCCTCAGACTCCTTGCCTGCTTCGTCCCAAGTATTTGCATTCCCCCAATGCTGGCCCTTGTAGCGGTTGTGGAACTTGATATCGAGTTTCTGGTTGATGCGCCACGCCACGAAGGAGGTGCATTGGCACTTGTAATAATTCCACTTGTCAACGCCGTTGCCACCGGGGCACTCGCCTCTGTAGGGATAGTCGTCTGCTGCAGCTCGAACATGGAGGTCGGTAGTATTGGTGATGTCGGTGAGGTTGTCGAGGTTGACATCAGTAGCAGATTCGAGAGGAACAGCAGAAGAAAGAGCGAAGAAGGTCGTAAAGAGAAAAGATAGGGCAAGGAGTTTCATGTTTGCTGCTTCTGTTGCTATATTCTCTTGGTGCGATTGTTGGTGGTTCTGTTGCTGCGCTCTGGTCGTAAGTTAGCCTGATACTTATACCTTCGACCGAACGTCCCAGCCTTCGGGAGTGATTTCTAGCAGGCGTAGGAATGAGGTCAATGACAACCAGCTCCGTGATACAAGTAAAGAATAAGAGGGTTCACCGGTACGCATCGCTGCCTTATGATCGTCCTGTCGGCCTTGTAGTATATCTGTGGTTGCACATCGTGGTTGGTGAGTTGCGATGTACCATATGTTGTACCTTGACTTTCTCAGCCCCTCAAGCCTTGCGAAACGGTGAGGCAGATTCTCAGCATGTCCGAAGAGCTCGTAAGTTAGCTTGTTGAGATCGAGGCTAAATCTACGACAGCTCCTTGAGGTCGTCCCTGTTGGAACGCATCAGTGGGACAAAACAAGAACTGACGTACTACACAGCGAGAGTAGATACATACAATGTCCATGCTCGCGGCATCCATGGGCGTGTTTTGTTGAGCTCAGCCTTGTGTGTGCAGGCCGTTTTTAGAGATGTGGATGTGGGAGTGAGGTCGTGCGACGAAGACGATCTCGTTGTGGTGGCTGAGTGTTCTGCTTGGCAAAACGATGCAGAGGAAGAAACACGGCAGACCGTACCATTGTTCTAATACGATAAGACAGTTACGCCTATGCTATTCCTAAAGGATGATATAACGCACGCTTCCAAGGGAGAAAGCAGTATCCTGATATGCAAAAGGGATGTAGAAAGGGTCAAGATATCGACAAGAAGAGACTCTGATAATGGATAACGTCTAGATTTGAAGTAACCGCAAGAAAATGATGTTCCACTTACTCACGGACGCTCAGCTCCTGAAGTTTCTAAGTATCAATAAGCGGCTCCTGAGGCAATGGCTTCTCAGGCAGCGGCTTGGTCGGCAAGGGCTTCATCCTCTCTTCATTCCAGCCCATACTCGCACGACTCCCGCCTTCGTCGTAACTATCCCTATAGTCACCTCTCCAGTCACCTCTCCACTCCCCTCGGAATCCGCCCTCCTCCTCGTCATCCGGACCCCTCTCCTGATTAAGCTGGCTATACACAGCATCAATGCCCTTCCACCTCGCCAACCCACTCTGCTGCTTGGCAAATAGGTAAAGGCCCTGAACAATGCGCAGCGCAATGAATCCACCAACAATAGACCCAATGATGATGAAGAACAGCCCAACGAAGTTGGAGTGGAAGACGTCACCAACAAGATTCCTCAACGTGCCCTTCTTCCCCCAAATGCCCCACTCCTCACTCAAGTACACCAACTCGCCTTCCTCTTCCCACACATCGCCGCCAAAGAACCGACGGATCTTGCCCCAGGCGCTGAGCTTTGGTGAAGCGAAGTTGAAGCGCCGCATCACCTGCTCCACCTTCGTGATCTCGAGGTTGTACACTTCATCACCACCAACAGAACCAAACAGCCCGCCGTCCTGCGAATTGTGCGGTTTAACGGCGTGTCCGCGCTTGACGGGCTGCCCCGCGACGACGATATGCAGCGACTTGCGGTCGGGGTCGTCGAACGTCCAGGGTGTCGAGACGCTGCTCAACCCAGCAACAGGCATACTGCGGCCGCCGACGGGATCAAATATGATCTCCCAGAAGCGGATGTTTGCGTCCGGCTCCTCTTTTTGAAGGTGCGCGGAGTAGGAGTAGTCGACGAGCATGCGACCGAGGGGGAGCGTTTGGCACCATTCTGTGCAGTCGGTGCCAATATTTGGGCTGGAGCAGGTCGGATCCGAGCAGGAGGTTGCGGCGGTGAGGTTTTTGTACGAGAAGTCGGGGTGCAGGAGTGAGACGGAGATGTGCGGCGGATTCGGAATCGTGTTGAGGGCCGGAAAGATCTTCTTGCCGTTGAGGAGGATAGAGCGCGTGTCGTTTGCTAGGGTGACGTTGAAGAACTGTGCGAAAGGTATACGGTGAGTGAGAGCTCCTTGCAGCAGAGGAACGCGCCACTGGGCTGTTATGAGAGGATGGCACCTACCATTTCCTGGTCGCCATGTGTGATCCTGCTCTCCGGCTTGCCATCATCCGAGTCTTCGTTCCATGTTTCTGCATAAGGACAGTCCTTGCATGCTATCTTTGTGAAGTACGAGATGCCGGGTGTAACTTCGACAACGTTATCGATCTTCTGTGCGCACTTCTCTACATCTGCATCCTCCTTGCTACACTCTGGGAAGTCGACGTCATCCTGTGCAAATGCGGAGGAGAGTAGAAGCGAAGCGAGTGGTAACCCAAGAACACGCATCTTGGGCAGACTGTGAGTGTTGAGGATTGAAGGTGATGCCTGACGGATGGGATCAGCAATCTGCCGTTCGCCGGCAACTTCAGGGGTCTAGCGTGGCAGGCGGGTCCGCTAGTTTATCGATTGCGCACGCGGCGGGCGCGGCTGGTCTGGCCCAGGCACAGGCACAGCTTCGACGACGCAGCCTGGCAGCATCAACACCATCACCCATACAAAAATCTCTTGTTATCGCAATACTCACAAGGCACATTCAGTCATGAACGGTGAGAGATAACACGCATGTTTGACCGACTGACCTTGATCTCGTGGAGCGCCTCTCGTGCTCCGCCTCGCTTGGCTGGCCGCCGGTGAACCCCATGTGGGAGATATTCCACGAGTAGATTGCCCAGCAGGTGCAAATGTATCCTCTTCGTCGTCCATCAAATTTGTTCATGATATCCGCTTTGTCCGTCTTCCATCTTGATCTGCAGTGCATCCGCAATCCTACAACCATGTCTTCAACTCAAGATCCCACGAAAGCTCCCACTGCCCGAGAAACGGAGAAGGCGAGCGACTCTGTGGCGGAGACAATCGCATACGCCCGTCGCACGTACAAGGGCAATCATTCAGATGTCAAAACCTCCGAGCCAGAGAAGTATGTCTTTCTAGCTGTTTCTCGCGCGACCCACCATGCTAACAGTGTCTAGCAATGGTCCCATGAAGAAGTTCTTAAACAACGTCAGTCATACACTCATGAGCGGTCGCTATGGTGGATCTTAGGGCGGTAAATGATCGCGAGGCTGATATGAACGATAGCTAGTATTCGCTAGGAGAAATGCAGATTGAACCTTGAACTGTAACATTTAGCATCGGCCGTGAACATCAAGATGTGTATGTCTTCTTGAGCCAAGCAGCCTTGCCATGTATCCCGAGAGGCCTCCCATGGATCTGCAGCGTACGAGTCTGACGAATGATCTGAAGCTATGCGTAAGGACAGCTTCCTTCCACACTTGCCCTCGAATTGAGAGACGCGCACAACGGACGAGAAACGCGAGCTGCTGTCCCACAACTCGAAAGGAGATGCGAACACGTTTGACGAGGAGAAGCTCGCCCAAAACTTCAGAGGCAGTAATCAACTTGATCATCTCATCGCAAGAGCGTTGCGAAGTGACTGGACAAAGCGCCTGATTAGGAATGTATGTGGTCTAATTACCGCTTTGGCATGGCAGTGGTATTACTATGGGTGGCGACCCTAATTCTGAACGCGAATGCCTGAGGAACAGGCTATGCGGTGCAGAAGCTCTGGAATACAGCGGATATTCTCTTAGTAAAGAGTGATTGTGGATTGCTCAGTAGGACAGTCTGAGTATGACAGCTCTAACAAATGAAGTTTGGATTGGACCCTGTGACGTCACACTTCCTTCTCCACCTTTCATCAGTACGCAGTTGCTTCCATTTTAGCACTCAACACACTTCACTCACAAACCTCACACACAACCCGCAAACCTACTGCACCTACAACCGTCTCAACAGCAAAACTCTATACCTCAAACAACCGCCACAATGCCGTCTTCATTCCAATCCCAAACCTTCTCCTACACCAGCAGCTCCATCAACGGGCAAACCACATCGCACACACAGTCAACATTCAGCGACAACAGCGGCACACGTGTGCACCAGACAAGCCAAGAGCCCGGCCAAGCGCCACGCGAGGAGCACTTTGAGATCGACAGCGCGGGGAGGCGCATTGCTGAGGGCACAAGTGGAAACAGTCAAGGCAGGATCACAGACGTGACGGACGAACAGCAGAAGGAAAATGATAGGCTCTATGAGGAGAGGATCGAGGAGGAGTATGCTAAGCGTGAGGGCGGTGCTTAGAAGATGAGGAAGGGTACGCGCTGGACTGAGAGCAAGGAGAAGATTGGTTGAGAACTGTGCAGGGTGATGCAATGCATGTGAACTGGCGTTTGGATGATAATCTACACTCACAAATGCAACCAAAACTTCCGGCACGCTCATGGCCTTCCCTCCCACGCTTTCGTGAGGTACTCTTCCGCACTCAGAAACTTGTAATCGGGAAACCGCTGGTTCCACTCATCGCTAACGTTCCAAGCCCCATTCAGAATACCGGCCAAGAATATGATAAGGAAGTCCTTTGACCACTGCGCTCGATCCTCACTAGGAACCACCGGATGGCTCACCTGCGGCACCCACTCCGTCTTCAACTCCCCCCTTCTAATATCCTCGCCCTTGACATACTCAACCGTCCACTCACCACCCCTGATCTTCTTCCCAAGAGCGAGGAGCTCGTTCATAGTCGTCTTGCAGCCGCGGATGCCACCAACAGTCGGCCATGGCTCGGAGGATTCGAGGGCGCGGGCGAGGATCTCAGAGTCGTCTGAGATCGCGGTGAGGACTATAGGCTGCTCCCCATCGTCCAGGATAATCGCATGCCGAGTATCGAAGTCGATGAAGAACGGCCAGGTAATCAGTTCCGGACTCAACGGGTACGGATGTGCAAAGTAGTCGAGAAATATAGAGGGTTGGAAGAGACAGTATTGCAGGACTTGCTTCTCTCTATTGAGTTCGGCGAGGTAGTTGGCGATGAAATCCTTGTTCGCGTATGGAGGCACGCTGGAGTTGTTCTTGATGCCCCACTCGGCTGGTGCGAAACGCTTGACTCCTGCCGCTTTGCAGGCGCGGATCAGATTTCTCTGGACGACATTGTCGACGTCGATGTGTACGATGAGGAACGATAGACACACATCGAAGCCTTGAAGGCCCGTGGTAAGGGCCTCGAGATTGTTGTAGTCGACTTTCTTGTAAAGAACGCCAGGGACGGGAGTTAAGGGAGCGCCTGAGCGGGTGAAGATGGTGATTTCGTGCTTGCCGGAGCGAATTGGCGCGCGGAGAAGCTCTGTCGCAACATCTAAGGTGTATGAGTTGTGATGTCAACCAGATATACCGAGAAGTTGGGAAGGAAGGAAGGAATAGTGGGGTTGTGGGCTGAACGTACTGCCGGTGCCGCCTGCTACTGCAACCTTGACCATCGTGTCTGAGTTTGAACTTTACCAGTGCTTCCAAGAGTTTGAAGATAAGGATTGAGGTCTTGAGGACTGACAGTATTGTGAGCATATATCACAGAGGGGAGTCTTCACCGCCCGGCGAATGACGGCATCGGGCCGGATGCAGATAGCAGAAAGCTCCACCTGCCCAGGATGTTACGAGACTGTATCCTCTGCCATGTGTGGGGTCGAATGTGGATTTGCACTTTGGAAGATCGAGACGGTTGAGCGCATTTTTGGGTGACATACTGAACTGCGCTAGCAGAGTTAGCATACGGATGTCAGACTAGGATGAAGGACACTGACAAATGACTTGTACGAAAACATGGTACATGTATTCTCCAGCACAATTTCACTGCCAGCAAACGAGACAGTTTCCAGCGAGAGGAGGTAGGCGATTGCGAGAAGTTGCGCGTGTCTTTGCAGGCAAACATCAGCTGGCACTATCGGAGTTAGCATCATCTCATAGTATTGAAGGAGATGTTTGTGGACAGGTACGTACCTTCAGTGAAACAACCTTGTCGCGTAAAAACCACTTGTTGCTGTACTCAAGTGGAGTGTGAAAGCGATGCGGTGAGCGACCCGAAAGAAAGTTCCAGAGTGATAGAGGCAGTCACTACCCAGTCCAACACCACTCGAGGAAGGATCTCTGGCGGGTATAGCAGGTGCCACGAATGATGAAAAGTACACAGAACATGTAAAAACTTGAGTGTGGCAGCGTATGATGCAGAAGTAGAAAAGCGAGAGGAGCAGAACGATGACCAAATGACCTGCAGGATCTTTTATTTTGATGCTAAGTGCCAATGCAAACAAAGAAAAGAAAGTATGTACAAAAACTCAACACTCTCCACCCGCGACTCTAACTTTCTCGACTAGACCTCGAAGTTCGCCTAGGAGATGAAGTACGATTTGATCTTAGGCAAGATGTTAACCCACGCAACACCACTCGTAGGCTCCATGCTGTAGATGTAGTCACCCCACCACGGCCCAGCAGCCCACCAAATAGCACCCCACCAAACATCTGTATTCTGGCCAAGGTAAGTCAGACCGTCCTGGAGAGCCGCAATGCACTGAGCGTTGTTCCCACCAGCGAACTCGCCAATAACTCCCTGCTTATTGTTGTCCTTGAGCCACTTAGTCGCAGCCTGGAGACGCTCCTTGAAGATCGTGGTCGAAACACAGTTCTCAGAGGTGCCGGAGCCGTCGGTGTCGAGGTACTGGTGCATTTGGTAGATGAGCTTGTTCTGAGGGTCCTTGAGGTTGACGAGGGACGCGGCGTTGCCAGACGAGACCCAAGTCCAAGCACCCGTCCATGAGTTGCCCTCGGGGGTGATGTACTGCTTTGTGGCGCCGGCGGCGCGGATGCCGTCGATGGAGGCCTGATTGAGGTTGAAAACGAGGGTTTGGTCCATGTCGTGGTACTCGTTGTTTGTGTCGAAGACGACGAGCGCGTTGTCTTTGTACCGCGCGGCGACGTTCTTCCACCACGTTTTGAAGCCGGAGGTGTCGGTGATGATGTTGCCGTAGAAGCGGCCGTAGTTGTGCGGCTGGATCATGGCGTACGCGCCCTTGCTGGTGATATAGTTGACCTGCTGGGTGAGGTTGCCGAGGTAATCTTTGTCGAAGGCACCGGTCAGGGTGTTGGGAGTGAGGCGCTCCATCACTGTGGTGTGTCAGTAAAGATACAAGGCCATCGATAATTAGGAGAGTGGCACTTACAGAAGTTCAGACGGAAGACGTTCATGCCCTGACCAATGAACTGATCGATAGTCTTGGTGTCATACCAAGTGTAGTCCTTGTTGTAAACACCCGGGAAGTTTTTCTCGCCAAACTCAGCACCCGACTCATTGATACCGAACCACTTCAACTTCCGGTTCGCGCGAGTCTCCTTATCGGAGGGAGCAGCGAAGGCGGTACTGACCAGAGCAGCCGCCGCAAGGATGTTGCTGAAAAGCATGATGAACGTAAGAGAGAGCGAAGGAAGGTGGATGAGGAGTCTGAAGCTGCCTTGTCTTCCAGGAGCCGTGGGACTAGACTGCTCTTATACAGACCCAATCTCTTTAACCACTGGCAATTTGGAATGGGGTATGATGGACCACCGCCTCCGCTCTTGCAAGGGAATAGGGCAGCAAAGCCATTGTATGATCAAGACAATTTGCTCAAAGCGACGTCGGCAATCTGTATTCGACGTCTGGTGGCGGAGAGTAGATTGCTTAAGTGTATTAAGGAATGCTTGATGTGGGTCAAGTCTTGATGCAGTGTGGGGAAGCAGGGATAGCCATGTGTTTAATTAGGGAAATAAGCACCGGCCCTTTGTTTGAAACACAGACCAGCCGGCAACGTCGTGCAAACATCTGCGGAAATGTCAGTGGTCGTCGTGAAACATGGACATGAATCGTCGAAGCGACCAATAAGGACTACGAGTGTTCGCTCGGAGGTTGGCCAGATCCTCGTCGCATGGCGCATGGTCGTCACAATCTGCAGCCTGCAAACTCTCCTAAAGCTTAGCCAACCACAATGAGCGCATCATCTACTTAAGTGTTTATCCTCGGAGGCGTCGGCATCGCAATCTATACACAAGCTCCGCGCTCAAGGAGGGCAAGCGCATGCCAATCAGATGTTAAGCTTTGGGGTTCACGAGATTATTGATGGCGCCTGTGGTCGTTTCAGTTAGCGGTTGATCGGCGAGTAGCTTGTCTATTGACTTACATCATATGAGGTTGTGCAGTCGCCATGTTATCATGCACTTGTGCTTGTGGTCTGGAAGACAGCGTTGGAAGAATTTCATTGTTTAGTGTTCTGCAGTATCCACCCAAACATTTCTATAGACACGCTAACATCTCCAACACATAAACAAGATACTCACAAAATTGTGATACATCACCGTCTGACGCTGCGCCGCTCGACACGGGAGTACGGATTCGTGGAGGACAAATTGAACATATTCCCTTGTATCTTCCCATGCATTTGACGACTGCTTCTCACGCCTGCGCGTTGCAATGTCTCCCACTGGGTTCGGTTGCGTACAGGAGAATGACTCGAGACAACAGATGGCATAGATGACGGTAGTTGTCCGATTCGCGAAGGGAGGGTCTGATTGAAGGAGGAGGAAGGCAGCATCGTTGACTGCGCTTGTAGTTGTTGCTGCCGAGAGAACGTAGGTCTGACGTGTAGGGACGAACCATCGCCGCTGTCGTCAACGAAGGAAGATCGGTGAGTGTCTGCGCGTGTTACAAAGCCACACGAGTCCTGATAGCTTTGTGTAGATACATGTCGTGATGGCTGCCGATGACCGTTGTGCATAAAGGGCTCATTCCGCGAATCGAGAGGCAAGTCGATAAATGACAGCCCATTCAGACTGCGTGGCTCACGCCATTCGGTTGAAACCTGCGAAGTTGGGTACCTCCGTAACTGAGAGGCGGCGAAACGATGTGAACTGGTTTGGGTCTCAGTGATCCGGTGTTGCGGTGGTGCAAGCGCATCGTAATGACTGCGCCCAAAGAAGGAACTTACTACGTTCTCGGTCTGACGGGCAGGTTGTTGGAGCTGGACTGAGCCTGGAGTTGCAATCCTTATAAATGGGTCATAGTGCGCTCGGTTGAAGTAGCCCTTAGACTCCTCAAGTGGCGAAGTGAGTTGCTGGTTATTAGTCTGTCTTGGTGGTCCATTGGGTGATTGATGAAGGAAGGCATGGCCCAGTCCCCAACGTTTTTGGTTGTTCGACTCCTGAGGCTGCCGCTGATTTTGAGGGGTACTGACTGTTGGCCTGACGGTGTTGTTGGCCTCATAATGACCTGGCGCATTCTCACGAGGATCTTTCAGTCCTAGCTCAATACCGTTGTCGCGTGACAAGCCATCCATGAGACGAAGGTACGATGGTCCTGTAGGTAGTTGTACGGACTGGCGCTGGCATTGTCCACCATTCATCTTGACAGGTGACGATGCACAGAAGGAAAACTCTGATGCATTACCATGTGCTCCCACGCTCGCAAGTAGGTGCGATCGTTGTGATGCTTGCTCAACAGGCAAAGCTCCGGACATGTACGGTGTCTCGCTGCGCAAATCACGGCGTGGTAATGATCGATCGTCGCCAGTGGAAGAGTCTGCTGCATCTCGCCACTGTTCATTGTCATACATCTGTACATCACCGTTGTTGTTTCGGTGTTCCTTTGACGACGATCGGCTGCTCGAGAACTTCTTACGTATCGTAGGGAACAAGCTTCGAACTGAGCGCATCCTTGACAGAGGCTTTGACGGGGGCGGCATCATGTCGCGGCTACTCGGTGGGTCGATGTGCATATCGCGTGGAAGGGGGGAGTCGACCCTTTGACGCTTCAGTGGACGGTCGCTGGACGTGAATGGGTAGCCCAAGGTGTGCGCAGAGCGCCCAGCGGTATGGCTTGAGGACGATTTCTGGAACCGCCTATCATCTTCAGCGTAGGCTTCAGCAATGCCTTCGATCTCGTTCAAGTCATCAGACGTCAGCTGTGGGTAGTTGGGAATAGGCTCTACGGCCATGGCGAACCCCAACGAAGAGAGCCGCTCTTTCATCTTGGTGTTTTGCCTACTGAGCATTAGTGCTTAGCCTATGACGGCAATACTGACATAGCTTACTCTGCCACCTTCGGGAACAGCTTCAGATAGTGCAGGATAGCAGCCTTGTTCTTCCGGAAGGTGTCAAGATTGCGCACATCAGCTTCAAGACAACGGAAGGCCTCTAAATCGGCTTCGAACTGATCCTTTTCCTGCTCCAGATGTTGTAATCGTTGTACTTCAGCCCTAAGCGAGTCCACTTCGCCAGCCTGCTCTGCTGCAGCCCGTAACTTCTCGTTCTCATGCTGTAAAGAGATGGTTTCCGAACGCTCTTCTGCAGCACGGTTCTGCACCGTAGCCAGTTCTTGCTTTGTGTTCTTCAATGCATCTGTGAGAGTCTTTCGTGTTCGATAAGATGTCTGGCAGTAGCGTGCAAGTGCTAGGTACTGGAACTGCGCTTAATCAGCGCAAGTGCTCGGGGGACGACTGAATGATTACTCACGCGCAGAGCTTCCATCTCTTTGGTGGGGCCATCTAGGCTCATAGGCGGTGCGGTGAACCAAATCGGTGGTATTGCTGGGTCGTATTCGTCCTTGTAGAAGCCGCGTATGGAATACAGGTCACGGACAGTGGCGTCGCCCTTCTCTTTGACACAGAATGGGCATGGTGCTCTAGGCTTTTGCCCGGCGGGATGGAAGGAAGGGCCTGTGTTGAAGTCGCGTCAGTCGTAGACGTGCAGTGCTGGTAATGACACTCACCGCCTCCTTCAATGTGCTCGCCACAGAAGACATGGCAGCAGCCGCTAAGGTACAGCTTTGTGACGAGGCGATCCTTAGGATTGATACCATCTGAGAGACCTTGGACCGTTTCGTTGTGACCCTCATAAGTATCAGCAAACGTAGCGCAGCAGATAGAACAAGCGTAAATGAAGTTGAGCGGTGAGCTCTCGAGCCTTTGCGATGCAGAAGACGCGCCTGACTCCATAGCAGCTATTGAAACAATACTGGCAGAGGCAGGAGATGCGTGATGTGCAGTCGAGGTGAGAGTGCGCAGAAAGCAGAAGTCGCGGTGCAGGTGCAGGTGACGCCAAGCTTTGACCCTGCGCGTGCTTGCCTGCTGAAGTGAAGGGACAGCAACGGCACCGAACACAACAATAGAGCTGCAGCAGAATACTTGAAAGAAATATGAAGGGTGGACACTTGCGATGAAGAACCAGAAACGGCTAAATGCAATAACACGGGAGTAAGAATGAGAGGATCCTAGGAGAAGGCAACGCATATAGAAAATGTTTTTGACATGTCATCACACAAAGAAAAAGCTGTGGTGGTATTTACAGTACTTCTATCGTCCTCCACGCACTCCAATAAGTCTTCAGTCAAGGGCTTATGCAAACGTCCTGCAAGGGTAGCTGTGAGATGGTCAGTATCAGGTCTCCACGTGCAATCGATATGGCTTTCACATACTCAGATCCGTACGACTGCTCCTTCTCCAAATCGTATCTCTTGACACCAACATCGCTGACGTGCAGACCGCTGGGCAGAGGTGGCAAGCCACCAGGGCCGAGCACGTCCTTTGCCAGCCCGGTGTTCTTCTCGAACGCAACAGCCAAACCCTTGGCACCCTCCTCCTGCGCAGCAACGAGCTGCTTAGAGCCAGCTTCGCCGATCAACTCCTGCTTAGGCGCCGCCGCGCTGCCAACCTCGAGCAGCGCAACAGCATCAGCCTGAGTGACGGTCGACAGCTTGGGGTACCGTCGTCGCATGTCGCGCTTCCAGTATGGGTTCTCGGCGATGTCGGCGGCGGGGATGGTGACGGGGTCGTCGTAGCTGGTAGGGTCGAGACCACCGGGGGGAGGGTTGCGGAATTGCGGGTTCATGGGGATACCGGTCGAGCGCTTGGGGTCGAGCGCAAATAGCCTGTTGATCGCCGCATAAATACCGGTGGGCTGAACTGTGTACTTCTATACATGCCGTCAGTAGGCTGCTAACAGGGCTGTGGTGGATGGCAGCGGAGGGGTGTTGGCAGAGGCGCGCGAGGGATTGTGTATGCGTACCGAGAACGCGGTGGTGACCTTCTTGGATGCCATTGTGAGCGGCCGGGTATCGATCGCAGCTTCGAGGAGTGGAGAGGGGCCAATGGGCGGGTTTGGTGGTGCTGCGCGCAGTACGGCGTCGTCGTGAAGCTTGGTGATGTTCGAAGCTCGATGCCAATGCCAAGGCGGCACTTGCCGAGATGGGTAAGCGCACTATCGAGCCTTCTCATTCGTTACCGTCAATCCTGCACTTCAACATCACCATTGCCAGCAGCACAAACCTAATCATTATGTCCCAGGAATGTATTGGAGTATCAGATCTTGTATTGCTGAGACATGACCACATGTTCGCGTCTCTTTTTGGTCATTCTGACGCCCGGAGTGACTGTCTCAAGCAAACATCGGCCTCTACTAATGTTATGCAAATAGCATGCTCATTGACTGAATCTAACACTCGCGTCTGTTCACTCTTTCCGTTACTCACTCATCGCACCTTTCCAACCCATTTCACGCGGTATGAAATGCGAGCTTCATGAGAACGACACCATCCTTGTGAACGAAGATTACAAAATCACCTTTCGCCGCACGATACGCGTACTTGACAACAAGATCGATTACCATCCTCCACCTGATCTCGGAACTTCCCTTCTACGACGCGTGACTCAATACTACGAACAGCTTCCTACTGACATGGCCGCTAAAGGAGGTCTGTTTTTCCCTATGCACCAATGAGAAGCCATGTGTTCAAGTCCGAATCGTCTCAGTCGTACTTGATCAAAATCTATGTCGGTGGCGTTAATGCGATATCGGACGAGCCGGCTGTCGAGACTGCTGCGACACAGCTTCAGCGTCAGACCAAGCTTGCGAATACCGAAGTCAAGAACACACCAGTCAGCAAGGGACAGCAAGCTTATGTAGTTGTTCCAGAACATCCTTGACTTGATGGCATAGCCAAATCAGAGGACAAGGTTCGCCAGTTCATCGCCATGCTACAAGGTAAGGGTTACTCGGTGTAGGCTCAGACCACTGGTCAGGAAGTCACTGGTGGTCTTCAATTCGAGGTCACGCCGTTCGATCCGCGCTTGCTATCTCGAATTATCATCAAGCCCTTGACTGGTAGATTAGTTGAATGCTAGATTAGCATCAAAACCACGGTTCAAGGGTTGAAAGAATGGATCCAGGACAAGGAGGGTATTCCTCCGGACCAGTAAAGGATAGTCTTTGCAGGCAAGACACTGGAAGGTAAAGACTCATTTCTTCCCGCTGACTGATATCAGATGGTTACATGCTACACGAGTATGGTATAAAACATGTAAGTCGATGTTCCACATCACTTCTTATTCATCGCTGATTAAGTCAGAACTTCATAGAACATGTGGTCCTGAGACTGTGCGGCGGCGGTGGGCCTCGCGCAGAAGTGATGGCGCGCAATCAACGGGCTAGAGAAACAGAAGAGGCGAAGACCAAATCGGAGATGGGCATCGCACCAGGCGGCAACATCAAATAAGTTATCAAGCCCGACGCGTATCCGAATGAATGGCAGCCGGAAGGGCCACCGTCTTCAACGTCCAGATTCTCAAGGCCGTGTCCTACAAACAAATGTCCGGTCATGAACCTCCACCGACGCCTATCGACGCCACAACGTATGCGAAGCACGGATATCTATTCTTCAACATGTATGAGGAACAGATCGGTGTGCATAGAGACTTCGGTGACATTAAGTCTGTAGCGCAGATCAAGCAGGAGGAAGAAGAGCATGTCGAAATCAAGATTGAGAAAATGGAGGAGACGGGGGGACTGTTGAACCAGCACTGAGTGCATGAGATGAGATGAATTGATGGTTCTATCTACAAGCTTCAGAGCTGCCTTCATATACGCAGCTGGAGCAAAGAGTCTTGTTGTGTGTAAGACAGCAAGCAAGACAGCAAGCAAGACAGCAAAGAGACAAGCTGATTGCGAATGAGACGGAAGGTGCTAGAAACCAACACTGACAGCTATTCTTACCAACCCTTCTGGACCGTTCGGTCGGCTCCGTACTCCGCGAGACACGGAGAAGGAGTCGAAGCAGGTCAATTTTGCAAGCTTTTAGACATCGCTAGTGCGATTGCTTTGGTCATGTGGGGGGATGTCCGCAGTTATCAATCTGCTATCAAACGCTTGTGCGCTTTTCTTTTCCCTTCTGCCATTCACAATTCGACCTCTCTTTTATGTGTTGAGCCCTACGTGTGATGGCATCCGACAGATCGGACTGCACCGTGGTCACACCATCGTCTTCAAGGATCCACGCATCTCGTTTCGAAGAACTGATAAGCTTCCAGATCGTCGGCTCAACAAAGCACCAACACAGCATGACAATTACACCCCCTTCTCTGTGTCGAATTATGCAGAACGACTTTCTAAGAAAATGTCCTCTGACGGGGGAGCCATGCTCTCCGTGAAACAAACAAAAGCATGATCGTCAGGGTTTAAAACATAACGCCATATTGTGCGAGAGTTTATACTAGAAACGCCAATGCCATATCTGGCAAGCCAATCAAAAACGAGAGCAGAGATGAAAGGCGCCAGCGAAATGTGACACGACGTAATTGGCAGATCAGATCCCGCAACATTCGAGAGCTTCTCCAAAATTACATCAGTGTACCTTCTTAGAAGCGTTTTGAGGGGTACACCACTTCAGCAGGACACTTGCGAAGATTCTAGTCACCAACCTACCGAGTGGGCACATTGGTCTTGCAGCATTTCGAGGAGGATGTCGTCCCAGCCGCACTTCACTTCGGGATCACACTTCTTGACTTGAAATGTGATAGGGATACCGACAAACCATGCCTGATATGGGATTCGCACTTAATCATGAGGATCCAAACACTAGGAGACGCAATCCACTTCGCCGCGCTACCAGATCACTACCCACTGGCACGTTTACACGACTGGACCGGATACGAAGTAGGAAGCGAACGTATGCGGGACGCTGTTTTGTACTCCGGCTCCACAAGACTAGAGATTGACAGAAACTACAAGCAACCCATCGGCAACCTGGCTGCCGCTCCTCGGTGATCACCAGGAACTGCTCGTAGAAGACTTGGAGGCGGTAGTGCTCGCCCCATTCGGCCAAGGACGGAGCGGCGAGCGGCGGAGGCGGCGGGGGGACAGCCGCTGCCAGAGAAGGGGTGGTAAGCCCGGCGAAATTGAGGGTGTGGTGGTCGAGGAGATAAAGGTTGTCATATTTGATTGAAGATTGTTTGATGGTGGTGGATGTGAAGATCCGAGTGTTGCTAAAAAGTGAAGGAACGAGACTGTGTGGTCTTTATCGATGGATGTGGGGGCCAGTACGCTGTTATTACGGTGCTCGTCCTCACCATGAGTGCTCAGACGGGGAGCATAACAGGGGTTGAGCGTACTGAGTACCTCCCCACTGTTAGAAACAATAGCGAAGACCCACCACATGGCCCATGTGGGAGGCTGTCGAGCTGGTATGATCTTCTGTTGCGTCCCTAATTGGATAGCAGAGCTTCCTTTGAGTAGTTCGCGGTGTGGTGTCTATATGCTCTGCTAGAGAGCGGGGGCCTAGAAAGCTCATACGAGAAGAAGATAAGGACTGTGTGCCGAGATGGGTACCTCTATGTGCTCTGCGTCAGTATGTAAGAAACCCAAGAGGTTTACAGTAGCAGCCATATGACTTGGTGCAGCCTGCATCTTGATCCAGATTTGAGCTCGATGTAATGTAGCCTTCAAGTTGACGCAAACCTGAAGCGAAGACGCATCCTACATGTAGAGGAGAGTATACATAGCATCAGGAACAGATCACTGCGTGCACATCTACGTCCAGGGATGAGTATTCGTGGCACCTCTTGATGTGGGCTGGAGGCAGTCAAGAGCTGCAGTACGCTGCTGATGGCAAGCGCAGCTGCAGAGAAGGTTCGAGAAGTCAGGAGACGTAGGTCCTTGGTGCGGCCGAGCTGAGAACTTAGATCAGACTCTCGTCCTCTGTGAATACCCTATATCCTTATGGAGTTAGTGATGCGTGTGTCTTTCACCTTGGTGCAGCTGGGTCTTGCGGTGGTTTGGTGCCCCTTCTCGCCGCCGCGCTGACAGAGTGTGCTCAAACACCAACACCACCACACACCAACCTTGCTTCAAAAGCACTCACAATGCCCTTAGTAGTCATAATCGGTGGTGATGAGTTCGAGTTCCGCGTAAGTGCACCTACTGACTTCCTCCTCGCACCTCCGAGCTGCCAGCAGTGATGGTCCAGTGAAGCCGGAGAAGCTCCTCACCCGACACGACCATGCGCGTCTGAAGCTCTTGAGTGACGTGGAAAGGTGCTGACAATACTGTAGTGGCCACTCTGGATCCACGAGCGCTGGGAAGCTGTCATCGTCCTGTGGTTCGATGTCCTCGAGCTTATCCATGTGCTCCCGTTCTTTCCGAGGTTCATAGCAGTTAGGATCAGACTCCCAGTGCTGCAGTAAAGCGGTGCTGTGAGTGTCTCCTGGCCGGCTATTGCTAGCATGACCGTAGCGAGGAGACTGTATGAGGAGATACTGGCCTGCGCAAGAGGTTGGGAGCGGCGTCGTCGAGATCCAGGTAAGCATCACAACTCCCCATCAGCTCCACAAAGAGGGCATCAGGAGGCATCGAAGTACTCCAGGGTGACTTATAAGGAAGCTCTGTCTCTTATTTTCAAGCACGCTGCTGACTTCACTGTGTAGGAAGGCGCAAGCCTACCGCCCAAGCCGCCGCAGTCAGTATTCATCACACCGTTCCTCGCCATCGCGAACGATCACGAAGCCCGGCACCTACCGCATTACATACGCATACCAGAAAAGAAGCAGTGCAGGCGAAGGTTACGAGGGAAGAAGCAGGAGCAGGGAAGAACGACGTTCAAACTTCGGAAGGATGTTCCGTGAAGCGAAGCGGGGCCGGCAGGAACACTCAACCATGGAACCAGACTTCTTCTGATGCAGATCCATCTCTTTCTCATCGATCTTCATCGCTTTGCATCTTCAAAAGGCTTCATAGATCTCGTGCGCGTCGATAACGAAAGTGGGAAATCTGCAGCAGTCAGCAAACAGCCATCGGAAAGCGCCCATCCAGCATGGCGCACGCGATCTCTCACCTCAGCATCACAGGAGCTTTGCACACCCAAGGTGGAACGGGGGCTGGAGGCTTGAAAGAGGCAGATTTGGAAACGAAATAAGCTTTCATGAAGATGCATTTGATATCTGAGAACCTCGACCACCCTCGCAGCCCACATCAACACCAATACCAGCGTTGACTTCATACACGATGAGACCGGGGGATCCGACCTCATCTCCTTCTACCCTCCCTCCGCAGGCATCGTAGATGTCGGCACCACCACGGCCGACATGTCCATCCACCGGCACCACCACCAGCCATAGTGCTTGAGTAAGGATCGTTAGCCCAGTTGAGGAGACGGACACCGTACTGCACAGCACCGCTGGGGGCACTCGCAGCTTTGGTGACGTTCAGCTTCACAGTTGCCGCAGCGGTCGGAGAATCGCTCAACCTGGTGTTGTAGCGCTGGTTTGCATTGATGTGGAGAACATCCATTGGCATGTAGACCGGAGAACCTCGGATCTGGTTGGTCATCTTGACGACGGGAATGCCGCGTGGATCCTTGTTGCCGTCGAACTTGTTGATGGAACGCTGTGTGGTATCGCGCGATGCTGAAGAGGAGTCGTTGGAAGCGCAAGCCTGCTGCTGCTGCTTTTTTCCCCCTGGGCGCGCTGCTTCGCTAGGCCAGCCATTGCGGACTGTGCACATCGACAGTGGCAGCCTCGACCTTGTTGAACTTTTCGTCGAGGACTGGATGAAGGAACCCCCGACACCGGTACCAAGGTCGCAGCGCTACTCGCCACGCTGGAAGAAGGACTTATCGATTTGGGTGTACTGCTGGGATGGGTATTCGTGCATGACATGATCGAGGAATTTGGTCGTCTCGATGCACTCCGTAGATCGAGAAGTCTGGAGCATCCACATCGACAGTGGCAGTCTCGACATCTAGCTCAAGCTTCTTTGGCATCGCGCTTAAGGAGCTCATACTGCTGAGCAAGGTTAGGCGAAGCAGCCAAAGCCTCCCAGTCTGGCCCAGCGATGTCGGCAACTGTCTTGTCCCAGCCAGTATTGCGGCAGCGCTCGACGCGGATCAGCTCCTGCATGTAGTTGAGGGCGACCCGGATCACCTTGCAGGTCCAAGCAGGATCGAGGGAGCCGTTGGAGTGCTTCAGCGCGTGCGTGTAGATCAGCGCCTGTATGCAGTCAGGGCGACCTCAGAGTCCTTGCTGGCTGTGGTGTCGGCACCAACTTCACCACATCAGTGAATTACAACGGGCGAACAGGTAATTTTTGGACAGGATGTGCTGCCACCACCGCCTGAGCGAATAATTGTTATTGTTTTGATGGAGAAGCTGAGGCAGCCGCATCTTGGGCTATAGGTACAGGTGACATGATGTCCTGAGCTCGAGAGCTACACGGTGCCAAACAACAGTTTTGCCTTTTCACCTCCTCGTCGAAACGGTTGATGGCATCACGGAACGAGTCAGCATTATGGGCCTGGTGCCAAGGAGAGACTATATGTCCCCGAGCCCCGACACCAGCGTCCGCCAACATGCATTCTGAGCCTGATCCTAGGGAGGAATCGTATGCTCCCTAGCCCCAGGACCAGCACTCATCGTGAACGACAACAACGCTCAAGCCCGGAGACATGATGGAACCCTGTCCACATGGGCTCGGATAATGTCTTGCAGCCAACCAGAAGAGGCTGAGGGCAGTCCACCAACCGCACCGCATGACAGCGGGCAAGCTGAATGGATGCCGTTTAGTCTGGCGATCGTCTTCCGTCGACGATGCAACACCAAGCCGACATGTTGTTGCTATTATTGGAGGATGGTCGACATTCGATCTCAAGGTTACGCCCCTCATCACGCGTAACTCAGTGATCCTCTCCTCATGATGCTAAGAAGGATGTCCTCCCGCAGGTCTGAAAATACGCCTTTGGGATGAGAATGTTGTCGTTGACACCCAGGGTTAGGTCGAGGGCGAATGGAAGGATACCGTCGTCGCCGGTTTTAGGCTCAGTATGCTTGCGCACCTTGTTGTATGTGTTAACTGGAAGTAGGATGCCTGCTCTTGAGGGAGTACGAACCTTTGTCGCTGTCGTCGCTCTCCTTGTTTATGGCGAGGAGGGCAGAGGCGCAAGATGACGCTCAGCGAAACGGGCGAACCCGAAAGATATGGATAACAGCATACCAGCTACGGAAAAGGAACAATCTTGGAGTTCTGCAGGAGGAACTCATCTGGCAGACGCGAAAGCTGCGGACACCCTCGGCCTGCTCCGGTGAGCCGTACGACATTTGGTTGTTCGACCCGCGAATAAGCAGGTGCACTCGCGGTGAGCGACGCTCAAGGTCCATCATGTGGTGCGGAGAGCTCGGCAGGCTCTAACACCAACAAGACTGGTATGCCATCTCCACCCTGGACATATTCGAGCTGCTCTGTCGAAGTTTGGTGTCGTTAGGGGAGAATCGCTGGCGGACATGGAGGGCTGTGGAGACGAACTGATGCTCAAACGAGTGTGAGCGCCTGACGGTGAAGAGCCGAAGGAGATGGTCGGGATCATTCGGCCTCATAGAAGCAACTTCAAGTGCTACTGTTGTTACGGTGCTGGCTTCTTATGATCTACTGGAACAGGCGCAGCGGCACCCCCGAATCCATGGGTAGGTTGGGAGGCCGTCCCAACCCACGCACCTGCTCAGTGGTGGCGACCTTGCGCCAGGCAAGGAAAGCTCAATCGCAAAAACTTCAGGCGAGAATACCAAGGGCTTGAGGTTCGGCGTCATTGGCGGCAGTGCCACTTCACAGCATTCATCCGCTGACAACCTGGGGCTGCTGCACGCAAAGCCATGGAGCTGGATCTGGATACCTACAACATCACCACGGGAATGAGTATAAGATTAAAGACTGACTACCTCCATATGCTACACTGATCTCGAGGCGCCAGGTCGAGTATTTCGAGCGAGGGACCTTGCATTGACGCAGTGAAGCGCAGTCTGTGCGCATGTTGACCGTCCACTCACTTCTATGTCTCTTCTGCTAGCGTCTGTGCTCACATTCGTACACACATTCACCAAACTTGTCTTTTGCGAAACCTTCTTCCAGCTTATCCCCTACCACCTCACAACCTGTAGCCATTAACACCTTCTCCAACAACGCCCACTTCCTCACTGACACTCCGGAATACCTCCAGCAGTAAGCATCCAACTTCTCTCGTAGGCACTGTAGACACGGAATGCCTCCCAGCACACCTTTAAAATACCCGATTCTGCAGCTGAAGTCACTGACACCCTCCTTCTAGCTCTTCACAACACCCCAATGCTCCCGCGCACCAACGCACGACTTTGCCGCGTCCGCCTCTCTCACACTGAGGAGGAAGTCCAAGTCGCTGTCGCCGCCGTCCAGCAACAGCAACGGCAGCAACAGCAACGGCAGCAGCAACAACAACAACAACAACAACAACAACAACAACAACAACAACAACAACAACAACAACAGCAGCAAGTTGCGCTCTGGCAGCGTCTCCCTGGCCTGCGCCCACCACCAGGTCGTCAAGCTCGCGAGCCCGCCTTCGCGCTGCATAATCAACCAACCGGCATCATGCATGGTCAAGGTCAAGGCCCTGCTGAGCGCTGGGTGCAAGTGCCCATCAGCATCCGGCTGATGAACGAGATTTGTGATGCCATCAGCATTGGTAGTGACTTCGCTTTCTGGAGTAAGTTAACTCACCAGTCATCGTAGCCATGTCAAGATGTGAACGTGCGCTGATCATACGCAGGCGGACTCATCGTCATCGTCATCGTGCTCATTGGACTGATGATCTGGTACTCTGAGTAGGCTGACGACCTCCAGGGTGTGACAAGACGATGCCAGAGAAAGGAAGAGAAGGGCGAAAGGTCTCAGGACTGCAACTGGTGGATAATGTTATACCCGCTGAGCACGTTGGAGCCAGCAAACATGGTGGAAAAAAATTGGTCACAAGGCGGAGGTCAACTGATGCCCTCTACAACAGTAGTTTTTCACAACAAGAGATACTTCTTTCATATTTTTCGCCGTCAATTATGGCACTCAATTATACTGACGAGCCTGATGCCCCTTTGCCTCAAAGCACTCTACAAGTTTATTCTCATCAGCAAATTTGTTGGGAAGATCTCGAATCTTACATCGGCAGCAGCGATGATGAAGCTACTCTTACTGGTTATCGTCCTCGATCCGTAGGCTTAGGACGGGAGCATGAGTCTACGGAGACAGGAATCAGCATGCAAAGATACGACGAAGAGGATGTACAATGGTGGCATATCATCCTCGATAAGCCGCGAGATTGTTGGGATGGCGTCCAAGTCCTCATCTTCGCAGCCTTGGTGGGTGTGGTGTACATTATGAGTGTGATGGTCATTTGGATTTTGATCACTTAGGCGCTGGTACGGGACGGGTGGGTGCATGTCAGTGTATTGTAGACGACTACCGAACGGGTTTATGTAGGTGAATAAAGTGGGTACTGGGATGTGAAGTACTGCTGATAACGAAGTTCTCATCCTGGAAAGAATAATCTGCAATACTTTGAAACTACCACCCAGTCAACCTCATGCTCTCCTTAAATCTTTGCATCTTATCCTTCCCGGCTGAGGAAGAGGTCAATCACATCGTCATCGACCGTCACGGTGACACTATACTTACCCTCAACAATCCACACATCGATGGCGAAGATGTAGATTGGTTCCAGGTCTCATCCGAGATCCTTCGTCAAGAATCTTGGTATCTGAAGGGGCCTATGCCTCGAGGTGCATGGGAGGGGATAGAGCATGCTGTTGAGTCCTGACGTGATGTCCGGAGGATAGAGCGGGGTGAGAGCCCCTGAGCTACCCGAAAACGTAGCAGAGGGCGAAGCGCCGGCGGCTCGAGATACGATAACAAACTCGACAACTTCGGAGTCAGCAAAAAGGTCCCTAGTTTGGAGGTATCAAAGTGCCAGCTGCAATGAGAACGTCGCATATCTCCTGGAGGTGCCCTGAGATGCCGGGTGGAAACGCTTCAGTGAGCCGAGTTGGTAGGTGGGTAGATGCTTAGCATCGTCAGGCTGAATCACACACGAGTGGTTGATGGCGGAGCCTAGACTTTTTACTCGCAACTGACGCTTCACCAGATGTGCAGCATTCAGCCAATGCGAGTCCATACCTTCAGCCTTGCTGCAAATGATTTTGTTGTCCGGTCTTGCTGCTTGCCAAGATAGCCAGGAGGTCTGATACTCGATTCAGAAAGCATCTTCTATATCTCTGCCTTGACGCGACACTGGTCGTGCAGCTGATGCGGTTCTCGCAGCTGAAATCTTCACAAGCCCTCCAGGTCGATAGCAGCGGCCTGGTCGCGTGATGTGTTGGATCCGAGCGTGGAGTAACGGGCAGACGGGATGGTTGAGAAGAGTTCCCCACAACTCGGAGCCGGAAGTGACGTCTGGGCTCTACGCCCAAAGAGGCTAGTATTAGCGCGCGGCTGCAGGGGTGGCATTCACGGGTTCCAACGGCGACTGGACTGACACCTTTCAACATTCGTCATTCAAACCCTCCAAACTTCGACAATGCTAAAATGAGCGAGTCGCGACAGCTCTTGCATGAGCACAATTCAGACAGCGAGGATGACCTTGCATTTAGCCCAAAAGCAGGTTCTAGACACCTGTCACCGTCCCCTTCGTCCTCACGAGCGACCTCCACATCCCCTGCATATCCCGGCACACGACCGAATGGCAACAGCTTCAAGCGTCAGTCGTCCTTCGCGCATCCGAGACCAGACGGCACGCCACGGACACCCAACCGGGTACGGTTCGAGGAAGATCCGGTACGCAGGAGCATGAATGGCCATGCACAAGGCGCAGAATGGATAGAACTGGAGGGCGAGGATTACCTGGAGGGACACGGAGACGATGGCCGAGAAAGAGTGCAGAGACTGCCTCTGCTCACAGGCATTGAGGCGCCAAGTGTCACAGTCGCGGCCGACTTCGACCCCGAGGACCATCTCGAGAGCGCCAAGCCAAGGAGTGGCATGCGCAATTCGTTCATGAATATGGCGAACAGTATTATGTGAGATAGCCGGGAACATATAGCAAGGGGACAGAGGCTGACACGAGCAGCGGCGCCGGCATCATCGGCCAACCCTATGCCTTCAAGAACGCGGGCCTCCTGGCAGGCACCGTCCTTCTCATCGGCCTCACCGTTGTCGTCGACTGGACCGTCTGCCTGATCGTCATCAACTCGAAGCTCAGCGGGACCGACTCGTTCCAGGCGACAGTGCAACATTGTTTCGGCAAGTCAGGACTTGTGGCTATATCGATAGCGCAATGGCTCTTGTACGTTGGACATGGGTGGCACAAGAGTCGCAGTACTGACCTTCTGCAGTGCTTTCGGCGGCATGATGGCATTCTGCGTGATCATTGGAGACACAATACCCCAGGTCATGGACCATATGTTCCCTTCTCTAGAAGACATGTCTTTCCTCTGGCTGCTCACTAACAGACGAGCCGTTATGGTCCTGTTCGTCTTGGGCATCTCGTACCCGCTATCCCTCTACCGCGACATCGCCAAGGCAAGGACTCCTATCAGCCCAATGCAACAATCCAGCTAACATACAACAGCTTGCCAAGGCCAGCGGTTTCGCCCTAGTCAGCATGATCGTCATCATCATCACCGTCGTCACCCAAGCCTTCCGCGTCCCCGCTGAATCCAAAGGCCAGCTGCGCGGCTCCCTCATTATCAATGACGGCATCTTCGAAGCCATCGGCGTCATCTCCTTCGCCTTCGTCTGCCACCACAACTCGCTCTTGATCTACGGCTCGTTACGGAAACCAACAATCGACCGCTTCAGTCGCGTCACACATTACAGCACCGGCATCTCACTCGTCGCGTGTCTCGTTATGGCCTTGTCTGGATATTTGACGTTTGGCGACAAGACCCTTGGCAACGTACTCAACAACTTTCCCCAGGACAACCTGATGGTGAACATTGCAAGGTTGTTCTTCGGCCTCAACATGCTCACCACACTCCCTCTCGAAGCCTTCGTCTGTAGAGAAGTCATGAACGAGTACTGGTTCGCAGACGAACCTTACCACCCCAACCGACACATTATCTTCACCACCTCACTCGTCATCTCTGCACTCACACTTTCCCTTATGACCTGCGATCTCGGCGTCGTATTCGAGCTTTTCGGCGCTACGAGCGCGTGTGCGCTCGCATTCATTTTGCCGCCATTGTGTTTCATCAAGTTGACGAAAAAGAGGAACGCCCAGACGTACCTGGCTATGGGTGTTGTGGCTTTCGGATGCACGGTGTTGGTTATCAGCATGATCAAGACGACTACGAAGCTGGCGATGGGAACGGGAGAGCCTGTCAAGTGCAGTTAGCGTTGCTTGCATTTCAAAAAAAGGGTTGCATGGGCGATGTTCGGTGTTCAGGACTGGGATTGGGTAGATGGAGCATTTAAGGGGCGCTGTACACATACAAGAAGAATATCAATATGTTCAACCAGCCCGCCGGGACATGCGTGCATACAAAATAGCCATGGCGAAGGGAGCGCCGCTCGATGCCTGCGTGTTGACGAGGCAGGAACAAACCCCCGGCAAAGTCTGCCTTTCCATCATCAGCATGTGCCCGCCTCGCCCTAACAACCATGTTCTCACCAACATAGAGACGTACATCAGTACTCTTGTCCAACTTGGTCGCGTTCAACAGTCAGCGTGATTCGCATCTCTTGCTGGGCAGTTATTTCCATCTTGGCAGTTTCAGCCTCAGGGTAGAGTGGGTGCAACAGGGGTGTCGGCTGCTGGTTGCCGCTGTCAGACCCTTCACGGTGTGCTCAAGCAGAACGAAAAAGGAACAGCCTCGCTTTGCTCGTCGGTTTCGGCACACTTGCTTCGGTACGGTTGCCGACAACTCCTGCCTTTTTCAGCATATCCGGGCGTCTGCCGTCAATACGTGATCATCCCTTTGGTCATATCGTATCATCATGCTAACAGTTCCAGGGTCCCAACTCTCTACTACACCAGCTCCGGCGCACACACCCCCATCAAACCCAAGCGTATCACAGCCATTCCCAAGGACCTCGCCTAGCTGTGCGAAGGCAAACCCTTCGACGAGGGCGGGAAAGAGTACTCCGACTTCCCAACAAGGGCTGCAAGGTCCTGCAAACAGCCTTTTTTTTCCAGAACTGTGCCAATGAAGAGACCAAGGAAGTTATCTGGTTATGTGAGAATGATGGGAAGTGTCCTAATGGCATGAAAATGGTGCCTCAACTCCGGTTTTCCATCCGCTATGATGTTTCCGGCGTGGGGCCGGATGGATGGCAGGGCGAGGCGCCGTTTGAACTCGCGTGTGGTCCGAGTCATTGTATGCATGGCGATTTTATCAATGGCTGAGAGAAGGAGGCGAATCAGAAGATGGTGATACGCTTACCAGGCCGCGCACTTTCCAGTCTTTGTCCAGCTCGCTCGGTAAGTCCAGGGACGACACTGTGTGCAAGGACAAGGCAGCGGACAAGGACCCAAGAACGGCACAGATGACTATGAGACGAGTTTGGAAATGATGAACGGTGGTGCATCTGCTGAAGAGTCTGTTGCTTCTACAGCCCCCACCACCACAGCTACGCCTATTCCGACTTCTGATGCCGATGACGAGAAGATCGAGAAGCTTGTACAATCTCGAAGCGCAGCATCGGAAATAGAGGTAAGTGGGCTGCGCTGCGAAGGAAGTCGACGGAGGCACTCGCTGCTCTCGATGAGCTTGAGCAGTAGACGAGGTACATACAGGCGTCGACAAAGGTGTTGAATTCTTGTAGGTACTTCCAGATGTCTGTGTGATACACTTCGTTTAAATTGACTCGACGTTTACTCGCATGAGCTGCCCCTTTGAACTCGGTTGAAGTGGCGAACGTCGCACATGCATTGCCGGTCAATGAAATGGACTGGACTGTTCCTTCCGACAGGAAACGATGATGATTGCGGGTAGGGCTATGCATGCTAGACGATGACGAGTGATGCGAGATGGGATTATTGATGAGACTTCCCCGTGCTGACGAATTGCTTCAAGGACTGTTTTGCGGAAATAGCAGATTTGAAGCTCAGCTTGGTGACTCCGACTTCATGATACCAGTATTGATGTTCGTCAACAGAGCTATATCTGACAGCTGTCTCATGAGCGTCGTGCCGTGCATTCTTGAAGACGCCGCTGCTTGTTGTCATGATCGCCCACCAACAGTCAGAAGCCAGACTGCAAATGAAAGGCTTCAACGTGCAGCGAGCGCCTATTGTTCCTTGTGCCATTGTCTCGCCATTGCGATCGGACAGCGCGTGAAGTTGGTCCGACCACATCAAGATCATGTACCATCATGCATTTTGTGCTGGTATGAGCGATTAGAGGATGCAGAACGAAACCAAGGAATGCAGATTGCGGCGCGGAAAGGGTTGGGTCCTGTATTTGCATCAAGTTTGTTTGATTGCTAGCAGAACGCGAGTGCAAGAATGGTATCAAGAAGCCAAGTAACGCCTCGCTATCATCATGTCGTCCTTGAGTCATATCGTACACCTGCAACAGCAGAACCTCCTCCTATCTTTCACCAATGCAATACCATTTCGTCAACCGTGATCGTCTAGACGACGTGGTCGTGGCCTGGATTCTGTCAATTCATAATTCAAAGCGTGCTGGCACGGGTTTACTTACGGCCGAGAGCTCTGCCCTTCTTCCCCAACGCCTTCGCCTCGCTCTGCTTTATCTTCGCCAAGCGCGCTTCCTCAGCTGCTTCTCTCTCCAACTTCCTCACATGTTCACGTGCCTCCCGTACTGCGTTCTTCGCCCTAAACAATGCTGCATCTGCCTCGCGCTCAGCGGCCTCTGCTTGTCGCAAAGACTGTGTTGCAGCGTGGATGCTGGGGTCGCCTGATCCTCGGTGCAGGACTGACGAGTGGCGCTTCGTGCTCGATGTCGATGTAGAGTGAGAGTGGTGGGTTGAGGAGCGATGGATATCTGAGCTGGACGAGCGACGGCGGGAGAACAAGCCAGTCTTTTTTGTAGGAGAAGCCACAGGGGCCGGTGGAGGAGAAGGCTCGCGGCGGCCGAAGAGAGGCATGGTTGTTGCTTGGTGTTGTAGTGGAGGCTACCGAATTTGGAAACCGAAGTTGAGAAGACAAGGTTGAAGTGCTTGATCTCGTTGAAAAGTGGACTGAGTTGGAAGGACGAACGGAAAAGACGGTAACAGAGCTTATATATCTGTTATATTTTGTATACGACACCGACGTTGTCCACGAGGTAGGCATGCCTCAGAAAGCAGGATCAAGAACGTGCGTGACGTCAGAAACGGCGATCTGCACCCCTTCCAACATGACACTGCGGCAGTGAGATCATCATACCCCAGCCTCGTGTGCTTTATCGGGCAATTCGAAGTGCCAGAATCTCGAGACTTGAAGATGGAAGAAAAGTCGATATGGAGTTGATGAGGCTAAGGCAGGCTAGATAGCGTTTTGGTGGGTCTTCGACTGCGACGGACCCTGGCGCTCCGGTCTTTGGAGGAGAGCTAGTGAGCTTGACACAATGCATAAGACCCAAAGTCGCGCCGTCTTATTGGTGTGCTTGTATCAGCCATGTGTATCTATGAAACTTCTCAATATTGCTTGTACACGATAGTCACTGGGACTGAGAGGCAGTCGCAACACAGGATGAAAGCAAGCGTGATAGGACGCGCCAATCACAAGCCATCATGTTACATCTCTTCGGCCCTTCTCCCCTGACGGGAGTCGACGCGTCGTTCCCTTGTCCAGAGTGTCGACAATAGCCTCACCTTCGACTGCGCTTTTGATACACTTCGAATATCGCCAGAAGTCGACATGTCAGAACCTCCCAGAACGAATAAGACTCACGTCGTACGCAATGGATCGCTGTCCCCTCTGCAATGACCAAGAGAAGAAGGACGAAAGCGATGCAAGGCTCGTCTTCGATTTCACGCCAGATGAGCTGCTGCTCTCGGCCAGTAAAGAGCACCGCAAGTCTTGCTTGGTCATACTCAAAGGCTTCCGCCAGGTCGAGGATTCATATCTGAAACACTTCCACGAGGAAGTCAAGACAGTAGTGGCCTATTGCCACAAGATTTGCGAAGACGACTTGCCTTGGACGCAACAACTCTACTATCAAGTTCGATATCAAAATAGCGGGCCGGAACCCTCCGGGACAAGTGGAGGATGCAGCCATCGTCGTCACTGCTTCTGCCGCCGAGGCTCTCCCGGTGTACACATACAGCGACTCGGACGGTAAGCTGGGCTCGCAACCTCCGGACTTGTCCCAATACCAGCTTTTACTCAATCCTAGTAGCATGCCGACCTGGATGTCTTTTAATGCAGATTATCCATTGTCAGTGGACAGGTGATACACTCACACTTATACTGTATGCCATTTGATGTGCACCCGACGGGTTCTGTTCGATTGGTGATCAGATCGAAGCCGCGGAAGTACGCAGGTGCAAATATACGTCGTATAATTAGGGTGTGAGGATCTCCTTTCAGTGCGGGGAGAGACATGGTATAGGCTCCCCCGCAGTGGAGTTGGATCGCTCTGGACTGCATTGGTGAGCGATTCGATACACCCTGTTGTCAGCGTGGAATCCGGAGCAGGATGGGCAGCGGTGTAATGGCAGCCGCTATAGATCGCAACGGTTCAAGCTGCTCCTTGTACAATCACGTCACTGATGTTGCGGGACTCTTAATAGGGAAGGCGCAGGCACCATTAGGATGAACAATCTTGTATATCCTATCTCCTCAAGACGGCTAACCTCTAGACCCCCAAAGCCTTCAACGCGCACCTTGCGCCCATGATGAACAATGCCAAAAATCCCACCAAAGCAAACTACAAATGAAACAACTAAAGAAGAGCAAGACTCCGAAGCTATGCATAAACCCCAACCGTCTAGTGATGTTCGCCGCCTTTTGAGATCCTTCAAACGCCATGCTATGCAAACCCTCCCAACCCTCAACCCTCACTCATTCCAGTCGCAACCCTCTTGCTCGATATCCTTCTTCGGCGTCTCAAACTGCAAAATCATGCTCTGCATACTTGGACTCGTCAAGCCGCGTCTCCTCCTGACCAAACTCCCATACTTATTATCCTTATCACCCGATGACCGTTCAGCACATCTCTAATCCGCCGTCGAGCCCCTCCTGACCCCATTCGCAGAGCTCATCTCGCCGCCACTCGTATCCCTCCTCCGTCTCATAATCTGCAGTCTCGGTAGTGGCGGCGTGCCGGCGGGGAGACTGTTGCCGCTGCCGGGTGTGTCGTTCTCGAGGTTGAAGTTGCTTTGGCGGCGCTTCGTGATTGCTTCGCCGAGTCGGCCTGCGGCGCCTTGCGCGCGTGCTTTGGGGAGGCGTGAGCGTTCGGGGGCGCCAGATCTGGAATTGGCTTGGAGATGGAGGAGGGAGGATGTCGCGTCGCGAGAAGCAGGTCGAGCGGTTGAGGGGCGCGGTGTCGTTGTGGGCGATGCGAGGGCGGCGAAGGATGTGGTTGAGCGTGCGAGGACGGGCGCTTTCGAGGAACGGCCTGCTGATTGTGGAGTAGTGTTAGGGTCTTCGATGAGGTCCCACATCGAGCTAGATGATTGTGTGCGGGTGATGCGGTCGCGACCACTGCCTGGTGTCGACATTGGCGGGACAAGGAAGTTATTACCCTTCAGGCTTGTTGGCGTGGGTGGTGTGAGACCAAGCCCTGCGCTGGCAAGTGTGGAGCCGCTGCTAGAGCCAGAGCCGTCCCGACGACCAGACGAAGAGGCAGGACGACGAAGGTTCATGCCTATGTTCGATGCCCGACTCAGGCTACGTTTGCCACTAGATGCTGAGCCGAGTCCATTAACTTCCACCTCATCGCAGGCCTGGACAAGTTCTTCCGCCATTTGTCGGACTAGCACGGCAGGATCCTGTTCCATAAGCCACGTGATGCGCTCGTAGCAACCGAATGCACGAATCAGCCAACATCCTTCCTCCTTTGCGTCGCAAATAGTTCGCAGGATACGAAGCAGATTCAGGCGTGTAACAGCATCCTTGTGGTTGAGCTTCTGCTCCGTGCGTGAGAAGATCTCAGGAACCGCCAGCGATGCAGCGATAGGCGGCGAAAGACGGACGATCTTCTGCAGCGGCTCGAGCATGTTCTCGAAGGTCGAGCGCGACGGTCCGGACGATGTGTAGGCTGTGATGATCGCCGCGTTGAAGTTAGATTGGGTGGAGAGAAGGTACTGCTCAACTCTAGCGGTTTCCTCCTGAAGCCTGAAGGATCTGTTAGCCATATACAACGCTGTTCGAAGGTTATTAGACACATACCAGACAAAGATGGCGTCCAGAGCCGTCACCGCCCAATTGACGTCGCCGAGTAGCGACACGTAGAATGCAAGACCCTTTGCATCCCACAACATCTTTCGAGAGACCTTGCCAGAGTTGACCATCTCAAGCAGCACAGGCAGTGCAAACTCCTTCAATGGTCCACCATCATTTACAACATCCTTCAGGAGCGGGATGATGTCAGATAGAGCTGCCTCCTCCTGCCGGCTCTTGTTGTGACGACAGAGATTGTACATAGTGTTCAAAATCTGATTCGAAATTTCACGCTGGAACGGTGGCATACGGTTCAAGTCGTTGCCATTTCTGCTGCTGCCTGTCTTCGAACCGGACTGGCGAGTGGCCTTCAGCAGCTCAATGAGGATGTCAATTGCGTTCGAGTTCTGCAGTGCTTCGTGCGTCGAGGAAAGAGAACTGAGGTTCTTGATGAACTTCAGCATGGTGATCTGATGAGGTGGCGCCATTTTGCGCAGATCTTTGAGTACACCTATAACCGTTAGCTATCGCACGGGGATGGGTGAGGTCCAAACCTACGCTTTAAGATCATGCGGTCTGCCACGAGGTCTTTAACATGGCTCTCTGCCTGGCTGAAGATCAAGAAGATGTGAACGATTCTGCCGACAATGAGTCTGGCAACTTCGCCGTCCTCCTCCACCATCCTGTTCAGGACCAGCGACAGTGGGTACAAGACGCTGCTTCTGCTGAAGATCCTGCAGAAGTCATTCTTGGGGGTGGGACCCTGCAGCTCGAAGACGCCGTACACTCCGTTGACACCGATCAGAACGAGATCGCGCTCGGCATCAATGTCTTCCTCGAGGAACTCCACGAGCACGTTGATACCACCGCAACCAATGAACATCTGCATGGTGAGCGTGCTAGTCTGGTACATCTGGCGCACAAATGCTGCAGCTTCCTTGCGGATGTCGCTCGGGTACCGCTTGTAAGCAAACTGGCAGATGGTGGGTATGCCTCCCAAGAAGGACAGACTCTCCTGGGCCTCTGCGTCCTCCAAGATGATCAAGTTGATGATCTTAAGCAGTGGAAGCACGAGATCATGAGGCGGAATGTTACTCAAGATTTCCAACACAGGTAACATGCCATGACTCCTCAGGATGATAGAGCGCTTGTCTGGTGCCTCGTACAACACCTGAAGAAGCTGATCTGCGATGTCGAGGAGAACGTCGTCAGGCTGACTAAGCTTCAAACAACTGACCAAATGCTCCGTCATCTTTGTCAACCGGTCGTCGCGATCTCGAGCAACGTTGTTCTCGAGGTTGATGGTGTCAAGACCGTCTTCGAGGTTCGCGAACGGATCCATGTCGTCTTCGTCTGCGATCATAAACGAGCCGGATAGCTTAGTCGTTATCATGGCCAGACTGCTATGCTCACTGCCACTGTCGCTCTCTGTTGTCGCAGTAAGCGTGGGCTGAGGACCGCCCTTGATGTCGCCGACTATCTCAGAGAAGTCATCACCTTCATCTTCGGCATACTTCTGGATCTCGATCTCCGACTGGGTTCGCTGTGGCTTGCGATTCGAAACTATGCTAGCCGATCGTTGCCGTACAGTCCCATTTCCCTTGGGATCTCGTGTCGACTTCGGTGCAGATTTCAGATCGCTTGGATGGAACAGTCGTGGCGAAAACGTGTCTGCCGGTGAGCTGGAAGGTGCATTTGCAAATTGTGGTTGTTGAGGTATAACGACAAAAGGCTGCGAATGCTGCAACGCCTGAACGCGCTTCTCGAAAGCATCTTCATCTGCAGGCATGAGGTCTGAGTAGTCTTCCTCTTCTGAACTCTCGCGGAAAACCTGACTGTTGCGGTTGGGAGCACCTGACCTAGGCTTGGAGGCTTGAGACACCCGAGGCACACCGCGCAAGAATGCAGTCTTGGGCTGAGCATCGTAGCTGCGACGCTCCTCATGTTGCGACGCATTCGATGACGATCTGGAGTTGGATGCCGATGTTGACGCCGATGTAGAAGACTTTGTTTTTGTAGTTCCAGGCCTAGGTTTTGCGGGCTGTCGTGGGCTAAAGCTGTTTGAGACGCCTTGCAGATGCTGCAGATTTAACGGACTTCTCATTGTAGCCTCCCCATCACCACCATCCGGACCATCAACGACGGCCTCAAAGCTCGCGAACGCCTTCAACTTGTCACCTGAGAACAGACCGCCGAAATTGTCTTGGGGTTTCCGGTGCGACGGCATCTTCAAGGCCCGCGGCGAGATGCTTTCGGCAAAATCATTGTCCCAGTTGTCATCCTGATCGAGCTCCGGTGAGCGGAAGGATTCTGCGGTGGGTCTGGACTTGGAGATGTTGAGATGGTCGACGTGGACTGGGGGCTTGCGTGCCGCTACTGCAGCGCCGTTTGCATGGGCGGGGGATGGGAATTGCTGTGAAGGCTTCTGCACGCCAGATGCAAGTCTCGAGCTCCTACGCAGCGAGTTTGGCGACTTGAGCGCCTCGTTCCATTCTTGCACAGACTTGACAGCCTCTTGGTATTCGGTGGGTTTCGCAGGTACGGCGGCGACGGTTTTCTTGACGCTCATGATCCACGGATGCTTGAGCAAACGTTTCGCAGAGATGCGCAGGGTAGGGTTCTTTTGAAAGCATTCCATGAGGAATTCGCGCAGCAACTGCACTTGTTAGCATCAAAAACGCTTCTTGTGGGGTGTGATACTCACTGGTGAAGCGCTACCAGGGATTGGTGGGTGCTCATCGTTGACGATTCTGAACAGGGCCTGCATGGGCTGCAGCTTATGGTATGGCGGCTTTCCTTCAATCAACTCAATGACTGTGCAGCCCACACTCCAGATATCTGAAGCAGTGGTAGCGCCAGACAGCTCGATGACCTCAGGTGCCATCCAGTACGGCGTGCCCACGACGCTGGACTGGTCCAGGCCTGACTGCTTGGTAGCCACACCAAAGTCTGCCAGCTTGACCAGCCCTTCCTTCGTGGTCAAGATATTGGCTCCTTTGATGTCCCTGTGTATAACACCCTGCTCGTGGAGGTAGAGCAGTCCATGCAAGACCTGAGACATGTACAGGGCAACAAGGTTTTCCGGAAACTTGCCAAAGTTCTTGCAGATGCTGTGCAGCGAGCCATTCTCGCAGTACTCCAAAATGATGTACAGGCTGTCCGAACTGCGCACAAAGCCCTGGTATTTGACAATGTTGGAGTGGTTCAGGTTCTTGAGCAGGTCGATCTCCATCTCCATGTTCTTCAGGTCGGCGACGCCCAGGTTCTCGAGGCGCACCTGCTTGATGGCGACCGTCTCGCCGGTGCCCCAGTTGAGGGCACGGTAGACGCTGCCAAAGGCGCCTTTGCCCAGGCAGTCGCCCAGCTGGTAGTCCTTGAGGCCGACGACATCTTGCGCGGCGCGCTGCGCTGCTCCGTCTCTGCTCGGGCGCTGCTCGCGGTCGCGCGTCTGGGCGCCGTGGTTGGACGAGGACGAGGCCTTCTTTGCGTGGCCGGGCGTGCCCGGGCGGGCGTTGGCGGGCTGCGAGGAGCGCGAGCTGGAGGCGCCGTGAGAGGGCTTCGGGGGGTTGTGAGACACCATGGCGGGCGCGCGCTGAGCGTGTCGCTTGTCGCTTTCGTCTGGCCGGCGGCCAGCTGCCGAGAGAGTGGCTCGAAGGGCGGCCTGCTGCCTTGAGCTATTCGCGCGGCTGTCTGCGTCTGCTCGCGACGGCGGTCGAAGGCGGTGAGTGCGGTGGTTGCGGGGGTGGGTCGCGGCGTTGGGCGCGCATTCCTTCGCCTACAAATTACTGTGGCAGCGGATGCAGTCGAATCCTGCGCTGTTGTTGTTTGCGCCTGCGCGAGTCGCGCGGCCTCGTTGGCGGGGGTCTGTGGCAGACGCCCTGGCCGTTATATGGCGGTCCGAAGCTGCTCGTGTGTTGGGGATCCCAGCTGCGAAAGGGGACGGGCGTGGGTGATGTAATTGTTTGTGCCCGACGTAGCCTGCTACTGCGAAGAGAAGTGCGTAACGGGGAGCTCTGCGCGCGACGCCTGAGCCTGCGGCGTGCACTCGAGCATGCGGGGTACGGCAGCGGAGTGGGTGTGGGAGAGAGTCAGTCGAGGTGAAACTGCTGCGAGGTCGACGTTCCCATCGCCGGAGCGGCTAGGCGTCATTGGAGTGGTAGCGACTCAACCAGCACATCACGCCAGCACCACCACTGTGCACACATTCAGATGCACAGGCTATGTGCTTCACGGCAGTGCGACGCGTCTGGACGACACGCGTCACGTATCAGCTACCTGCACGAGCACACGGTCCGAGCCCTTCACGAACTCACGTGCAGGCACTCTATGTTCCCCCTCGTCCCCCAAGACGCAGATCTGGGGCATATGTCTGGCCTCTAAGAAAATCGTGCCAAGTGCAACTCAAAAATGGATCTTGACGATCATATGTCTGTGCACCTTGAGAGGCTCAGCAAAAGATTTTGTGTCTGCGATGCAAGGGTCTCAGGGTCTCAGGGTCGCCAGCGGTCAGCTTGCCCTGGTGTGAGCACTAACAGACACTCAAAGCTTAGTCAAGCTTCGAACGGACAGCTGCTTTGAAAGTGGGGAATGCCATGGCTCTGTTCTGCAGGGCAGGCATGGCAGACAGATGACAAGAGAGGGTCTGATCGAGTCTGGGACCGAGCATGTGAAGGCAAGGCTGCAACAAAGTTTGATCTTGTCAGGGTATCATTGCTATTCGTTGTTGATTGCTTTTTTTAACATCCTATGTGTGCTTTTCGTTGTGTTTCGCTACGTCTTTGTCGACCTTTTTGGCTATCTATGTATCCGCCAGACGCCGCCCTTATGCATTACCGTCATTCATCATCAACGACCGGAGTCGCTTATCGTCCGGCCACAACGTTGAGAACACCACCATCGACAGCGATAATCTCGCCGTTGACGTAGGCGTTCTTGGTGAGGAAGAGCACAGCTTGCGCCATTTCCTCGTCATGGCCAGCTCGTCCCTGAGGAACGTGGCCCTTCTCCTGGATCTTCTCGTCCGGCACATGACTCTTCTGGTTCTCGTCGCTCTCTTTTGCAGTCATCTCCGAGGGGAAGTAGCCTGGAGCGATGGAGTTGACCCGGACACTCAGTTGCTGGAACTCGGCCGACATGAGTTTGGTCAGATGGACGGTGCCGCCCTTTGCGGCATTGTAGCTGAAGTGGCCTTGGGCGTGGCGCATGATTCCAGACATAGAGCTGATGACGATGACTGACGCGGAGAGATGGCCGTGAGTCTCGGTACCTGCCTGGAGAAGAGGGAGTAGGACGACAGTAGTGAAGTATACGGAGCTGACATCAGTGTTGTAGGTGTTGGCCCAATCCTCAAAGGTCTCGTTGTCCCAGAGCTTCGCCTTCATTTCTGTTGCCTTGTCCGCATCAGGCTCGGCCTTCCCACTACTGATACCAGCTGCAGCGACGAGAAGGTTAATGTACTTCTCCTTCTTCGACAGCTCCTCGAACATCTTCTCAAGATCGGTCTTCTTAGTAACATCGTACGGGCTCAGTGCGATAATCTGGCCGCCGGTTCCCTTGGGGTCGTGAGACTTGACAGCGTTTTCAAGTACTTCCTGGCGTCGACTTGTGATGTACACCTTTGCACCTGCAATCACTCATCAGATCGAGGGTAGCCATTAAATGTGCGGGAGAGCTACCGTTAGCGGCCAATGCTTGTGCAGCCATCAGGCCAATGCCAGAGCCACCACCAGTGACTACGCAGACATAGTCCTTGACCGAGAACAGCCTCGAAGCTTGAAGGTTGTGTGTGCTCGCCATTGTGTTGAGTAATATGAGGAACTCTCAGTTGAGGTAGTCGAGATTTAATCTGTAATAGAGGGATAATGCAACTCACACGAGGGTAGTCTTTATACGCGCAGACTACGTAAAGGGGAAATGTTTTTGGTATGACGTACCAACGATGCGTTCGCGATGGGTGTCAACCGTCACCCGTAGTTCGCGCCTTCCGCAGAACGGCTAGAACCAAACATCCCCGTTACGGCTTAGCACTTCAGATCCACTTAGATAATCTCAGCCGCAACTCGTCTCCCCGACTTTGACATCTCTGCGTGCTAGCGTTGGATATCGAAGGGGCGGCCTCGTTGGGCATTGTATAATAGTATCGTGCATTTGGCATCTTTCTTCACTCTCGTTTCCCGCCTGTAAAAGCTTCCACCGGTCGCCCTTTCGAACTTTACAAGGCTCCAAACTTTTCTTGGGCTTATAGCACGTGCCTCTAAGCCTTCACGCCGCAGCCTGCTAAAGGTTGCGAAGACATCCTTTGTTGTGGTCTCTGTATATCAACATCCTTCCACTATCAACTTTCCTTCTTTTTGTTTAATATGGAGACACGGACACCACCATCAACCGATCTGGTCGTCGCAGCACCTGTGCGACCCGTCAACGACCCGCTCCAGACATGGCCCGAACCTGTCGATACGCCTGGCATCCTTCCGCGTCATCTGATCAGACAAGCATCTTCTCGGCTTCCATTTCTTGAGATCTTACACCGTTTGTTCTATCGCATACGACCAGACACTCATAACGATCTTGACAAGGTCTTGGCAGCAATAGCCCTTTACAGCGCCGCTGTACCTGTGTACAAATACCTGAAAGACTTCGCCGTATGGGCTTTCACTGTCCAGATAACCATACCTGAGCACGATCCGTAAGTGGAGGCCTTGGTTTCTGGTAGTCTTGCTGATTTCGACAGTGCTGCTAAGGATGTACTAGCCTGGATGGGCTCAGAGGTTATCTCGAATCGGCGTAGTAGGAGCGCCATGATTACTACCGAAGGATCGCAACAGTTCGAGGACAACTACGGCCGTCGCCTCATGATAGGACCATCCGGTAGAGTCGGACATCGCAACATGCAGGGGACTGTGGACAATGAAGTATCTTGCTCGCCTCCCATTGGTTCGCGAATTTTTTGGTAAGAAAGTCATATTGCTTCTCAGCATTGCTCTCCTTTGATGATCCATGCCTTTCAATCGTCCTCATGTCTTCAGGTTGGTTTGGACTGTCCTGCTGACAAAGTAGGGTTGGCTTCCGCCCATATCTCTTCGACCGCGTAGGGGGTTCAAGGGGCCCAGTACATCCTGGTATTCCCAGTAACAACCACATCGACGCAAGCGGCAGGCTTCAAAACGCACTCACCATCACCACGCTGGGCTGGAATCTAGAACCTTTACGGAATTTCGTGGTCAGATGCCATGAGTGGAAGAAGGCCAACATGACCGGTACGACGACAGTGTACTTTGCTGGAGGTAACACGTACGATTATGGCGGTGGGCAGTGGCAGTCAATCAGCAAGCCCGTGAGGAAGCTCGACACCATTGACATGGATGAGAGCGTCAAGCTGGATCTTGTGCGGGATGCTGAGTACTACTATAGCGAGCAGTCGTAAGTTGCCCTACCACGCTCCTAGATACCTGTGTGGCATGTACTGACCCTCCAGGAAACAATTCTTCGCAGACTGTGGTATTCCATATCGACGAGGCTATCTTTTCTATGGCCCACCAGGCACAGGAAAGACGTCCTTCAGCGCTGCTCTCGCAGGACATCTGGGCTGCGACATCTACCACATCAACCTAGCATCTGGCGATATCACCGACGGCAAGCTACATAACCTATTTCTTGGTCTACCGCAGAAGTGTGTCGTGGTCATAGAAGACATCGACTCTGCCGGCATTGGCCGCGAGGTTACGACGGAGACAAAAGAAGAAGCGGCCGATGTAGACCTTGCCGAATCAATGATGCCCGCTCAGTGGAGGGAGAGAGGCAGGCAGGCTACTGGACACAAGGGACGCAGTCTCATCACCCTTAGCGGTCTTCTCAACGCCATCGACGGAAACGCATCTCAAGAGGGCCGCCTTCTCATTCTGACATCGAACAACCCCGATGCTCTGGATACAGCACTCACACGACCAGGCCGCGTCGACAAGAAGGTTTACTTCGGCAACATGAACAAGTCTGCCGGAAAGAGCATCTTCATGCGCCTCATCGGCCGTTCAGCGCTCGCCCACGACGCTGTCTTCTCCATGGCGTACATCGAGCAGTGCGCAGCGGAATTTGCAGAGAAGGTACCTGCGCACACTTTCACACCAGCGCAGGTCCAGAACTTTTTGCAAGGGTGCCGTGGCGATCCGATCAAAGCACTCGCTGAGATCGATGCTTGGGTCGCAGAAAGCCGTCCCACAGGCGTTGGCATGTCGTCTAGCCCCGTATCGAATGCCACGATGGTGGAGGCTGAGGAGGGTGAAGTTGAGGCTCTGTAAGTAAGGGGTTCGAGAAACTAGAGCGCACATTTGTCGTCATGCAAGATGTTGGGTTTGTTCAGTCTAAGTGAGTAAGACAAGATGGTGCTGTATACTATAATGGGTTCGCTTCTGTTTGCTAGCACTTCGCGGCGTCACATCGCATGTACATATGGAGTTCAGGAGGTACTCAGCTGGGTTTTAGAAGGTAGCGTAACATTCAAATAAGTACTGTTTATTCTGTCCTGCTCCCTAATACACCATCTTCGTGCCCCAGTTCCTAGACCATGGTAGCACACGCATATGGTTTTGACACTCCTCCCTGTCTCGGACAGATCTTTGAAGCTTGTTGGTACAATCGGCCGAAGCGGTCGACAGTCGCTTCTTAATCGGCCGAGCTTTTTAGTCGCCGATTTCCCGGCAGCGCTCAACGCAACTCTGCTTGTTGCCAGATGAGGTATGTACATGTGCATACTAAAGGTAGGATTGTCGGCCGAAGGAAGGGGAAGTCGTTCGATGGCTGCTGCTGGTGCATGTAGTCTCGATAACGCATGTCCGTGAAGGGATGCACAGGAGCGGCCAATCAGAAGCGCTGCCGTGTGGATATGTGAGTTGAAACGCGAGATGCCGCAGAAAGCTGAGAGATTGGCTGATTCGGCCATGCAGTATTGGTCTCACGATAATCAATATACTCGATACAGTAGGAATTGTACCTCTCGTCGACGGCGGGTGACCGACTCGGTGAAACGAGCCGAACGAAGGGCTGCCTCTGCCCATACCCCCAATGCGGTACAACTTCGCTATTAACTCTACCTATCATTATGCTTGAAGATAGGCCTGCGGACTCGATGCGTCATAGATGTGCATTCCAAATCTTATGACTCATAGATCAGGTAAGCTTGAGTGTGCTTTCAGTGTTGCTGGCGTGTCGCCGTGTGCGGCGAATCAAAAAGTAAATACTCCTGTAAAGAGTAAGGTTGGTTTTACCTTCACCTGCACCACCACTCTGAGCCTTTTCTCGAGGGCAAAAAATATATTTCCGTCACGGGGAATCGAACCCCGGCCACATCGGCACTTCTAATGAGAGCGATGTATCCTAGCCACTTATTTTTGTTAGATGCTGTTGTTGTTAAGGGATAGTGAGTGAGCTTACCTAGACCATAACGGATGTTGTTTCATGAAACATTTTTGGAATTTTCGATATATAATTAATTTCTTAATCTATGTCCTTGAAAGCACTGCCGTGTATATTGTCAAATTTTGTGGACTGCCCGAGGGTTGAGGCTAAGCGACGCCGAGGCTGCCGGCGGAGTGTCTGCAGCTCCTGCTTGAGTTTTCTTGTGTCTTCTTTCGCTTCACCAATAACAAAATCTTCACAATGTCCGGCCCTTCACACTGCTGTACCGGAGCTCATTCACTCATTCCACATACTATCCTTGATTACTGGTGGGTTATTATGTACAGTTTGCTGTCAGCGCACCGCCTTGCGCAACGTTACTCATGACTTCATGAGACTCGGATTGGCAGCAGCTGCGCAGCTTCGCTTTCTCTCTGCAGATTCGAGACGCAAACGTAACATAGACTTCGATTCAAGTCTATCTCCTTCTACATTAGCATTAAATTAAGCCAGTCGAAACCTCTTGAGCATGGCTTGTACTGGATCAGCGTCTATGACTACGAGCATGCCCCTTCCAAGGCTGACCTGACACTGAGCGCGCAGAGTTGTTGGCTTTGTTCCTACATATGGATACACTTCAATGTATGTCGCAGTCATTGGTTTATTAGGTGTCGAGTACACGTCCGAAACAGCGTGGCCACGATCAGGATCCTTGATGCTCAATATGTCTGAGCGGGCAAGCGTACCCGCGAGGTCTACGTAGTGATCAACCGAGGTAAGGTTGCTTTCCTTATGGCAGTCACAGACTGACTTTCAGGCGACCTGTCGATAAGTCGCGGCATTCCTTCTAACTTCCACGTGTACATTGAATTGTCAGCTCGATCACTAGTGTTCTGCCCCTATTCCTGTCTTAAGCGAATCACAAGAAGACGAAGACCGACCTGCATGTATAATTGATGTCTGAGATTTTCAAGATTCTTCGCAGGATGTTCGATTAATAAAGTGGAGTGCAGCTGATCAATATGTCGCCTTGAGCTACTGCTGGGTTCGTGAACGATTTTTCGAAACTAGAAAAGCCACTTTGCGTCTGCGGCTGAGGCACATACGTCACTTTGAGTTGCCGAGAACCTTCCAGAATGCGATTTTAGCCGTCCGAAGGTTGGGCTATTGCTACATATAGATCAATGCTCTGTGCATTATACAAGATTCGCGGAAAGACTGGGAACGGGAATCTCGGAAAACGAGCGTTGTCTACAGTCAGGCCGTTGTGACTCTAGCAGCATCCTCAAGTGACAGCGTCCACGAGGGCCTATCTAATCAACAAAACATCAGCCAATCATCTGAAGCTCGGAACACAATGAGAGTGAGCGAGACGACAGGCCTGAACGAAAGAATCGAGCTACTCATCTACGAGAGTTGTAGAAAAGAGGTACCACCTTTGATAGTCAATTGCGCACTTGCAGATCGTGCGTGGGCTTGTCAAGAACGAGTTCTCTCACCTCGCATCTTGCACTATACAACGGAGCAGCTCTTCTGGGAATATCGACATCATTTCCACGCTGAAGAAGGTATTCAGTCATTCAATAATTTCAATTTCGGTAGTGGGTTTACGACTGCACGTGGTATCGTATGGCGTCTCATGCGCCAGAACGCCGGATCATTTGACCGCTTATTAGGGCGGTACAATGAGATACTACATGGAGAATAGACTTTACGAAAGTTGGCACGCGAAAGCGACCATCTGTCCGCTGTATCAGGTCTAGCCAGATGTGTACAGGGTGCAAGTGATACGAGCACAACATACTTAGCTGGGCTTTGGAAGGAAGAGCTTCAATACGGGTTGTTCTGGGGCGTCATGAACCGCGTACCTTGCTGCACAACAATCGGTGGTTGGCGAAATGTGCGGACCACCCCTCCCATGGTAGCCATAGCCTGTCACTCACATTTGAAAGCCGAAAGGGGTACTCTGAGTGGCCAGATGTACCCGTGTAGTATGTGGGGGAGACTTGACCCCTATATACATGCTCTCTGACGTGCCCAGGACCCTGAGAAAGACCCTGAGCCATACCTTCACAGACGGCATGAATGGTAACGTCATCTATCTCATCATAGTGCCAGACTCGCATGCATATCACAGGTAGACCGCCCACACCTCCCCCTACCTGCTCCTCCACCGACTCCAGATAGCTTCGACAGTGGGTCTTTGTGTGGCTTTGAGGGCTAGTGTACCGAGAAAGGGGTGGTCCATACATTTTGCATGTCATTAAAATTCGAGCCCTTCGTGGTCCTGGACATCGTACTATATACGGGTGTCATGGTCTATGTGGGTCGTCGACGACTTTCCTAAAGCGCGCTTTACTTTGGAGGACTGCGACATTGAGCTCGCTGGTCATGATCCTTTTGGCCAAGTCAACAGGGCATCATTAAATTCGACAGGAAACCTGCTGAGGGTACAAGCGCGCATTTCTCCTAGGCGGCGTAACGGCCGTGAAGACGTCAGGGAGATGGAAGGCGACTGAAGTTCTGAAGTTCTGAACTTGCACGGGCAGTTCCTCGGTGACGCCAATCTGGATCGCATACCAGACGCAGAACCTATGTATGGACTGCTGCTTGCGACAACTGATCCAGAGCCGGAGTACCAGAGCTTCAATGTGTTACTAATGACACTTGTCCCAGGGACTGACGCTATATTTGAAAGGATTGGAATCGCGGATATATCGCAAGATCATACTAATGAAACCCCTTTTTGGCTTGATGCTTCGAGGAACGTGACATCACTCTTGTTTAAATCGGCAGCATCACGAGTACACAATCTTGTATGTGGTGATAGTATATGGCTCGGATGGTGTCATTGAAGGAGTGCATTATCCATTATAGAATGTTCCTATTTAAGTCATAAGGAAGGTCATACCACTCGCTGTGGTGTCATAAATACAAAGAAGCCCATGAATATCCACTCAGACTATATTCCAAGTCTGATCCATACCTCAACGAGGTCTGCCGAGGCTCACTTGTACATGATGCTTCAAAGGAAGTCGATGATGCCAAGGCCTAATGTTGTAGTTAAGCACTTGCGCGCTTAGCATTGGCGAATATACAAGCCAATAGGGCTAGGGTTGTAGTCCTGAAAGTAGTCGAGAGCGAAATCTTCGTTACCGCAGATCTCGTAACTGACAGTCTGGCCAGCAGCGCAGTCACCGGAGGTGATCAAGTACGAGTTGCCAGGGGCGACAGACATGGAAGCGAGATCAGACTCCTTGCCAGGCTGGTTGGCGTAGGTGGTCTGCTGGCTGGCAGGTCCCTTGAGCTTGGTGAAGTCGACCTTGCCGGAGCCGGAGACGGTGAAGGAAGAGGTCTCGAGGTCTTTCTGCTCAGGGAACAGGAAGACAACGGAGCAGGTCTTGCCGGAGTAGGAAGTGGGGATGTCGAAGTTGAAGATCGAGCATGTGTGGCTGTCGACCTTGCCGTTGTAGGAGGTACCGAAAGACTTGGACGACTGCTGGGAGTCGATAGGGATGATCAGGTGGGGGTACTGGTATGCACCGTTCAGGTCAGTAGGGCATTTGTTGCCAGACTGAGCGGGAGTGGAAGGAGCGGGGGCAGGAGCGCTCTGGGCAGGAGCAGAAGGATTAGGAGCAGGGGCGCTCTGACCCGGAGCAGAGGACTTAGGTGCGGGAGCACTCTGTGCAGGCTGAGATGGCTTGGGTGCAGGCTGGCTCTGAGCAGGGTAGCTCTGTGCAGGCTGCGAGGTCTGAGCAGCAGAGCTCTTTGCAGGCTGCGAGGGCTGAGGAGCAGCAGAGCTCTTAGCAGGCTGCGAAGCAGCAGGCGCGCTCGACTTGGCGGGGCCTGATCCGCAAGATCCGGCAGAGCTCAAAGAGATCTCAACGCACTTGTCCTGGTCAGATACGGGCGAGGTGTAGACGTTGTACTCGCTATCGGTAGCAGGGCAAGCATAGAACTTGGAGCTGCCGTTGTAGGTGACAGAGCCACTAGAACCAATGGCGAAGCCGGTGGTAGGGCTAGCACCAACATCGCACTGGAACTGTGTTGTGGGAGGAGTGAGGATGCAGCCACGGCCGTTCGAATCGGTGAAACCACCGTTGCTCAAGCAGTAGCAGCCAGTGGGGTGACCACCACCGACACGGTTCTGTCCGTCACCGAGCTGGCCGAGAATTCCTGACTGACCGCCGGAAGCCTGCAACTGAATACACTGAGAGGCCTCACGGGCAACGAGAGCGTTGGCACCAAGGCCGAACGCGATTTGAGCGAAAGCGTACTTCATCTTAAATGAATCGAAGGCGATTGGATGATTGTAAAGTGGAAGGATGAGGCTGAGGATGTCTTTCAAAGTTGAGCGATTGGATGGCTCTTATAGATGATGGGAAACCACACCTACTCGGATCAATGACATCGAGTTCAGCTCCACGACCCACCGCAACGTTCCACAATACGATTACCGCGCTTGGTGTTGAGACCACTGCAAGTGAGGCATGTTGGTCAACCGACTTATTGATAACGATGATATCAAGCAGCGCAAGCTCAGAACTTGTCAACGACCGCAGCTTGGACGTGGGATCAAGCTCCGTTGTGCCTCGTATTAGTATGTGGGTCTCGCTGGAAGATGGAAATGTCGCACTCACGTAACAGCATTCGCGGGCATTGGCCTTCCAAGCGAGTGTTCCCCAGAGTTTTTGGACGCCAATGCTGTTAGCTAGTCGATCGCCGACTGGCTTTGGAATTGACGTAGGCTGATAGACAGGAACATTACCACAAGCGCGACTCTGGGTCGCGGCAGCCAGTCGATCAGGTTTTCCGAATTCGTAAAGACAGGTGCATCACTCCATGCCAGTCGCTCATCCACGTCAAAAATGTAGCACGGTTGAAAGCCGGTCGACACTCCGTCCCTGGTTCATTGTGCATATTGTCGAACAGCCGTAGCCTGGGCCTGCACGTTTCCCTACTCCTTCTGTGGTACGGTACTCATACCGAGGGATCGGACAGCGAACAGATCGGTCCAGCACGCGTGGCAAAAGTGGGTGAGGCGGGATGTTCTCAAATTAGAACCTTTCAGGTCCGAATGCTCCGATGTACGTATAAGTGATGAGCGATTAAGCTTTTCCGTGAGGCACTAAAGTCTGTCACCCCAGAATCTGGTCGATCAGAATAAAGTGTGGAGTGAGGTCCAGTGATGATGCAAATCACGTGCCAGCAGACCGACTCGTCGTATCAGAAAAGCGGGGCTGGAGATAAGTGGGTTGTGGGACAGATTTGTTGAACGAACGAACGAGCAAGAGCAGCGTTGTTGGTGTTGCTCAAGTCGATGAGAAATCTGAAACCGATTGTGCCGAGACTACTCGTAGCGTTGCGGCGGAACAACAACAAGTGGCTGAGAAGATCTTCACTGTGGCTAGTAGCGGACATCCAGTTCACCGGTCATCCGTGCTTGTCTGCGAGGCCGTAATGTACGAGGGTTCCGTCAGGATGATGACAGTGTGATCCAGCAGCCGGTACTTATTTGATCAAAATACTGCCGTTTCTGTAAATAGTCTCCACTGAATGTAATTGCGTTAAGGAGTAATGAAGGTCCCGAATGGATACAGAATGAAAATTGAAACATCTTCATCTAAGGACTTTCAATTCTGCAGCTCTTTTTTGCCCCCATCAAAAGGTACATAGCATAATGTGCTGATAACCTGCAAAAGACACGTTCAACGCGTGGTGGTGTTTGTTGTGGTTTGATGTTAGGTGGAAAAGCTGAATTGAGAACGCGACCCGATGACGTCACACGAATTTTCCGAAATCAGGAAAGAGGAGAAGAGCAACGACCGTCCTGCACACCTCCTTGATCTCATTTCCATCGTCGGTCTTCTCTCAAAGCCTTCTCTCTACTTGGCCATGTCTTTGCGCCTTCAGCTACCACCAACTACTCCAGGCTCGCGGGTATCTTCAAAGTTTTGCTAGCCATTCAGACGTTCCTGTTAGGATCTCTTGTGGCATACCCAAAGACGCAGAACCTGATTGGCAATCACATCATTGATGTATGTGCGTCCAAGACGGCCGTAAGCCAGACGTATTTCCAGGCTACACATTTCCCGAACACGACAAAAGGTGTGTTCACTGCGTATGTGACACACCAGGTTGTGTGGGAAAAAAGTAAGGATGGATGGAGGATCGTGTAACATTCGTCCAAGCCGAGCGAGTTGCAGCTGTAAAGCGAGTAAGTTGCAGTGATAACCTACGACGGTTTGTTTAGTATGCACCTGTGCTCTGCTCTAGATCCAAGTTCAATATGAATAGACCAGCTTCTGATGCTGCACTCTGCTGCTCTGATTACTCACGCTTTACCGTTAGTGTTGCTCATACAACCAGACATATGCTAAACGAGGAAACACACACCACTGCCATCTACTTTAGTGTCCTCCGGTAGTGCAACAATGAACGCTCTGACACGAGTCGAGATGGATGGGTCTCCGCCATAGTGACTCTTTTGAGTTTGACGACGTGCTCCAGCAGCACTACTGCCTCTCTTGTCTGCCCGTTGTCCCCGTATGCACTGGCAAGTACGTGCAGCGATGCCAGCCGAGACGGGTGACGCTCGTCCAGCGTAGTCTCTTGGATCTTGACGACGTGCTCCAGCAGTTCTACTGCCTCTCTCGTCTGCCCGTTGGCCCTGTATGCAATGGCAAGCGTGTGCTGCGATGCCAGCCGAGACGGGTGACGCTCGTCCAGCGTAGTCTCTTTGATCCTGACGACGTGCTCCAGCAGCTTTACTGCCTCTCTCGTCTGCCCGTTGGCCCTGTATGCAATGGCAAGCGTGTGCTGCGATGCCAGCCGAGATGGGTGACACTCGTCCAGCGTAGTCTCTTCGATCTTGACGACGTGCTCCAGCAGCTCTACTGCCTCGCTCGTCTGCTCGTTGGCCCTGTATGCACCAGCAAGCTCGTGCTGCGATGCCAGCCGGTCAGGGTGACGCTCGTCCAGCGTAGTCTTGTGGATCTTGACGACGTGCTCCAGCAGCTTTACTGCCTCTTTTGTCTGCCCGTTGGCCCTGTATGCAATGGCAAGCGCATGCAGCGATGCCAGCCGAGACGGGTGACGCTCGTCCAGCGTAGTCTTGTAGATCTTGACGACGTGCTCCAGCAGTTCTACTGCCTCTCTTGTCTGCCCGTTGGCCCCGTATGCACTGGCAAGCTCGTGCTGCGATGCCAGCCGGTCAGGGTGACGCTCGTTCAGCGTAGTCTTGTAGATCTTGACGACGTGCTCCAGCAGCTCTACTGCCTCTCTTGTCTGCCCGTTGTCCCCGTATGCAATGGCAAGCGCGTGCTGCGATGCCAGCCGAGACGGGTGACGCTCGTCCAGCGTAGTCTCTTTGATCTTGACGACGTGCTCCAGCAGCTTCACTGCCTCCCTCGCGTGGCCCATGTATCCAAGGTTCCTCGCCGCCAGGTCCCATATCGGCACGTGCTCCGTTGTCGGATTAGACGGGGTTATGTCCAGTGCCTGGTAGATGCCGGCCAGGAGCTGCTCAAGCCTGGCGTCTTCTCTCATCGTGTTCAGCGCCCAGCCGCACTGCAGCAAGACGGTCAGCACCCCCATCTGCGGTCCACACGAGATCATCGTCTGCACGCTGGGCGACAGAAAGGACTGCACATGCGGCCGCAGCTCCCTCTCGCGCACCTGCCACAGCTTTGTCCGCCCTCGTGACAATGCAAGCACGCATCCTGCAGTCACCCACGCCTGCTGCTGCCGCTCCTTCTCCAGCCGGTCCTTCGCCCACGCGTGCGCCAGCGGATGCATTGACAGCCCGCCGCTGCCGTCACCCAATGTATGCATCGTCACCAGCGACAGTGATACGAGGCGGGCTCTGGCTTTCTTGAGGCGATAGTCGTCCCACTCGTCCGCTTCTGTATCAATGAAGTCGGGCAGCTGCGCAACGTGCCATCGTCCGAGCTCACCCATCTTGTCGGATTTGTCCGTTCCATCCTTTTCAGCGGACGAGGCTTCGAGCACGCGACACGCCCTTCGCCATGCATCCTCGAACGCCTCAAGCGGAAGCATGCCTGAGTGCAGCATACATAGCACCGCAAGTAGATTTAGCGCATCCTGTCTGTCCTGGCTGCCAGAACGCTCAAGAGCATCCGCAGATGCCTCAAACGTAGCGAACACGTCTCGATACCGCGACTGCTCCTGCTCTGGATGGTGTTCAAGCAGCCGCTTGCGATGCTGCTGATACTTCTTGGGATACTCGGTCAGTTGACAGTACCCTTCGGCTACGTACGCGCCAGCCTGGATCAGCGCAAGTGTGTGCGATCCCAGCAGGCGCACAATGTCCTGTGCCTGCGCCTGCGTCTCGCACGACCGCCAAGCCTCTTCCGGCACTCGAGCAGCCTTGAGCAGCAGCAGCGTCGAGTGCTCTGCGTCCAGGCCCTCGAGCGCTTCTGCAAGCCCCGTGCTGTACCGGCTGCACTGTGGGTTGCGCGACGTTACGATGACCGCGCCCTGCACCCCAGACGGTATGTAGCGTGCGTAGTCCACGTCGACCTCGTCAGCGTTGTCCAGGACCAATAGCCAGCGCTTCTTGGTGTTGGCGAGCGCTTCGAGCCCCTCGTCCACGCTCTCCGCAGCCGATCCGAGCGCCTTAGCGACAGCTAGAAAGTCGTTCTTAGCGGTCGACCCGCTGCCTACATTCACCCAAAACACACCCCAGAAGCTGTTGCCAGTCAGCCAAGTGTGCGCACATTGCTAGATAGCGACAACGTGCAGGGCCTACGCACTGTTCTCGCATCAGATTGGCAACCTTAAGGCACACCTCGCTCTTGCCCATGCCCCCTATGCCAGTGATGACTACTCGCTTCTGCTTTGTCGCGTCTGGACCATTGTTGCGCAGGGCGCTCTGCATTCGCTCCACGACTTCGCTGCGCCCTGTGAACAGACTGTTTACCGCGCGCGGCACCATCCAGTGCACATTGCCAGCTGGGCCAGCATCTGTGAAGCCAGACCGTCAGTTTGTTGTTGGTGACAATAGGCATAGCACCTGCATTGCTGCTTACCTTTGCTGCGGTACCGATCCGCCACCACAGAGCCACTGTCCTTAATCATCCTGCGCAGCTCTGGCAGGAGCAGCATGAAGTTTCTGTCATCCACGCCGCTGAACTTGTTCAGCCCAGAATGGTCGGCGTCCATGTATATCATCTTCTGCCCGACGAGCGTAGCGGACTGCGTGCTCACAAACTTCCTTGTGTTTAACAGATGGAAGATACAGCAGCAGGCTCTTCACATACCTGTCTGCTTACAAGTCCGTATTTAGCCGGCCTCTTCTCGTAGAAGCACGTCATGTCATACTTGCCATAGCTGCGCCAGAAGTCTATTAACAAGTCGCGCAGACTCGCGCAGTCTTTTTGCAGTGTCTCCAGTAGCGTGTACCCGTGGCGCTCATCCTCTTGCAGCCGGATGAGCTTCGCCGGCCATTGCGCGTATGCTGCCTCCTTACTACCCTGGAACGGCGTGCCTAGAAAGACGATGCCTGCGATCGAGAGACGAAGGTCGGTGTAGCGGGACCCGTGGACAGCGATAACGAGCGCCTGGCCTTAGTCAATGGAATGTCATGGCTTTACTTATACTAGTCTGTACCTGCTGGATGACAAGACCTCCCAGGCTGTGGCCGATCAAAACAAGCGGTCTCCGTCGTTCCTATCGTGCATGTCAGAGACAGAGGGCTGCAGCTAGTCTGGTTTGTGCGAGAGACAAGGTGCGCATCCACGTACACTCGCACTCTGTCGATGCTGGAGCAGCACCTCCAGCAGCTGCTGCCCGCACTCCCGCAGACTTGTATTCACCTGCCGGTCTCTCCAGTCCGACTGATAGTTGTACGTAGCGACCCGCGCGTTGCTGAACGCCGGCACCAGGAGGTCCCGCGGCCACATCACCTCCCTTGTGTTGCAGCCTCCATTATCGTCCAGCGATTTACCTTTCTTCCCAAACAGCCGGCTAAACGTCTTGACTCTTGTCCTCTCCTTTGTCCTCTCCTCTGTCTCTACGGCCGGGACCTTCCTGACCCAGGTGTAGAACCAATGCGCGCCTAGTCCCTGCACGGCTACGATGCTTTCGCGCGGTCAGCGGGGCCGGCACTCGGGCCTTCTGGGTCGTCGCGCACTTACTCGACGTCGTAGGGTGCCTCAGGCGTCGACTCGCCAGACCAAAACGTGAGCCCGCTGACGTTGGTGTCGTCGTGCGCCATGTCCATGTTCACTTGCAGGCGCAGCGCCCATCGTCCAAGTAGAGTGGGTGCAGCAGCGTGTTAGAGCTTCGTGGGACGGATGAGGCAGCGCAGAGAGAGGTTGGTGGTAAGCGACGAGGTGAGCAGCGTCTGGCAGCGGCATGCAGGGTCACTGCGTGTGCTGCGTGGCTGCGCGTGCTGTGCCTTGCAGCCTGTCCTGTCCATCTCAGTCACATGATGTGCTTCCGGGACAACTTCATCTGGCTGGCATCTGTGCTGGCATACATGGTCATTATGCTGGCGGCCATGCAAGTCGGCTTAGCGACAAAAGCGTTGGGGGATGACGAGGCTTTCCAAGCAGCGTCGTATGGCTTTACTGTGTTCGCAGTCTTTCTGTGTCTCTTCGCTTATAACTGGATTCAAACAATGAGGTACATCAAAGTGAGGCAGCTGGAGTTGCAACGACGTAGCGGAAAGACAGATGCATCATGATGTTTTCACGTTGAAGTTTCCGTCTCAACTATGCGCGTATGAGAATTCATTCTGAGAGCAAAGCACAACAATCTTATCATACAAGCTAACTTGCGCCAACTGGCAGATCAGCCAGGCTTGGGAGTGTTACCCGCCGCCGCTAGCACTCCACCGCTCGCAGCACCCCTAGCGCCAGCCCCAATAGATGCCAGCCCGCAACGCCCACGCCTGCACACATCATGTGACTGCGATGGACAGGGCAGGCAACAAGGCGCGCACACACAGGGACCCGGCTGAGCGCTACAGCCGCCGTCGCCGCTCGCCAGGAAGTTCGTGTGAATAGGGTCACATTTGATTCTAGAAGAATGTGCTGACTATGTTGTAGGGAAGGCTTTGAGCAGACCAAGAGGGTCGAACTACATACACAATCCTATTGGAAAAGATTCGATAGGAATCGCCAGTCAAATGTAAAGCCGATGTCTTTTTTCTCTCCTATGGAATCTGCACGTCAAGTCTATACGTCCTGCCAGCTTTTACATATTTCACAACTGTTCCATCTAGCTCATTCCCATCCAAGATCACTTCCACGCTCTTCACATCGGCGCGCTTAATCTCTACCTCGAAAGTCGCTCCCCGGAATTGCCTGCTCACCTTAATACCGTCCCATCTCTTTGGCAACTTCGGATCGATCTTCAAGCCCTCCTTAACACCCCTCAACCCACACAGCCCCTCTATGATGCATCGATACGCCCAGCTTACAGTGCCGGTATTGAACAATTGCGAACTGCGCCCAGCCGTGCGCTGGAACTTCTCGATACCCCAGCCTCCACGGTAGTAGTTTGGTATGAACACCGGCAACTGACCTCTTGCCAGTAGATCTTCTTCATCTGGCCCAGCAATCATTGCGCGAAGGCAGGAGTATGCGCGATCTGCCTCGTCGATGGTGTACATCGCCCACGCGTAGAAAGATGCAGCGTGGTTGTACACACTGCCATTCTCGCCTTGTCCGGGATACTTCTGCGTCACGCGGCCAACATCTTCGCGCATGGCTGTGAACGGTGGCGCAAACATAAGCACACCATATGGAGTCGTGAGTTGGCTGTCAATCTGCGGCAAAATCTTCTTGATCTTTTCAGACGAAGCCGCGCCACCGAGAATACTCCATGCCTGCGGGTTGAGCCAGATACGGCCTTCTTTGTCGTCTTTGATACCAAACGTAACACCGTCGTCTGTGATGCCTCGAGAGAACCAATCACCGTCCCATAAATATCGGTTCGCTGACTCGTTGACGGTTTTTGCGCCTTCGCGATACCTGTTTGCAGTGTCGACTTTGTCGACTTGTTCGCAGACATCGGCCCAGAGGTTCACCGCGTACGCGGTAGCGACGGTCAGCCAGCCTGACACACCGACCCCTTTTGGACCAACCATGTTCATGGGGTCGCACCAGTCGCCTTGTGCGATGTAGCTCAGGCCTCGAGTATCTCTTGCGCTGGAAGAAAGAAGCCAGTCCATTGCGCGACTGAAGCGTTCAAAGACCGTATGCGTGTCTCCGTGCAAGCTCTTGACTTTCTTGTCGAGAAGATCGTAGTCTCCTGTCTCGCTGAGGTAGATTTCTAGTGCGATGGGGAGCCAGACACAGTGATCTGTATGCGGAATTTGATTGATGTACTTCAGCTCCGCACCTTCCGTCAGTAAGATCCCATCGGGCATTGCGCCACTCTCTTCCTGCTGACCAATTGCAGTAAGGATTGCGTCGCGACACACGTTAGGCTTGATGAAGGCCATACCCATGTTGTCCTGCAGGTAGTTCCGAGTCTGAGGGTCGGTGGTAAGCCGATTGACGTCGCCGTGATAGTAGACTTGTCGTGGTAGCCAATTGTTGACAAAGTTGTCGAGATCTTTATCTGGTGTTTCGATCTTGAGACATCCACTGCCTGCTGCGATGTATGCTTCATACTCTTTCCGGGCCTGTGCAAGACCATCCTTGCTGAGATATTTCTCTCGCATGGCGAGGATCTCCGCTTCGTCGAATGCTGGACCCAAGAGAAATCGGTATTCCTCCGAGCTGTTCGGCTGAAGCTCAGCTCGATACTGCACCGCAGCTGTAGGGGTCTCGTATCTCGCATCGCTATTGCTCAAGTACTCCGCTTCCAATGCTTCTGGGGCGTGTAAATTGCCTTCGCCCTCAAATGCGTCTTGTCTAGCTTCCCATGCAACCGGTGCCTGCTCGCACAAAAAGTAGGTCTTGTCTTTCAGGAACTTCGTCTTCGGGTAGTCTTCTGCTTTCTGATATGGCGTCTTACTGCTTGCCACAATACCGCCTACTTCCTCGTTCCACTCTGCCTCCTGATTCATCCAGGACATATATCCGAAGGGAAAGAAGGGGTACACACTGGTCTTCCGCTTCCGGTTCGAAATGTTGGTGACTCTTATACTCCACAGCTCAGCGACATCCTCTGTCGGCAGCAGCAGGTTCATCTCCACCCTCACTCCATCCTTCTCTACTGTCCATTGGATATCACTTTTTCCAACTGAAAACACGAACCGATCCGGTTTCGCTCGGACTGGCTCATACGGCGCCGACCAAATCTCTCCCGTCTCTTCATCCTTAACATAGACAAACCGCCCAGGATGATGTGCATAATAATTTTGCTCCGGCTGCATGAAGGTCTTGGCTTCAAGATTCGGCGCGTGGACATACTTCGCAGGTTCGGGCTGCATGAACTGAGCGGTTGCGTAGCCGCGGCAGGTTACCTGGATCATCATCTTTTGGTTCCAGAGGAAGCCGCTGGCTTTGGCCATCGCAGCATGGTTTGTGAGTTCATAACGATCGCCGTTGTGCGCTGAACGGATCATGATGGACGGCTTCTTGATGTTGTTTCTTCGGAGTGGATAGCGAATAGTAGCGTTGGGCGATCATCCAATTCAAAGGCGCGTTATACATATACTTGCGTGTTTTCGACCAGAGATTCGAAGAGCGTCCAGTGGGAACATCCTTCAAGTCTCGGTAATGGGACCAGGGTCGTTATAAGGCTCGGGAAACAATAAGCCGCACGTGGAGGAGTACAGGGAGGAGTAAGCGAAACATCGGTGTAGTAGTGTGGGGTTCAGCCTAAAAGGGTAACCCTGAGGCGGTTAAACGGTCCGTGACGCCTTTAGCCAAACGCGATGCGCGCTCGTGGGGGTGAACCGGGGTGGAACATCTTGGCGTGCGACTTGTCAAACGTAAGACTGCTGGCGTGAGTGTCGAGAGCTGTCTGAAGGTTAAGAAAGAGAACTCACGAGCTGAGGCACAAGTCAAGAAAAAGAGTGGATTTGCAGTCGCGATATACCTGTAAGGCCGCGAATGGATAGCCCTCCTTCCTACTCGGTAGTGGACAACCCAATCCCTTAAGAGGAAGAGGTCTCGCCGACAGTCTCGTTCCGCTGCTCAGTCTTACCTTTCTCTGATCGTCTGGTGACCATGACATACTTCCCCGTCTCTGGGAAAGGCGTCTTCTTTTTGCTCGAAGTCTCTTGCTCTTCCTTCTCCGGCGCGTTCTCCCACCAGGAGTTCTGGATCACGATGCCAGACGACCAGTATCTTACCTTACCATCACCGTCGACGCTAACATAGCCGTCCCGAATGCCAGTGATCTTGATGTTTCCATGGAACCCATTGCTCACCCACACACTATCAACATCCTTCGGGTGCATGAACAGTTCTTTCGAATTACGCTGGGTATCGTAGACAAGATTCGTGCCGTCAGAGAAGTACAGATGGAGGAGGCGTCCGTCATCCAGCCAGTTGATATGTTCGACACTGGTGCAGCCCCGGTTCTTGTCGTCTTCGATCTGGTAGTGCTGTGTGATTGTGCCTTGTGTGCCGTCAAATGGGCGCCAAACGTACGCGTGCTTTCCGGTGCAGAGCGCAATTTGTTGCCCGTCTGGGTGCCACGCAAGGCTGCGGCACCAGTCTCGAAAATCAAAGCCCTCCGGAAAGCTAGCTCTTCCCTGACCGCTTTGCGCATCGTGGACGAAGAGAGCTTGTCCATTTCCGGTACTCCAGACTATGTGCTTCGAATCAGCGGAGAATGCACCAGTCCAAGCTTGGCCACCTCCAGTAGTGACCCATTCGAGCTCGCCGGTTGCCGCGGAGTACATGCGTAATGTCCCATCCCAGGCTACGGAAGCTATATGCTCTTCATTGGGACTGATCGCAGACCACATGATAGCATCCGTGTGACCCGAAAGACGATGCAGCTCCTTGCCATTTATGACGTCCATCACGATGACGCGTGGGAGATCGTCGGGATCTCTCATGCCTGATTGAGTCGATTTGTTCTGTGTGTGATACAGAAACAATTTTGCATCGCTGCTGAAAGACGTAGAGCCAAATCCGCCAAGCTCGGCATCGTCAAAGACTGTGTTGTGTCGACGGCGATGGGTTGTGGCCACATTCTTCAGTGCTTTCGCGAAGTCTGTGTGCAACAATGATGCTTTGACAAAGTCCTTGGACCACTCGTGTTTCCTTGTGAGATCCGGGAGGATTGCATCGATGGCTTGCGCTGCGAATGCGGACGCATCAATTGGTTCTTCTTGATCCAGCAGACGCCCCTGTTCATCAAACTCCCAAGCAACGAGCTGATTATCTACTCCAGTTCTTCTGCCCTCGTCTGATGCACTGCAGATAAGAGCATAGACTGGCGTTGGTGGCCTGGCGGTTTCACCTTCAGCACTCTTCCTTTCGGTTGGTTGCCTCAGGGGAGCGAAGACCAAATAACCTACGCCATCGACCACCTGGCACAACTCCTGCGATTCGATATTATAGACAAGAATGCGCTCGTGTGTTGAAGTTATGGCGAGCAGTTTGTGGTCAGGGCTGATAGCAGCGTAGTAACTTTCGTATGGGGACTCGGGCTGTCCATCTCTGATTGCGTGCTGGAAATTGAGCCAATGTGTCTCGTCTCCCCATTGCCTTGGATGCCCAGGAGCGTATTGCGCGACTTCACCGTTGAGTTCGAAGTCATGCAACGGTTTCAAAGGGAAGGTCCATTCTTTGACCAAGTCTTTGTATGGGCAGCAGGTCCTTTCCGCTTTCACGATTCCTACGGGAGTAGCTTCGGTGGTGGCCATGTTGAGATTGTTGCCTTGAGTTCTGTATGTTAGTTGTGATTTATGCTTTTGCTATTGCGGTTGCCTGAAGCTTGGCCGCCACTTCCATAAGCCGAGCTCCGCATTAGATGCACATCATATAGGCAGGGTACTAGCAACGAATGAAAATGTGAACGATACGAGAACGAAATGCAAAATCGACACCAGGCATCCAGGCAGCAGCAAAGGAGAGAGCATTGAGAAGAAATGTGTGAGCTGAAACGAAACGCCAATCTCATAAATTGCCAACCACCCATTAAAGCTCAACCGCTCTGAGGAGCAGGAACGATGAGGGTGATGCAGCAGAGAATGATGCCAGATTGACTCACCAATCCGGAGCTTCTATAGAGGTGCAGCCACGAGAGCAGCGCACGCCCACAGCGACTTGGAGTTGTTGATCTTGGGTGTTGCCTTTGTTCAGCAGCCATACATCAACAGATGTTGGGACTGACCCGACTGCTGAACCCACAATCGAGGTGCAAAGACCTCGAGTGTGTTACGCCCGTGTGCTACATGACTGGCAAGTGCATGTGCCGCAGGAGATGCAAACCCATAAGGCGAGCAATGTGCGGGACATCGTAGGCGTCCAGGCAGTCATATAGTGACATTGCTGATCGAGAGCGCCGACGTTACAGATACTCGCTCTTTGTCGCTGTTCGCAAACGCATATATGGCGAGTACTGTAGTCTGAACTTGATGATGGGTGAGCGTTGCGAAGAGAAACTGAGGAGGCGCGGAAAGACCCACCTTGTCTAGCGCGTCGGCTAGCGTGGCTCTAGGGCGTTTCTCTCAAGGCTCGTATCTTCAGATCATCACCATTGTCATCTCCACAGAAGAATGGATCCGAATACTCATCTCACATCATCTAGCCATTCCTCGTCATCTATATTGGTCTTTCTCACACATAACTGGTGCCCGGTCGACGTATCAGCGGTCTGCCTTCAATTCAAACTCCTCCCAAAGGTACAATATCTTAACAATCCTCTAATCGCTCTCGGTCGGCACCATATTGAACCCCAGCATCGCCGCGTTCTCAGCCATGGCCTCCTTCGGCAGCGTATATCTCTCATTACCTTTCTTTCAGGCAACAAGCGGCATGTTCTGCACCTCAAACGCCTTACCACCCGCCATGTTCATCGCGCTTGGATACTGCATGATTGACATGAGATCGTACCCGCGCTGATGCGTGACAGTGTAGCGATGATTGATTGATTAGTTTAACGTCCTATGTGAGTCTGAGACTATGGAGGACGCGATGTGCAGTAGCTCCTCTAGTATAGAAGGAAGTAGAGTTACAAAAAGCGAGGGGGGTCTCTATAAGTACAAGGTTGGTGAGGATTTATGCCTTAAGCAAAGTTGCTAAACAATAAAAGAGTGTAGAACAAACAAAGGAGAGGAGTCGATGATTACGTAGTGCTAGGGCATGTCTAGTATAGCGATGACCCAAGCAGTCGTAATTGCCATTCTTGTCCTTACGGTACATGTCGTAGTACCCTTGGATCGAGTACTCGTGCGGCACGAAACTGAGCTGGTTCTAGGAGAAGAAAGAGTAGATGGGTGGGTTGCATAGCTTGTCCACTATCATACTGGTGGTACTTTGGATTACTTGTTCGGCTTTGTCGTAGTTGGCGAGGTTCTAGTAATTTAAGTGGACGTAGTGGTCCCTTATGTGATTTGGTGAGTGGTGGAATGACTTGCGACTTGAGAAGGTGGCTCACGGTCAGGGCGCTGGTGCTCGTGTGTCAGGCCGAGGACATGTCCAATCTCGTGGGCGGCGATCCAGTATTAGAAAGGTAGGTTACCAGCGAACATCTCGCTCCAGTCCATTCGTAGTCAGTTGCGATGCGGGCTGTTGTCTCACTCTTCTAAATTGTATCCCATCGTAGCAAAGCCTCCCCAAATCTTGTCTGGCAGGATATCAATCACTAGAGTACCGTTCGGGATCTTGGGGTTCCCTATATTGGTCAGTACCGAGCTTCAAGCAATTGTACGAACCGCCTCGACTTACGATCGTCGTCGAACTATCACAAGGCCATCTGTTGACCATCCATGTACTCCGAGAACCCTCCAAGACGATGACCTTTCCCAGGCCCACCGTTACCCAGGAGATTGTGTTACAACTCCCAACCTCCCTGGATTGCCGGTCCCAGCTTAGTCTTAGTCTCCAGGTCCGGCCAGCAATAATTGATGTTAACAATACCTTTGTCATCCTTTGGCCATAGCTTCATAGGGCTCGTGCCGGCGAGTACATGCGCCTACCCCATCACAGGGTTAGCGTCATACTGTGCGACAACCTTCTCAAGCAGAGTGACATTGCCTACGTACTTGAAGTCGTTGAGTGGCAGGATGCAGGACGTTGTGATGACAGCGAAGGCTGTCACTAGGATCGGGATGCGCCAAAGGGGGGATATGGTTACGGCATCTCGAGTTGCGAAGGTGTGTGAGAGGAAGTGGGTGTATTGGTGAACGCAGCGTTGATTTTATACGAGTGTGCACGAAGCTTCTCACGCTAAGCGAAGCATTGGTAAGTATAAGTGAAGGAAACTGTTGTTGAAGGGTTTAGATGTCGATTGATCCCAAGAGCTATTGGCAGGAATTGATCAAGATAATATAGTAGAAGGGAATAGCAGTGAAGGGGTAGGGAAGCAAACCGAGCTAACCGTATGAGCTGGACGATCAGTGCAGCAGACCGCTAGCAAACAGATGGTAATCGGTGGATATTTTCACTCCCTCCGACAACGGTCAACAACGAGTGCTCATCAGAACATCCCAGAGGTATTCGGGCACTCTATTTCATTCACTCTGCATCTACACTTCAGATTCTACTATATTGATCACCAGAGAACACACCATCACTGGCTCATCCCCAACCCCACCTTAACCATTCCAGGGATACATCATCTTCAGCGCTTTAGTGTCACTCTCCGTTGACCGTGTCCCAAAGCGAGTATCCTCTGCATTGCTGTCGGTGGCCTTTTCTGGTGGCGTATACCCATCCCCTCCATTTTTCCACTTCAGCAGCACATCATCCAGCTTCTTCCTGCGGCTTTGAGTGTTTATGGTGCTCGGGTAGTGCATGATGGACGTGAGATCATAGCCTTAGTCGTAGGTCATGGTGTAGGGGTGGTTGGCGCCGTCGAAGTGGTTGTGTTCCCAGTAGGGGACCGTCAAGTAGTCCCGTACTGCGAAGCCGATGTCTTTCCACGGGGAGAGGCGGCTGTAGATGGGGAAAGTGCAGAGGTCCTTGATTGTCAAGCTGTGGTGGTTTCGTACTTGCTCGGCTACGGCCTTGTAATTCTTCAGGTTTCTGCACTCGAAAATCATGTGGTGGTCGCCTGTGTGTATGCGGGTTAGTACAAAGAGAGGTAAGTATGTGTCAAGAGTGCTTACGATCCGGACGCTGATATTCGTGCGTGAATCCAAAATACGTGACCCGTTTCGTGAGCTGCAACCCAAGCGTTGTAGCCAGGCGGATTAGCTGGAAGGTATCCTAGGATGATGCCATGACGATCCTAGCGAGCACCCCAGTCCAAGGGCCGATACCGCTCGTCTGTAACATCCTTGATGTAGACCTGGAGAGTGCCAGGCTGTTGCGGTATCAATCGGTCCGTACGAGACCCGATTGATACCCTTGCTTAGACTGTTCTGGACTAGCACGTTCCAAGGCCAGTATATATCGTCGTCTCCTAGCTAGATAGCAATTCAGCGCATCATTCCACCGACCCGATAGTTCTACGTTATCGTTTACCGTAGCTATCAGTGTACTACAGCGGCTACGCCGCCACACAGGCTCTACTTTGGGGTTCCCTGTGATGAAGTAAATGATCAGATTGTACTCTCAATGAGATTACACAAGGTTTTACACTTACAGATTGGATATAAAGCATAGCAGTACTCGCTCTGTCCACGTGATGGTGTCCCTGAGAGACCACCCAGGCGTTGGCCGTTGCCCGGACTAGCATTACGTAGTGAATTGTACCAAAGCCGCCAGCCGCCCCAATCGCCTACTTTAATTTGCGTTGGCATCTTTTTCCACGTAACAGTACTTGATTTTGGCGATGCCGTTTGTTGCGGTGTATATAACCTTTAGGACCCAAGGATCAGAATGGTCGGCCTTCTTGTATCGCTGAGGGGCCGCGACACCGTTGCTGTTAGCTAGTTAGTGTTTGACTAGGTTGGTGTCTCCGAGAACGTGAGTCCAGCCAGTTGCGGCGGGCCTGGCTTCAAATTGAGCGACAGCTCCTTCGAGCAGGGTAGTGTTGTCAATATAGCGGAGGCCGTTGAACGGGGGTACACAAGAGAGAACAAGATTGGGAAATGCAGTCAGGAGGAGCAGCATCTTCCACAATGCGAACTTGAGACGCGCCATGTTGAGCCTGTGGACGATGTAGCGGGAAGGCGGAGGACCCTGAGCGGGTTCGTTCTTGTTTATACACAAAGTAGGGTTTAGCTTCATGACGCTAGCGACGAATCATGGGGGAGGAATAGGTGAAACAGAGGCCCTCAAACTCAGCGGGCGCCAGCCAAAGCGTTCCACGGCCTCTCACTGCGGCCCACTCTCAGCCGTGAGTTCAGGCTCCCCTCTCGCTCTTCTCGTTGCGAATTGTTGGTTGGCAGTGTTGTTATATTCTGTCGCTGGTTTGCGATTGCTTTTGCGTGGTCTCGTGTCGAATCTAACAGTGATCACCTGGGATTTGTCGGTACACTGCAGATGATCAGTCAGATTGGAAACTCGTAAGCGGTCACATTAAAAGCTGACCGCTGCTGTTCCCATTTTTCTAGAAGTGATCGAGCGTTCGGGATTTCGTATTCGGTCGATGTGAGTAAGTCGGAAGATCAGAATGATGAGTTGTTGCACAGCTTGCACTTTGAGCTGTTGAGGACTACTACTTGTATCTTCATCTAAGTGGCATGCCTCCAGATCTTCCCTCGGAACGTGCTATACGGTGGCAGTGAGTTCACCTGAGCCACCAATTCCGGCCTGTGCAATGAGTTCACCAGATCGAGACCTCAGGGGCGATGGCATTGCCCAGAGATCTCAACTCACACTTGAAGTAGGCTTTATCGTCTTGTCTATGCTGTCGGCCCTACGTTTCAAGTGATGCGTAGCTTACACATGGCGAGAACATGTTCCTGTTGGGAGCCGTTTAGTGGTCATAGCGGAGTCAGTGTAGGATGTGGATCAAAGTCAATCGAGTAATTCTATATGATGTCCAGAATGGGGGTACTTGCGATTCTACCAGACGTATTATTCTTGGGTTGTTCTATTGATGAGCTGCGCCTTGCTTCGATGAGTGCGAAAAGCGCTGCGTCTACTTCATAACTTTAATTCATCAAGGAGAATCTCTGCAATCATTACAGCGTCCATCAACCAGCAGAATACTTCAGAAGTGTTCCAGACACTGATATTATAAATTATGGTTTGTGCAAGCTGATTGCACAGCATAAGCTTGCCCGAAGCTCAGAGATGGCGTCGGTCACGACAGTCGTGTTCTCAGCGATCTAGTAGTAAATCTCTGTACCTTGGCCGAACGCATCGTCTATTATACTAATGTTGAGGTCGCAGACGTTCGTGGGTAAGAGATCGTCCTCTACAATTGTGCTCATGAATTGGTTCCAAGATTCTGTGTTGTCCATCAAACCCTGTAGGGTCGCGGTGTGATGATCCTTGTAGTCTTTGCGCGGCGCCCGAGGTGGACACGATGGAAAGGCGATCTGCTGAAAAGCAAGCTGCGCCAGCGCAGCTGCGTCATCGCCAGATCTGAAGTATTCAAGACGATCTTGCAGGTGGGGCTTTGCGTTATTCTCCGGATAGCCTTCCACGCGTCCGGTATCATGAGGGTTCCAACCAAAATCTCCGAGCTGAGGCTGAGATTGCAAGATCCTGCCCCATTCCATGCGGATCGCTGGTCGCTGGAGAAGAGAATGAATGACATTGCTCTGACGCCAGTTTTTCATAGTCTTATTATCCCTCTCGAAATGTTGCGCAACGTGGTTGCAGCGCTCTCTCCAATCGCTACTGAAATGTGTGCAGAAGCCACATCCCCAGCCAGACCGCGACTGACGCTTCTGTTTGGCAGCCTCAGAGTGTCCCTCCCTTTGACAAGTCTCACAATTGTGACGTGTGTCGTGGTGATAGAGAAAGTCTTTCTCGAGGAAGTAGACGGCGCTACATAGGTTACAACGAAAGACAGATTGGCGTTCTTGATAGGTTTCCTCGTGACGCTTCCAGTCGTATTTCTCAATGAAGGGCTCTTCACAAGAGGTGCACCAATACCTCGGCTCTCTTTGCGATCGTCGACTTCGACGTGTCCGTGAGATGCATGTTGCGAAAGGGTCTTTCTCCGGAGCTACATGCCGCTGCGATATTTTTCTCTTTGCCATCGACGGTGCGGGCGATACCGGCGATACAGGCTCCTCGACGGGGCTAGCGACATAAGATGAAGGTATTAAAGGATTAAAGTATGTCGTGGTACCAAGGCTGGATGTGCGTTGACTGTAGGGTTGTTCGGATACGTTTGACCAAGACGAATTCGTTGAGGCCATCGACGTGCGTGACTGCCATTGTGAGGAAGCACTGGCATTGGAGGATCGAGGATATGAAGCGAATGACGATTGGGTTGAAGTCGACAAGCGTGGTTGCTGCAATGGTTGCTGGTATACAGGGGTAGATACTGGCCAGAAGCTCGGTTGCTGAGCTGAATAGTCTACAGCTATCATTAGCAACTAACATCAAGTCTTGCGAATGAATAGAGCGGTACCTGAGCATATGTGATTGTACACCCAGGCATCATTCTGCTGTGTGATAGACTGCTGTTGCCCATCGATGTATTCGGTTGTAGGGAACATGGTCTCATCCATGTTCATATCCATGTTCGTTGTGATATTATTATCGTAAGGCGAGCCTGCGCCGATGTCTTGAATATTAATGCTCGTAGTAATAATACATGAAAAAGCGCTTCGCTAAAAGGCGGGGAATAAAATGTCGATCGAATGGTGAGAACACGCGGGTACCGTTGAAATTAGACGAACTGCTCACTCCTTGCCTCATGGTGGTCGGTCTTAAAAGCACCGTACTTGAGTTCCTGAGGCTACAAGACGCGTCCCAAAGGGGGTTAGTCAACAGATGTTCACCTGAAACGCGGCCGCAGAGCGCGCCTCTGGCAGCTGGCGTGTTTCGTTTCAAACGTCAACGCACAGAGCCCACAAGATGACGCTGGTTGGTCATATGCTGACCGTACAGACCCGCATCGCGTTTTGTGCGGCTGTACACACTGTGCCTTTTGGGTCGAGCAGAAAGGGCGAGGTGTTGAGGGAAGTCGAGGGTGAGGAGGCTGAAACGCGTTTGGCGGACAGGCAACTGCGCCGTTCGCCAAGCGAGCTGTCGTCATAAGCGGAGCAGGAACGCACCCACATGACATTGCTGTTCATCGCTGCAGAAAGGGGACATAGGGCTATCGATATACCTGTGAACCGGAAAGCATTGCTTTGTCTTCGACTCTGACTACGATCCTTGTTCACCAGAGCCTCGAAGTGCGGAGCACCCCGATGCAGGGATAAATCTATGCCCATTCATTCCTTTGATCTTATTTCCTAGATCAAAGAAAGGTCGTCAAAAGTAGCAGATGGGAGACCTGAACCATTGGTTTAGGTATCGTTGAAGACTTCGAGCATTGTAGAGCGGGTAGTCCGTTCATGTGTGTTACTCTGGTGACTACACATCGATTGAACTGCTTCCAACGTGCCTTATTTGTTGCGGTGTATATAACCTTCAGGGTCCCAGGCTCAGGAAGGTCGGCCTTCTTGTATTGCTGCGGGGCCGCGATATTATTGGCCAAGCTGCTGCCTTTGAAGTATTGATTATGTGTTGTGAAATTGGAAGTACCCCATACGCTGTCTATACCGGATTATCAATAGCGATCATCTATGCGTGCAAACGACTCGACTGTAGCATTGACCTGTGGTGATGATATGCTGCTCTGGTGACTACATGTCGTACTAAGATTCTTTCCACAGTGGCATCTAGTCATTGGCTGGCTTCGATGCCTCGAGCTCGCTGCGCTATCAAGTCTTCCATTCAGTCCAATGACTACATGTCCCATTGCGACCTTAATATCTCATTCGTTTGCCCAGCTGTCGGCTACAATGCCTGTTGCCTTTACTCTCCCAAGCTCTTAGCTGAATGAGTTGACCACAACCATCTAGCGCCTCTCCCTGTTTTGAATGCGCCGGAGCCTGTGGAAGTTTTGCCAGAAATTGACGTCCTGCTGCCATAAGATGCTGGTCCAGTCTAGACCACAGGCAGCGAGGAGATTTGTGCCACCATCGTGACCAGCCTTTTCCGCGAGGAAAGGTGTGGCCACAACGAAAGCAACCACGGCGGGTAGCTCGCCGTTCGCCAGCAGCTTCCAGACGAGGATGCGGTAGAGAACGATGTGAGGAAGGTCACCGATGTGACCGCGGGGAGGTTCAGGGTGGGGAGCTGGGCGCACGATGGTGTACGCGGTGGTGCTGGAGGAAGCCATTGTGCAGCGGAGCGTCGTGAAAAGGTAGAAGGTGTGGTGTGGAGGTTTTCAACCGTAGAGTGTTCAGCCCAAATGGGTCTATGTGTAGCGCTGGAGAGCTTCAGGGACTTACGGATGTCGTTGCTAATAGGAGCAGAATGTTGTAGAGGCGTACGAGAGCGGGTTTCCTGAGGTGGAGATGTTGTCGGTGAAGTCGACGTAGCCAACTTGGTAAGATTTCGTAGCTTCAGCGGCTGGTCCATGCGCATGTGAAATGCCCAGGGTGACCACAGAACCAACGATATACCGAGCTGCAAGCATTGAGTGGCTCCGGAATGAGCATTCGGAGTGCGTTTGATGCTCATGATACTATTTTGGCGGTATGCGAGCAACTGAGTGTTGGGTATCACAGCCCTTTTGGCGAGTGTCGTGCACTTGCATGGCTCTTTGCCCGTCTACGCCGCTCCCCAAACCCTCACCATCCCACCACAGCACAGCCTTCGACCTCATCTCCGGTGTACTGCACACGTTATGCTCGAGTAACATGAACACTAGCCTGCCGTTACCCTCGTCCTGCTCGTTTCTCTGTGTCTGCCGCCTTGCCTCAGTGCGCCCCTTCCTCTGCAACTTCCTCGACCATACCACCCCGCCACCACCCACGCCTTTGTACAAAGCAACTGCCTGCGATGGGAGGAGAGGCTCCATTGTGTCCCTCATATGATTTGACAGAGATTGTTCATAATGGAGAAGCTGTCTTGCCAGAAAGACATTGTGCGGCGCAGCTTAGCCTCACAGCCAGTCGAGCCAACGTGGTAATTGAGCATGACGAGGCTGTCGACTTACCTACTGATACGCAGATCAGAACCGCGACACTGGATTGTCAACACAGTGTTTCTTCAGAAAGCGCCTCGAGTTCGAGTCCACATGCGCGCCCTCTCGCCGCCATCTCATTCACGAATTACGGCTTTCGAAACGAGCCGCTCAGCGAGTAAGAGTTGGCGACGACAAGCAATCCAAAGACAATGACAGGGACAGCGTCTTACCTTCGTGAAAGCGAAGTCAGTCGAGAGCGTGCGCCATCGCAGCTTCCTCGAGCCTCAACGTGGGAGTCCTGACCGAAGGAGTGTCTGAGCACCTCCTCTCCTCGCGGTCCACTACCCCATCAACGAAAGCAACGATTCCCTGCACGCACTCTACCATACTGTGACGACGAGGCGAGAACTACGTAGCAGTAGCGCCTACCAGAGATAAAAGCAGAACCAGACCGCGATCTACGATCCTTAGGCCTTGCGTAAGGGCAAGATATACACACATGCCATGTCGATGGCCACAGGAGAAAAGGACTGCAGATATTCATACTACACCTTCGTTCAATCGGACTTCGAGGCCGGGTCGATCTGCTCTTGAACTGGGCACTGACCAATGGGCTGGGAGACCGCAGGCACAACAACTGCTCTCAGTAGACGATAAGACTCGCAGCGCGCCGACAAGCCACTGCCATAAGAGTAAATTGCAACGTGTTGAAGAGATGCCATTGGCGGTGCAGGAATCGATAGTGCCTGTGGCGGGCTTTGGGAACAATTAAGATGATGAAAGGATACCGAAGCATAACAGCCAGACAGTCTGAGAACAGCAGAGAAGAACACAAGACATTCAAGAAACGGTGGATATTACTGCCTGGACAAAGACGAAGTTGGGTTTCGAATGAAAGGAACAAAGAGCAAGGACTGAGAAACAATGCGCCGGGCACGGCAGCTAGGCTCAGCTGCTCGGGCGTCGACATTGCCGATGAACACCGCCGGAGCTCCAGGGGCAGCGGAGTCAGTCACTCGAGAAGTCATTGCGGATCGCGGATGTCCATGTTGTAGATTGGGGACTGTGGTGGGATGTTGCATTGTACCACGGAGCGGCTGCGGCGAGACATGATCCAGCTCAACCTCTTCTCGAATAAGGTCTGACAAACTTCTCGAGGGTCTGGTAGTTGCAGCGGTTGGCAGTCGCAAACTTGGACGTTCGATCATGACGGAGCTGAACGCGTCTTTGTCCAGCAGCACTTTGAGCCATGCCCTCATTCCCACGCGAGAGGACTCCTTGAAATGGCGTTGAAGTCACCAGAGCGACCTCATCACGCCAGCCAACAAGCCATCCAAATGCCATACAGTCTGCTGTACTCTCTGATACCTTGCTTAGTCAACCCGCTTGTGCCTCAAGTTCTCGGAAACTCAGGAACGGGCAGCAGCTCTTCCAGCCGCTTCGCAACGGCGGCGCATCGGTCGTTGAAGGGCTCGACATTGGCTTGCAGCAGCGTTGTCCAGTCGGTCACATCTTGCAGTTTTACACCAACAAGTGCAGAGCGAATGTCCTCATGTGTCTCGTCCACAAGCTCGGCCTCGACATCGAAACTCTTTACGATGCCATGATGCACGTTCATGGTAATCTCGGGGCCGTTACAGAAGTCAAGCTTTGCGTCGAATTGTGGCGTTTGCGCCCACATCCAATCTTGCGTCTGCAGCTGTCAGCACTATTCTACGCAGAGAAAATACGAGACACTCACACGAAGCTCATCATAACCTTTTCTGATGTCGGGGATGTTCAGGTATTCATCGCCGACGGTCTCAGCGACATTGATCTTGCCGATACTAGCATACGTCACTGCGAAAACCTCTTGCAGGCGCTGCTGGTATGCTTTTAGGTCCAGGCCAATGTTCGAAACTGGCGAGCTGACGCTTTCGACGCCTTTGGCCTCGATGTTGTGCTTTGCCGGAGAGCGTAGATATTGCGAGATGATGTGCAGGTTTGGCGATTCCAGAAGGGTAGTCGCATGGTGTAGAGCTCTCTGTCGTGTGAGCTTGTATGCCGATCCAGATACCTTCAACGGCTTCGGTATTCCCTCATCGACTGTATACGGTGTACGGTGTGTGTCTTCAGGGTCGGAGGGACGCCTTTCTTGGCCTTGATCGAGCACGATGTCGTGTCGTTCATTGACCCTGGCCCGCTCGATGCCTTGCTTGCGCAATGCGCGCACGACCATCTCAGCATGTTTGTCTCTGGTAAACTCATTGCGTGGGCAGGTTATGCTCCAATTGAGGTTGCCTTCATCGTGGAAGACAGTACCACCGCCAGAGCGCCGGCGCACGAGATCGACAGCGCCTATACCTGGAGGTTCGGTGTCTTTCAGCTCGTTCGTGCCCCTCGCAGCGTTGAGGATGCTCAGATTGACCTCAGTCCACGGGTTCTGGTTGCGACCAATCACCACGCATGGCCGGTTCACGTAAAGGAAGAGGACCGTGCTGTCGGGCGGCGACTTGCGCAAAATGTGGTCTTCGATACTGAGGTTCAAATACGGATCGCTGCTGCGAGAGATGTAGCTCTGCAGCTTATTCGCAGGATTCGAAAGGGTCTCCGTGAACGACGAATAAGTTCGGCGCGCGTGCATCGGCCATGCCAGTGTTGTCGCGGTCGTTACGGGGTGATGCGGAATGCTGCGACATTTGGTGAAGCTTTTGGAGAGACACAACAGCTGCACACCTCTCGAGGGTGCCATTGTGCTTGAAGGGAGAGGGGGTGGTTGAAGTTGAGAAGCTCCAGACGCTGCGTGCTCCCGCCGCGCCAAACTGCCGGGCGGTGTCCCACGGCAACGACCCTACACATCATCATGAGGAACGTCCAAACTCAGGCTTCTTCCTCCCACTCACGCCCAGACGCGTTTTTCACAACAATGAGTCACTACCGGGTTCGATCGTCGTACCGAGCCGCTCGCGTTAATCGCGCTGCCCGTCTTCATACGTTCGCTAGACACGTGATGTGACGTGACGTGACGTGACGTGACGTGACGTGACGCTACGCTTCAACCACTGCAAACGATCATCATTGAAAGAGTGATCTGGGATGCCGTTTGCAAATGCATACCTTTGTTTGGCCATCAAACCGTGGAACTTCACTCCGGCGCATGCCCAAATCCAGATCAAAATGATGCATCCATCACGCTCGGTTTGCGCGGCACCCCTCAAAGAGGTCGAGGATCTCTGGTTGTAAAGCTTTTTCATCTTTATCATTCCCAAACCCACATCACCGAGCAGCATGGCTGGGTCGCACCGGACTTCGAGCATCTTTCGTTGTCGTCAAAGGCCGTGTCATCCATCGATGCCACGATCCATTTCGCACGTTCGTGCACCGTCGCGCCAGCCTGAGAATCCTCCAAGTCTTTTCGCCTTTTTGTGCTTCATCTCGATCTTTCCCTATTGTCATATCTCAGATTCTGCAGCGACGTACCTTTCGGAGCAGGCCTGTGCGGACACGATTATTTCTGGTAAGGAATGTACCTCAAACAACCATCTTGCACAAGCGCAACATGATAGATCTCCCTTGGTAAGTAAACAGATTCGGATTTCCACGATCGCTCCTGCTGGCCTATATGCAATAGGTCAGATTGCTGTCCGTGATTCCACGTTGCTGCCGCTCCATCTGTCTGAGTTTGTTTTCAAGGTGGCCGTCATGGAAAGGTTGAAAGTCACCTTCTCTTCACCTAGAGGGACTTGCGGCATCCCCTCCCTTCACATTTACACCCCTAGCCTCGCCATCCAGTAAGTCGTCTTCCACATCATGATTTCTAAGCTGTCCAAGGTTAGGTACCCAGGAGTTGAGGTCCTCCAGGCTCTGTACTGTCCAAGCCTTCAACCCGCTAGGTCAACTCAAAGCCCTCCGCGCCACTTTGACCAGCCTCAGACGCACGCTTGAGCAAAGCTGTATTCGCAGGTACTGAAGTTGACATAGCTCCGTGCCCACCAACATGACGGTGGTTTCCGTCTGCAGTCTTCATCGCCCTCGCTCTTGAAGGCAGGGTGGCTCAGTCGCCTACGATTGTTTGTTTTGCATAGTTGATCCGGTAAGGAACCCACTACTCCATGTATTTGTGCTTCATTAACATGGCTGCAGGAGTTTGATACCAAAGAGGACCCCACGGGGAATAAAAGTTTTTTCTTGCGCACATTCACGTATTTGCATTTTCCGTACACTTTTGTGGTGTCGCGCTAGCTCTACGGTTGAGGCTGAACCATCACGGCAAGGCTAACTCGGTTCCCCACATCCGGCTCCGGCTTCTGCAGCATGACAGCACGACAGCCGCCGTAAGGAACCAATGTCTCGGTGTTGGATCCAAGCCTAACAAACTACAAGACCAAGCATTGTGCTCCGCAACATGAGTATCACGTCTTACTTCACCACCAAATCCCTCCACCACCACCCCTCCTACCTCTACACAATCGTCATATCCACACCATGGCCATCGCAAAAGAATCGCCAGATGAGCATTTGCCGATTGTGATATCCGGCGGCGGCTGCGTCGGCCTCTTCCTCGCACTCCTCCTCGCGCAAACACCCCTCCCAAACAGTATCCTCGTCATCGAACCGCAGCACCCAGACCCAACATCGACCCGCGCAATGGCCCACCAACCGCCTACATTTCCCCTCTTCGCACAAGTTCCTGGCCTCCTTCCCGAACTCATTGCTGCTGGCAGCCTTAGTTCAGGGCTGTGCTTCCGCACGAGTGTCAAGAACGGGAGTAAAGTGATCGCGAGTAAGACATTTGACAACAGTGGAGAGGGGATGAAAGGGAAGGGACAGTTGTTGTTGCCGCAGGGGAAGTTTCAGAACGTGTTGATTGGGAGGCTAGGGGAGGTCGCGGGGAGGGCGGAGGTCAGGCTGGGGTGGAGCGTGGAGGGGTTTACGGAGTCTGAAGAAGAGGCTAAAGTGGCGGTGCAGCTCGCGAGTCCCACGGGCCAGACGGAGTACATTGATGCTGCGTACTTGGTTGGTGCGGATGGTGCGCATTCGATTGTGAGGAAGTGTATGGGTGTCGAGTTGGAGGGCGAGACGCTGGATCGCCAGCTCGTGGCCACGGATCTAAGGTTCCCATTCAAGACACACGGCTTCTTCGACGCGAATTTCATTGTAGATCCCGAGAATTACGGACTCATTGGGCGGATTGATAATGAGGGGTTGTGGCGCGTGAGTTACGGCGTGCCGGGGAGTCAGTCTGAGGAAGAGATCAGGAACGGTGTGAGTGAGAAACTAAGGGGCATGTTGCCGAACAACGGTCAGAACGAGGAGGGTGAGGATGCGTTTGAAGTCGTAAGAATCGCACCATACCGCGCGCAGCAGAGATGTGCGTCGACGCTGAGCAAAGGCCGTGTTCTTCTTGTGGGAGATGCGGCCCACCGTAAGTACCTCACTCAAACCCACTCTACAAACCCACTTCCAACTCTCTACTAATACAGCCCTAGTGACAAACCCCTACGCCGGTCTCGGCCTCGCCTCCGGCATCGCAGACGCCGACTCCCTCGCCCCTATCCTCTCGCACGTCCTGTCCGGCAAAGCGACCAACACCACTCAGCTCCTCGCGTCGTGGTCCGAAGCACGACAACAGAAGTTTTTCGACGTGGTCGACAAGCCGAGCCGCATGGCGTACAAGCGGGTACGGAGTAAGGTTGATACTGAGGACGATGTGAAGGCGTTGTTGGAAAGGGATCCGATGGTGGGTGCGCTGAAGAGGGGGATGCCTGTTATGCCGCCGAGTTTGAGGACGGTGGGAGGGGATTTGGTGGGATGGTGAAGTAATGTACCAAGGAGATCTAATTAGGAATGAAGTTGGACTGAAAGGGGCCTTTTGGAGCGCTCTAAGTGTCGGGAAGGACTATATGCCCGGGTCCTACAGGACCAACCCCTTCCTAGCCCCCCTCTCGCTCAACTTGTAGTCCTTCAACATCGCCACCCAGAGAATACAAGGTACAAGCGCACAAGTCCCCACAATAACCATCAACCTCTGTGCATCGCCATATGCCCTCACCACCGCCTGCCGCTCAGGGCTGTCCCAGGGAAAGCTCAGCTGCGTGACCAGACTGGCATAGATCGTCGGTCCCTGAGCCTTGAGCTCAGCAGGCAAATACTCGACGATCTTCCTCGACACAGTCTGCGTCCAAATAGCCGTACTAACCGTCTGTCCGACACTACCCCCAATACTCGTAACCATCGCCAACAACGCCAGTCCCACAGCGACGTTCTCATGCGGCACCGCGGCCATGACGGCGAGTTGCTCGACCGCGACCATCATGGCGCCGCACATGGCGCCGAAGACTTCGACCATGACGAGCAAGCCGATGCGCGTGCCAGGCTGGCGGAAATGGATCATCAGGCCCGTCATGAGGACCTGGATGGGCAGGGCGACGATGGCGGCCCATTTGTAGCGGTCGGTGTAGCGGATGGCGAAGGCGAAGATTACGCCCCAGGCGCAGGAGACGATGTTGAAGATGTTGGTTATGTAGCCGGCTTTTGCGACTGAGAGACCGAAGACTACTTGGAGGTAGGAGGAGTAGTACATTTTGTACGAGCTGAGAAAACGTCAGTAGGGAGAGTCTCTGTTTGGATGGTATGGAGCAGCTCACTAGAAGGCGATCCAGGAGTTGGCGCCGAGGAAGCAGGCGGCGACGACGGAACGGTCGGTTAGGAGGTGGAAAGGGAAGAATGTTTTGGGGGCCCAGAAGCGCTCCCATGCTGCGAAGAGCCCGAGTAGGATGAGACCGAAGACGATCATGCAGATGATCATGGGGGCGCGCCAGCCTTCGCCTTGGTAGGCTGCGAGACTGAAGGGCAGGAGGAAGATGGAGAAGCCACCGCAGATGAGAAGCAGGCCGATTACTATAAGCAATTAGTAGCTAGTCCGCAAAGCAACGCGCGTGTAGAAGCCTACCATCAAACTCGATACAGTAGTATTTGACAGACTGCAAGAAAGTCTTGCCACTCTTCTCCGTCACAGCGACGCCTTGCTGCTTAGCGCGCCTATTCATCAGATAAAAGATGAGCCAGAATGGGATGCACATGAACGGCGTAATGATCGTGAACGCGCCATATCCCCATCGCCAGGTGGAGTTGTCCAAAAAGCGCTGACCGAGCTCAGGGCCAGCAAAGGTATTAACAATGTACGGGGTCGACGTGAAAGCCAGCCAGATAGCACGATTCCTCAGGTCCGAGGTATCCGCAATGAAGACATCGAGAACATAGTCCATGCCGTTCATACCAGTCCAATAGAAAACCTGAGCAGCAGCGTAGGTTTGAACGTTCTGGCAGACGCCCATCATGATGAGGGATAGAAGGACACAGATAAGGCAGATGAAGAAGCCGTGGGGACGGCCGACGAGATCGATAAACTTGGCGAGTGGTAGCTTGGAGACACCGCCGATGAGGTTGGCGACGATGCCGGTGATGCCGGTCAGTCCGTGAAGGGCAAACTCGCTTGTGACGTAGGGGGTCCAGGAGTAGTTGCTTTGCTGTTGAAGGGAGTTTGTGAAGGAGATAAGCCAGATCCTCAACTTAATGTCAGATTTGTTCTCATATCATCAACAATCATAGTGGTTTTAGAAGCTATCATGAAAATTCGATGACTTACAAGCAGTAAGCAGTGACGAGCCACTTCTTCGACCAGGTCAGGGTGATGGCTTCCATCTGCTTAAGCCCGGCGGGCTGTTGCGAATCGATGCTTTCAACATCGCTTGGCTTCTGTGCGTGCGAGTCAGTCCTTCCACCTGTCTCAGTGACAGCAGCTGTCTTGATATCGCCGGAGGTGTTGGGAGCATCGATGCTACGTGAAGACAGTGCGAAGCTAGCAGCCCGCTCCATGCCTGTCACGTTTGAAGTGGCCATGTCAATGGAAATCGACCAGATTGCCGCAAGGCAGATCAACCGTCAGTATTGAGGAGAAGAACAGCTGGGTGCAAGCAGACATGGATTCTTGCCACATCTTATAAGATAAGGAGAATGATGTGCTCCGAGGGTTCCTCTCTCGACAAGCTATCTGGCCATGCATGGAAGGTACCCATGGAGTGATAATTTTCTACGACTAGGTAAGACTCTCTTGGCGTCTGACAGATCAGGGTAGAGGTGGCATGAGTAGGTACCATGCCACGTGTGAGGGTTCCTGTACCTTGCCATTGAAAGCTTGGCTCCGCTACTAGGACGCTGCCATGGTGCGTGGGTCCTGGACGAGAGCACACCTGTAATGGTGTCTGGTTCATACGATTTGTACGACGTGTTCGTGTGTGCTCAAATCTGAAGGCAAAGTTACTGTAAATCTAACTTCAAGTACAAGCTCATGACCTGATCTCGAAACAATCATGCCAGTCGGGAGAAACGTCGAGCCAAGGTAGACTAACACTCGCCTCCTTCCAATCGGTAAGACCGAGCAGACTGTTTGCCAGATACTATTTTCCTCAGTCGCGTCAGGCTGACTTATCGCCGTGAGATGATCTGATAAAATTTTCGGTTCTATCGTCTTGGTAAGAGTGGGGTATACCAAGGCTGCTTGACTCGGATCCTAGGTGCTCTTGGCGTGAAGGATGTGGACGGACTGTCTTGGTCCGGAGGCCGAGAATATCGAACAAGTCGTGGGCGCCGCGGGCTTGAAGAACTCATGTTGAATTTGTACTAACACAATGCATACGATCTAGTCGCCGCTGCGGGCCAAACATGCCTCGCCGCTGCCACTTTTGCAAATACCGGCCTCCTCGCCATGCAAAGGCTCAACACCCACTAACTTCATTCTCAGCAACGCCACTCAACTGTTCATATAGTACTCAAACCAGATATCCCACTACGATGTCTGGAGAGTGACTTGCTCAACACCGCTGGAGATGGCCTCCTCAGCCTTCTTGTCTGCCGGTCCATCCTTGCCCTTCTCGGCAGCCTCGACACCCTCAGCCTTGCCAGCGGCCTTCTTCGCCTTCTTCCTCTCCTTGTCGGCCTTCTTTGCAGCAGCTTTCCTGGCCTTCTCCTCCTTCGCTTTGCGTGCCTCCTCACCTCCGAATTGCTCGCGCCACTCCTGCTCCTTCTCAGGCTTGATCTGAGAGAACAGGTAGGCGGCCTTGCCGATCTTGTGGTTGATGGGGAGAGACTTGGCTTCCCAGTTGTCAGGGATGGTGAGGAAGTTGGCGTTAAGCTGGTTAAGGATGTTCTTGGTTGTCTCAGGCCTGCGGACCATGTCAGTATAGGTCGGATATACGCTGGTACAATATCAGAACTTACATGTATGGCTCGATCAAGCTAGCCAGAAGATGAATATGGCTCAAAGCCAAGCCGACAACTGCAGCACATCGCTCAGGCTCAGTTGTGGCAAGGTTGTTGTCGAGTCTGTTATCTTGCAGCAGCTGATTACCCAAGCTGGACAGGTGCAATGCTGTGCTCAGTGCCGCACGGATCTTGACATCCTCGAGCTCTTCGATGTATCTCTTCAGCAGCTCGTTGACCTTCTTCTTGTGCTCGACGAAGTAGTCGTCCTCGAACTTTGTGTAATCGGGCACGACCGAATCGTAGATCTTGGAGTTGACGAATTTGATGACACGGTTCACGAAGTTACCCAAATTCTTCAACAGCTCGTTGTTGTTTCCTGCAATGAAGCTGTCCCACTCGAACTCCGAGTCTCCGGTCTCCGGTCGATGCGAAAGAAGGTAGTAGCGCCAGACGTCAGATGGAATGCCGGTTTCCTTTGCGTTGTTGCCGAAGACACCAATGTTCCTCGACTTGGAGAACTTGCCCTTCTCGTAGTTCAGGTACTCGGTTGTGGAGATGGTGTTAAGCATGGTCCAGTTGTCCTTGGTACCGATCTGCGAGCACGGGAAGACGACGGTGTGGAAGGGCACGTTGTCCTTGCCCATGAATTGGTACAGCTTGACGTTGTCAGGGTTCTTCCACCACTTCTCCCATTCGTCTGTGTATGTTGCTGTGATCGAGACGTAACCGATGCAGGCGTCGAACCACACGTACATGACCTTGTCTTCGTAACCCTACCAGCACCGTCAGTATACTGCATACCACCCTTCTCGACTATCTTACCTCGAGAGGCACTGCGGTTCCCCACTTCAGGTCACGGGTGATGCCTCGTGCGCGCAGACCTTCCTTGAGCCATGATGCTGTGATCTGCACACCGTTGGAACTCCAGTTGCCCTCTGTGCTCGACTTCTTGAACCACTCCTCTTCCAGCGGTTGCAGCTTATCCAAGCAGAGATAGACGTGCTTCGTTTCGCGCGGGACTGGTGTCGCTCCGTCGAGCTTGCAGCGGGGGTTCTTCAACTCAAGAGGGTCGAGCAGGTGACCGCACTTGTCGCACTGGTCACCGCGCGCGTCTTCGTAGTTGCACAGCGGGCAGGTGCCCTCGACGAATCGGTCCGCCAAGAAGCTCTTGTGTGTTTCGCAGTACGGCTGCGTCGTTGTCTGCTCCTCGAGATACCCATTCTTGTGCAGTTTTGTGAAGATGTCTTGCGCAATATCGGTCTGTTGCTGTGTGGGCGTGCGGCCGAAGTGGTCGAAGCTGATGTTGAACCACTTGTAGACTTCCGAGTGCAGCGCATAGTACTTGTCGCAAAGCTCCTGTGGTGTGCACTTCTCCTCGATTGCCTTCGTCTCGGTCGCTGTGCCATACTCGTCGGTTCCGCAAACGTAGAGGGTGTTGTAGCCTCGCGCACGAGAGAAACGCGCGAATACATCGGCAGACAGGACACTGCCAATGATGTTGCCCAAATGAGGTACGTTGTTGACGTAGGGCAGGGCGCTCGTGATGAGCACGTTGCGCTCGCCCTCAACGGGGAGGACAATCTTCTTTGTCTCACTCATGGATAGCTTCTACAGATGATATCAGCTGAAATCTTGCCTATCGGCAGCGTCTGAGCGGCGCCTGAACTTCAAATCTTACCTTCTTGTATATATCTAAGCTTCTTTCAAAGACAATCTATGCTGTGAGCCAACACTTCAGCTCAATGGTCTATATACAGCTTTATTGTGGTGTGCTTGTGGAAGTGACTCAAGAGAGCTCCAAACATTCGCACGAGACCGGACTGGCCCCTCCAAACCCCGCCGATTCGCAGGCGCACCAGCCACAACGCCACAGTGCCACATCACATCAATTCAGACACTCAAAACGCGTTCCGTACATCTGTTTGACTCGACGGTCACCTCAACCGTGATGTGTACATACAAACATAAAGGAATTTGTTTGTAGAGGTTTTGATTCGTCAGCTAGATTGACTCGAACTTTCGCCCATAAAATCTTGAGCTGACGGACCTAAACTTCAAAATATCGAAAGTCTATGACAAACATCACACATAAACTTCAAGCCAAAAAAAAACTTTTCTAACGAGGATCTGTCCATTGACCAGCTTTGACAACCAGAAGTTGCACCTACAAGTACACTTGGAAGACTCAGAAAGAGAAGGAGACTGCACCAACAGCCATAAGCTCAACATCAACTAGACCCATTGCCGGCGACCGCAAGGAAAGAACACGATCGAAGTCCAGCTCATACAACTCACGCCATGGCTTCTCAAAATGACGACCCCTTTGACTCCCTCCTCACTCTAGAAGACACACTCTACACAACCGCGCACTCCCAAGGAATCTCCGACGGCGCCCGCGCCGGTCGAATCGAAGGCCGCATCTTCGGCCTCGAAAAAGGTTTCGAAAAGTTCTCTGCCCTGGGCGAATTCCACGGACGAGGAGCAGTCTGGGGATCACGACTCTCGCCCCCTACCCCATCTGCCACACCCAAGCCAACAACAACCGTCTCGTCACCATCAGACTCTCAGACCCAGCCCGCGACTGAAGCCAAGGCTGAGGCTAAAGCCCAATTACCCGGGATACAGAACGCGTCCACAAGATTGCCTTCGAATGTATCCCTCCTCTACCACCTAACCGACCCGCTCACATTCAGCACCTCAAACACCGAAGCCGATGTTGCAGACTTCGACGACCGCTTTAAGCGCGCAGGTGCAAAGGCCAAAGTAATCGAGCGCATCATTGGCGAAACATCTACCACTACCACAGATTCAAAGTCACCAGAGCGGGGTAACGCGACAGGGAAGAACAGCAACGTGAGGCTGGAAGGTGAGGGGAAGGGAGGCAGGAAGGGGGATGATAGTATGGAGGATTTTGGGGGGTCGAGGTTGATTGGTTGAAATTGAGGGAAGAGAAGGACGAGAAGGGCACTCTGATCCAGTGTGGAGATGGTACATGGGTTGGATAGCGTGTGCTTACTGGGAATGGTGGGCCACGATTGTGACTGCCTTTCTAGACACACCGTCAAACCCTCGTACGATGCGAGGGGCTGCGTGGTCTGACCTCTTGGTGCGGAAGGAAGGAGCGACGTGTAGCAGGCAGGAGCCACTCGTATACGATAGACACTGAGCTCGATGCTCCGCACACAATCACAACAGATAGAATTGAAAGCGCCATCTTGGTATATTACTTTCTTCTCTACACTATCCCGAGGGAGCCAGGGTGTTAACCAGTTAAACCCAGGCCCAAGCCAACCACTACACCGTGCTATGACATAAGAGATCAAGAAGGCCAAGAAGCTCATCGAAACTAAAAAAAATATTGAGAAAAGTGGTAAAAGTGAAGTCTGGTGAACATAATGCCCCTCACTGCTCCCCCGGGTTTTGGTGCTAAGCGTGCACTGGTATCAAAACATGTCGAAAACTCCTGAACATGCACATCTGCGCTGCGTCTTCCACTCCACGCTAGACATCGATGATTGGCGCGGGCCGTTCCATGCGAGGCGGGGGTGGACCACCCTTCATCCCAGGAAGGCTGTCAACGCGGTTGTGATTCGGCAACTCCTAGTAGCCGTTCATGGTCATGCGCTGACTGTTCCTGCTAAGCTCGCGGTCGGCGGATGGGGAGATGGGGCGGGAGGAGTGGCCGCCAACAGCGGAGCTTTCCTTGAGGGCAAGCAGCTGCTTGGCGCGGAAGGATTCGTAGTGGATCTGGGCGGTGGTCTCGATAAGATCCTGGAGGTGGGTGCGGGTAAGGAAGTTACGCAGGTAGACGAACTCGCAGTGATTCTCGTCTTCGACTGTGATGCGTTAGCGAGTGTACTGTTCGGCTTGACGCGTGGACATACCATTGATGACACCCCACTTGGTCTGGCGGCCACGGACGTTCTGTCCGTTGACGACAACTGTCTTCTCGGAACCGATAACTGCGAAGGGGATGAGGTCCTGTCATGTGTCAGTAAGGCTTCCTATGCATCCTCGGGTCTGAATTTGCGCACCTTGATCTGGTTCTTGTGGGCAATCTCGTCCTGGTCGTCCTCCTCGTTCTCGTAGGGGTACATGCGCAGGTTGTGGAACTGGAACTCGGCCTTTATCCTCTCCTTGAACGCAGCACGCTCCTCGAGGGTCAGGCTGTCCGCCTTGGCAATGACAGGCACGACGTTGACGAACTCGCTAAGCTTCTTCAACACGACGATGTCAATGGGCTTGAGAGCATGGCCGGAGGGCTGGATGAAGAACAAGCAGCAGTGAATGCGTGTGTCCTGGAGGTACCTCTCACGCTGGGCAGTGAGCTCCTTGCGCAGGTAGGCGCTGTGCTGGTCCTTGATGTACTTGACGATGGGGTCCCAGCAGCGCTCGTTGTTGATCAGGTCGCCATAACCGGGGGTGTCGACGATGTTTAGGCGCAGACGCACGCCGTTCTCCTCGATGGTGTGTGAGACGGGGTGAATGGTAGTGGTTGTGCGGGGCTCCTCGTCAGGGTAGAGGCGGCCCTTGCTGTCAATCAAGTGGGACGCGAAGATGGTGTTGATGAGAGTCGACTTTCCAAGACCAGTCTGGCCTGGTAGATGCATTAGCTGGCTGCATGTGCACACGGAGCTGATTGAAGCTCACCAACGCAGATGACATTGAACTGGAACCCCCGCTTGACCGACTTCTTCTCGATCTGCTTGGTGATGCTGTCGAAACCGACATAGCTATCGGGGAAGATGGACTGCTGAGGTGCGGCAGCCATTGCGGGTGATGTGGGCCTCGTGGGCGGGTCTGGCGGTGAAAGGAGCTGCGGGTGAGTGGTGGCACGACGAGACAGTGTAGGAGGAGTAAATAATCAGGGACGTTGCGCTGGCGACATTCTCGCGGAGTCGCAGGCGCAGGGAAAGGGGCAAGCGAAAGCGCGCTAGCGACCGGGATGGTAAGTGCGGACCGGAGCTCGGGCTGGGGTGCATTTTATTCTCCATCACCATCACCACGCCATCGAGGGTGTCCCGAGCCCGCAACGCCGATTTCACCGTACATCGTCAGCATGGCGCTCGCCCGACCGCTGTCCCCGCTGTGGCAGACGCTGATGCCCGGCCTCAGCGGCATCAATGGCCCCGTCCGCCCCGTCCTGAACCTGCCGTTCCTGCAGCGCCTTGCACAGTCCACACCATTCGCCGCACTCGCCATACCGTCATTATCGCTGCCGTCATTCCCTTCGCTGGGCGAGATATGGGATGGCGTACTTAAGGCGGTGCCAAAGAAGAAGACATCGTACATGAAGAAGCGGACGCGGTTCTTGGCGGGCAAGGGTATTGAGGACATTACATCACTGAACAAGTGCTCGGCATGTGGGCGGACAAAACGCGCGCACGTCTTGTGCCCATACTGCGTTGATGGTAGGTTCGATGTTGGAACATAGTGTGCGTATGGGTCTGACGTTTATTGCAGCCATCAAGACCAACATCTTCCGCCAGCTCAACTGGTCGATCAGGAGGCCTACCGAGAAGCAGAGCAAGCAATTGGCGCGTGAGAAGCGCGAGTACAAGCAGAAGAACCGAACGATGGAGGCAGATCCTCGGGAAGAGAAGGAGCAGCAGATTCTCAAGCACACTGGTTGGACCTTCAAGAAGTCTGAGCAAAAGAAAGTTTGAGATGGGAAAATATGGGGCTTTTCGGATTGACGGGCGGTCGAGCTTGGAAATGGGCTCCGGAGACAAGAGATGTACAACATAGGCGCTATATGAGGAGGGAGCATGGACGATATTGTATCATAGTTGGCGAGCATACCACTGGCGCTTTGGAACCTTTACAATCAACTGTATCACACCAATAGTGTGTTTCATCACGAGAAAGAGTTCAGATACCAACAGTAATGAACTACGTGAAGCACTATACTTGAGCGTCTCAAAATAGACTGCTGGTGATGGGCCAGTGGGTACGGATGTCGACAACTGCAGACGCAATTTCAAGACAAAAAAGTAAGACTACCTCATTGACATGCCCAGTTTATCTATCGAGTAGAAGCGGCACAGTACTGGTGTGAGTTGTTGACGCAGCAGAAGTGCAAAAAGATTCAATCTCTCCGACGGGGAATCGAACCCCGGCCTCCTGCGAGCTGTTCCGAAGAATGACAAGCAGAAATACTGACCACTATACTATCGAAGATATCCAACTTTAAGCTGGGAAGAGATGTGATCGATGAAGATAACTCAAATTGCAATATTTATGTATTAGCTGGTGTTAAAATTGCATACCCCGCCACGTTAGATCCTTGGCCAGTTTTCTATCACCGCGCAATTTTCGTCCACCGAAAAGTGAGTTTTTGAATCTGTCGCTGATGTGGAAACGGGCTACATACCACAATCATCACTGTGTCTTCCGTAGGGTTCTTTGCTGCCAGAGTTGGTATGAGATGTAAGACTACCTCAAGCGGCGGAATCGCAGATAGGCGATAGTGACTGCCGAGTACAACATCAGCTTGTAATACTTCATGTTGTCGGCATGGTAGATGTGACCGTTGAATGAACCAGAGGAGGAAGTACTTATATACATATCAAGGAGGTAATGGTCTGCATAGTAATGATGTTTGTACCCCGCATGCGCTGTCCATCATGCGTTCATGATGGTCCTCCAATGGTATGGTCTACCATAGCAACAAATTAGGCATGTTACCACCGCAACAAGCTTAGTCGCCAGCCCTAGAATCAAGGATACTTCGGAGAGTGTTCCAGGAACTGACAGCAATTGTCGAGATGTCCAATGGCGGCCTTGTATGTAGAGACGGAACATGTGGCTCGTGCCGTGGCTAGTGACGTGCTTGCGTAGTCCCCGAAACTAAACGTTCCATGGGGACACGACGCGCCAAGTCAACATATCGATTGATGCTCTTCTTGCCCACTGTCAATGCGTTGGTTGCCTTGTAGCTTTTCTTGCGTGTTCATTCGTTCAGTCACATTGTAATCTACAACATGTCTGCACCAGCGACATCAGACCCTGTAAACCAGAGTGGTAGGTGAGCGCGCAGCTTCCGGACTTACATCAAAACGCGCGGTGTTAGCGGGGGCATGATTTCCACGATCTGTAACTCAGAACGCTGACAATGTACTCATAGGAGCTACCTCCAAGTCGAAGAAGAAGAAGAACAAGAAGAAGGGTGGCAGCCAAGGAGTGAACAAGATTGAGGAGGGCGCGCAAATCAACGGCAATCACGACAAGACCGAGGCAGAACATGACGACGACGTGGATGAGGAAGAAGAGCAGACTGTATGGAAACTGAAGCGCGAGGCACGGCAAGAGGCATGGCTAACATAGCGACTTCAGAAACCCGCCGCCGCGCAAACAGTCGACCGAGACGCAGACGATGTCGAAGACGAAGAGCAACCGCTCTCTCCCACGATAGCTCAGGCAAACGGCACACACCAGCACAGCATAGCCTCCGCAGTCGCTCTAGGCTTTTCGCGCTCGCGCTCACCGCACATGTCACCGTCTCCGCCGTCAGATTCAGAAACCACAGCGCGACTCGATGCAATTGCGAAGGAACGAGATGCACTACGACAGGAAGTTACCGAGTTGAGGAAGAATCTGGAAAGCATACAAAGTCAACACGAGGGGCAGACCACAGAAGGCGCGCAGTCAAAGCACGAAGAGGAGGTCCAGGCTTTAAGAGAGGAGCTGGAGGAAGCGAACGAAGGCAAGGAGCACTTTGAGACACAGTACAACAACCTCCTGGGGCGGGTGAACACCATTAAGACGAGTCTGGGCAACCGCATGAAAGCTGATGCGGTGCGTGTCACCTCACATATGCTTATAAGGCAATAGACTTGCTGACAGTCGGCAGGCCAAGATCGAAGAGTATGAAGCTCAAGTCGCAGAGCTACAAGACCAGAACGGAGAGCTGCAGGAGAAGAATAGTAGCCTTAGCGAGGAGCTGGCGAAATTACGGCAAGAGAATGAAGCACAGGTGACCGAGATCAGCAATTTGCGAAGCAGATCAAATCTCTCCCAGCAGAACTGGGTAAAAGAACGCGATGAGCTCATCTCCCGCGAGGCATACGCACGGGAAGAGTTTGAGAACGCAAAACAGGCTATGCAAGATTGGGAAGTACTCGCTATGAACGAACGGTCGCTACGAGAGAGCTTGTCTGAGAAGGAAGGCGAGCTCAAGGAACAGCTTGAGAGCCTCAAAGACGAGTTCGAGCGAGCTGCAAGAGACAGAGACCAGAACAATCAGGCTGTCGAAGGACTGCAAAAAGCACTGCAGGAAGTGCAGAACCGTGAGTAGTCGTGCCAGGTCATTTTCACATATGCTTACAATCTGCAGTGCGAAGATCTGAACTCAAAAAGTCCGTGGAGACATACGAATCCCAGATCAACGAGCTCCGAAAACAAGTCCAAGCCGCAGAGGAAGCATCGAAAGCCGCCAAGGCCTTGGTCGAATCAACACAGAAGGAGCTAGAGAGAGCTCTACCGTTTGAGAAAGAAGTCAAAGAGAAGAACCTACTAATTGGCAAACTGCGACACGAAGCAGTAACGCTTAACGAACACCTCACAAAAGCACTGCGCATTCTGAAGAAAGGCCGGCCAGAGGACAACGTCGATCGCCAAATCATTACGAATTACTTCCTGCACTTCTTAGCTATCGATCGCTCGGATCCGAAGAAGTTCGAAGCCCTTCAGCTTATCTCTATGTTGCTGGGCTGGACAGATGGTACGTCTCAATCACCTATTTATCCTCCTGACTACGCACCTATTGTACTAACACGTTTACAGAACAAAAGGAGCAAGCCGGCCTCGCTCGTCCAGGCACATCCTCTTCCTCTTCGAGGCTAGGAGTACCCTCGTTGCCGTTCCGCCGCACACCCAGCACACCATCGCTCAATTCAATGTCGGATCCCATGTTGATGGCCAGTAGCTCGAGCAACAAGGAGTCCCTGGCAGAGCTGTGGCAGGACTTCTTGGAGCGCGAGGCTGCTGAGGGGAAAGATGGGAAAGATGCGAGTAGAAAAGGAAGCACTGTGAGTCCGCCGCCGAGGAGTGGCAGTGGGCTGGGCATTAGTGAGAAGTAGATGCGCAAGGTACGGTGATGTAACATAAGTCTTCATTCGGTCGAGTCATCCAGCGGACGCATAGGGATTGCATCTTGCGTTGCAATGAACAATTTCAATTGTCATTTCGAGATGATGTGATGCTCCACCACACCTTGTGTGGCCTCCAGACAGCTCACACCTTCAAAATCTCGATTTCGGAAATAATATGAAAGCCATACAGCATCCAGGCCAGCAGATCTCAAAAAAAAAAAAAAAGCAGCGTGGGAGCGTGTGCCTTCGTGTTCAGGGGAAGCGCACAGACGACGGACAAAAGTCCGGGCCTACTTGTACGCGTCAACTGCAACAGCGAAGACGAGAAGAACGAATCATCACCTTCGCAATCGAACATTGAAAGAGCTTGGGAACCACAGTAAAATCTCTGATGTTGAATGTCGAGCGACCTGGGGCAATGCACCATTGCACTTTAAGCCTCACAACTCCCACATCAACCACCGTACATCTTCACACTCAAATCCACAATCCGTGCACACATCACCAGCGTCTATCCTTACGTCAACCCCTCCACCCCTTAAATCTACGTACCAGTACCCTATGAAGCCACGGCAACACTACCAGCTAAGAAGCTCATCGTTAATGCTCAGTTGAAGGGCGAAGATCTGAATTCGCTGCTCAAGCTGTTTCCGGAGTGAAGAAACCAAGTTATTACCATCGACGAATCCTTCGCTTCTCTACATGAGGGTGGTCTTCGCGTCGACCAGGGCCGAATCGCCGACGCCTACCTCTCCTGGATAATATCGAATTACAACAACCTCGGCGAAACAATTGTTTTCGTGCCGCCGAATCTGCAGAAGCAAGACGCGGACAAAGCGAAATTGGCAACTCCCAAACAAAGACCTGGTGACGAGTATTGAGAGTTTGAAGGTTGAGCATGTCCAGATATTCGGATACGCGCTACTGCACTGCCCAAGGAAAGAAGTGTGCGAGGACTCGATCCTACCGTTTCGCAGCCCGCTGGATGAGTATAGGACGCTGGAGGTTAGGATGGCGAAGGCGTGGGAACAACTCTTCAACAATACGCATGTACCGGAGAAGTTGGCTAGTCCTGGGGGTAACGTATGTGTAGTGAGCAAAAGTCAGATCAGGAGGAGGGGGGTGGGGGAGTGGACAAGGTACTGGGAGTGGTTAGCAAAGACAAATATAGATGATGATATTGCGGGCGCGGTTATGAAGAGGCTGTGGCATGTGGTTTTTGAAAGGTGTTAGGTATGAAGGGATGACGAACGATGTGGTAGCGAAGGTGTATGGTGTATTATATGAAGGCGGAGGCTTCCTATGTGCATTGATTCGATACTCTATACACAAACATTGTAACTATCAGATATGTTCCCGCATCCGTTCTTATTCGTCGACTTAATCAACCCTACTCCAATACCTCTCTCCTGCAGCACATACCTCGCAATGCACTCCTTGCGGTGCATGAAATGACTGCGCTTCATACTCACTTCCTCCCATGAATCCTCTAGGCAGCATATCCTGCCCATCAAGCACACTGTCCATTCTTTCATGTCGTGGCCCTTGCTTGTCGACATCCATTCCCACAATCCGCTCATACCACTCCGTGAATGTACCAACGAGCTTCCTCCAAAGATTCCTAACTGTCAACGTCCACCCCATAATTATCAAACAAATCAATGAAGCGATGACTGCATAGCCAACAAATTTTGCACACCGTGTCAGCCCTAAAGCTATGTATGATGCAAGATTCCAGCTCCTGCGAGGGTATAGTGTACGACAGTGACACCGAGGCCGAGAAGAAGAAGCGTCTGGCTAAAAGATCGTTCGAAGATGGGTGGCGAGACACTTGTGACGTTAGCTGCAGCCCCGGCAGGATCGCCATATTGCCGAAAGGAAGTGTTGTTGAGGAGGGTGAGTAAGGTACTGAACAGGAAGTGGAGGGGCGCTGGTCGTCTGCGGTTGCGAGTAGACGTTGCATTGTTGTTTATGTTAAGTGTGAATTGTTGATTCTGGATTTTGAATATAGTCAGCAGCATAACCGTTCAGGTGTGATGTTTGTTAGTCCTGAGCTGTCTGCGTGGTCAAGGACGTGTGTGAGATTCAAATTATTCGAACGAAGCGTGTGGATGAAAGGTTTCTGAGACAAAGGACTAGGTGTCTTTGGATTGAGATAGGGTAATAGGCACTGTGCTGTGGATCCAGCCAACTCGAGACCGAAGGTCAATAACATTGTGTGTGTAAGACCCGGTCTTCCATTCAGCCGAAATGCTGTGATGAGTTTCGATTTTTCCAAATTTCCTTCTTCCTAGCGGTATTAGTCATTACCCTTATCCCTTACGCGGGAGCAACAGCAACAGCAGGAGTCCTAGTAGTCTCACTGCGCCTGAATATTCTCTTAAAAACGCTTTTTCTCTTCTCTTTCTTCGAAGTCACATCAGAGACGCTCTCTTCCGGAGTCCCCTCTTGTTTCTCCTCAGCATTTTTAGCAGCACTCTTGGTAGCAATCTTGGCCAGTCTCTCTCGAACGACCCTTTCCTGCGCCTTCTCCCAGAATTCTTGTTCCGCCTTACGAGCCTGTATTGCATTCTGGTACCACCCGTCCCACTCCTCGCCTTCCCAACCACATCTGCTGCTCCACTTCTCCATCAACTTCGTTCCGAAGCCTTCAGCTTCCGCCTTGGAGCAGCTCGGACACAGTGTAGTAAGTGGCAGAAGCTGTGTCGAGGAGTTGGGCGTATTGTAAAATGAGAAGTGCTGCGTAGAAAATGGTGAATAAGGTACTGATGTGCAGCCAAGTCTTGTGCAGTTGCGAGGTGTGTAGCGCCAATCGAAGCCATCGTCCTGTGGTGCTTTTCCCTTTGTTGTGGCTGTTTGGAAGGAGCCTAGGACTCTCTGGTTTTGCGCTTTCTGCAGTCGCGCGTCCTCGATCTGTCGAGCCTCCCGATACAGCTGTAGGAAGATGTCGAAATCCTGTGCGACTACGCCGAGGGTCTTGCGTCCGGCGTTCTGACGCATGGATTCGTATTCCTTCTTGCAGAGCGCATTGGCCTCTTGCATCTCTTTGCTGGCATGTCGTGGGCAATATCCGCGGTGCTTTGACAAGTGGTAAGGTTCTTGCGCAGCGTAATATGTTGGACCTGAGTGCGCTGGTGTGTAGTGTGCTGTGCACATGGCTGCCATGCATGATATGTAGTTCTGAAGCGGGTCATACTTGTTTGATGGTGGGTGTGTAACCACAGGTGGTGTCGATGTTGAAGACAGATTTGGGACGACAGACTGGTAAGACGTGGTCCTTTGCGTCGGCGTTGGTGTCCGGCTTGGTGGTACGAAGCCTGCGGGAAGAGGAATCCCTGACCATCGTGGATCCAGACGAGGATCAATTTGGGAAGGTGCTGCCGGTGCGGAGAATCGCTTGTCAACACGTTGCCGAAGCTGAGTCACTGGTCCGGAGAAAGCTTGCGAGCGGCCTTGCGGGGGCCGTGCTGGTGACGATGTGCGTAGTGAGCCTGATGTGTCTCCATGTGAGCTAGCAGTGCTTGCCCGATTCGAAGCTGGCGACAGTAGTGGGGACCGTGTCAGAGTGGCAGTCATGAGCTTCTTCTGTCGGTACTGATGTGGTTCAAGGTTAGGCGTGGACACGCCCCTAGAGTATCCTGGCCGGACTGGACGCGACTCGGAAGTTGGTAACTTCAGGCTGATTGCCTTGCCAGGCTCTGTACTCCTCCTTGGCAATGGCTCTGGGTCCAGAAATCGTACTGTTGGCGGTGCGGATCTCCGGTTGAGGTTTGCTCCTACAGATCTCGAAGGCTTCAGGTTTGTCTTCATAGAGGAACGCTTGGGAGCACCCGTGGACGCATCGCTGCTGGCAGTTGACACATTAGGATGATTAAGTGATGATAGACTAGAGTGGCGAGTAGATGTAGGTGTAGTATTGTTGCTCGAGAGCGGAGGCCGTGACCCGGTGGTGGTAACACTGTGATGCATTACGAAGTTATTAAGGAGTTGAGTGGATGATGCGCTGGACTCGGAAGCATTCTCAGCGAGGGCGGTGCGACTCTTTTGTGAAGGTTGTAAATGAGGGGGGGTCTGCATGATGATGTTGGTCCTTGGTTGTATAAGGCGAGACATAGCGCACCATATGTACAGGGGTGTTGCTAGTAACCTGCCTTGTCACGCCAGTTCTGACAGGTGGGTTGGTGAATATTGGAGCAATATGAAGAGATGCTCAGATAATTGGAGATCTCGGTTACTGCTCCGAAGTAAATTGCAATAGAAAAAGGAGGAGAACGATGAAGCTGAGAGACAGGGGAAGTAAGGGTACCAGGGTTCATAGGGCAAACATGGCTGTCTTCTGCCTGCTTTAACACTCAAGACATTCTGTACTCGAGAGCCAGAAACAGCAAAACAGGCAGAGACACGACATATGGGGGCTGAAGGCCCCACCACAGCTTTAGTGAGATCCATCAGCTATGCTCGTAAAGGTGCGCCAAAGTAGGCGCCTCGCTGAAAAAAGTACACCGCATGTCGGGAGAAGGGAATTTCATTCGATAAAAGACTAGTTGTGTGGAAAGGCAGCAGCACGTTTGTCCGGCTGCGCCCGGAGATTGGCGACAATGTGTCTAAAGGTCACGGGCAACGGAGGATTAGCATTGAAGATGGGGCTGCGCGAGTCAGAAGCGAGCGCCAAGCTGGACCCTGAAGAGTTGCGCGATCCGCTCGGAAGACAAGTGTGAGAAAGGCGGGGTCGGCGTTGCTGATTCATTTCGTTCGTGCGACAACAACATCCACATCTACTCGAAGAGAACGCCGGATTGCCGGGAAGAAGCAACATGCTAATTGTACAGGAGCGGCATCTGCAGGCGCGACGAGATGTTCAGATCTTGGCCTTGGGCTGCTTGAGCATGGCCTCTGCGACAAGGCGTCGCTGAATCTTGCCAGTTGCCGTCTTGGGCATGATGTCGGTGAAAAAGACCTACTGATCGTCAAAACATGTTACACGGCGCAGAAAGCATTGGAGAGACGCACCTGTTTTGGCAGCTTGAACTTGGCGACGCGATCGGTCAGCCATATCTTCAGGTCGCCCGCGGACAGCTTCTGGCCTTCCTTGACGACGACTGCAAGGCCGACGTCTTGTCCGTACATCTCGTCCTCTAGCGCGAAGCTGACAGCCTCCGACACGGCAGAGTGTTGCGCAATCACGTTGTCAAGCTCAATTGGGCTGATCTTCTCTCCACCCTTGTTGATCAGCTCCTTGATGCGACCAGTGATGATTACGTAGCCATCTTCATCCTGCTTGCCCTGGTCACCAGTGCGGAAGAAGCCTTCCTTGGTGAAAGATGAGGCGTTTGCGGTTGGGTTGTTCAGGTAGCCCTTGGTGACATTCTCACCGCGGATGCAGATCTCAGCCTCCTTACCCTGGGGGACCTCGTTACCCGTGTCGTCCAGGATCTTAACCTCGACGCCTTGACCAAGGCCCACACTGCCTGGCTTGCGCTGACCGGGAGGCAGAGGGTTACTCGTCATCTGGTGCGCGGCTTCGGTCATTGCGTAAGCCTCCAGTACAGGGGCCTTGAAGGCTTTCTCAATCTCATGGAAAGTCTTCGGCGAGAGGGGAGACGAGCATGATCGGATGAAGCGAATTGCGGGTACCGGACTTGGGACAGGGCTCTTCAGCAAGATCTGATGGATCGTAGGTACAGCTGTGTACCAGTTGGCCTTGTGTGTCTTGAAGTCCTTCCAGAACTCGGATGCGGAGAACTTCGGTGGCACAACAACTGAACCTCCAGAAGCCAACGGTGCAAGGAAACCAGCAAGCAGGCCATGCACGTGGAAGAGGGGCATAACGAGCATGGTGCGGTCCTCATGTGTCAGATCATAGGTTCCCTGGATGTTCTGCATGGTGCGCAGGAGGTTGCGGTGCGTAAGTGGCACTGCCTTGGGGCGTCCGGTGGTACCACTAGTGTGTAGTACGAGGGCTACATCGTCTGGCTGCGCAGACAGAACTGGCGAACTCTTGCCAGCCAGCTTTCCAGTCTCCTTCACATCCAGAACAACCTCCTTTCCGTTGTAGTAGCACTCAGCAATCGCTGCCTGGTACTTCCTCGCCGCCCTCACAGCGGCCGCATCCTGCGCGAACGCACCCTTTGGGACTAAAGCAATGGCCGAGCTAAGGTCATCGATGTAGAACTCGAACTCAGACTGCTTGTACGCTGGGTTCAGGGGAGCTGCGATTGCTCTTTGCCACGATGCGGCAATGAAGGACACGATGAACTCGTATGTGTTGGGGAGCGCAATGGAGACAGCTGCTTGCGCAGACACGCCAACCTTGGCCAGTTGCGCCTGGAATGCCTTCACGTCGGTGGTGAGCTTCTCGTAAGAGACCTCGAGCGCAGGCGATCCGGGTACGATGACGGCGGTCGAGGAGGAGATGGGAGAGAAGGCGTCGGCGAGCGTTGTCGGAGCCATCCTGTCTATTCTAGTATTAGATAAGGAGATATCTGTGGTTCAGGGTCAATGATGGTACAGTGATGGCGCAATTGATGAGGTGTTACCTAGAAAGACTTCTTTTTATACGAGAGATAAGGAAATCCGTCCGTCTATAGAGCACACTAAAGCCAGCTGAAGCGTTTAAGAGAAAGTTGACTGTACAGTTTCTCGCGGCCCGGCCTTTGGTCCATTTACGATAACAAGCGAATGACGCGATCTGGTCCAATTGCCGTAAAGCCGCATTCCCGTGATGCGGCTTAGACCGGGGGGAATGTCTTAGCGTGGGGTAGCGTGGAACGCGCTTTCCTTTCGCGAATCCGCGCCTGCTGCATTTCACCATCCCCGCGGGCTTCTACATCAACATCGCCGCAGTGTGTTGTCACTGTGTGCATACGATAGACTTATCAGTACTTTTTCTTCTTAACCTCACATCATACTCGATACCCCTCGACAACTCGTAGCGGCCGCAGTGCAGCAGTCATCTTTCTGCGCAACATCCCTAGCTAAGATGGGCTCTCAGCAACCGCAGAAGGCGCAAGCCTTGCCCAATCCATATGGCCTGCCAAATCCATACGCTCAGGCAAGCTTATCGAATCCGTATGCCGCAGCTACTGTTGCCTCGTCTGCGCCTGTCAAGTTCACAGAAGAGCAAGCAAAGGCCGAACAGCAGAAGAAAGCACCTGGTATCTACTTGACGAACTCCATACCATGTCTTTGAACCACGACTCATGAGCGTTTACAGCTTTCCATAATCCACACCAAATCAAGCGCCCCCAGGCCAAAAAAGCCGGCACTGTCAAGAAGCCCCTCATGCCTGCGGTTTCCTCTTCTACCTCCAACTCCTCAGACCCGGTCCCAGCTCCAGCTTCGAAGACAGAACAACATGGCATAGACTGGTATCGAAGCACTGCAGACGATGACGCAGCTATTCTTGAGGAGAGGAGGCAGCGCCAATACGAGGAGGCCCAGAGAAAAAAACAGATGAAGAAGTTCCAAAAGCAGTTCGGATACTGGAACCCAACAGCTCCACACAAGCCTGAACGCTGGTCAAATCTGAAGGCTTACAGAGCAAGTGGTGGCTACAGACGCAAGCAGGAAGGGTTCAACGACTTTCTGCGATCAGCCGCTCGCCAATCTGAAAGATCGAGGGAGGAGAGCGAAGGCTCCAATGCTTCAAGGCCCATGTCATCGTCAGGCTCGACCTCGCCGCCCCCCTCGTTCGCAACGAAGCCCACTTTTGCACCACCAGCGTCCTACGACCAGCCTACTACGTCTGAACAAGATGATGAGGACCCTTACGCACGCCGCATGCGTCTCTCGCAACAGCAGTCGAGTGCCGCACCGCCGCCACCGTCTGAACCTCAGCCACGCAGCTTCCCTCCACCACCAACTGTATCAGATGATGTTTCTCCGCCTCCGCCTCCGCCTCCACCGCCTGTGCCTACTGCTGGTGCACCCGGCACAATGCGTAGCTCCTCGATTTACGACAATGCCACTATCTCAGCACCACCTGTTCGCTACGCCAACGCTACAATCTCTGCGCCCCCAGTACGCTTCGAGCAGCCACCCACGCAACCCTCAAATGACGAACCCGAATATTCCGAGCGCCCTGCCAAACGCCCAAAAATAAGCAAAGCCGAAGCCATGATGGCGAAGATGGGCTACGTCAAAGGCCAAGGCCTGGGCAAGAACAACGACGGCGTAACCACACATCTCGAAGTCAAGATCCGGAAACCTGCACCAGGCGGGCAATCGAGTATCTTTGATGATGGCGAGGGCAACAAGGTCAAGAGTGCGCAGGTCTGGGATGTGCGTGGTGGAGAGCGGAAGAAGGATGAGCCGGGCAAGTTTGGGGAGGAGAGTCCTGTGGTTGTTACGTGGGGATGTGTGGAGGGCGTGGACTGGAGGGAAAATGCTGAGAGGGATGATGGTGGAATTAGACAGGATATGGGAGAGGTGTTCAGCACGAAGGTATGGATGATGCACTCAAATTCCCGAGACGGAAGCTAACTGTGCGGCAGTTTGGTCCTGTTGAAAGGTTGCAGGTCGACGAGTCGAATGCCGATGGAGTGGTGTACATCCACTTCAAATCGGTACTAAGTGCTCTTAACGTAAGTCTCGTACTCACTTCCAACTTCTGCATGTCCTAACATCAAACCTCAGGCTGTCAACCGGTTCGACGAAGGTTTCCAATACAGAGGTAGGAACATCCGTGCCCGGTATTACGACGAACGCAAGTTTCACGCCGGCACATACGACCATTAAGCATAGCCCTCCCTATAACAGCTAGAGATGTACGGAGACAAGATTCGATTACCTGATCAATCGCCCGCCATATACACGTAGCACTTGCGTGGTGTTGTTGCAAAGTGCTTCACCTTCACCTTCACCTTACCGTTCCCAACGTATACCCCGCTTTCTGCGCCCACTGCCATCTACTGCTCTATCCACTTGTCACAAGCGCTCTCTCTGACCTCATCTCGCAACACAACCAAGATGTCTGCTCCACAGCCCCGACATTTGAAGCGGAACGCAGACTCCAACGATAGCACACTCGACCGAGACAACAGCAAGTAGCTGCGCGCACATCCGACACGGGCGAACGAAACGCCGTCTGCTCGAGCTCTCCGGTCACAGGTTGCTTCTCAGCCGTGCTCACACCACCAAACCGACCCTAAGAACTCCCAACCAGATGAGCGCGGTCTGAAAGATGGCGCTTCTCCGGCTCCAGAGACAAAGAGACCCAGGTCTACTTCCAGCTCGACTGCACCGCCCGCTGCATCGCCTGCTCCGTCTACCCAAAATCGACAGCAGGAATGCGCCTCGGAAACATCTGCCCTTGCAGTCAATGCCCATGGCGTGTGAATCCTTACTCCATCCAGGCAGTACGGTCAACGGCGTTGCCAGCGCGGCGGGTCGAGATGGTGCCAAGGCAGCGAATCAGGTGCTTGACGAACTGATGAGCATGGAGACGGAACAGAGAGACAAGAAGAGTCGGAAGCGAGGGCGAGCTGAATATTGGCGGTTGCACGCAGATATCTACGATCATGGAGCGCAGTCCTTTCTCGTCTCAAGGTAACTATGCGCGCCTACAAAGCATATCCACATGATCGATCGATGATGAAGACAATCATTGATTTCAACCTGGTGGATCAATGAGTTGGAAACATGGTATAATGTGCTATGTCTACAGAGAACAGATCGATGCTCCCAGAGCCAGCTTTTCCGTCCCGTCTTATCAATGTACAGTATGCGAATGCTTCGCTACGCTAAGAGCTTGCACAAGCCACGCTCGTCCTCCCCGTCTATGTGAGTGATAATCAAACAACCAGAACTCCGTCATATGCGTCTTACTGCGCTTGTTTGATCTCCTTGTTCCGTATCATCATACATATTTTATCCTCCTCGCCATGGATTTATGCTCTCTTAAGCGTTGCCAGGCTTCTCATCCGTATCAATATGCCAGACAACATAATTCGGCAGTCCGTACACGCCATACCCAGCCCTCTTTGCCATCTTCGCGAACCCCTCCGTCTCCGCCTGGTTCTCGAATGCGTATGCGGGGAAGTTGATGCCGGAGCGGTGCACGTCGGCCTTTACCACGATGTTGACGCCGCCGATGCCGTCGAGGGGGATTTCTTCGTGCGGGTCGTCGTGGCGGTCGCCCATTTTCGCCATGTAGATGCGGTTTGTTTTATATTCTTTGTAGCCTGGGGGTCATGTCAGTGGGGCGTTGAGTCGAGTGAGGACAGATGGGTGCGTACCTTCGGCAAGGACGACGTCCTTGTCGAGCGTGGCGGCGAGTTTGAGGGCTTCTGGAGATTCTTGCCAGGAGTTGTAGTCGACTGTTTGTTGTCAGTATGGAGGTCAAGCATATCAGGGTGCGTACACGTACAGCGGCCTTCAATGTCGACCATCTTGCCTTTCTCCTCCTTGTACCTGTGGAACCAAATGTCTGTCTCGTCAGTATGCTGTCCGAGCTCACGGGCTCCCAAACTACTCACTGGGAACTAGGATATCCCTATCATGCATGACAAAGTCCTCAATGATGTTGGGCGGACTCTCGACAATATCCACATCTCTCCAGTACACCCAGCTATGATCAGGCTTCATCGCCGCCGAGAGCAGGTAATTCCTCGCCTTGCCCATAGCCTTTCTCCGCGGCCCTTGCGCAGCAAAGCCGTGTCGTTCTTCCACGCTCTGTCCGGTTGTCACGCCGAAGCTCTTCTCCACGATCATAGACGACCTGAACGCAATGTCCGGGTTGTTCTGCACCCTCTCGAGCTCCATTGCCAGCGCTGCCATGGTGTCATCCGTGGTGTCGCCGACCAGGAAGGCCAGGTCGATCAGCTCGTGCGGGTACGTAAGTTGCGTGAGGAGGTCGAAGTGTTTCGCGAGGTAGTAGGAAGCATCGCGCAGCGGTGTCAGGATGAGGACCTTCTCCTTGTTCCGTGCCGCGTCTACAGTCGACTTGATAGGGTCGAGGTTGATGTGCTGTATCTCGGTGCTATTGATCTCGATCGCCTTGCGGTGGTTGAATATGACCGGTGTTGTGAGGTGGCCGTACCATTCTTCGTTCTCGTTTGGCGTCATTCGCATGGGAGGTTTTGACGGGCCGAAGCAGTAGAATCTGGAAAGGCCAGATTAGCAGCTGTTCGCAATCACGCTTGTACATGCCCCGCGACAGCTTCATGCGCAACTGTATGGCCACATGGATCGTTCATACCTCTGCACCTCACTCGCGGCGCTGCCCATAGACCGCCATAGCAGCACGACCGCCGTGACAATCGCCAGCGGCACCAGAAACTTCGGACTCCGGACTCTATGTGTGATTTGCCTGTACGGCGGTATCCTCGCCTTCGCCGCCTTCCACGAGTAGCCTCCCTTGCCCGCTACCATCTGCGGCAGCATCTTGATACCCGCAAAGCCCGCAGGCTGCTTGTCCTCCTCCTCCTCTCCCCGAGCCTGGCTGATGCTGACGGACGAGCTCCTCGCGCGGATGTCGCCAGTATCTCTGCGCTGGCGCTGTGTGTGGAGGAGCGGGGACGGCGATTCCGGTGAAGCCAGCGTGGTGGTTTGTTGCGCGGTGCGCGGATGGAGCTACACTTGAGCTAAGGTAGTGACGTTTACCGGTATGGTCGTAGGTGGGGCCGTTGCCAGAAACAACAGACGTGACAGCACGTTCCTGCTGTGCGAGATTGGGTGTGGAAGGAGCGACGGGCAGACAGCAAACAATTGCAGTTCCAGACCTTGACAATCGTCCGCAATGTCGAAGCATGCACTGGATGCGCTAACTAAATTGATCGTCCGCAACAAGGTCCACCGATGACGACGCGTGGGAGAAAACGGCCCTCGATGTTTCGGGGGAGTAGTGTGGTGTTGTTATTGTGTTGTTGTTGTTGTTGTTGTTGTTGTTGGCAATTGCAAAGCCGTCCTGTCAGATTTTGCGTTGTCAACGGGTGCTTATCTTGCAAACAAACATTTCTGCTCGTTCTGAGCATGTCGCGATGGACCCTTGTCGTTGACACGTGAAGCCCAATGATGCGCTAGCACGCGCTACAGCTGAGTGCAACCAGGCGTCTGGAATCTGGCAGAGCATCACATAAGACGGCAACATGAAACTCTGTAAGAGCCTCGACTGTCCGAGATGCTGCACACGTCATGATCTACACCGTAAGCTTTTAACTGCCCGCTGCGGCCCGTACTGGGCGCCTCATCGTACCGAAGGATGTTTTTACGGGCTTCCTAACCAGTTTCACAGGGATATGAACCTTTGGCTGTGTAGTTGTGCCGCACCGCCTCCCTTACGACAAGTCAACTGCATTGGTGTATGTGATCGAGCTTCGAGATAGCTGGAGACAGCGCAACAGTCAGACAAATTGGAGCAGCTCTCTGAGACTACCTCCAGCTGAAGCGCTGTCCAGCCTCGAAGGAGAGCACCTCTGAAGTTAACAGTTGTGACAAGGCTTCGAAATCAGATGAAAAGGACCTTGGGATGGGTGAAAAAAAGCTCAGCAGGAACAGCTGTGCATGCCAGATGAGGCTCATGAGATCAGAATCAGGAGACAATCATGCCTGTCACCCAGCAGGATACCATTTCCCCTCACAAGAGAGACTCTGTTGGTCTCACTCCTTGTAGCCGTTGAAACATACGGGGTCTTCACAACGATATCGACCGTCGAAAATGGCAACGCATCCTGGACCCCTTCCAGCCTTCACAAACCCTCAATACGACGCCTACTAGCTTCATCCATGGTCTTTACATAAACCTAGTCGTCAGCCCTCTTCCGCGGCACTACTGCACGTATTGCTCCTGGACTCTACATTCCTTGTCAGCGGAACGGCACTGTACTTCCCCAAGCCTCGCTAACACGAGCTGCAAGCCCATGCTAGAGGTGGAGTTGCATACACGCCAGTATCCATTGGGCGCCAGCGGAAGCAGGGGATGGTCCCACGGCAGTGCTGCACAGTCGTGGTTGTGGAGAAATGGCATCATGGCTTCACCAAACTGTCGATGACCCGTCCGGCTTTGGTGGCTTGCAGAAACATCAAGGCTGTGTCGGATCTGGAGCAGAATCCTACACAGATCTTGAATGTGGATACAAGAACGATCGGTCAGCTGAGATGTGGAGATAAGGAAGTCATTGTACATGGAACATATTTCTGGCAAGAAGTCGGGCCTTTCACCGATCGTACTCTCGACGACAAGTAACAGCCTCAACTTGAGGGCAACGTTGAGAAAATCCTTCGGGAGTGTGCATCAGTCTAGTCTGGGCTTCGAAACGAAGTGATGGCCGCTCGAGATCCTTCGGCGTCTGGGGAACATCGTAGTGGTGGAGGAAATTCAATGTGATTTCCGCTATGCATTCGTAGGTTGTTGAATATCTAATCCAACATCTGACACGTAGTACAGAGGATGTAGGGATGTCTTCGAAGTTTCACAGTGCTTGGCCACTATACGGGTGAAGGTTTGTTTGTGGTGATCTGCGGGATCACGGAGAAGAGTTGCAAGGTTGGCGGAGTATTGCCCTGCTCCATGAGCAAATGCTGCCTTCCTGACTACAGGAAGCTCGAGAAGCAGACATCTCAAGCGAAATGTGAGAGCAAGTCGAGACGGCTCAGGGCATGCGCGAAGCCGCGTCCGTCCGAATTCAGCAGACACTACAAACGCTTTTCCACGTCGTTTGATGGCGGCCCGCAGTAGGCCATACTGAATTGTTGACTACTCACGGGGAGACGCATCGGCACGGGAACGAGGCTCCATCGACCAGTAAGATGTTTCGAACCAGGGTGGGAAAGCATTCTTGTCATACAGAAAGCCTTAAGAAGCCGGTGCCCAGAACACGAGCAAGGTCATTGTGGAGGACGAAACGAGTTCTCAGGTCGTACACTGCTGTAACAAACACGTTCTGATGCGACTGCCCGGCCATTTAGTCGGTGCTTTATGCAGGAAGCCGCTGCCGTTTGCACATCACAGGCCCATAATAGAGTCGCCATGAGTCATAGTGCGGGAAGCGGAAGTGGGATGTAGGACCATGACGAACGAATGCTGGTCGAAGGAGGGCAAATCCGTTGAGAAGGATGGTTGATGGTGATGCGGAGAAGCGCGCAGGACGTTGCCTTAGGCTGAAGTCGATGGGAACACAGAACTGCAAAGGGTCAGCCATCAGCGCATCTCGAACCGCGCGACTCCGGGGCTGCGTCAAAGGCGCTACATGAAGCAAGACAATGTGGGACATTCCATCCTCGTGCTCCCTGTTTCCATTCACCGTTCAGACGAGCCGTCCACCGCGATGCAGAGGTGAGAAATCGCTGCGGATGTTACAATGATGCATGCACGTTTGGCTGGCCTCTCCACTTTCGGCTACATTGTGCAGCGGAAGTGGATTGCCGGAGCCGTAAGCGAACGAACTGAACGTGAATAAGACAGAAGGCAACATGAGCCGCGATCGAAAGGCTGGGGTAGGGTTGTCAGGCATCACGGATACGGTATTTTTCGAGGTTTTGAGTACAAGTACGTACTTGTATCAACTGTACGTGTGGTATTTCTTGGCATCTATTTATAGCTGTAAAGAAGCCAGTTCAAGAGTAGATTTGGCACTGTTGCTGATCTCAGCAACCTTAGCAAACGTCTCCTCTGCAGGCTCAGATGACGACCCCTCGAGTTTACTAGTAAAATTGCTAACAAATCCGCCAAGGCTGTATCTGTATGGTATCTATCAGTTTTTAAACACAAATACACCAAGAAATACGACAAATACTGTTTCTCTGTACTCCACCCCTAGGCTGGGGTCGAGGATTGGCCTGTCGGCAGGATGGGAGCGAAGGCATTAGCGGCGGCAGTGATGAAGAAAGGTGGGTCAGAGAAAGTGGAATATGACGAGGCGAATGATGTGAGTTGATTTTGATTGTTTGATCGTTCCTGCCTCGAGCAAGGAAGGAGCGCTGGTGCATCGATTGCGACGCGGGTATACCATAATGCTAAGCTAAGAATGTTCATGATTAGAAGGCCGTTGCAATCGTCATACAGAATGTCGTTCGTCGTGAAAAAGGAAATGCCAAGAAAAGGAGTATGAGACAACCACCCAGAGATGTACTGCAAAGAGCCATGTGCGTAAGCAGGATACACGGTGAGAGAGCGAAGTCTACTCCAAGCCGAAAGAGATCCGCCAAAGCGACGAGAAGTAACAGACTTTTGATGGAAACGAAATGCCTTGCAAAGAAACAAGGTACTGAATAAACCGCCAATGCCGCTGAAAATCCACAAAAAGCTGCAACGTCGGGCTGAAAGCGGCGCGATGTCTACTGTTCTTCATAGATCATGCGCTGTGAGGCTGATTTCCAACCAGCCTCGCCGCGAGTGTTCTTCGCAGCGATCAAGTGTTGTCGAAATCGGGCCACTTCCTCCAGGAGTTGCTTGTTCGACATGGACGGCGCTTGCTCACCCAGACGTCCAAGAAAGTTGATATCATCGTCGATCTGTTCGTTGCTTTGCCTAAGCATCAAAATACCGGAGCCGTTGACATCAGCTTTGTTCCAAAGAGACGGTTGAATGCCATCTTCTTTCTGAACGTCCCAGCTGATGTTGTTGTTCTTGAGTGAAGTCCAGCCAACTTTGCCACCGTGTCGTGGTGCCGCAGTGATCTCGATATTGGGGTTGCCCTGCCTGCACACCATCGCGATCTCGGCCTGGTCGAGGGCTTGACAGTAGCGGTTGCCCGCTTCGTTGTCGCTCTTTTGAACCCTCGAGGAAGTAGTACCAGTAATCGCTCGTTTGGAGTACTGCTTGCGGTCGTGTCGCTTCTTCTTGCTTGCCTTTCCACCAGTGTGAGGTGTAGCAGCTGTGGGGTCAAGAATCGGTGTGGTGTAAGGGAACGTCTCGACATGGCCGGCCTGCATTCGCAAGCAATCGAGGGGTCTGGCACCTCCATACTGAGGCTCGAGAGTGGAAGTGGAGAATGTGGGAGAGGCAGATCGAGAGGGATGAAAGCCAGATGACGCTATCGAGGAGACTGATGGACGCCTCGACATGTCGGACTCATAGGTGGTGACGCTCGAACTGTAGTAGAAACGCTGTTCTGGAGTGACCTGGCGAATAGGTGGCAGCTTGACATTGGTGAGTTCAGGCTTGCTGAGAGTAGTTAGCACTACTCCATAACAATGGTGCAGGTCTTCTTACATTTCATCAGCAGGTTGGTGAGACACAACTGTTGTTGGGTTGGGCAGATGAAATTGATGCATTATGTAGGAGTGATGAAGAACGTTGAAGTGCAAAGCAAGAACAGGAAGCCGCCAAAGGATACAAGTGATCTGAATGCAAGTCGTGAATGTTGCGACGGGACACTGAGGGAGAAAGTGAATGTCCTTTATAGCATCTGAAGATTGAGGGCCATGGTATCATGCACAAGATCTTGGTGACGGCAACGCGGAAGCGGGTACTCAACTAGGTTCGAGGACGTTAGTTGATGGCCGTTGCAACCTTTTACACGAACGAGGGTATGAATCCTTTCGGTACCAAACTTCTATCATGCAAGACCAGAAGAAGAGCAGTCGTGTCTAGACGGCTGTACTCAAAGGAGAATGGTTTACGCCACTGCTAGCTGTGGGTGTGAGCTAGGCGATGCGCCTAGGTGCATCGGCAAGGGACGTCGTTTGAGACATGCATGTCTGCAGCTGATAGACATGGGCACCCTGCACATGCTCTGGCCGTTTCTCAATGACAGCCAAAGGATACAAGGCTGTCAAGCGCTATTCACCGCTCATATTCGCTTCGGTCAACGCAATAATTGATTCGAGCAATGCAACAATCGACTTGCGCCTTCGGAGTCGTCAATGTAGAACAGCATTGTCAAATGCAGAACGTGCAGATGTAGCGCTCGTTCGCTGTGAATATGTCTTAGAAAGCAGCAGGCACTCTGCTTTAGGCTTCGAGGCTGATGGTAATTCCCAATTCGTGGCTAAGGTATCATCGTGGCTTGCTCGATTGGAGCGGGAGAGGCCTTGGTTGAAAAAGCAAACCTCGAAGATACCGTTTACCAGGCTCACGGTCGGCGGCTGCACACTCTCAATTCGCGAGACCCTCTAAGCCAGCGGCTCGTCCTTTTGGCAAGGAAGTGGAGAAGCAGGACATGGGTTGGTGTTGCGAGAGCTGAACCTGGCTGTGTAACTGCAGTGATGTTGCTGAGCAACAATCCCGGTTCGACACTACGCGGACGCTAAGAACTGGTCCGCATTCCCCGGCTCGAGCAAACAGTTTAGGATGGCAAACGAAGAAGTGACAGAGCATCTGATCAAGACACGGATATGCGCGCGAAATGTCACACTAGAGCAAGTTGAGCAAAAAGTCTGATCAAGTAATATTGACAACCCAAGAGTGTATTTCTGCTTGCCCTATACGACGAGGTGAAAAGCGTAGATACCCTATACACAAAATTGAAAAGAGTGTAACAAATGTGCAAGTGCAACTCTCTCAAGCAACCCATCGTGCCATTCCGCTCAACGAGGCTGGAGAGAACTGACTAGTGTGTACTGCAGATTGAAAGTCTACCATATTTGACCCCAGTAGCCAATTGATACATACAACTGATGCATACGGGCCCATTAACCCTTCGCCCAAACCACTCCAATCCTTGTCAAGCTGAGCTCGAACGTGAGCGCTTGTCCGGAAGATGCCATACGCTATCAAAGGAAGCCAGATCATGGATGATTAGTCTATGCAAATACAATGGAAACGCCAGCGTCCGATACCGTTTAGAGGAGGAAGACAGCGGCCATGGCAGCAAGACCAAGAGCACCGTTGACTGCGCTCAGGCTTGTGGCGGCACCGGTTTTAGAGTCGCTGCTAGTCTGGCTGGTAGGCTTGCTTCCCTCCTGGCCGGGGTCGACGAGCTTGCCCTGGCAGAAGTACTTGCCCTGAATGAGCTTCTTGTCCTTGAGGGGCTTGTAGAAAGCGCAAGCCTCGGTGACGTTGCCGGTGGACTGCAGGTTGAAGGCACCGACGACGCTGTCAAGCTCGGGGGTCTCGACACTAGTATCTGTTAGCACTGGTATAGGATTAGATGTCCCAGCTTGACTTACTCGCTCATGTTTCCAGAGATATCGAAAGCACCACCAATGCTCTTCAGCTTGGGGAATCCGTCGATGGTAGAAAGGTTGGTGTTGTTGGCGATTTGCAGGTTGTCGGTGATCTTGGTGAGCAGAGGAAAGCTGATGTTGGATACCTGCTCGTTGGCGACAATGGCGAGAGCCTCACCGATGGTAGTCAGGTTGGGAGCGGAAAAGCTTTCGAAACCGTTGTTGTACAGACCAAGAGATCCGTTGAGGGTCTCGAGAGAAGGCATCTCAAGAGAGCCGATGAAACGGAAGGTCAAGTTGGTGGCCCAGATAAGGTTGGGCAGGGTGACGGCGAGCTTCTCGTTGTTGTCGGCGAAGGTCAGCGAGTCAGAGACGTTACCTAGCTGCATGCTGATCTCGTTGATGTAGCCGTTGTTGGCAATGAAGATGGTATCGGCCTTCTCGATGTTGATACCCTCGAGGGAGCGGAGAGCAGTGTTCTGGATGTTGATGTTGTCGGCCTGGGTGACCTCGGCGGTAAAGCCAATGGTCTGGAGGTTGGGGAGAGCGTTCCACTTGATCGTCTCGACAGTCTTGAGCTTGGGGAAGTCGACCGCGTAAAGGCGGGTCAGGCCGTCCAGGTTCAACGAGCCGTCGATCTTCTCGAGGCTGTCAGCGCTGATACGCTTCATGTTTGAGTTGTTGGTGGCGACCAGGTTGCCGTTCAGCTCCTTGATGCCGTTCAGGGCAATGTCGTCAGTGGTGCCGGTCGCAATGGCGATGTTGCCAGAGAAGGTCGAGCACGAGGCAAGAGCGGTGGCATCGCCGGCGTTCTGGATGGTGGTGGTCGCGGAGACGGTGCACTCAGCTGCTAGGATGTATAAGCAGAGGCTTCACATCAAAGGGACACCCCAATGGCTTCCCTATGACAGGATAAACATACCGTAGGCAGAGCCTGCGAGGGCCAGAGCCGGCAGGGCAACCTTGAAGAACGACGACATGGTGGTTGATGTGCGAGACGGTATCGGTTACTGGTAGTGCAATGTCAGTCGCTGGTCGGTGATAGACTTTGTGTGCTTCCGTGGCGTGGTGGTGTTGTCTGTCGTCAAAGGAGACGTCGGGATGCACGAACCGTGGATATTAAGACTGCGCGCTGTTGGGCGGACTAAGTTGCTCGGTGAATGGGTGGAAAGATGCGTGGAGCGAGAGACAGAATTAGTTGCAAACGAAAGAGCACCGTATTAAGAAGAGTAGCCCCAGCACCGACGGGGAAAGCGTAATGGTCTGACGAGCAAGAACGAGGGTGGATGTCGTAGAAGAAGGAGTGGGTAGCACTCGGCCTGCGAAAAGAAAGGAGGAAGGCAGGCGCGACCCTAGTCACCTTAGCGCGCCGACTATATCAATCGTTATTGGCTCGTGCGTGGCATTCTCTTCGCGTCGACCATCAACAAGCCTGAAGCAGCGCAGGCCAGCGCACTGTTGGGCCACGCGCTGGCAGCCGATTGCCCTCTCGGACTTCTGTGGACTGCAGACAGCGGCACAAAGCAGCAGCTGTAGTGCTACTCTCTCGTCGCCGTTGTGAACTGCTGCAGCGTGCGACGACGCCACCCATGGTTCGAGAGGCTGTCAGGATCTTCTTGACAGGCAGTGAAGGCATCGGCGTTTCCAACCATGGATAGCCTTCGCAGGTCCGCACTCGTCCCGCAGCTTTCAAATCTTGATTTCTTGGAAGTGGTGCACTGCTTTCCAGCATGTGCCGCCTCACAATCCAGAGCCAGCCTGCCGATCGAGAGTCGTCTCCAAGTGCTGCTGCTGGTGTGCACCGTCTGGTTGTTCATCCGTAGTGCATTTCACTCGGCTGGTGGCTCATTCCAGCGGCCATGGCACACGCCACAACACTGCACTAGAGGTCAGAAGCCACCCCTTCAGGATCAGGATCTGCCCTAGACTCTCCGCTACCTGTTCAACGTGCTTATCGATTCTTGAGCCTTGATGAAGCGGACATCGTGTCTGGCCTGTCCGTGCGTGCGCACTTCAAACCTCCGTACGGGTGCACAATGTCTGACATCTCAAACACAGTCCCGCACTCTCCAAACTATTGTCCTCTCACAGCTGCATCCCCCGCACGCATGTCCAGCCACAAATCGCGATTTTGTCGCTGGTCGTTGGCTGCCATTCCCAGCCCGCAGATTGTTGAACAGTGAATTGCGCGTCCCCTGACCAGAGTACATCCCTGTCGGCCTCACCGAATTAGGTTCGACGGCCTCTGTTTGGGCAAGTGCGCCCAGCGCAATCTCGAGGAACCCACCCTCTTCTGCGTAAACATCATCATCGTGATATATGAATATCCACTTGGGACTCGGCCGTTACTTCTACCCGTTCCCCCTGATCATCCAAGTCTCCGCTTTTAGGTCATCTCATTTCCAAGCTTTTGCAAACTTCGCTTGCTGCGCGCTCCAGTGTTTGCTGCCAGCTGGGCAGCTGTTGATGTCACAACGACAGACAGCTACTGCCCGCGTTGTCAGGCATCTGTGAGATCGTCAGCGTTATCGCTAGTTACTGAAGCTTGACCTTGATCAGATGAGGCGGCTCCTGCCGCCATCTCGTGCAAATTGCTCATAACAGTCCACCTCCACAATGATCGTCAGGAACAGCAAGACATTTGCCAGCTCCGCCAAGACCTTTACTTCAAACTCACGCGACAAAGCTCAGCACAAGGGGGATACGGCAGCAGGTGCGCTTTTGACCGAGCATATTTCCCTGATCATGGTGATCAGGTCCAACAATCTTCTTGACTCAACGGTGCACCACTTTCAGCAGCGTCCGCGGCGATCGTCAGCCAAAGGCAGTCTGCTCTGCACTTCGAGCAAAGGCCACTCGAGCCATTGCGAAGACGAAGTGTCGTATGCACACACGTCCTCCTGTGTTTGATGCTTTGTACAACCCGATTCTTCTTGGCTGACTCCGCTCAGTTCAACAGCAACACAAAGACGCCTAAAAACCACAACTCCAAAGTGGCTAGACGTCGCTGCTACCGAGGAGGACGTTCGTGAACGACATGTGGACTATTCAAAGGGAGTTATGCAAGGTCCGCCACCACCGGTCAATCGTCCTTGCTACGCAAACCCTGAACAGCAATCGGTGACTCCAACACGATTTCATACAGTGCTTCTGTTCTTGTCACAATCGCTTAGTACATTCGTTGATCGGTTCGATCTCTGGTACCGCCCGCTGTACCTATCTCAGCTCCACCCTCACTTCCTCGCAGCACAAAACCTTCACCCCAACCGATGTGACGACCCAGGCCCCCGTTGACAACTAGCATCTGCGTATTGCAGACCGCCTTTTCTCCGTATGTCAATGCCCAATGGATATCTGCGCAATCAAGATCGATTGACAGTTCCTTGCGGCAGGAACCGTGGATCATGCTATACAACGTATCTGTCGTAACTGGAGGCACTGCCTTTACAAGCCACTGATCATGGCTTCACGGTATACCTCATCTAGCAACGGACCACTTCACTTCAGTGGGGAGAATGACAGGTCTCTCGTCAGGATGACCCTTAAATACGTTCTCCGCTCCAAGGAGACTGTGCTCGCTTGTTGCTACTATCTTTGCGGTTGCAAGTAGCACCGAACAGTTGAGGAGGCCTAGCATCGCCCTTGGCACAACAAGTACGCCTGGGAAGCGGAAGCGAGGGATGCTTCGCAGCGGAAAGCTATCGGCCCTTTTCCGCTCGTTCACGACTTGCAGACGACATATGGCAGATGTCAGATGTATTGCAACCCCCCCCCCCCCCCCCCCCTACATCTACATGCATGAGCCGTTGACGATCAGCAGAGACGTCCTCATGCTCATAACCAACAGCAGACGTCACACAATGATATCCAGCACCTTCTATCAAGATCGAGAAGACTGCGTACCATCAGACCACTCCAGACAATGGAAAATTCCAGCTACTCCAGCTACTCCAGCACTTCGGTCTCCACATCTGCGATTCGCCACATATACCACATGAAAAGAGACCTGCGAGACTTAGCTGTGACACAAGGCAGAGCACATGCTGCACTGCAAGCGCTATGCACAACGGAGATCCACGCACCTGTATGGCGAGAACTTGCTCGCTATAGACAGCATCTCTTGCTCGGACATGTATCTGCGGCCCAATGTCAGCGTCAACTGTCAGGCAGCATGATCCGCCAGGGGTACTGCATGCCTAGAAGAAGCAACTCTTTAGGCACTGGCAATCCCCATGAAGCAATTGTCGGCTCATGTACCCTTATGCTTTCATGCATGACAGCTCAAGCGTACGAGCTGTCATAGACAAGGCACTGACGACAACAGAAAGTGAATACAGCGCAGGAAGGCGGTACGTACTTCCATTTCCCACCCTTATTCTTCAGCTTGGAGACGTCGCGCCCCATGTATGCGGCCATGCCTCGTCTATGCCATGTTAGCAGAGTCTTCCATGTCGCTGATGTTGCTCCTGCTACTACTACTGTTGTGTATCGACCTCGTACCGGGATGTTCCCTCACATCGCGCGCGCTCAACGCTCGCTGTGTACCACTCTCACTACTGTGGTGTAGTAACCGCATTCATTACTTGCAGTACAACAGCAACAGCAACGGCAACAACAGTGCCCAACAACAAGACGGCCAAACAAGGAAGGTAGGAAGATAGGAGGGAGAGACTCACTGCACACCCAAATCCCCCGTACTAAAAACATCCATCCTCTTCAACCCAAAACACGCAAACATCTCCACACTCCACCTCCCCAGGCCCCTCACGGCAACTAATTTCTCAATCAACTCCTCATCGCTTGCGCTCACAAGCCCCTCGGCTGTGAATTCTCCCGAAGCGAATTTTTCAGCGAGACCGCTGATGTACTCGGCTTTGCGCTGCGAGAGGCCTGCTGTGCGCAGTTTGGGGATGTCGAGCGTAAGGACTTGCGCTGGGGAGGGGAAGGAGGGATGGGTTTCCGAGAAGAGGGCGGTGAATTTCTTGCGGATGGAAGCGGCGGCTGCGCCGGATACCTGGGTGGTCTTAGTGCGGTGTTGAGGTGGTAGTGGGAGTTGTGGTTGCAGAGAGTGCCAATGCTAATCGATATGGCTTTCCATCTGACATCTCTGTCGTTTGATGCTCAATGCTCAACGTCGATGATAGGAAGAGTGATGTTGGAACCGTGCAAACATACCTGTTGCCCAATAATCCCGCTCGCCAGCGCCGTGAAAGGATCAACCACCTCCCTCAACCCCTCGGGATCAAATATCTTACACTTCTGCGTCTGAATCAACTTCTCCAACTTCCCATTCCCTGTCACCTCCTTATCCACCTTGATCAAATACGCTTCTGCGTCCTTCAACAGCATATCGATCGTCGAACCTCCACTCCCTAGTTTCGAAGGGCTCCCAACGTCCGGTGGTAAATCGTTTGCTTTCCGCTTCTTAGCTGGCGAGTCGTTGACTACGACTTGTGACCCGTTGGGCGTGAGCACTGGTGCATTCGTCATACCCGGGTCAGCTGGCCTGTTGAAACTGGCGAGGTCGTCGAGCATATGATCCGCATCCTTCGGCCTCCGGTCTACGTTGTTCGCTCCCGTAATCAAACCCACACCAGACGGCGTGGGTGTAAAGGGTGGAGGCTTCGCTGGCGAAACTGTGTCCGCTTTTGTTTTCCTTCGTCTCTTGGTCTGTTTGGGTAGTGGTGTCGACGGCGCATCGGCACCAGCCGGCAGATCTGGCGTTGGGAGCCGGGCGGTTCCAGGTTCTCTGAAAGGACCGTCTGGTGCTGTGAAGGGGCCGGATGGAATAGTGAATATCTCAACGGGTTTCGTGACGTCGATGCTTTGGAGTACTTCAGGGGGTATCTGCTGGAGCAACTCAGGGGATGCGCCTGTCGAGGTGAGGATTTCGGAGTGGTTGGCAACGTTGTTGAGGAGTGCTGTTGTTTGTTCTGGTAAGGGTGCTTTACGTTTTCGTGGCGCGGCTTTCTTTGGTGCGGAGGTTTTCTTTGAGGCGTTGGCGTCTACAATAGCGGTGGCTTTCTTTCTTGCATTTAGCCTTGCTTGCATTGCTGGGGAAGGTGCAGAATAAGGACCTGCATTAGCACGAACCAGATCATCATCTGTAGTGACTTTCTTATTTGCGCCACTTGTGTTGGTTTTCTCGTACAACGCTTCTGGCGCTTCAGGCGCAACGGCCTTAGAATTCACTGCATTGCGAGCTGAGCGTCGTAGTGACATGCTGATGGTTCTGTCTGGTGTTTGGTTGCGGAACGAGATAGTCTGACGTCATGTGTGAGTTGGAGACGCGAAGAGCTGCAGGGATATTGGTGAGAATCTCACTATAGACTTCGATAATTCCAACGGCAGTAGCTTGCGTATAAGCATGAAATTTGAGGGTTTTGATGTGTGATGTTGGAGCTTGACGCGGTGCGCGGGGAAGTTACATTCACGGACACGAAGCTTACGCAAAAGCACGTGATAACGCCATATTGCTGACATACGCAAGCGTTTTCATCTCGAAATTGCCTGCGAGCATCAATGAAGACACATTATTGGCCTGATGATTCGCTCTTTGTAGTGCTCTGTTGACTCCCCATGTTGAAATGTTCGAGTTTCTCCCGGTGCTGTCCAAACGCACGAAGTACGCCCCAACCAGATCGACTTGAACCAAAGCTTCAACCTCACAAGTCGGCCATGCTCGACGGCCTCCCTCAACAATCCGCCTCAGGCCACGCAGTAACTTTACTCTCCTGATCTCTCGCCTTATACCTCTTCCCTGGCATACCAGCACCATACCCAGCCATCGTCTTCTCAGTCGCCGAACTAACAACCGAAGGATTAAGCACCGTCACAAAAGCATCCTGTTCATATCCACGACTCCTCGGAGCTCGGACATGCCGACCGTTGAGAGGCGACGCGAGCGTGACGCCTGTGGACAGGGTATTTTTGTTGACTCTGGTGGTGTCGTTTGAGATCTTGGGAGGTCGTTCAACTTGTGTACTCGGTCCGGGTTGGTTGCGGGCGGGTGCGAAGTTCTGGCGGAGAGAGGTTGGTATCGGCTCAGATGTGGTGAATCTGTCTATGTGCTGCGGTCGTAAGGGTATGTTCGGGCCCAGAACGCCGACCTGGGATTGGTAGGTTACGACGTCAGTAAGAGGTGGATGTCTGCTTGAGTACGTCTTTAGGGTTGGATCGTCGGGTACAGCGAGCATGAAGCGGAGCGCTCGTCCTGCTTTGCGGACGAGCCACATCAACGAGTTCTCTCGCACTACAACATGCTGCTGTAGTGCATTCGCGACAGATGAGGGTTGTGGGTTTACTAACGCTGGTTCGAAGATGCGCTCCCACGTCTCCGGGTCGCGGATTTTGAGCAGTGAGCTGTATATGGCGTAACCAGTGGGCTGTTCGATGGCCCTTTTGATGTCGTTCTCATCTGTGAATATCTGTTCCACCGTCAGAACGCTCAAATCTCGGAACCTCAGCAATGTCCCGCGCAAATTGTGCTTACTATATAGCCGCTCATGTCTGCTGCAGCATTTGCATTCTTGTCTAGAGCAGTTCTGTGCCTCCACATCTCGCGTCTCCATTGCCCCTCGCTCATCTCGCCTGCCTCAAACGCTCTACGAACGATTTTTTGCTGCTCGTGGTAGTCCTTCACAAGGTCGATCAGCTCCGCGTAGAAGACGCTTTCAGGATTCGCAGCGTCTTCTTCTGGCAGACCATTGAGTGGCTCGTTGTTGTCGCGTAAGTCTTCCTGTCTTCTTTGTTGCTCTGGGACTCGACGCTCTTTGCCTCGTTTCGTGAGCTGCTCCTGCCGCTCAAGCCTATTGTCCAAACCAAGATCGTCCGTGGCGCAGGACTGGAGATCCCATTCACGAGTACGAACGCTGTAATTGTCTGTTGCTCCGGGGCTATAGTTTTCTGCTGGCCTTCTCGTATTGGAGATGATAACTTGGGGAGGACGTGAGGAGATGGCGACGGGTTCATGATCAACGTCCGCAAAGCCGTGGACTGGACGCCCTGACGTGCCGATATGGTACAGACTGAGCCGTTCTGGTCGAAGAGAGCTGAGCACCTCCTCGGTATCAAAGGGCTCATCGTCCGATCCTTCCACCTCCTCTTCTCCTTCGTCTTTCGGCGGTGGTTCTGGCGCTCCTTCCCCAGACGGCAGAGCAGGAAGTGCATCCCATCTCCTGTCCGCTCGCACCTTCTGCGTGGTCGATTTTACGCCAGAATCATGAGGGTCGTTGGCATCTTTGACTGCTGCAGTAGAGTCGCGCAACGGGCTCCTTCTGGGCAGTTCTGATGCTTGACCGTACCCCGTTTGCGAACCGTCAAGTGCACTCGGCCTATGGACGAGACTTCCTGCTGCGGCATATTCAATTGGTGATGAAGCTGGTCCTGCTCTGATGATGTTTGGGTTTCCGTATATGCCTGCGAATGGATTCGTCGTAGCTGGACGAGACTGCGTGGCGAGCAGAGCTGGTGGCGGAGGCAATGGTGGTGACTGAGGACGTGTAAAAACACGATGATTCTGTCGAAATGAGATTGGAAGATGGTTGCCGTTGACATCGTAATCGTTCTTGAGCGATGACTTCGGTGTAGCGTTGAGAGAAGGGCAATCGTCGGGCTGCTTCACAAACCTCGATGCTGGTGGCAGTACGTTCAAAGCTGATACAGGCTGCGGTGATCCAATCTCTCTGCCTTTATATATGACCACAGTGGAAGTTGTTTCATCTTTGCCCTTGTCAAGCTTCTGGTGTACTCCCTGATCTCTCTTGAGCCATCCAAACAAGCCGGCCTGACGCTGACCAGCGCCGCCTCTGAGCTGCGCTCTCGACACCGATACAATCTCCTCGATGTTCTTCACCTTCCCAGCTTGCGTAGGCCGCCTATCCAAATCCAGTGACACGGTTGCTCGCTCGCAGTCTACTTCGTGCATATCACTGAACCTTGAGACAAGGCTTGGAATCTTATGATTTTGAGACCTGCTCCTGGTTGGTAGGTGAAACTTTGTTATCGCGTCTGGCACTCTGCTGTCTGTGGCTCCGCCAGGTTCTTGTGAAGGGTCTACCACAGATTGGCTATGTCCATGTTGAAGAGGCTTACAAAGAAGGCTTTGATGACGTGTCGATACCGTGCAATCAGGAAGAGGCCAAGAAAGGGATTGCAAAGTCGCTTCATCCTCATTTGGAGACATATTGGCGGTTGGGGATTGGCGGGAGCTGGAGCAGGCGAGCTCGCAGAACCGGGGTACTGGCACGTCTACGCACCTCCAAGTAGTGGGCACGCCGAACTTTGCACCGTGTTCGCTTTGTTTTTGTCGCAGTGAATGAGTGCGGGATCGGTGCGAGTGTCGAGGCCCTCATCTGAGGTTCTGGTATGCAATTGGTTCGAGGCGTTGTCTGCGTTTGCTCGATCTGCGGCATGTGAAGCATGGTCCGGAGCGGTCAGAAGTTTGGGAAGATTGTATTGACGATACAGAGGTGATGTAAGATAGTTCCAACCCATATACCCTTGGTACCCTGCCAACGCCGAAAGCTCCGATGCTGCCGCATGTCGCGCGTGAGAAATGCTGAGATGTATGTACACATATGTGAGAACGGAAACCGGAATGCTCACTGGGATATCGTGCCCACTGCTTTGCTAAACGCCCCGATGATACTTCGCTCTTGGAACCGCACTTCAAGTCATGATCATGTTGCACGGTACTCGCCGTCTTCTTCTCGTATCCTGTTGCCCTCCATCTTCAGTTTTTGGTGGACGAGTTTCAGTGACTCGAAGGTCATCATGGTCGTCACTGCAGCTGGGACTGCGCGCACCATGTTGGTGCCCATGCCGTTGTAGAAGGCTCTCCAGCCTTCTTCCTGAAGTATGACGGTACATGTTCTGATTACGCCACGGTATCTGGGCATGTTGATCATGCCGTCTGAGGACGACGTGCCTGGGGGACGGGTCTGGTGGCCTATCCCATGTCGCCCTCCCTGGAACGATACGTGGTCGTGTGACGAGGACGGAAGAGACCGTTGCTGCGTCTGCAATCGAGTACGCAAGACCTCGTGTGGGTATGTGGCTGTTGTTGCGCAGACTTTGCTGAGCACGGTTGCGGCCATGATACCGAACCAGTGTACTTCCTCGGTCTTTCCGCCTGCCTGGCCCATCTCCAAGCCAGTGAACTTCATCTTCAGATACTCGTACAGCGGAAACTGGATAGCAACGTGGGTGAGACCGAGCAGAGCGGGCGAGAGTCCGGAATAGAAGGATGCAATGCCTTCTGTGGCATACATCTTGCGGAAGGCATCGAAGGTGCTCGTGTAGTGCCACGGCGGGCGGTGTTCAGCTGAGGCACGAGAACTGACTTGCGACATGAGTCTTGTCTTGACGACCCAGATGGGGTTAGTGACAAAGGTCGAGGATGCACCTGCTGTTATCGAGGCGATTGTCCGTGCGAGCCATTTGTTCTCTGTAGGCACAGCATGTCAGTGATGCTAACAGAAATTGCCAGGGCACGACTAACCCATCCTTTCGTTGAGCAGGTCCTTGGTGGACTCATATGTGCTCATATAGACGGCCCACGTGGGAATGTAGCCCAGCAGCATCGGGCCGAGCCCTCTGTACAGTCCGCGGATGCCATCTTCTACCCAGATCGTCCGTGCCGTCCCTGTGAGACCTTTGTATACAACGCGCGCAGGGCCTGAGTACTGGCGTGGGCGGAAGGAGCCCTGTGCCTGCAGCCGGGTTTTGATAACATCGAGCGGGCAGGTCACGATACCGGAAGCGACACCGGCGGAGGCCCCACACAGCGCATTGACCGGCCCGTCTGGCAGCCTCGACACCTTGACGGCGAGGGAAGCGAAGGGCCTGCTCCAATGGCTGCGCTCGGCGGTGGGGGTCATGTCGCGGGGAGAAGGAGCTGTAGCTGTCGGCGCATACCGGTCGGAGACGATAGTCGGGGACGGCGGCTCGGGGTTGTGTTCAGACATGAGGGAGCTGCAGTCACCGGTTTGTTAGAGCCATGCTGTCGCTGTGCGTGCTATGGGGAATGGTCCGTACTGGCCGTCGTCCCCTATGGAGTGCCTCAGTGTGCGGAAGCCCCGCAGCACTCGAGTAACACGGTAGCTAGCGGAAGGGCAGCTCCATTGACGGGCGGCGCGGTAGAGGGTGCGAGCAGGTGCGCTGGAGCGCGGACGGATGGACGGCGGAGGGCTGGGCGCTGGCGGGCTGGCGCGCTGGCGGGCTGGGCGCAGTGAAGGGGCTCGCAGGGTGCTGGTGTGCGCTGGGACGTCACAGAGCGTGGGTGAGCACGCTCGCATCGAAGAAACCCGGGCAGTGGGGAGCTGTACTGCCAAGCACGTGGGTCCGAGCTCGCTGCGGCAGCCAATTCCATCTCACGAAAATGGATGACAACCTCAACCCTCAGGAAACTTCACGACTCCATTGCCGGCCCGCTGCACCTCGACCACCCGCACACGCCCGTCGAACACCGCAAACATGTCCGCGCCGTCTCTCGCCCCCGCCATTATGAAGCGCCCGTGGCTCCAGCGCTGGATGAAGCCCCTCGCCAACTGGTACACCAACGCCGCCGGCTACAGGCAGCTCGGCCTGAGGTACGCTGCACCCCGTGGCTCTGCTGGAGGAGGGCTGGAAATGACTGCTTGGAGGATGCATGGGATGCAGTGGATGCAGTGGATGCAGTGGATGCACTGGATGCGGTAGATGCATTGGATGCAGTGCATGCATTGGATGCATTGAATGGGAAAATGGAGAATGTTCGATGCACGGGGACCTGAGCTGACGGATCACCTCACAGGGCCGATGACCTGCTCCCCGAGGAGAACGACGTTGTCCACACCGCCCTCAAGCGCCTCCGACCCCAGGAGGCCTACGACCGTGTCTTCCGTCTGCGCCGCGCTTTCCAGGTACACACAGTCGAGAATTGAAGATGAGAAACCGGAGGCTAAGGTATTGCAGCTGTCCATGAGCCACCAGCTCTTGCCCAAGGAGGAGTGGACCAAGCCCGAGGATGTACGTTGAGCACGACAAACCAGCAAGCGGAACGAGACAGGCTAATGGCATGCAGGACACACCCTACCTCACCGAGTACATCAAGGAGATCGAGACCGAAATGGCCGAGCGCGAGGACCTCGAGGCCATGGTCATCAACAAGAGGCAGAGCAACGCCAACGCCGGCCACTAGATGTGTACATATGGTGCTGTGTGAACGAGCGGGTGATTGGAGCAGATGAACGAGTACCAGGGTTGTGCAATAGAGTGTATAACACAACATCTTTCGAATTTGATACCGCAGTTTGGTTGCTTCATTTACAGCATCTTTTCGCATTGCTGTTGTTTCTCCAACCCACTTCTCATACGACTGTATAGACTGATTGTACATGTGGCACGGCTAGCGCCAGTGTTTATCTTTCCCCAATCTCAGAACGATTGAATACGTCTTCGGCTAGTACGGCCTCTTTACTTCCGGCTTCTCCAGGAGACCAGCAATCACGATCAACTTCAATTCTCACTTTCACCTTCGTGCCCACATCTTGCGATAGTTTCCCAGCTTTGAGGTTGGCACTTGCCACTTTTGCGCCAAGCTTTCACGTTCACGTTCACCTTGCTTGACACTTCTCTATTAGCATCGATAGCCTGTATCCAAACTCAATTATAGCTCTGTCCGAATCAAACGCAGCAGAACCACCACCGCTGGGGTAGGCAAATACCTAAACACTGATTATGGAGCTACATTTGACCCAATGTTCCAAATCTATACATGCCAATGGTGTCGTTACCGTCCAAATCGGCCTTGACCTTCGCAAGTACTACGTCCACAAGACCGCTAGTGTACCACTCGGAGTACTTTCGCAAGGCAGTGCAAGGGTCGTGGAAAGAGGCACAAGAGGGCGTTATGCGAATCGACGACGTCCAGCCAAGTGAATGCACGTATCTTGGACGAACAGCATGCCCGAAATCGTACTCAAGAGAGCTGCTACTGACAAGCTTCGTAGTCAGTGTCTTCGCCCACTGGCTATACATTCAGAAAGTACCAGGAATTCAGGCACACGACACGTGGGATCGCATACTCGAGAACAAGGATCACAACCTCAGCGTCAACATGCACTTAAACATCAAGGCATATGCTCTGGGCGACAGACTCCTGGCGTCATACTTTCGCCGCGCCATCAATGACGCCACCACTGGCATCACACATGAGGGCAATTGCTTTCTTGGATCAATGAGTGCTGAAGCTTGTGGCTAAATTCCGATGGGCCTTTGAGCATGTTCCCAGCGACCATCCTCTCCTACAATTCTTCGTCGACAATTTTTGCCAAACTGGCTGGAGTGGCAGGACCACGACAATAATATGACTTGCGAAAGATACTGACCCCCCTATTTTTTTGATTACTACATACATTAGGCATACATTAGGCGAGACCGTCGGGAGTAAGAGATGATTGGGGGCACCAGAGAGGTATATATGTGGGTGCTAGACCCTGACCCATACCTTCACCACTCACAGCCTCTGATCTCGCCAAGCCTGTCATCATACATAGCATCGTTGCTACCACCTCTACCATCTTGCTGTCACCACTGCACATTGCCTGATCTTACCTATCACAACACTGGAATCCAAGCATTCCATGCCTCCAGCTATCAGATCCAGCAAGCTATTGCGATCACATGAACACTAACATCAGCCCTAAGGACAACAATGTTGTGTAGGGGCTGATTGTACTCAGAAAAACCGGAGGGTCGGTATCTTTTGCAAATCACCGATACTGCACTGCAGGCCTTTCCGCAAGCCTTCACTATGCGCGTTCTGAGGCGGTTCAGTCAGATTTTCAGCCCGTCTCAGGAAGAACGTGCGAAAGTGTTGTGCTGCCGCAAGCATGAAGATGATCCCCAGTGCTCAAGGGCTCCACATGAAGTATGATACGATGAGAGACTGCCGATTTCGATTACACGTCCTGACGCTCCTCCACGCCTACGTTTTCGGCAACCGCATCCTGGGCCCCACCTTCCGCCTCGCAATGGACAACGCTATCGCAGACTACTACCCCATCGCTATCGAGACTCCGGAACCCATCGTACCCATCGTGCATGCAGTACGCGTTCGCCAACATCCCGTCCAACTGTGTGGTGCTGATGCTGCTCGTGAGCGACTTCTGCAATCACCTGAAGGAAGGAAGGACTGGATAAGGATAATATGACGCTGAAGTTGTTTCCGCAGGCATTTGTGTTTATCGGTGCTTGTAAAAATGTGAAGACTCCCCTGACCTTGGTACAGTGATGCGTACAGTAGGCAAATACCGTGGTTCATGAGGGCGGACAGCCTTGTGAGTGGCCGTTCACCACGTTGTTGCCCTGCAGGACACGTACCAGACTGTCAATTCTGCCAACCAAGATAGACACAACCACTTAGAAGCCTTCATTCTTACATAACGTAAGTCTGTCGCAGTAGTGAACCAAGTTCAGGGGGCGTCTGTACATTTCAGCAACCATTATAGAGTGATGAGGAGGCTGAGCATGATGTACAACATGACACCGGTGGAGAAGGCGAGAGACTTTTGCGCGCATGAGCATAAGCGTGGGAGCAGCGTAAAAGGTGTCCGGACTTGCATATGGTGTTTGATGAGGAGAGGGATTATGGGCATTTCGTTTGAGTGCGGAAAGCGAGACAGGAAACATTCAAAGTGGAGAAAAAGAATGATGGCGGAAGGAGATTGAGTGACCGGGTTCCGATGATGCTATTGAGCAGCTGATTGGTGCCTCTTGCCTTTTCTGCGATGCTTTGCTTCTCTGGCTCCTGCAATCTAATCACTTTCATCGCTCTCATCCTCCTCGCTTTCTACCGCTGCAGCCCTTGCCGTCGCTGTCTTTTGCTCAAAGATCCTGTAACCCATGTGCTCGTCATAGGCCACATGTCGCTTCTTGCATTTCCCCCGCTCCTCGTCTGATTCATGCTCGAAGTAACAGTGTTTCTCATTCCATGCCATACCACCACTTAACCATATGCACTGTTCCCGACCATATCCGTGAACTCCTTTGTGGATACGCACAAGGAAATCGACAGGTATGGACAGCAGAGCGGAGACGCTGAAGGGCGGGTATTTTTTTTTGCTTCGGCGGTCCAACCTTTCGTCTTGCGCCTGTTCTCCCACTAGCACATATCATCACGATGATCGTCGGCTAATTGCTGCAGGACTGAATGATGTAGCCAATGGACCTTGGGGCAGCGCAGGTGATCTAGTCTGCCACGAAGAGCACACACCCGACGGAACGCAAATGTGCAGTTGCGTATGCAGCTTCCAACGAGACAAAGGAAATGTCGTCCATCATAAGAGCGAAGTGGAACACGAGGGCTAGGAGGTTATTGAGAACGGAGGGGTCCGTCTTGATTAAGGATGTATGTTACATTGGAGGAGCGGTCTGGTGACTCTCTCGACTCCAGGTACAAGTAAGGGTACAAATATAGCTTGTGCGACTCCAGGTACAAGTAAGGGTACAGGTATAGCTTGTGCGATCGTGTTGTCGCAACGAACAAGATGTGTAATAGTACAACAGGCGAAAACCTTAATGTGCCCTTCGTCTGCACTAGAGAGGGGTAGAGAACCAATAGAGTTGAGGCTGCCCGTAACGCCAGGGAATGCATATTGTGAAGTCGTCAATAATCGAAATCGTCCAGCGATCCGATTCCAGCAGCGGCCAAAGCACACTCGACGGCTTCGTGTCGGTCCCAGAAAAACTCGCGCACCCAGGAAGCTATCATGTCAAGGGCAGAGATAGCAGTCGAACTAGTCCAGATCTTGTCGTGTCGATTCCAGGCCTTCGTTTGCCAAAATGTCTCTGGGTAGCGTTGCTGAAGAGCCGGTATTAGGCAGCGTGGTGCGGAGGCCCGTCGCTTCCAGAGAAGACCGGTCTGAGTGAGATGCAAGATACCAGATGATATGCTGAAGATGGCACGGAGGTCAGGACTCGAGCATTGTGCAGCAAGGAAGGATGTTGCTGCCTCTGATAGTTCCTTTGTGGAAAATGATCCAGGGATGATCAGGACATCAAATTGCGGTGTGTTCGCGAAAGAGTTCTGCTTATGAGTCAGCTTTACACTCTCCAGAAGTGATAAGTGCGGATGGTGGTAAGAATGTAGGGTGTGTGTTAACCTTTATCTCCCTGCCAGACTCTCTCAGATGACCAAAGGTCAGGTACAGGCGAATCCAGCGAGACCAGGAAGTAGCTCTTCTTGACCAAAGGAGTTGGTTCATGGGTATGGCAATGATCGTGTTTGCTGTAGAGCAATCCGAAACTAGCTCACCGTCACTGGCATTCGAGCGCCAGAGGTGACTGGAAACGACCCCTCTCCGGTCACACTGACATATCGAACGTCCACTTCATCGACAGCTTCATCGAGCGTACTCGCTGGTGCACTCAACTTGCCGATCCTACTCCTGCTCAATGTCGACAGGAGGTCAACAGCGGCGAGGTCCGTGAGTTGGATCTGGTCTTGACTGAGGATGACGACGCCAACTCGTAGAGATGATTGTGATGGAGGTGCGTAGTTGATACCAAGGTCCTCAGCAGAAGTTGACGACGTGGTGCAGAAGTAGAAGAGGTCTGCGTCACTCGGAAACGTTGTATAACCTCGAGGTGGAGACGGCATGAGGGTATAGAGTGATATAGATATAGTGTGTGAGGAAGAGTGAAATCAGAAGGTTCTTGTAGAGGGGTATGATGAGAAAGCCCATACTTGCCGGCTTGGGGTCAAGCTTTATATGAAGTCGTAGGTGAGGGAGCATTCATTCGATAGGACGAATGCAACCCGCCCAATTGACAGAAGTCCAGCATGGTTGACAGCGTCATTGCTAGTGTGGAGTACGCGCTTACCTGAAGCTCCCACGCTATACGAGGGTTCGCATAGACGAAGTGGCCACTGCTCAGCGTAGTGGAGGCTTGTCTTGATGTGCTCCCGTCTTTTCGCGAGGTTCAGCTTCCGAAGAGAATCCTCCGGCGAACCCTGAATGCGTCATCTGGGTGAAGATCTGCAGCGTTGGCATTGCCCGTTCAATAACCGAGCCGTTAGAATATGTCCGACTTTTTGATGTTGCGAAGTCGTGAAATTGACATCACGTTTCTCGACTGCCTGATGTGGCGCTCGTGGGATATGTGGTCAAAACGCCCCAGGCAGCACAATTCGCACCCGTCTGGTTGGAGCAACATCGCTCGGGGACGCGGCACAAGCGACGGGGACTCCGAGCGCAGGTAAGCACTTGGTGCTTGACTGACTCCAATCTGATTAGACGGTGGCTGTGATGTTGATTTGTGCGGTTCCTGAGGACAAGCCGGAAGTGTGGAGGTGAAGCTTGCAGCTAAGAGGGTCGGGACGGCCTCGACGCCTCAGGCAGGAGAAGTTTGACGGTCATCTGCCTCAGGACTTACATCAGCGGGAGATTATTGTGACGAAGATAGCAACGGGAGTTGTGCGAAGCGAGTCAAATGACAATGGTTTTCTCGATTGAGGGTCTTGAGCGAGAATGCGCCGGAAGCCAAAGAGGGCAGGCGCTCTCGAGGTTGAACACCGGCAAGCCGCGAGCGCGAAAGCAAAGCGCAGCACGTGGACGATTGTGGAAGCCGCATACAAACATGCTCAGCAAATTGCAAGATTCTGCAATGCAGCTGGAATCTTGCTCATGCCTGCTTCTTTGCTAGATTCTTACATCTGCTGCCAAAGACTTCACTATTCGTTCTGCAGCATGTTTGTAGATGTTGAGAAGGGGTATCCTTTGATTGATGGTGTCAAAACACCGTCTCTATGTGATCTGCACCAATCAGATGCGAGATATTGTAGCGGAGCAAGAGGCTCAGCTGCTACGAAAGGTGGTATCCATTGCTTACTGCCAAAATCATAATATGCCGTAAAGAGGTTGCTCAAACTCATTTGTGATCCTTAGACATCCCTGGGAGAGCCATCGGCCTCGCCAGACTTGACGGTTTTGCCGGTCTTCTTGATCTTCTCGAGGACGGTTTCGTAGGAGAGCGAGTCTTCGGCGACGATATCAGCGGTCTGAGTCTCGAGGGAGACGTTGTAAGACTTGACGCCTGCATTGGAGTTAGTTGTCACTCTGACCAGCCAAACATGGCGCAGAGCACTTACCATCGAGCTTCTTGAGCACGCGCTCAACGGCACCGGAGCAGCCACCGCAGCTCATGGCGATGTTGAACTTGTAGTTGTGTTCGGACATGGTGTTGGATGTGTGTGATGTGTGGATAGGTAGGTGTCGAGGTGTGAGTACAGGTGGGAGGACTATGTAGGCAGATAGAGGAGGTGATGGTGGGATGTTTGTGAAGTGGAGCTCTGAAGAGGGTGCGGCGACGTGGATTATATACGCGGACTAGCAGACAGCTTAGACAAAGACGGATTGCGCGAGTTTCGCGACTGTGTTGCAATCCGGTACTCAGCGTAGATTACTATAGATTGCGGCGACTGTGCTGACATTTCCATCCAAAGGATGCACAGCTCGGCCTCCGATGAGACCAGATGTGCTTCAGCGCCGTCCACTGTTTCAGCACTGACTGCACTGTGGCGCTAAACTTGCTCATTGCAACGCCTTGGGCCAGGGCAAACAGTATCGACGACGATCATATAATAATGAAGACACTGTGTTGTCCTTGATTAAGCTTCTATGTACGCGGACCGTGTGGAAGCATGAGCGCAACGTGTCTGATACACTGAACTGTTCATTCTTGCGCTTTCCTTCAATACTTCAAGACCTTGAAGAATATCATATGGCTGATCGACAGGTTGACATGCATATGCAAGAATGCGATAGCAGAATCACAGCCTTGCAGTGCTGCTGTCGCTGTCACGGGCGTGTGTGTTCCTGGATCGACTGCTGCGTGCCCCACGCTCAGACCCTGGTGCATCGCCGCGGGGCAAGCTTGAGGCTCGGCTGGATCCTGGCCGCCGGTGACGTCTTTTCTTCTGTGAGCTCCCAAACCAAACAATAAACCAGCATTTCATACCATGGCTTCGTGAGTATAGCAAACAAAGGTTATACCGTCGTTTTAGGCTTACACATGGACAGCAATATTCTCTTTCTTCCATTTCGGAAGTCACATAGTGTCAACCTCACAGAAGCCATCAAGCAGTACATATCCTCTAAATATGACCAGCATCCAGATATGTTCAAGGCCGACCTTGAGACCATTGAGAAGCTACGATCGACCGCCGTACACGCCCAAGAACCGCATCCAAGCAACATCCCCAAGCTACAGCAGTACGCAGCTCAGCTAGTATGGCTGAGTGGGAAGTTCCCTGTCGACATTGGCGTCGAGTTTCCTTGGTACCCAGCTTTGGGATATAACACAAGCCGCCTAGTGTCGCGCAACAACCTCCGCTATGAACTCGCAAACATCATGTTCAACCTCGCCGCCATGTACTCGCAGCTGGCTATGTCGTCGAATCGAAGCACACCAGACGGCCTCAAGGTCGCCGCCAACAACTTCTGCTTGGCTGCTGGTGTGATATCACATCTGCGAAACACGGTGCTGCCTGAGCTTCGAACCGAACCTCCAGAAGATATGGACCTCATGACGCTTGATTGTCTCGAGAAGCTCATGCTGGCCCAGGGTCAGGAGTGCTTCTGGCAGAAGGCTGTCAAAGATGGCCTGAAGGACGCAACCATCGCCAAGCTCGCTGCTCGAGTCTCGGACTTGTACAATGAAGCGTGCGAGGCAGGCATACAGTCTGACTCAGTCAGCAGCGAATGGATACACCACATGACAGCCAAGCACCACCACTTCGCCGCCGCTGCTCAGTACAGGGCAGCTTGCGATGTGTTGGAGAAGCGTAAATACGGCGAAGAAGTTGCAAGGTTGAGGGACAGTCTCACGTGTGTAAACGAGGCCCTCAAAGAGCAACGCTACATCAACAAGCTGGTGCTGGCAGATCTCAATGGTCTCAAAAATAGGGTCAACGAAGACCTGAAGCGAGCAGAGAAGGACAACGACATGATATACCTGCTACCCGTCCCACCGAAAGCCGAGTTGAAGATACTGGACAGAGCGAACATGGTCGTCTCAAGGGTACCGAAGGAGATTGCTGAGTCGAATGCGCTATTAGGAGAGAAGGGCGAGCTTGGTCCTGCTCTTTTCTCGAAGCTCGTCCCTTACTCCGTGCACCTGGCAGCTAGCATATACGTCGATCGCCGTGACCGATTAGTCAACACTGCCATTGTCGAGGAGCTCGAGAATCTTACTGCTCAGATTCACGAAGTGCTTCGCAGCCTCAATCTGCCAGGATCTCTTCAGGCTCTCGAGAAGCCGCTGGGTCTACCACCAGGGTTGATGGCTCATGCAGAAGAGATTCGGCAGCAAGATGGCATTCATCGACTTGAACGCTCCATGGAGGACACCAAAAAGCTCATGTACAGTGACCAGGCCGTGTATAACGAGGGTGTAGACATCCTCAAGTCAGAAGCGGTTGAAGATGAGAACGCGCGACGACGCTACGGAACCGCTCTCTGGACAAGAGCGCCCGCAGAACAAGCTGCGCCTAAGCTTTGGGCTCAGATCAAGGAAATTGATGGATACTTCAAAGCTGCTGCAAACAGCGATAACATCGTCAAGACGAAGTTGAGGGAGAACGAGCACTTCATCAAGCTACTCAGTGGACCTGATCATGACCTTGAAAACTACGTTCCTAGCGGTCGCCGCCCAGCCATCACAGGTGATGTTGAGCGAGAAGCTGGCAAACTGCGTGGGTGCTTCAACGAGGTGAGCCGCCTTGAAAGCAGAAGACGGCGGAAAATTGAGGCTTTGCGAACCAAAGCAAAGCAAGATGACATCAGTAAGTGACTAAACTGTTCCTATCGTAGCTTGCTGACAGTACTAGATCCTGAATTGCTGCGCGAAGCCGCTCGCTTAGAGCGGGAGTATCCCATGCAGACAATCGAGGCTGTACAGTTCGAGGGTCTCTTCGATAGACGGCTGCAGATGTATGATGTCGACCAGGACATGGTACAAGAAGAAGAGGGGGAGCAAACAGAGGCAATTAAGCGATTACAAGACGCCAACGCATCCTTCCTGATCGCTCGCCGGGGCGATCAATCTACGAAGCAGCGCGAACAGGCCCTCCAAAACTTGGAGAACGCGTACTTCAAGTACAAGGAGATCATCTCGAACTCTGACGTTGGCCGGAAGTTCTACAACGATCTTGCCAAGATTGTCAACCGTTTCCGCGATGATGCACGCAGCTTTGCTTATCAGCGGAAGTCTGAAGCATCGCAGATCGAGAGGTGAGTTTCTAGCTTATACACTACATCTATTCGCCAGGCACTAACAACACCACAGTGATCTAGCGACTCGAATGAGTTCCCTGAACCTTCAGCAAGCGACTTCAGAATCGTTGCAGCAGCAAAAGAAGGCCGATGCACAAAATCCGCAATACGGTGCCGATGCACATGCAGAAACACCTTTGACTGCACCAAAGCCCACGAGGGCCAGCATTCAACCAGCAGGCATGTGGACTCCAGATGTTGGCATCAACTTCGGTACCGTCGGTGCTGTACCTACATCGTCTGGCAATGCGCGACCTACGAACGGTCCTGCACAAGATGGGCGATGGGATCCTACCAAGGGCCTGAAGTTCGCGTGATCGTTATAGACCAAGATTTCCGGATAGTCGAGAACTTGCTCTGCCGAAGAACCATGTTCGACCATCAATGTCATCGACCAGGACCAGAACAGCCCAAAGCAGCAATATACAGCAAGCAGAAGCGGTCTGTGCCGCCATAACATGATGCAATGCGCTACACTCGCGACCGCTGTTTGCGCCTCAGATGGCAGTTGTGGACGCGGGAATAGTGGCAGCAGGAGGGGAATCTGCCTTAGTGGAGCATTCTGCCTCGCAGGGTTGTGGCTGTGCCAGCTGTAGACCTGCACTACCATCTCAGTGGACCATCTCAGTGACTTCATCTGCGAGTATACGTCGCTCGACGGTCTGCGCACCACAAGAACCACTGTTCAATGATATTGTACATCAGGTTCTTTGCATTGAAAGGGGTTGGGCGTGGATAGTGGAATGTCAATTGCGGCGAATGTTCAGTGACGACTCGGCAATACTCGGTGACATATGAGGCTCGCTCCAGCATCAACTAGCTGAAACACCTGGACTACACAATTCTTGATTTCCATTATCGCTCACCTACACATTTACCGAGAGTCTATCGGGCCATTTTCACAGTTTCCCAAGATCCATAGGGCTGAGGCTGAGCAGTGCGTCGTCACGGCTTCTCCTTCCAAGACAATCAAGACGCAACTGTCCAGACAAGCAATTCGCTACAACTGATCGACCTTTGTAGCGATTACGAATAATCACACGACACAGCTGGTCTGCTTTTGAAGCCCTCGCTTGTCTACACCAGCCTGTTCATTGTTTTCTTTGGCCTACATTCCTGCTGATAGCCGTGATCAACGTCACTACGAACACCCCACACCGGCATCGCGTGTCACGCCCCATGCCGCATCCTCGTACCTAGGACCGTTTCACGTTCTCGAGGTTCTGAAACCAGGAACACAGTCGAAGGTTCTGCTGCAGCGCGCACTTGTAGGCGCCGGGAAGCTCACTGCGGGGCTCAGAATAGCACTCCCCTAGCCTGTTCGGGGATCAACCTCTCTTGCTTGCACAGCCCACCTCACGGTGTTGTGCTCACCTCGAGCAGGACTCACACAGCCTCCTTCACTCTCCAGCCTCAGCCAGGACAAGCCAGGAACGCGTCGCTCGCGGCCTTCTGACCACTCAGTGAGCTCGATTCCGAGCTTAACGTTGCCCGCGCCCCCGCTCGTCGCTAGACAAGGCGATCTCACTGTAGGGGCCCAAGCGCACCTGTCTACCTCACTCTCCTGCACTCCAGAATAGCAACACGCGCAAACTACAACCATGGACGGCATGCAGCAGCGCGGGCGCTCGCCGTCTGCGGGACAGCGCGCCCATATAAGGCAAACACCCTCGCCGTCACCCCATGCGCCCTTCCACAATAACGTGTCTGGCCTCGGCTTCGATCAATCGCAGCAGCTACTGAACGACCCCTCCAGCTTCGCCGTCAGCAACGCACAGCTCAACCCTGCGCAGTACCTGTCCACCATACAGTCACAGCCCTTCCCGCAGCAGCAGGTCCTGTCCGACCAGACCTTCCTCCAGTCCAACCCAGCCCTGTCGCAACACAACACGCCTCACTTTGGGCCGCAAGGCAACAACCTCACACCCGACCACCTCGACATCACCAATCCTGGCCCGGCCGACTTCAACAACTTCTTCACGGGCAACGATCTGAACCAGCCTCAGGCGATCAACCCTTCTCCATTCGGCAACTCGCTGGACCCCCACCTGCTCGAGACTCAGCCGCAGCAGCAACAGAACCTCTCGATTAACCCCAACGACTTGATGGCCCAGATGTCTACCGCACAATCCCATGCGCCCACACCGCCACACTTGTTGCCAAACAACATGAACAACCAGCGCAGCCCTAGCCCACACGCATCACCGCACCAGAATCAGGGCGCATTCTCCCCACCAAACCACTCGCGGCATGCATCACTGGGGCAGTCGTCCCTCGATCCTAGCGCAGCATATGGACAAGGCACTGAGTGGGCGAACATGGCGAATTTCAGGGGACACAGGAGGACTCCCAGCGAGAGCGCATACTCAGACATCTCCTCGGCCCATGCATCGCCGTTCTTGGTTACTCAGGATAGCTTCGAGGAAACACAACCGTCCCCGAATCTGAGTGCACAGAACGATCCCCAGCTCTTCCAGAACCCTATCTCGCAGTTCGATCAATTCAACCTGAACGATGGCACACATATCAGCCCCAGACACAGTCCTGCCATTTCCCCGCGCCTGATCCCACAGCAGCAGTCACTTCCACAGTTCATGCCTGGAAGTTTTGGTATCGAGTCCAACATGAACAATCATTTCCAGCAACAGCAGGGGATGGGTACCTACCAGAACCAGGGCGCAGAGCCATTTCCACAGCTCAATGAATTTGGCCAGGCTGATACAATGTCTCCACCAGAGATCAACATTGACTTTGCACCGCCATCGCGGCAAGCAAGCTTCGAGCCACCAAAACCGGGAACTACAGCTGATGCTCTGACCGATACTCTGAGTCCACCAGATCGATGTAAGTACCTGAATCAAGGGTCGTGTGGTATTAGCTAACACATACGTAGCAAGGAGTCGTAACAGGACACGCGCCAAGTCTGACCCCTTCAGCAGTGTGAGCTCGCGTGCCTCCACTCCTGGCTTGGAGATAAATCGATCGTTGTCTCCCAGCGCTGCAAAGTCGCGCTCGCCTTCTCCTTCTGGCAAGTCTTCTCGTCGTTCATCGACTTCAAGTGTGCCCAACCGCGACTACATTCTAGATCTCGCCGACCCCTCGAGGCCCACCAACCCTGCCGATGGCTCAAATTCCAAGCGTACACAAAAGCATCCTGCAACCTTCCAGTGCACATTGTGCCCGAAGCGTTTCACGCGAGCTTACAATCTGCGCTCGCATTTGCGCACTCACACCGACGAGCGTCCATTCGTGTGCAACGTTTGCGGCAAGGCATTTGCTCGCCAGCACGACAGGAAACGACACGAGGGCCTTCACTCTGGCGAGAAGAAGTTTGTTTGCCGCGGTAACCTCAAGGACAACGGTCACTGGGGTTGCGGCAGGCGGTTCGCTCGTGCAGATGCTCTTGGTCGCCACTTCAGATCTGAGGCTGGCCGCGTCTGCATACGCCCCTTGCTCGAGGAAGAAGCGCAAGAGAAGGGTGGTTGGGACGGCCAGCAACAACAGATGACTAACGGCAACGGCATGTTCAACCCAATACCTCAGAACTTCGGTGGCATGATGCAGACTCAGCCTGGCTACGAGAACTTCCCTCAGATGACCCAGGCGCCGCAACAATCCTTCCTGCCCGCTGCACTTCTTGTACAGTACCCTGCACTTGCGGCCATGGATTGGAACTCAATGCCCCTCAACGGACCTGACGATGCTGATGAGATTAGCGGTCGCAGCAGCTTCGACGCCAGCAGTGGAGGAGAATACTACGAAGACGAGAGCGACAACTATCAGCAAGGTCAGCAACAAGTGTTTGCGGGTAACAACAGCGGCTGGGCGAGCGACAGCTATGACGGGCGGAGCTAAGTGTTTCTGCACTAAAACCGCGTCGTTCAGGCCTTCGGGCACTTCTTTCATATTCACGGCCTTGCGCGTTTGCTTTCATGATTGTGGACCATTGCCCTTCTGATACCTTCTTCTTTTTCTGGATACCATTGTCACTACAGACATGCATGTCACGCTTCGCGAGTTGTGTACCTAGGGTCCAATATACCCCGGCTTTGGAGAGTTCATGTTCGGATTGGTGTTTTGAAGAACCGCATTTGCGGTCACTTTTCCCTGGTGTTTCGATCTACATAGAAGATACCATAGCACGCAGAATCAAAATCAATGAACGAAGCACCTCCGGGCCCTACATCGTATTTGTTGACTAATGCATAGAAAAACTCGAGAAGAATAAAATCGATCACTAAACAAACTACAGTCGTGAATGTTGCCATCAATGACATCAAGTCGAGCTAAGCCCTTGACCACCTCTACATCCCCAGTTTTGCAGACCTCCGGTCCTTACTTTGCCTCATGCCTGTAACCGCAGCAACACCTCAACCATTCAGTACTGAGTTGCTCCACGTCTGATCGTCCAAGTTCACAATCACCAAATTCCAGTCCATCTGACAGGTCTTGATCAAGAGGCATTATTACTACAATAAGTGCATCTTTCTATAGCTAGGGATGATCGTCAATCTGGAGAAGAAGGGCATCAATCTCGAGAACACCAACTAGACAGTGTAATACTATAGAACTACTAAAATGACTGCGTGGCTGCGACATCAGCAAGACCTAAATATAGTGGCTGTCGAAATGTACGAACCCCCCTGAACTTGGAACAGTGATGCAATCAGTACATCTGCACCATGGTATAGTCGTGCGGACAAGCTTGTGAGTGGCTATTGCCAACGTTGATGCCCTGCATGACGTCTACCAAACCGTCACAACTGTCAACCAGACAATCAACAGCCACTCGGAAGCCTTCGCTTCTGTATGATGTAGAGGACTTCAGTAGCGAGCCAAATCTGGGGAGGTCCATACATTTTGGCAAGCACCGATAACATTATCAGCACGTTCGTACAAGAAGACGAAGGCTCGGCACGCGCGGACGCTGGACAGAGAGGTGCACATTTCTGATCGTGTTTGAAAAGTGCATATTGAAGATTACAAGGAAATTGGCACGCTTGTGACACTAACCTTGGAACCATCCGACGAGGGTAATTGCAGGTTTGTAGGCGGCAGCACGAGTTCTGCAGACAATACACATAGGATTCAGATGAGTTGTAGTCTCCAGCTGCCTACAAAGAATCAGCAACTCTCTGCGAGAGTTGACGGAGATGCCCACGTTCTTACATAGAGGCGTTGAATTGAGGCTCTAGGCGCTGCGAAGGTACTTGGTTTGCAGCGCTGCTTCCTCCACTGCGTCACCCTTGCGACGCAGCTGCTATTGCGATTCTTTGGCTAATCCTCAAGTCAGCTCCAGCCCATCCCGTGCTCCCCATGGGCCAGTCACGTACATTTCATGCTCAGAAGCAGATTCGGGAGAGCCTCAGCATAAACAACACTGAAGACACTCGTCACTCTATCATTCTAGGCGACATCATGTGGCTCTTCGATCAGATTTTCTGTGAGCTTTGCAATCCACGTGAGGGTCTTGTCTTCGGTGTCGGTGGCTCGTTGAAAACGGCAGGATCAGTCTGGTGACCAATGGCAGCACCATCCGTACTGGCGCACCCTTCTCGCATCCGCCCACTCTGCCGATACCGATGTATCTGAGAGCAGCTCTGTATCAAACATCATCTACCTTGCAAATAAGACATTAGACGACTGTATTGACAAAGAGATGAGCGTGAAGGTCGAGCGCAATGGTAAAAGTGTCTCAACACCACCCACTAAATACACGGTCAAGGACATCGACTGCTTCTATGATGATTAGGTCTCTGATGAGACGTACGAGCTGGAGTGTTCTGATGAGATGGAGGAGCTAGAGCTTACGTCCGATGACAAGAGGAACGGTTCTTCGATGCGCTGATGGACGATCCCCTTGATGAGGAGCATGAAGTTTCTGCCGTTGTTCATGCAGGCCCCTCAAGGCATGGTAAGAGCTACCCTGTGGAAGTTGATGATGATGATGAGAGTGCCTCCGAAGAACGCTCTGCTCCAGTCAAGGAAGGCGGCCAGCGAAAGAAGCTCAAGCATACAAAACCCATCGGAGGCCGGGACAGTGATGGGATGGGATTCTCGGGTGGCAAAGGCGGACTGAGCACAGCTGGAGCTGGCGGCAACTGATGTACCTATTACACCTTCCGGCGGCAAGAATTGGAAGTTATGGTCGCTATTGTTCGCATTGGCCGTACCAACACAACAAAGATCTTGTGAGACTTTCAAGCAGCTCAACTGAACCCGTAGTTGGTGACTGCACTGAGCGATGTACCCGGTTACTGGCGATGATTCTGATACTTCAGTCAGTGCGTATGTTCCAAAACCTGTACTGCCGGTGGACCTACGCAATGCATGTGTAATTCTAAGAGTTTCCAATAATATGTCCCTAGCGGGTTAGATAAGTTCTAGTCTTTACCGTTTTCGTGAGCTGACAAAAATTCTGTACAGCTGTTCTGTGTGCTCTGGAGACATCGAAAGAAATGCGCAAATTAATTTCCCTTTGCAATGTTGGCAGCGATTGCAGTCGCAGCTTTTGGAAACAGCATGGAAGATACGTGCAGATACCTGTTTCCTTAAGGGAGGGAAAAGTGTTTCTATGAAAGAGTACATGCGTCGATTGAGTGCTGCTGCTACAAGTTTGGGTGCAGTGCTGCAATTAAAAAATATTTTTCAGCTAGATGCTAGCTTTCCAAGGTCCAGAGTTTGACCAGGTTCTATGTTAAGACCATAATTAATAGTCTGCGATATGGCTTCCCAACAAAGTTGAGCCCAAGATTCATTCGTTTATGTTGTTGGCATTCAAATCCATTGTAGAAAAGTGGCCGCGATGCTGCAGCCGGCCATGTCTCGTGGTTGTGCCCAGCAATCGATATCGGAGATCTAGATGGTCGGGTTGCTTCAACCAATGTTTACTGTTGTTAATAAGAGCTTCCCTTTGCAGGTCAAGACCATGTTTTGATGTTGCGTGTGTGGTGGTACCGAGTGTGGTGCTCATTGGTGGGATCGCCCAGCACAACCAAAAGACCAAAAGAAATGGAGAAATGATGCCGCAAAAAACACGCTGGCTATGAATCGAGGTCGAATAGTGATTCGGAATTAAATCTGGGAGTTTCGGTAGTATGTCTCGAGAATCTTCGACCTTGACGATCACTGAGTGTGATTCGGGATTTTCGGCAGTATTTACGTATTTCGAAGCCACAGGACATAAAATTGGCTTTCCAAAGTAAAAACTAAGCATGGTTTATGGTTTCGAATGTTCCTCAGCCTTCGGTAAAGAGTTTAAAAACATCCTCAAAAACTGCAAAAATTCAACGGGCCTGGCCGGGATTCGAACCCGGGGCCTGTCACATGCAAGATATACAATATCTCGGGCGAATAAGCGACCCGAAGCGACAATCATACCACTAGACCACCAGGCCGGTCATTTATTCCTCTGCTCGTGGTAAATGGGGAGCTCGGGACGATTTGATAGAAGTAAACGAAAATGAATGTATTATATTTTGATTTGCTAATCTCACGGCGACTGGGCTGACGAGGTTTTCCTACACGGGAAGTGTTGGAACGCGGCAATACTCGTTGAATCCCGGAAGGGGCTGAGCTGGAGTGGACCAGACATGACAGTACAACCAACATTATTTCAACTTTGACTCAGCTCGAATATCATTCCACATTACAAGTATCTTTTTCTGGTGTAGCTACTGTGCGTGACTGCGTTGCTGTGGTTCTGTGTGACTGATTTTGCCTCCGTCAAGCTAAGCCCTAGGGCGGTCTGTTCACCGCCCACCCTTGTTCCTGACACTGCCCAGCTGCCAGACCTGATCGAGCAGACTTTGCGAATACTGCCGTGGCACACCCGCGGGAGCAGCCCTACAAAAACAATGCTGCCGCGGGTGTGGACAAGATATCGATCCTGATCGTGCAGTCTCAGGTATTGACGTTGAGCTGCCTGTAATCACTCAGAGTGCCTCATGACGAACGTTTCCACCAGTTACATCCCGTCATTATCCAGCTTTATCAAGTTCCATTACTGGCAACTCCTTATCACAACCGCATCCGTCATGTTTGAGTGAGGCGAGCGGTGCTCGGGCGGAGAGCCGATCCCCAGGCACAGCACCCGCGGGAGTGCACACACATTCCCGACCTCACTTCAGCGTGGCTAGATGATGCGATTCGCGAAAACCCCCTTGTGGCATTGTACGTGCGCAGGTCAACAGATCTGATCGCCGCGCACACCGACTTTGTTGCTCGAGGCTGTAACAAACTGGCAAGAGCGAGTGCAAGCAGACTCCAAGCCGAACGTGCAAAATCGACTCGTCCAGAGCCATAATTGCCCGCGTGAGACTCAGGTGTTCCGAACGCATCACTCCTGCTTCAGACAGCGTTGAAAGTGCGGGGTGCCATCTTTAGCTGTACAGTGGATCATCTACCATTGGCCCGGGTACTGCAGTAAGCCCATTCCAGTGTAGACAGGCTGTTTCAGCGGGCCCGAGCTCCACGCGCATCCATGTTGAGACGACCAACTTGCATGCTGTGTCCAGAGTTGCTGATCACTCCAATTACGATTGCGCGTTTTATGAACGTCTAGTGCGAGTGCAACACAATTGGCATCTCACGCCAGCTGGTTGACCGCCTGCTCAAGGGAAGCAGCCAGAGAAGGTTAGGGTTCCGAGGTGAACTCAAAACCGCGAGGTCCCCTCGTCACTGCTCGATCAATCATTCCTCCTCACCTCCGAACTTACTTGATAACGAGCTTCCGAGTCGCGCCGAATTGCACCTATCTGACGTGCGCGACATTCCAGCAATCCGGCACCACTACAACTTTTAATCTACTGAACTGCTGAGCTTATCCGCTCTTGCCTCTACTCCTACTCCTCTTACACCTTCTCAACATAACAACACACGCAATCATGTCTGGCCCCCGTCTTCTCCGCACACAAGGCCCTCGACTTCTTGACACTCAAGGTCCTCGTCTCCTCAAGACAGGAGGCCCCCGTCTGCTCCGCACTGCTGAGGGCCCTCGCCTGCTCAAGACCCAGACTCGCAGTGTCCACACCGAGGGACCTCGTCTTCTCAAAACACAAGGACCTCGCCTGCTCAAGACCCAGAGCCGCAACCTGCACATGACCGGAGCCACCAGCTCCTCGTCGTTCCTCACATCAGACAAGCCCACTTTCGGCTCGTTAAGCCCCAAGCTGCCCTCCTCTGAGGCTCCAGCCTGGAAGCATGAGACTGGCAATGCCATGCGCCACTTCAACACAAGTCGAAGCCTGAAGGCCGTCAACGACAGCTCCACTATCGACTTCATGTACATCCCGGACTTCGACCCGGACGCGCAGACTGCACCCACCAAGATCAATGTACCCATCATCCTGTCGACTGCTACATCTTCAGCGACACAGGCTGCCGCTGCTGAGGCTGAACAGCCGGTACTTCTGCCCACTGCTTAATATGAGAGCTTTGGACTGATCAAGCAGGTCATGCAACCGACCATCTACACTGCCGCTGCCGACAGCACGCACATCCACGCCCCCTCTGCGATGTCTGACGTGACCGAGGGCAACCACATTGACTTCCAGGGCATGGCTGCGCAGGTTGCAAGCAAGCTGCAGAAGCCTGTCGAGGAGGCCGAGGGTATGGCGAGGCAGATCTGGAAGGGTTTCGTCGACGATGTCTTTGGCCCCAGGCATGGCGGTGCCTCCAAGGCCTGAGCAGATGGTGAGATGATAGGATCGGTGAGGCAGCGTAGGATTACGCTTACCGAACATTCGGCGTACACAATGTTATTTCTCGGTGGTGGAACGATTAGGTCCGTAACAGCTTGAAGTGCTCAAGCTCATGAGACATGAATACTATATATTTAATACTTTATTCACCTCAAACCATTCCGACACATCTTCAGGTTTTCTCGCATCATTCTTCAACTTGTATTCCATAACCCTCACGAGAAACGCAGACGGCAGCTTCTCCTGAACACTGAGACCAAATCAAGCGTCCCTAAACTCTTCTTCCCAGCCCGTCAAAGAATTAGTCCAAGTAAGGGCGTAATCGACGAGGTCAAGCAGAATAGCATGACCTGTCGGGGTGTTCGCAAAGGCGTAAGCGATCGCCTGGGCATACATCTCTTCTTTGCAGGGGAATCTTTCAGGGAAGCAATTGTCGTTCAGGCCTTCTGTAAGCTGGGAGCAGAAGGCTGGACTCAGTATACGATTGCCGAAAGCGTACGTTTTGACGTAGACCCAAAGGAGTGGTGCTTGTTCATCTTTGTTGTCAGCATTGAGGTCGTCGGCCTCAGTGATTGTTGGTAGTTGTTTGTCGTTGGAAAAGGGTTGGGTGTAAAGCCAATCACGAAGACCTTGACTACATTCAAGGCGTCAGCATATGTAATGGGCAAGACTCACAAATTGCAGGCTCTACGTTGTGCAACTCGACGATCACGACGCCCTCGGTAATAGCACGCCTGTGTCATTGATCAGCTCGGCTGCAGACGGTGCGCATCTACCAAGAGTTGCATACCCCAATACTAGTAGCTCAGCATTCTCTTGATGTCTTCTGCGTTTGTCATTGTTGCTGGTGGACGGATTCGGCGCCAATGTGGGAAGTTTGAAGTTACGTAGCCGGAAAAGGGGTTTTATAAGAAAGTAAAGTGGATCGCAACGTAGTTAGGTGAAGGTGGAAGTAGCTTGTGAAGATAAAGGCATCACCTGCGTTCTACGTGGGCGTAACCGTATCAGTTGTGCAGGTAAGATATACATCCTCGTATTCTTCAACACACTACTCAGTAGTCATTCCTCCGTTCTGCACTCACTGAAATATCCGTAATCGTCCTTGTAGTCGTACCTCATGTGAAGCTTATTGCAGTGCTTTTCCTCCTTATCTGACCCATGCTCGATGTAACAGCGCGCCTTCGTCTCCACTACTCTGCCCTCGCTAATTTGCTGGAGTTCACGGAACTTCCACATAACTCTCACAACAAAACTGGTCGGGAGTTCTTTTTGAAGAAGAGATCTAAAGGCTGCATTACACTTCGTACCACCTTCATCGTCCGTCCATCTCCACGAGAAGCAATAGTAATCCACCAGTTGTTGAAAAATCGGTCGATGTGGCGCGATGTTTGCTACAGCGTATTGAACCGCATTGATGCTGTCATCGTCCCAAGGAAAGGGATTGTTAAGGTAGGATCCAAGTGCTTCCTGAACCGCTCGTTGAAAGCCGAGGGCGAGGAATCTATCGCGGAAAACGTACGCGTTGATGTAGAACCAAAAGGCTTGACCATCAGGCTCGTAGGGACCTGTGAGTTGGTCGAGTTCGTTCTCTTTGGGTAGCGCATTCGTGTAGATCCAGTGAACGAAGAGTTTGACTGGGCAGATCAGCATACTATCCGTCATGCAGACCGCGCTTCTTCATGAAAAGATGGAGTGCGGATTACTCACACACTCTTGCATCAACGTCTTTCAGTGACACTGTCCCCTCTCGAGCCTCCTTCCAAGATCCCTGCAGAGCCTTGCGAAAGTATTCCGAATGCGATGTCAAAAGAGGTTTGTGTACGAAGTACTTCTTGAGCTCGGGGCCGACCTCGACCATCACGGTTTCGGCGCTTGTTGCAATCCTAGAATCAACGCATTAGCTCTATCTCAAGAATTACATGAATGGAATGCCATTAACCCAAGTAGAGGTGACTTCATCTCTGCTGCTTTGTCGTAGTTGTTGGTCATGGTCGTGCGCGCGAAGAAGAGCGGCGCACTTTTGTTGAAAGTACCGTTGAGTGCGGTCAGAACAACGGCTATGGTGGTGAGGTGAAGATAGTAAAGGTAGACTTGGCACACGAGATGGGGAGGAGCAGCCCGCCAATACAGACAGGAAATACAACGCCACGAATCATACTCACATTATTTGCACCTGCTCAAGAGTTTTGGTAGGAAGCATGTGAAAGAAGTGGTCAGTTCCACAACATAACAGCAATCCGAGCATGCGCACAAGTAGATGCAGTGGCCGTGTACGTGCAAAAACAGACGCCTTTGGGTACCTCCTCGCGCCTTCCTTGCTCAGACAGCGTTCGTCCTAGGGCCTCCCTCTTCTCAATCTTGACGAAGACGTTGTAATCCTTGCCATCGTTGCACTTGAAGTGTCTCAGACGACCGCGCAACTTCTCTGCCTCTGATGCATGCTCGTAGTGACAGCGCCGCCGATTGCCTAACTCCGGGAGCTCCCTACGTGCTTGGCTAAACCTTCGCAGTGCTCGGAGGACAAAAGTAGATGGGAAATTTTTCAGGTGCACTTGTCCTTGTCGTCGTCTTCAGCCTGACTCCAGTGTTTGCAGAAGGTGTCAATGAGGCACTGCAATATGACTCGGTCGGGTGGAATGTTGCCGAATGCCCATTCAACTATGGGCAGCAGGTGATCGGGAAGAAAGTCCAATTCGATTATCAAGCAAGAATCGACCTGCCAGTCGTTTATGGCGCGGCGGAACGGGGCAGCGAGAAGTCTATCGCCCAGGGCGTACACTTTGATGAGGGTCATTGTCGTCACGTTGCACCGATTCTGTAACGAGTCGCCCAAGGAGTCGAGGAGGTCCGGTAACTTTCGATGATAGAGTCAGTGTACGAAGATCTGAACTGTGCTCATGTCAGCAACGCCTCTCAATTTGCTGTTTGCGACGCGGTGGTCTTAAAACTCACATTCAACAGGCCAACATCGTGCAATAACACAACCGCATCTCGTGCTTCCTTCCAGGGGTCTTGCAGCGCTTTGCGAAAGTACTCCGAGTGAAACACAAGGAAGGCTTTGTGGATGTAGTGCTTCTTGCACTCGGGGCCTATCTCGACAACCTCACCAACAGCGGAGCTTAAAAGATGTTAGCTGCATATTCTGAATGGGCTTAACCAAGTAAACCTACCCAAATGTCGGCGGCTCGACCACATTCTCGCCATGCTCATTCGTAGACATTACTACTGCGTATGTGTGGTGTATGTTTGAAGAGGAATACACAGTGTAAAGTGTAAAGGGCGTTATGGGCGAAGTGAGACAGCTGCAGGTGAACGCAAACATGTTGCCGCCATTATAAGAAAGTGAAGGAACAGCAAATGTGCCACAGCACTTTTCACCTACAACCAGAGTTGTCAACAATCAAGCGATCTCCAGATTGATTGCCCGACTAAGCGTCAAAAGACCATAGAGAGGCCCGTGTCAGGCCTGATCCAATAATCAATCTGCCTATCGCTTGATTGTTGACAACTCTGCCTACAACATTGCTGGGCTGTGTCCCAGTTCAATAAAGAAACGCAAGGAGTCCAATCACACGTCCGTATGCAGGAGAAGTTGCGATTGCGATACTATCTCACACGATCCATGTCATCAATTGAGCGCTTCAAGATGAACGTCTAGTAAGAAAGTATTGTGGGGCAGTGAAAGACGGCTAGTGTTAGTGACGTGCTGCTGTACCCCTTGCGGCCTAGCGTGGCGGGTGGGGCCGAAGCTCCATCTCGACAAGACTTCCACGGCTTCTAACCGTGCTCTCTCCACCCTCGCCGTTTAAGGCTTCTCATTCCCAATTATTCGTGACACTCGTTTGCACCATCCTGGAGGACCGCAGTCGTTGTTGACTTGTGGATTCCGAATTACGTTTACCGATGCTCTTACTACTGCATTGTTGCCGCCCACCTGCATACGACACTTTCAATCAGGTGTGACATCTCAGTGACGAAGACCGTGCAAGGCACTCCTGCAGGCGCCCAATGATTGCTCACATACTCGAAACGTAGCAGCAAATTGCCATCGCTCAAGGTTGCTAAATATACCTTACGCATCCGTGCCAGAGGCAACAGAGGCAGTGCATACACGCACGCGGAGTAGTCACACTAACCGCATTCGGTGCTCTCGCGCGTGCTCTCTACTTCATATACAGAAGTGTCAGCACTCCCAATAAGGCTTCATATCACTTCAACATTCGAAATTCTGCTCTCTCGGCCCGGTTCAGGACTTGCTTTCGTTGCGCCGCTCACTCGCTAAGCTCTGTCTGACATCCATTTTCAGAGACTCAGCCAGCTCGCTCGGACCACCGAACCGATACGATCTCAAATCTTCAAATCGAAAGACACACCGGGACGTTGCGCTAAGTAGGAGAGGATACAGTCGCTTGAGACATCATACTCAGACATTTGAGACCTAAGACCCTGCCTCAACCGACTTTCGTACTGGTGCACTGCCGTGCGCGCACTCTGCCTTTACAACCACCATCGAGATGCCGTCTTGTTGCCGAACATGCGACCATCGCAATCATGCCGTCTACAATTCAGATTCTATACCTTCGCTCGTCAATTTATGCCTCGTTGCACTCACCTTCAAGGAGGATATCTTACCGCATACGAAGTCCTATACGGCATTGAACACCTTACTAAACGACATCATTGATGCGGCCGAGTCGTCATCACATCCGTCAACATTCACATCATGGTCGCTGTGTTTGTCAGACCCCAGAACTGCCGTTGTCGTAACGACTGCGAGTGAGACATGCTCACACGTAACGTCGCCCATCTACAACGACATTTTCGCTTACCTCGCAAGTCCACCGAGCATACAACAGCTCTACCTAGACTACTCCATTCTATCCCTTGCCACGTCATCGCCAGAGCAGAGGATACCTTGCGAGATCATGGTGCTGAGGGCACCGACTTCCGGCATCGCCGCAGCAATCGGCAAGCACTTCGGCTGGGAGCCTAGGCGCTCGTCTTTGTCCTCGCAGATGCAGAACACAGCGCCAGCAGCCTTCAGTCGGCCAGGCGATCTGATCAGAGATTTTTGGGCATGGGCCGAGCTCCCACACGATAGCTCGATATCGCGATCTAGCTCACTCGGATCGAGCAGCACACACCTGCCACCGCCGTTGGTGAGCACCAACTCGGATGAGAAGAACATGTCGCTCTACTTTGCGGAAGAAGACGAGGAGGATATCAATGGGGCGGACGATGAGGCTCTGGTGATGATATTCCAGTGGCACGACCATGTGGCTGCAGACCGGTTCAAACACCCACTGCAGAAGAGTTTTGGACGCAATGGAGACGCTGTCAGGAACGACCTGTGGGACGAGCATGTTGCGCGCCCAGTGCGACATTTCCAGAGTCACGGCGCAAAGTTGGAGACATACAGGCTTGACTTGAGAGCTGTGGAGCCAAGGATGCAAACAATAATGCGGGCAGGTTCGAAAGCAGCTGGCAGAGAGAGGAGTGGAAGCAAGCGTCTCAGCATGATGGCCTTAGGGTTGGGAGAGAAGGTTAGTGGGATGTGGAGGTGATGACGAGGGAACCCTAGAGGTTTGTCATTTGACGCAAAAATATTTGAGATACAATGTTTGAGGATCTACGACAGGGAGTTCATTCAGCTCGACGCAGTTCAACGGCCTAGAGCTTGTGTGCGACTGCACTATTTGCAGTATAAGGGAAGAGCCACGTCATATCGGCTTGAGCTGTTTCAACATTTTTGCATCGAAAAGAAAGGAGTATCCATTTTTCAGGTACATGTTAGGGCCATCATAGTACTGGACGGAAGGGCGCCCGGTTGAGATGCGTTTAAGTCGTCGATACATCTTACGGTAGGTACATCTTCGGTGATCGCGAGATGATCGCCACCACAACGATCAGTGATACAACAACTTGTTTGCAACGCTGAAAATTTCTCAATGTTGGATAAGGATCTACAAAGATGCAGAGCGGAGAACGGAGATGGGTCCGTCAACGCATCACCGACAAAGAGTAAATGTGCAAACATCGGTTCACAAACCAGGAGCATGCAATAACCGAGCCCACACCTGTCAAATTTCGTCATTTAGTATTCATCCAGTAACCTATAACAAAGCCTTCACCTAACGGCCGTCAAAATGCTTGTCCGCACATTGTCCCGCAAAGAGTAGTATTCCATAGTCCCGAACTCCCCCACTGCACAGCCGCACGCTACGCCACACGTGGCATGGCAAATCTGATTGGCTCCGCCTGCCCCTTGTATCGGCTACGCCGACACACTGAAGACTCAGCCACCAATCCGATACCCTGACTCCTTTCCAAATCCTTTCAGATCCTACACTGACCAGGTACACCCGTGCAACGGTGCGTGCTTGACACCGCTAAGCCGTAGAATGGCGGCTCTCGACGTAACTCATGGACCCTGATGGGATCAAGGCAGCTGGAGAATTGTGGCTCAGGCTGCAACGACGATGTGCATTAGGCTTCCGAACCATGAGGCTTAAACATGACTGTAGCGCGCGGTCCCGTGCCTATGATGATGACTCGGCCCGTTTAGGGTCCGCTATGGCACAGTTTGACGGACGGTATAAGGTGTTGAGGAAGACTGCGCGGTAGGCGAGCATGCACACACTTCGACATGGCGGCCGCAGAGTATTATTCGGGCGCGTGCATGGAGTTTGTGCCAAATCATTTGCTCGCTCCTCCTCAGACGTTGTATCGAGCGCAGACAGAGCAGATTGGGAGGAAGGACGATGTTGATATTGCGCAAGGTCGAATTATGTGGCTGCCGGCAGTGGAAGACTTGCCTGAGCGCGCGGTAAGAAGAGCACATGGGAAGGGTGCTGTTGAGGATGGCATCTACAATCACCCAGTAGTGGTGGTGTCGAGACCACTAGACGACCACCACTGTGTTCACTTCCATCTTGTAAGTTGGCAATTGCACATTTGTGAGCCAGCACTGACTCCTCCAAGATCACATCTTTACAAGGCAAGAAGCTCGATCAGCTCTATCCTAAGTCGAACGAATTCCATACCAGCCGACGCTCTTGGTATCTGCCCATATCACCGTCCCCTAACCATCCCGATGCGAATTCGAAGAAGGCGAAGAAGCGCTTCCCAACACTTGCACTGGCAGACGGCGCATCCCTGCGATGGGACTCATATGTCAACATTAGGCATGTCTATAAAATCGATTGGAGGCTCTTGAAGCCCTATTCGAACCTCAACACTCTCTGGGTTACACTCTTTCGACTTGAGCGAGAATCGACAGTGCGTATGATCGCCAAAGGCAAAGTCCTTACATTGTACGAGCCCAGCGAGCAGGTACCGGTTCCAGTATTATTACAGACAAGAAGTACGGCGCCACTACGTCTCTCAGCTGACTCGGCGTCAATTGTTGAGCGGTGCGCGGTCGAGCTGAGCTCGCTGGACTCTGATGATAACAGTATTGCACCACCTGTGGCTTCTCGGACGCCTACTAAGCTCGAGTCGCCCTTTCGGACGTTGAGTGGGGATCGAGGTACTGAGCCGCCGCCTGGAGACCCTCCTGATCCCAAGTCGAAGCGATCTTTCTTAGTCCGTGTCCTTGATAGACTATTCCAGCGCCGCAGAAAGGGCTGAAGACTTCAAGGACGCGATTTCGGCTTGCCTGGGATGGGAATCCAGTGCAGACTCTGCTTCATATACTGTGAGTATGTAGAGTCTTGGTCTGTTGCCTTTGCATCTTCGAGACGTTCTTCGAGTGTCTCGATAAGAGCTTCACGATCCTCCAAAAGCGTGGGGTGCGCGAGCGCATTCCGAACGAAGACCCAGAGCGACTCGTTCTTGGACCTTACTTTCGTGGCGTACTGCAAGACTTTCTCTACTATTTCGTCTCGTTCGTCGACAGGATCAAGTCGTGCGAGCAGAAAGAGGAGGAACGACCAGCCTGAAATATCGCTTGGGTTCTTGAAACACCAGGTACAGACTCGGTCAGAGAATGCAGATACTACCCAATCGAACGGGAAAGGTGCATCGACTTCGGCGGCGACACGTCCAAGAGCAATCACCAGCCGGCGGGCATATTGCCAGGCATAGTAATTCCCCGGGTGTCGCTCTCCAGATTTGCATACGGAGTCCAGCGCAGCAGAGATGATTGTAGCAATGCGTTTGCCGGAAGCGCTTTTCAATTCAAGAGGGGCTATCAGCCGCAGCAGCCACGAGCGATGATACCAAAGGGTTGGCGATTTGGTTTGTCGATGCAACGGAGAAGTAAGGATGCTATCGAGGAAACAAAGCTCTGAAAGCAATGTTTTCTGGTATACAAGCATGTCGACTGCATCCCTCAGAGCCAGCAATCTGCGCTTGCGGAAGTTTGCAGCCGTAATATGCTCTGGATCAAACAGTAATATGACCTTGGTCGCTTGGAGAGCCTGATGGGTGGGTCAGTAAGGCTGATGAAAAATTTCGTAGACAAGGTTGTCAGCAATACATCTTGAATGTATCTCTTGTACCTTTGGATCGGTCCGACTGTTATCTTTATTGTCAAAGAACGCCTGCCGTGCTGCCAGAAATGCCAAAGCAAGCACTTTTTTCGGTATGCCCAGGCTTGAGCCATCTTGCATCAAGACTCCATCTGGAGGCTTGATTGCAGGTGGCAGGATCTCGATTTCGATCACTTCGTTCTCATGCTCGTCGAAGTAGCGGCACAATGACTCGTAAACGTGCTGCTGTTGCTCAACTGCCGAGAGGTTGCTATGAGCCATCGCAAAGACTCTGAAAGCAGTCAGTCCACTGACTGCGATGCGCGTGAGGTCGTTTTAAATATATCATCCCAGGAATGTTGACTGTCTGGGCCTCGGAGACCAGAGGAGGAGCTAGCCGTGACGGGCACGCCCGGGCCGCTGGCAATTTCACCTGCACTGTATGACATAACGTGGCCCCTCCATCATCAACACCAAACACCAGGGCATGCGCTGAGACTACCCCACGCAACGACTCTCTTAACCCTCACAGTCATGCTGTCTCTCCTCTTGGTGGTCTTCATCTTGCAGTTCATCCTGCATCTGGTCAATACTGTAGGAGCAAGCACCGTCGACGAGCTGGTATGCATCTCTTTTCTGTTCCAAACATCGTGATATGCTGACACTCATCTAGCTATGGACCCTGTATAACAAGCTACCTACGCCAACATCGGGTAATGCACAAAGATGTCAGGCGCTCAAGAAGGAGATTGTGCAATTGAAGCGCGAGCTTGGAAACACATCGGCGCAAGACAACTTTGGTAAATGGGCGAAGCTCGATCGTCAGCACAACAAAGCTATGGCTGAATTTCAAAAGCTGGGTAAGATTCCCAAGATAATGACCCCCAGACAAAGCTGATAATGGATACGTAGATGGCTCTCTTCGCACCCACCAAGCAACCTTTAACTCCGCCGTCAAGACGCTGCGCTTCCTCGGCACACAAGGCCTTCGTTTCGTCCTACAATTCTGGTTCGCCAAATCGCCTATGTTCTGGCTACCAGCAGGCTGGGTGCCATACTATGTGGAATGGATCCTCAGCTTCCCTCGCGCACCGCTAGGCAGCATCAGCATTCAGGTGTGGACCGCTGCCTGCGCAGCCATCATTGCGTTGGCATCTGAGGCGCTCGCAGCTGTCTGGGTGCTTGCGACAAAGAAGCCTACGCCAACAGCGAAGCAAGAGAAGGAGCCTTTGGCGTTCAAGGCAAACCAGCAGCCTGCGTCAGGCGCCGGTAAGAAGGAGCTCTAGCCAGCAAGCAGAGAGCTTGAACGCCACAACGTGATCATTACAGCACAGCAAAAATACAAAAACATTTCATATCACGAGTATGTCTCCCAATGCTTTAGACGCAAAGTCGTCCTGGCTTTCGCTCAGACACTGCAACACGAGTGGGATGACCTTGGCAGGTCGTTGGGCTCATTCTAGGCTACAAATTGAACTCGTGATCGTGGAGAGTGTCGAATCGCCGAGTCTTCGAAAGAGCCAATTTACATAACAAAGGCGAAGAGACAGCTGACATAAAGCTGCTCATCGCGTTGTACTTGCGAAGTGGTTCGCTGATGTTTGGTGAGGAGTGCAAAACGCAGCACGAAAAAAATGTAGCTCGGCCTCTCGCACGGGCCGACCATGCCGCCGGCGCGCTCAGACGCATTTGTTGATTGCCCATCGAGCGCGCAGTGAAGTCAGCAACTGTGTACTTCAGACAGCGTTGGAGCCGAAACTGCAATGTCATATGCCAATTCGACGATTACAGCTGTGTACTGCTCCTTACAACGGTGCTTTCCACAACCTCCACGCCCTCGCCCTGCACAACTAATCGATCCTACACATCACTTTTCATGATTGGCCATCCCGTCTGCGTCCGGCCGAAAGCAACGAATGAAGTCGCTGCACGCGCAGTGCATGCACACTATTATTGCGCCTTATTTGCCCTTCGAGCCCACAGGTTTCGACGGGTTTTGAGGACTGGCTGAGCGCACCTGCCGTTAAAGGAAAGTTGAATTGGCAGAGGGGCCGTTAATGGCGTGTCCGTGCCCCCAACTTGCGTCTTCAGCATGCAGACGGAAGGGCGAAACGAGCAACATGCGGGGTAGGATCGTGCAGTCGACGCGTTGTTTGGTGCGGGAAGTCACGATCTGCTCGTATCTCTCTGAATCCTGCGAAGGGCGGCAGGGGTGACATCGCATTTTTTTGGGGCGACTTTGGAGTACCTCAAATGTCGACGAGCCATCACGATCTGCCTAAAGAGGCTCCTCGACCCTCCGCGACACGAAATCATGCATGCATCATCTGCTAACCTCTGCCAGTTCAGATATCGACTAAGACCAAGATGCAGTCTTATCTGCTTGGTACAGTAGACATTCGTCTATCATGGTGAAGCGTGGGCCGGGGGACCTCCGGGTTCTTACTACGTGGAGAGCGGTATATCTTCATATACCCAAAGTCTCCAATGGATCTTGCAAAGATATCATGGCATCCTTCCTCCAGCTTGAAAGCTCGCACGTCTTCGTTACTGGTACTGCAGGAGGCATTGGCAGCGCAACCGTGCAAAAATTCCTAGGTCGTTGGGCATGTCTCATGCCAATGCATTTCAATAGACGGTGGAATGGAAGGGCGGATTGTATGGTCTGAAGAAGAACGAAGCCCGCAGACATAGCGCCGCCAAATTATTCGGTATCTTTACAGATACTCAAGAAGCCACCGAGCGCTAGTCTCACATCAACTCCCTCCACGCAGCCTCGACCCAAAATCAAGATTCTCCTTTCTTTCGACTTTGACGCAGTCTCTGGCTGATTGGGCACTGGTCAGCATCCGGACAACAACCTTGCAGACTACAGTGCCGGTTTCTTCTCCGCATATCTCGGCGTTCCGCGACTTCTCAAGTTGTTCAGAAGACATAGCATCTAGGACAAGGTGACATGGTTCGTACCGATGCATTCTGCGGAAAGCTTCTCAAGGGAGTTTGCAAGCATCCCGGATAGTGGCGCAGAAGTCGCTCTTCATATCTACTGTCATGAGGGAGCGCCACAGTTGACAATTCCTCAGGAACGTTAAGTGCTCCAGCACTACATCACCTTGTACCAAAAACTCACTGGTCGTGAACCTGCTGGCTACCGAGCTCCGCTGTACCAGCTGCGTGAGTCGACTGTGGAGCTGCTGGAGGAACACAACTTCCTCTGCGACTCCTCGCTTTCGCATCACGACAGCAAACCATACTACCTCCCCAACCTTCCGCCCATCAAGCCTCCGACATATGAAGCCGAGACATCGGCAAAGGACTGCATGAAGCCGCTACTAAAGCTGTCTCCATCAACACCAAAAACTCTGGTGGAGATTCCTGCAAATTGGTATGCGGAAGACATGACACCAATGCAGTTCTGGCCACATACACCGAACTCATAAGGGTATATTGATGCGCGTGTCATGGAGACTATGTGGAAGGACAAGTTCGAGTGGATCAGAACTGAGGTCGAAGATATGGGTGAGAGCGATATTATGGTGTTTCCGTTGGTGCTGCATCCTGATACAAGTGGTATGGCGCATGTGATTGGTATGATTGAGAGGATTGTTACGTATCTGAAGGACTGGGGCGATGAGGTGGACTTTTGCACTTTTGAGGATGTGGCGAAGGAGTGGAAGGCGAAGAACGCTGTATCGTGATGGTGATGGGCCTAAGAGTCCTCAAGTTGCAGGGAAAGTTCCTGACCCAAGGTCGAGTTACACTGTAGCCGACGAATCAATTGATGTCAATAATGCGTTAATCTTGGGTGCACTTACGATGATACTGACGGATATTCAAGGGTCCGTCAAACATAAGGCAGTAGTTTGCGAGAACCCCAACCCACATGTACCAACAACTGGGCGTGTAAAGCGTCTAAGACTTCTGAAGCTGATGCTCAGGCTTCCCTCATATATGACTCGGTCATGTATATGTACATTCTCACAAAAAGTTCTCATTGCGACTTCCGTCAATTGCTTCTTGTGCCTATCCTTCCATTCGACTTGCGTGCGGGGTACCAGCTCGCACCCCTCTCGCTGCTTGCCGACTCAGTCCAACATTTGTCCCATTACTGCAGTCTCGAAGGATGGCAAGCAAGCCAGCCTCCGGTGAGGCGCGCATCACGCCAATCGAGAAGGACGATTACGATGAATGGGAGCGGCTGTTCAGATTGTACATCGAGTTCTACAAGTCCTCGCTCCCAGACGCACAATATCCCAGGACATTCGAGCGCATTCTCAACCCAGAGAAAGACTTGCATGGTCTAGTACTGCGGGACTCGAGTGATCGTAAGAAGTTGTACGGGCTTGCGCACTACTTCCCCATGCAGACACCATGGGCCGAGGAGCAACTGATGCATTTCAACGGTACGCCGATAACCTCCATAGCAACCTTGCCTTTCAACAAATCCCATGATCATGGACTGACACTCTTCAAGATCTCTACATTGATCATGAGCTTCGCGGCAAGGGTTACGGGCGAAAGATTATTCAGGCGGTCGCGGAAGAGGCTAAGAAGCAGGGGTGTACACGCTTGCAGTGGACGACACAGCACGGTAACCCGGCAAGGAAGCTGTACGATGAGCTGGCTACATGCGAGTTTGTGCACTATCGCATGAATTTGAAGGACTCATAGCTGAGTTAGGAATCAATGTTTGAAAAGAGCAATGAAGACCTCTAGGGCTCGTCATCGATACTTGAATACAGACCCCACCTTCCCCCACCTCCTCCCAACGCTCGCTCTGCCTCTACACTTGAACAACATGACACAATTCGTAATCATGATCATACACCGCCGTGTTCTTGCTTCAAGGTTGTCTGTATGATTGATCATAATGTCAACGTTGCGCCAGCAACACCCACGACTGCTGCCTTGACATTCGCGGATCCCAACAGCGTGTACGTATACGGCACGCTTGTCAACGTACCAGCTGGCGATTCGTTTGTGCCAATGCCCAGATCAACATCTCTCACCACAGCATACCCATTCTTTGCAATGATGTCGTCATTCGTATTCTCGAACACACATGATTCGATGAGTAATTGAGCACCAGCACGCGTACGCACCCCATCATCCATTTGGTTCCAGTAGTTGTTGAAAAGGTGGCCAGTACCGATTCTGAACATAGGACCACGGCTGTAGAGATTGAAAAAGTGGTTGTTGGCGTATGTCACGCGCAGATGGCCACTATCCTCGGCTTGGTTGTTGTCGGAATGGCCGACCAGGGAGCCCTTCCAGTGGTCGTGCAAGTAGCTATTGGAGATGGTGACGAAGTCCTATTACTGCATTAGTTATTGCTGACAAGGAAACTTCAGAAATCGCTCACCGAAGCTCGAGTCACGTCGACGAGTCCATCATAAAAGTCTTTGTCGTGGTCTCTATCGTTACTCAAGTCTACGTGGTCGACCCATACATTCGTGGAGTACTTGATCGTAATTGCATCCTCGTATGTCGCAAGCACATACTGGTGCACTGTGTTACGGATGATGACGTTGGTCGCGTTCACGACGGAGAGACCAATGCCAACAATCTCTGGGCTCGTTAACAGTCACTCAAGGCAACCACGGTGAACACAACTTACTACCATTGCGGCCTATGATCGACTTGTTGGATCCGACGAAGATCTTCTTCGCGCCGGAAATGGTGCCAGAGACGACTACAATGCGAGGATCGTTGCCAGTGACGGCGCTCTCGAGGGCTTCGAGGGTTGACACGGTGACAGTGGCTCCACCCTTACCTCCAGAAGTACTGCATACTGTCAGCAATACCGCTTTCTTCTGGCGTTTTTATTCAAGCGCACTTACCCGCCGTTGAGAGTACAAAAGCCGACGGGACACACATCAGTCAAAGTGGCAGCAGCCACAGCACCAAGCTGGCTGGCTAGGCAGACGAGCAACGAGATCAGACCGCGCATTGTTATCGAGCTTGATATGTTAAGAGGATAATAACTTAAGAGCCCAACACAAGCTCTTCCAAGGCTTTATAAGCCTCGAAACCTTGCACAAGATGGTGCACTTCTACGGTCGACCCCAGACTTGGCGATTTCTCCGGATGCCGTACTATATAGGGCATGTTGAATATTGCTACGAGGCTCAAAGTGGTATGTCAGATCTGATGGTTGCATGGTGGTGGTTGCCAAGCGACGTCATTGGCGGAGTAACTTGACAGATAATATGGAGGTATTCACGTTCGAACCGAACAACACAAGCGAGTCAAAGATCATTGCGAGGAAGACAACACATTTGGATGGAACCGATACGAACGCACGGCGAGTAAATCACATGTGAAAGTCAAAGTAAGTTCTGGTTCGTTGAGTATCGGTGCTTTGCAAAAGTATTGGGACCTTCTCCTTTGGGAAAGAACTATGCCCATATAGACAACTATGAGAAGAGGAGGGGGCGGATACGTGATGTGGGTATCTAATTAATCGCCTTGTCAAGCTGAGTATGCTGGTGATGCTTGTAGATGGGTGCACGTTAAGGAACAGTCAAAACTGAGAAGAAGAATAGTGGTGGAGAGGGAAGTAATTAGACAGAACGGTGACGTTGACCTGACCTCTGCTATGTCCGTGGCTTCCGAGTGGTGGTGATGGTCTGGTTCAGGGTCTAGCACATGGAGAAGCCCACATATATATCCTCCGATCAAGCCCCTGATCCCTCCCTACTTCGACTTCTTGGTACGCTCTTCTTGAGTTACCAAACAAAGGGGGTCTAGACTTTTGCAAAGCATAATACAATAATGCCATAATTTGTTGATTGATGTACACAGTGTCATGCCCGTGGAAGGCGGCATCGATATCCGAAACAATTATAAGGCCACAAGCTGGCAGGATCGTGGCAGTCAGACTGATCTTTCATCTCACCAGAAATCGTCACTACACACTTAGAATATCTTCTTTGCCCTCACTCATCTGCTGGTCAACAGCAAAGCACCAGACTCGATGCCCAGAAAAACATGGTGCCCCTACACCTACATCGGATTCGACGTCCCATCGTTCTTCCTTACAGGCTCATCAGACGTAGCGCCATCAAGCGTGGTGGCATCAGACATATTTTCCCCATTCACGTTCCCATCCCCAATCCACTCATTTATGCCGCAGTCGAGCTCGTCGAGGTCTATCCACTTCAATGCCCGCGCATACCCAACCTCCTTCACCCAGAACGTACGCGTCTTCTTCTCTCCGGCGACCTTGAAGCACTTGGGATCCTCAGTGAATTCACCATTTTCGTACTGCTGCGCGAGTGCCTCCAGGGTCTGATGCGCATTGTCGAGGGTTGGGCAGTGCGCCAGGGAAGCAACCGTTTCGTTGGGGAGTGAGGGGTTGGTGTGGTTGTAGGTCAACATCATGATGATGAAGATCGACTGGTGAGTGGGTGGCCAAAGACCACGTGAGTGCTATGCGTAGACTGAGATGTTCGTTGGTTGGAAGGTAGTGGGGGTGAATCGGACGGTGAAGGGGGCCAGGGCTTCCAGCGCTCGGTGGGCATGGGGAGCCAGACTTCGGTGGATGAGAAGGCCTCGGGCGAGTCCATGACGAATGTTCTGAAAATATGGCTGTGTGAGTTTTGTGGTGTACGCTCAAGTTCTGGTATATTTAGTTGTTTGCGATTGACTGTCCAAGTAGATTGTGTATGGTGGATTTACAATGGACAATAGAAGTGTAGGCATGATATGTGAGGCAAGCCATGATACAGAGGCCAGTGAAAGTTCGAGAGCTGTCTCTTTGTAAAGTCACAACTCTCTTGTGCTTGTGCTTGTTCCACACTGAACCTGTACCTCATCTTTTAGACATTGTTGAGATGCAAACCATATCAAGACCTATACTCTAAAAAGGAACACTGCAGTGGAAGCTGGGTACGTTCTGGTGTCAGCACGGTAACTCGAGTCTGTTGCGCCAAGTGCAGGCGGCCCTTGCCGCCTTTCTTAAGGATATAACAAAGAAGGCTTGAACTTGAAGATAAATTCCACCAAGAACCGGTGAAATGCCAAAAAGTACCATGGTATGTGAGACAGTTGACGGGATATGAGCGGCTGTTGCCGTATAGACAAGGGCATTGTGTTACGAGACAACAATGCGTACGCTTCAGCTAGTGTGAAGGAGTCGGTAGCGGGGTACGGGCTCGACATGACTGAGTTAATTACCTGCCTGCTGTGAGGAATTCCCAAGTAGTAATTGTGTGTGGATGTAGACAGGACTTCAAGACAGAGGGCGGGGCGTTAGTTGGATTAGAAGGTTAAAAGCAGGGCAGAACACGCAAGAGTGAGAGCAGTGGAGCATGGAAGAGGAATGGGGCGTTCACTGGGATGTTGGAAGTGGAACCGAGCGATTGAGTAGTCGATCACATTGAGCGGACATCGCGGAGGAGACCCAGCTACGTCGTAATCTCTTCGGTTGTAGCCATGCCGCACAAAGCCAGATCGTCTGGAGAAACCCAACACATCACAAGGTGGCTCCAGCTTTTGCACTTTTTGGATTTGTTCCATTGACCTGCCGACCTATACGTATCTCATGACGCCGTCATCGTGTTCCGGTTCGGCCGGTATGCAAGCCGTGTCACTGAAAGGTCGTGACTATTTCCACCCCAGCAATGGGAATATGCACCGTTGATCCGTGTTGAGCAACCCCGAGAAAGGCAAATGGCGAAAGAAAGGAGGAGAGAAGACGCTTAGTCGAAAAGACCGAAGCCCATGTCGTCGTCGGACTCCTCCTTCTCTATAGTAATCTGTCAGTGTCCGTTCTTCTAATGTCGAATATGCGCAGTGTAGCGTACCCTCAGCCTTCTCCTCCTCAGCGGGAGCGGCCTCAGCGGCGTCACCGCCGGCAGCGCCGCCAGCGGCAGCACCAGCAGCGGGAGCACCGCCGCCAGAGCCGACGTTCAGGAGCAGGTCCTTGACATCCTTGCCCTCGAGAGCCTGTCCTGTATCAGAGAATGTATTCCTGTATCTTCGTTCAATCGCGAGTGCGCACCTTAGCGAACAGAGTTGTCCAGATGGGCTCAACCTCCTCGATCTTTGCGGCCTTGATCAGGGACTGGAGCTTGTCGGCCTGGGAGAATTAGCACCTGCGCACACTCGCTTTTTTCAAGTCCACTTCGGGAAGCGTACAGTGATGTCGACACCGTCATCGGCGAGGATGAGGGCTGCGTAGGAGGTGGCGAGCTCGGAGGTAGACATTGCGACAGTTGAGTATCGTGTGAAGGATAGGTGTCGGACGAGGTGTTGCAGTTCGCGATGGAGGTCGATTTGCAAGTGCGCACGACTAGCGCCTTTGTCTCGCCTAAAGCGCACTTACCGTTTGCGCGTTAGCCTGCTCTACTGAGGGGCTGCCTGCACGTGACTTAGTGACGTCTGCAGCTTCCCCACCATGAAGTGAACTTGGCTTCCGAATTGGTCTACTGGCACGTCGGAAATCTGAGAGCTGCAGACCACTTCATTCTTGATTCTTTCTGCGCCGTTGTCACAAGAACCGCTTTACTTCTGCCCATTGACGTTTGTAGCGCGCAATGACAGACTCACCGTTACCAAGGATCCCGTTGGACCCGAAAGAGCAGCCCATTCTCGACAAGCTGCAATCGATACGGACCCAGCTCGAATTGCTGAAACGCGACCGATCGACATATGTCAGGAGCCAGGATGTGCTTCAACTGTATGATCAAGTCATCGAACAGGTGATGATCCTCAACGAGATTCGAGTAACGAAGCGACTCGAACAGAACAAGGGTACGTCCATTTGTTGAGGTTTGTGTCAACGCAGCATTGCTCACATGATGTGATAGTCGATTACATGCTGGATGACTGCTTCCAGCTCATCTCGCTTGCATATATGACTGTAGGAAAGAACCACGAACCACCGGCTGTGTATGTGCCCCTCTTTATCGCCATACATTGAGTACTTGCTGACCACGTGCTGCAGTTACTCCTATATTTCCACCGCGAAGGTATTTAATACTTGACGTTGTTCTTTGTTTTGATGATTAACCCGACATAGCGACTCCTGGATCACCTCAAAGAAGCGACCTTCTACTCACTCAAGGATCTGGATGGGCTTGGCGATCAGCTGAAAGAGTGTCGGCGCTATGTTGAGAGAGGCCAGGAGGAGTACAGCCCACATCTACTCACACTCCTTAACGCCCGCATTAAAGTCTGTGAAGAGACACTGGCAACACTGCGACTCAATCTTTCGCATCTTACACCAGAGCTGACACCAAAGTGGGACAAGCTTGTTTCTCTCCTTCGGTCGCTGGCGGGTTGCAACGCAAGATCAAAGTTCCCCCACGACGAGGTTGATGCGTATGCGAAAGAGCTTTACGAACTTGAGGAAGAGCTCAGAAAGGACGGCATCACCGCGTACGAGAGTACTGGCTCGACGGAGGACAGGCTCATCGAGATGACCGAGAAGATGCAATTGACCGCAGCAAAGGAAGACCCAGCGCCTGAAGCTGAAACTCTGATCTCACAACTGCTCCGACGTAACCTACTTTGGGTGGCTTTGATCAAGGAGAAGTCAGCGCTCTAGATTCACCTAAGGATACCAAAGGCTAACAGCTCAACAGGCAAGGGCGAATCAATCCTGCATTTCAGGACGTATACGACAAGCTTCTGTCCATCCGAAACAAGCTCGAAAAGCTTTCGCTCACACAAGCATGGTCTTTGCGCGAGACAGATCTCTGGGACTTCCAGCGCCAACTGGACCGCATCGATGAATCACGAGCTGAAGATGGTAATTTCTACGACGCGCTTGGCAGACCTGCTGAGATCTATGAGCAGAGGGTAGGCTCCCGTACCGACTGAATAAACATTATGACTAACATGTAATCAGACACTGCTGTACCTTTTGCGCAAGAGCTACGCCATTATCTACCAGCTACTTCTCACATCTGAACCTGTTTCTGAGGCACTGCTGCCGATCTACAACCAACTGACAACGCTGAGAAAATGCTTGCTCGAGGTTAAGAAGCTTGGTGGTGTCTCTTCTCCGCGTGAGCTGTACCCCTACAGCATGAAGGTATGCGGATTTGCACAACTCGAAACTTTGAACTCATACTAATGAGGCTGTAGCTCAACTCCATCGATAACATGCGCGTAGATGGAAAGTTCATGGTCGGCGACGAGATCCCAGACGGTCAAGGGAGCGTAACACAGCTCCTAGAAGAGTGTTTCGATCTTGCCTACGAACTGAGAAATGATGCAGAGGACAGTAGCTCGGCGGAAGCAACATCAGCAGAGGCTACACCGCAAAGCGAAATGCCCAGTGAACCTGTGGTCGCAAAGTCATGATTCACGAGGGTCCTTCGTCTTGGTGGCGTTTTGTCGGGTTCAGGTCATTAGCAGCCAGGCGTCCTTGCGATGAGACTTTGGAGATATTCGTTGGGTTCTCGCGCACTATTTTGACGTCCTGTACCCATATTCGCGCATTCAACGCTCAATCGAACTGTATTTGATTGAACATTTCAAGCTCCTCTTCGGGTGGTGGAGCGACTGGGGCATCGGCGTCCTTGAAAGTAAGATGACTTCCATACGATATACCTTGGTCTGTTAGAGAGAGACTAAAATGTCCATCCTCAGCTTCAACTTACAGAGCTCCTCACCAACTGGTATGTCGCGCAATGCCCTGTACGTAATGATGAGGCGTTCAGGGTCTCGCTCCCACACAACGTTCTGATCTTGAGTCGAGTGATTGAACATCGAGCCTAGGCCCAATATCACGGCTTGAGCCACTTGCTTGTTGCCATCAAAGTCTGTGATCGGCCAATTACTGTTACATATGAGCGATCGGCTGCAGACAGTGGTCTAAAAGTGCTTACTATGTGTAGTGGAACAGAGACGTGTGTTCGATGTGAGATTTGTTTTCTTCCACGCCCAGAACTAACACCGGACAAACATCGATCACTGTCTTTGCTGGAATCGTCTTGGTTGCATACACTCCACGTCCTGCATACAGTCAGCCCCTCCAATCCACGACGACAAAAAAGTGCAATTGACCTTTGGGCGTACAAACTTTGATGTACAGATCTGGACAACGCTGCAAGGGGATGTCCAATTTGTTTGATGGAGTAGCCATGTTGTATAGGGACGAAGAAGTTTGCTTTTCCTCCAATAGCTGTTCGAAAAGCCTCGAGGCTTGAATGCCAAAATTCGCAACTGCGCAGTTGGACTGATCGGTCATCCCGAGCAGCTCGGGGATGCCCCACATCTCCGTCATTCACCGACCATCAAGCTCTCGTGCCTGATCTTCCACCTGAACTCTTGCAGACATGGCTCACCAGCGCAATCAGCCTTCGATGGGTGACTCGCTCAAGACGCCTCATTCGGTGAGCCTGAAGGTACTCAGGTATGCGCTCCTCCAGGAGCCTCACAGAACAAAGCTCACAATAGCTGCAGACTGTCACGACCCTCGCTCGCAATGCAGTATCCACTCCCAAACTCGCCGGAGCTTGGGATCTCGCCCAAGGCCTCGCTTGCATATCCGTCCAACACCAACACGCATGACAAGTTCATCCTCAGTCCCGCCCTCAACCTCCCCGAAGCCTTCGGCAGCGCCTATGTCGGCGAGACGTTCTCATGTACACTATGCGCCAACAACGAGCTCCTTCCTTCCGATAACACGAAGTCAATCAGCGGCGTGAGAATACAAGGCGATATGCAGACGCCGTCGAACCCCACAGGCTCGCCCTTGGACCTCGCTGGTGCTGACGGCGAGCTTGACGGAGCTGTGTCTCCAGCACCGGGCGAGTCACTGCAGCGGATACTGAGATTTGAGCTGAAAGAGGAGGGCAATCACGTCCTAGCAGTCACAGTCACATACACAGAAACAGCTCTTGGGGAAGGCAAGGCCTCGGGTGGCCGAGTACGAACGTTCCGCAAGCTATACCAGTTCGTTGCGCAGCAGCTACTGAGCGTACGTACGAAGGCTGGAGAGCTAAGCCAGAAAGACGGAATGTCTAGATATCTCTTGGAGGCACAATTGGAGAACACGGGCGAAGCTGCTGTTTGCTTAGAGGTACGTCAACCGGCTACACAACTTTGTTTACAAACACCCGTTCGCACGCGTCTCGATAAGGTTCATCAACCTCAAACATATTCCCTGCAATTGCACAGTGGCTGCTATATAATGCAATAACCCCTCGATCCTGCATGCACAGCTTTCGCGCATTACGGACGCTGCTCCGAAGCTTCCAGAAGAACGCCTCTCATCCCTCCACCAACCTCAACCAAGAACTCAGGAGTATTTACAGACGGCTGACACCAAATAGGCTGTCACTGTCAACCCGAAACCACCCCTGGGATCAACATCCCTAAATTGGGACATGCCTTCCCCAGGATTCGGTTCAATTCACGCCCCTGTACTGACACCCCGCGATGTCATACAAGTAGCTTTCTTGCTTGACCAACAGCCGAACGTCGAGGAGTCGCATGACGAAGCCTCAACGGCAGCGGGTGACTCCAGGAAGGTTCTCGGACAATTAGCGATTCAATGGCGGAGCGCACTGGGCGACCGTGGATCCCTGAGCACCGGTTGGCTGACCAGCCGACGATGAGGCTCCGATAGAGTTCGGCTACAAAACCTACTTCCTCTATCATTTCTCCGACACGCTGTTCAACTTTGGTACCTGCAGCGCCTCCCCAAGTCGGAAGACCAGTGTGTCGGTGCTACCGGAGTGCCGAGTCGCTCGGAGTGTATTCTGAAGATGGTTCCAAGATCTGTGATTGGAGAGGGAGTGCGATGCTCGGTAACGGACCGAGATGTGATGAGGATAAACGAATTGCTGGATGTATCTGCCGAAACAGCAAGGTTGCTCGTACCTACATAGATCGTGCGCCTCTGGCAAGAGCTTCAAGACTATCGAAGTCGTCATGTCATGGTATGAACGGCGACTACGATCGTGCTATTCTTGACGTGCATGGGAGACGGACCATGTAAACATTCGCTTGATGTTGTAGAAGTGTAACTTGGGGCCTCTGCGGATTATCACACGCGCGATCAGGATAGATTGTATCCCTCAGGGTTCTTCCATGCGTATTGAGCGGATCTCGTCCCTTTTTACCGTCCATTGAAAACGAAACCTAGGTTACTTCTCCAGGATAAACCCTTACATAATGCACGATCGACCAGGTGAAGCGAATGCTTGAGATGCAATCAATCTAGATCTTACACCTTCGCGTGTCTCACAAATCTACATCTACCATGCGAACAGGGAGAATAGTTGATACCAAGGCCTGAGTTGATGAACGATACCCACGACTCGTAAGCCTCCTGCCCATCTCCTCGTCGGCGACACCTCAGATCTGCTATATCCACACTAGTCCCCATCCATCCTAACATCTCAATTATCAGTGGTAGGATGCGTCGCACAGCAAGGTTACCCCAGAGTGTGCAGGCTGTGTGGTGGGGCGTTTCGGTGCGACGGCAAACCTGACCAAGCAGGTTGTGTGGACTTTAAGATTGCGACTTACAAAACCGTTGAAGGGTCTTGGGTGATCAGCGCGGGCTGTAATGAAAAAGCGGGATTGTGCGATTCGAGGGATTCAGGGTCGCCGAGTGGCGCAGAGCAGGTGATGATGTATGAGTTGTGGGCAGGTTAGATTTGGAGATGATGATGAAGGTGACGATGCCAGCTGTGTATTGGCCGTTATTGGCAATATTGGAAAATGACTTGACGGTGTATGGGCTGTTATGAGCTGACTCTACAGCACCGATCGCCACTTGAGGGTGTATTGACCGTTGGAGCCCTGACTCTGACTGCTGAACATCACTTCTACGGGCTCGGCGACATGTAGCCGCAAATTGGAATTGGTGCGCCAACGAGCATCGCATCCTTTGCGAATTTGACGCGACCTGCCTAAGAGGGTTGGAGATGGGATGGATGTCTGTATGCGTAGTGAGTTCGTTCCTTAACGAGACGTCGGGACTACTGTATGCAGGGGAAACTGTTAGGCAAGGCCATATCCGTGTACATGCACATTAGCACGTTGATCCTCCTAAACATTACTAGGCTTTCACCCACGGTTGAGTTGGCAGGTAATTGGCAGACTCACCGTCTCGAAATTAGAGTAAATCTGGATTGTGTGCGCCGTTGCGCTGACAGAGGCGACCTGCATTGTGTCGGCGGCAAGACGCATATTGACATTTGGCAGACAGATGGCAGATGGCACTGTGCAATGTTGACGTTGCACGCGGTGGTAGTTCTGCCAGGGCATGAATGGGCACGGTAGCAGGTGCTCTACACCTGAAACAAGAGGCGCTGATGCTGGCTGTGGGAGCATAGTGCATGCATATCATTCCGTTGGATGGATAATGTTGATGATTTGCAGGAACTCTGGGCAACAGTTGGCGAGCACTGGAGCACATCCTTGCGCGCCCCTCACATCCATATCAATGTGTGGGGGATCTTCAAAAGCACCTCGAGATGGTGGTCAGCGGCTGTCTTGAGCTGCAAGACAAGACATCTTCGATGTGTTTGGCGCTGTATCAACACCTGCTGGTGGCCTCGCGGCTGTTGCAGCTGCACGCAAGTATCCGTGGTTGAACAACACCCTTGCCCCTGAGGCCCCAAACACGCGTCCCAGATAGGCAAGGGCCCAGCCGCGACTTCCAAATCCGTTGCCGTGTTGCCGCAGGGGTGCTGGTTTTACGTGGCCAGGGTCTGCAGATGCTTGCGGCAGAGTGTCATGCCCAACCACAAGACGACGAGACCACTGCTCTGTTCGTTAAGATTCAAGGACGTCAAGCGGCCCACGAATCGCGCGTTCGCTGGAGGTCTAGCAATGGCCTAGCAATTGCTGGGTGGCCTACCGTCTGATCCCACGCCGGCGCTGGCGTGCCTGGCGCTGTTCGCGTTCGTGCGGTGGGCGGACTCGCGTCCAGGATAGTCGCTCTTCTGACAGGCCACTGAGCGTGAGAGGAGCGGCAGATGTCGTGCGCTAAACCCAATGCTCGCAAGGCATGCACGATAAGGTCGCGGACAGGTGTGGGCCCCAAAGGCATTGCAGTGAATCTGGCCTAGCAGCTTGGGAGCCCATTTGTATGGCTTGTGACCGCCGGCCGAAGCCCACAGGGACCCTCTTGCTGCTGCGTCTGTTGCGTCTCGCTGCATACACCTGCTTTGTTCACTCCTTTGCTGCCATACAAACTTGCATACCCACAAACACTTCACTCCTAGACACCGCTACACGCAAACATTCGCCCCAGCTCTTATCAGACCCGCCCGGCCCCCCGCGTACACCTGCCCTCACTACCCTCGCTTCTGGCTAAGCTCTTCATCCGCTCTGTACGCAGCCGACACCTGTGCTACGTATTCTCGCCCTGTCACGGTCGCACAAACGCAGGCCTTCCCGTGCATATCGCCCGCACCTCATCACACAAACAACCGTTGGAGCTGGCGTCCAATCCCCAATGACCTGAGGCCGCGGCCGACCTCGACGCCTACAACCTGCGACCGCGCACTCGACACTCTTTTAGCAGCCGCCTTTTTTTGGATATCATATGTTCTGTTAGCAGCCCAGCATGGCTCCCATCTCCTCCACCGAGGGCTCCTCCGCGCCGCTCGCCGACTATTTCTTTATATCTGGAATCGAGAGCTCACAGGTCTACGACGACCGCCTGCAACCAAACGGCATTGTTTCCCCACTCGCGTCCCCACCAGTCGACGAGACGATTGAAGAGGACCGCGCCCTCGAGACCGATTCGATTCGCCCAACCTCGCAAGACGGCCTGTCCAATGGCGGCAGCATGCGGCGGCGGTCCGGGCAGCGCCTGAGCGAGCACCGCCAATCGGTTGGCACAATCACAGGCCTCGACAGCAAACCAGCAGTAACAGCCAGCAATCGCAGCAGCGCTACCATCAAAGGTGTGAACCTTGGCGGATCCGGCCTTAATGATGTCGACTTCGAGAATGCGCTGCGCAAGTTCGCCTCAGAGCGAGATACGTTCCTAGAAGAGATACAGTTCACCGCAGGCGTTGCACAGCAAAGTCGCCAAACACCCACAAGGCCGCGTCCAAGACCACCACGAGTCTCGCAGGCCCCCAGTACGAACGGCGAGGATGGGATTGCAAACTTGAGATCAGGCGTAGGGAGCATTCGAAGGCGCTTGTCGACAATGCAGAGCAGCCTGAAAAGGCAGCCTTCGACAGCACGTCAGTGTAAGTGTGGTCATGAGAAGCATTGTGACACAAAGCATGTGTGGACATGGATTATTTGCTTTTTGATCGACCGTTGCTGACATCCTTGCAGCCTCAATACGAACATCCAAACGCATGTCAGGCTACAATTCGGTCATTCCGGCGCCACAGCCGTTCCAACCTGAGCCCAACATGCACCCTCTCCTACGGCGCTATGAGCCCGTGCTACTGGACCGCTACCCACCCAGGAACATGGTCGAGGAGCTCAAGCGACGCAACCCCTTCCCAGACTACGTTCCTATGTTTGCATTTCCCAACGATGTCAGTGTAGTATCATCAGACGAGCGACCAAAGACTCAGTGGCACGGTTTTGCCATGACCAATGGTGACAGCTCGAAGCTTTACGGTATCACCATGATTGTCTGGCTGCCATTGAATGCCACTGCAGCAGAAGGACTCGAGCGTCAGTGTGAAGAGTGGAGAAGAAACCACATGAATCCAGAAGAGAGGGAATTAGCGAGCAGCTTGGGTGAACGTCTGGCTTTGGAGCGGGCAAAGTTGTCACAGCTGTTGGCCAAGCTACCGACCGTCCAACCTGACTCGGACGAGCGAGAGCACCTGGATGAGGAGATCGGCGCGGTCGAAGAGAAGATACAGCTTATGACGGACCTCCTTCGACCAGTAAGACACGGAGCAGCATCGAAGATCGAAGGACTGACTGATGGAGAGACTGGCCTCTGGATCCCACGTGCTTACGGTGTCATGGGTAGAGATGCCAGTCTGACGCCCCTGTGGAAAGAATGGCTAAAAGCAATCGTCGTCCCGATGACGAACGGTACGATCCTGCGTGTTCCTCCAAGCTCGCCTCGAGTGGGTATGTGGCAGCCACTCGAACGATACGTCGTCAACCTCTGCGCCGAGGCTCTTAGTCCGATTACCTCGATCACCCAAGTTGAGCTGGCCGTACGCGAACTCCGAATGTACGCCCGGAAGGAAGCATTGAACGAGATTCCCGGCTCTCGCAACATCGACATTTACGCCCTCTTCCGTTGTCTCTCAATACCGAATATTGTTACTCTTTTCGAATATGTACTATCCGAGGCCAGGATCATCCTTCTCTCATCTCACACAGCTATGCTCCACCTAGCAAGTATGGCCATCACGAACCTTATCTACCCGTTCCAGTGGTGCGGTGTCTTCATCCCTGTTCTGCCTGCACGTCTCGTGCAGACAATTGAGGCACCATGCCCTTACATTGTAGGCATTGAGCGAAGATACGAACCCACCGATTACCCGGATGACGACTTCGTCCTCGTCGACTTAGATCAGAACTCGATCGTTTCGAACGGTCCTCCGCCTCCACCGCTTCCTCGCCAGCAGCGCCGAAAGCTCACCTCCCTCCTTCAGCACTCGGCCCCTCACCATATGCGCTATGGTGTACCTACTGGCCCTCCGGCTTATGCTGTGGAAGCGTTCCCATACGACACTTTCTGTTCCGAAAACCCAGGTGTTTTCACACCTAAGGCACATCCATCAACTGTGCAAACATATGTCGGCCTGAACTCGACATCTTTTGGCACTGTTACAGGACCAGCCAGTGGAAGACCACTCATCTACAACGCGTTCCTGCAATCAAGCGCCCATAGTCGTGGTAGTGACAGGCCCTCTACCTCTTCCACCGTCAGGACATTCTCGAATTCTCCACCTTCACCAAAAGTTTCTCCTGTATCGACAGTCTTCCCGCCTATGCCTAGCACTCCAATCTCCCGTAGTGACTCAGGCTATGCGCTACAGGCGAACTTGCGCGAGAAGCGCTCAGCCCACTTTGACAATCAGTCGCGGCGCAGTTCTTCGGTAAGTTCAACAATTCACCTCCTCACTCGCTTGGTGTATTAACATATGTGGTTAGTTCGGGTTCGAAAAGGCACCGCAGATGAGGAGGCCCAGCCAGCCTATGCTAGGTCATGCGTCGAGCGCCTCGACATCATCATTGAGTCAGGAGTTGCGAGCAGGGTCTTCTTACGCGCCGTCGGTTTACGCTCAATCCACTCTGGCGGCATCGACGATCATGCCCGGCACGACGATGCAACCCGTGCGTAACACAGCAACTGTGCAATGGCAGGAAGGTCATTGCTTGCAGTGGAGGCCTCATGAAGACAAGGCTACCTGCTCCATTTGTGAAGAAAAGTCGGATGAAGGGCTTTATCGATGTTCTGGTAGGTTTCAGATGACCCCCTAATATAGCTCCCGTCTGACCCCACACAGGATGCACCACCTATGTCCACGCCAGGTGCGCCTCTTCGATTTGCATCGTCTGCCCCACGGCTTTCCGACCCGATCAAGTACGCGCATCGTTAGTACGATGCTTTGCCAGTTTGCTGTACACGTATCGCCGCTACCTTGTGCCTGCCACTGGCGATCGCAAGAAGTCTGGCATGCACTATCAGTTCAAGATGGAAGAGTTCATGAAGAATCAGCCGGCCGAGAATGTGCAATACCTGACTGCATTGCAACAAACTCAAGCTTTCAATGAGTTCGTTCATGAACGCGAGAGCACCTCCGGCGAGGACCCTAAGATCAAACTCTTTGACGAAGTCATCCTTGCGAAGAAGAACCGCGGCGCATCTTCATACTTCTACAAGACCAAGGCCGACTTCCTATCCGATACCAGCGATCATCTCTGGCGTACTGCGCACGCCAGTCCACCAACGTCTCGTTTTCCTGGGGATTACCGAGCTGTCGTCAGTAGAATCCCCGCAAAGCTTGACATCACACTCATGAAAGAGCCGCGCGTCATCCAAGGCGTCCCTCGACCTCAGAACGCGAAAGCACGACGGAAGCCGATCCCTTCTATGCTCTCGAACGGCGTCCCTGCATCATGATTACCACTCGAACCCCACGCCTCTTTGACGACGACCTGACCTCCACGGACGCTTACGCCACCTCTTAACTATCGTCACTTTGTTTTGTTTCTGCTTGTGTTTGTACAATATCAGCGATGGAGTTTTGGGCGCACCGACCACCCATTGTGGTAGCCTGCATTGGCTTGGGTTGATTTCTGGACAAATCAATCTGTGAATCATTTGCATCTACGGTGGTTGGATGGGACCTTTGGGTCTTTTGGATATCCCGTCACATACTGGGACAAGGAAAAATGGAGGCTCGCTCGAACTGCACGATATCATTTGTAATGCATCTTTTCGCACTCAATCGTTTTAGCGTCCGCTAATAACCTGCGGAGACGCCCTTCTTGTAGTATACCGAGCTTGAGGGAGGGGCAGTTTGGCCTGAGATAGACATTCAGTCATTTCTGGATACCAGCAATGCAACATACACGATAACCGTCTATTGATCCCCTCCTTTGATTGTAGACTTCGATCTTGTTTCGCGCTCTGCAAATCTCATGCAGGAACACACCAATTATATCCGTGTTTGGCTACTGTTCCTGACTAACGAGGCTAGCGCCAAAACTGGTCAAGCTTCACGAGTCGCGGCTGCCTCCTTGGCATGGAGATGATCAAGCCTCTCCGCTCATTTGAACTCAACCGCCAATCAGACTTCTACAGTCGTCATTCTTTACGTTTCACTCTCTATTGTCGCTCTTTAGACTAATAATCCTACACGCTCACTATTGATACCACCGTCTTTACGTCCCAAATTTAGGAACTCGATCGAACCACCGCTCTCAACTGGCTGAACACTTCTTAAGCACCGCCAACATGCTCGCCAAGTCCATCTTCGCCACTACTTTCTTTGCGCTCGCACAGTTCGCCGTCGCTACACCCCCGGGCTGCCTCCTCGGCGCCGTCAACGAGTACTCCGACCCTGCTGACCTGAAGTCGATCTGCAAGGCGAAGGATGCCACCACCAAGATTGCCAGCTTCTGCGGCGACAACACAAAGGAGGCCCTGAGCGCTTTCGCGGACATCTGCAACGACCAGGGCGTCAAAGTTTGTACGTACATCCACATTCAAAGCAACGAAGGATCATGAAGCACAATGAGGATAATGGCTAATAATCGCACAGCGACTGACGTCCCTACCTCGACCGGCAGTGTCAAGCCTAGCGGTACTGGTGCTTCTGCTTCTGGCACCGGCTCTGTCATCATTTCTCCCTCTGGCAACTCGACTCTGGCTACTGCGACCGGCGCAGCGCCTAAGCCTACTAGCACAGCAACTGTCACATCTACTGGCAGCCCTGGCGAGTCAACTGGTGCTGCTGGAAAGCTCGAAGTTGGTATTGCTGCGGCTTTCGCTGGTTTGATGGCGATCGCTTTGTAGATCGGGAGAAATGAGGTGTATGAATCAGGTCGAGGGAAGAGGCTGAGATGTCCTCCTGAGAAGAAGTAATTGCATATATCGGCGATGGTTTGGAACATTTGAATCAGATTCTGGAAGTTGCCACAATCTGGATTTCTGGTTCAAATGTGTTGCCTGGGTGTTTACCTTGCGAACGTACGCGGAATATAGCTCCGTGGAGACGTAAGTTGAATGTTGGCCGTGACCCAGCGATGTCGGTACAGAGAGGGAATATTTCATGAGCTACAAGGTTACAGCGTACGTTGACTGTGTTTCCTAGTCTCTGCGCATACTCCATGAATGATGCTCCACAGCGTCAGCAGCCGGGATGGTGGGGCCCTCGCAAGTAACCTCTTGGCAGCCCCAATACCCCGCTCACAGTCCCACAACCCCATCAGCCCCAAAACATCAATTTTACTATGACTTGTAAGATTCACTACGCATAACAAATCGTCGCTCTATATACGGAAAATTTAATTCTACTTTCATCTAATCACTAGGACAGATGGGTAAGTCGCATCACAACCATTACATCCAACAATATCTAATAATCATCCAGCCGAGCGGTCTAAGGCGCTAGCTTCAGGTGCTAGTAGAGAAATCTGCGTGGGTTCGAATCCCACTCTGTTCATCATTCTTTTTGCCTCCCTCTATTCGAGCCTTGCACCTCAAAGTGATTCGCGCATCCTTCTTTTTGCGCACGGCGGGACGAGGCACAGGTAGATGTCTTGAGGTGTGCACTGAACGGTGATAGTGTATTGCGTTCAGCTGGGTGTTCTTGCCCAAGTTCCACTCTGCTCACTGGTTCTTCAGTTTCCTTTTGCTTTCGCTTTCGAACCTTGTTAACCCTGGAGGGGTGTTGTTCTTTTGCTTTCGAGTAAAGCTGGCATGAGACGAGTGGACGCATGGATTGAAGCTTTCAAAACCTATCGTTTTGACTCTTCGCATACATGGGTACCGTGCGATGCTCGACTAGGTTTCATAAGCGTACAAAGGCTGGTAACACGTATAACGCAGACAATACTGTCACATATAGCTGGTTGGCAAGCATGGTCTGAAAACTAAGAATTTGGAATATCACTCCGCCCAATGCTAATGGTATCAAGTAGTCTAGAAAAACACCCCGTCAAACTCCAGCATCTTGCTGCCCTCTCGGCATGCACTTTACTTTCTCGTGCGTTCAACCTGCAGCTTCACAAGCTTGTCCATATTCCTCAGCCACTTCTCCGCAAACCCTCGATCCGTGAAGCGCTCCGCAGACTTCCTCGCCCTCTGTCTCATGGCCAACGTCTCCTCCAAGCTCAACGTCAGCGCCTTACCAAAACCCTCGGCGTACTCCTCTGCTGTGGTCGCATGGAAACCTGCGCATGTCAGCTGCTAATCAAACTAGGACCACGCAAAATATGACTCACCAGTAGGCTTCCCATCCACATCAACAACGATATCGAGTTTCGGGCCGCCAGAGTTGTTCACGACCGAGATCAACCCTGCAGCCTGATACTCGACAACGCCGATACCAAAGTGCTCGTTCCACATGCCGTTCACACCCACGCTGGCTCTGCCCATCCATTCCAGCATTTGAGGCCACGGGGCGTCACAAAGGAATTCGACGTTCTCCTTCATATGGAGTTCGTGAGCTAGTAATCGCAGCTTGTATACGCTCTTTTCGTCGAGGGAGTCGCGTACTGAGCCGATGAGGATGAGCTGGGGTTTTTCGTTAGGGTATGCTGGGAGTTTGGGGTCTGAGCGCAGGAACTTCGCGAACGCTTCGAGGATCAGCTGGTGGTTCTTCTCCGGTCGAAACTGGGCGATGTAGAGGATGTATGGGCCGCGTTTCTTCTCGCTGGCTAGGGATACCTCGACTGCTTGGGTGACTTCTTCAACTGCTACGGGTGGGAAGACAACGTCGATGTCGTTTTCGGTGGTGTTGTTGCGCTTGTTGCGGGAGGGTCCCCAGAGGGAGCTGACATGTGCTTGTGTCCAGGTCGAGTTGGTCATCACAACATCGATGGCGCTGCCCACCCTGCTGTAGGTTCGTGCGAATAGCTGCCAATACTTTTGCTTAGCAGCGCCTCGGTAACCCTTGCCAGCACCAGCGTTGATACCTTGACCTCCAGCCTGCAGAGAGTCCAGCATATCGGTGGAAATGGTAGGGTAGTGGACGTAAGCGCCGGTTGGCACGTTCGGGAAGAAGAGCGATGAGAGAGCAAGAGCGAAAGCATAGCCCATGGTGTCGACGAAGATGTCTGGGACGAGCAAGGCGAATGCGTCGTAGGCCAGTACCAACGACCCGAGCGACTGGCCCAGCAGTGTGAAGCGCGGCCATGTGCTCGCTAGGACCCAGTGGCGCGTTGTGAGGTAGAGGAAGTGGACCGTTGGCGGATGGAGGTGGATGTTGAAGCGGTCCTTGACACGCTTGAGGATTGCGGTCTTGTCAACATCGTGATCGCCGGTGTAGACGACGCAGACAGCTTTTGGCCAGCGCTTCTGTGTCGCACGGATAGCTGCCCAGAGGACTCGCTCGCCGCCGCCACCAGCGTTACTATGCACATAGTCAGTGCTGCAGTGCTGGATGCTTTTAGAGCTCACAGTACCAGAACGGGTGGAAGAAGCCGACGATGCCCTCCCACTGCTTGTCTTCCTTGTTGCCTACTCTACCATCTATAGCCGCAGATGCAATTTCCTCCCAGTCATAGTCCTCAACCTCGATGCGCTCGGCTTCGTGGTTTTTGGCCTCGGTCGCAACCCTGGCCAGCAGCAACTCTCGTCTGGTACGCGACGACCGGCGCAGATAGTGACCCACTTGCTCACCGAGGAAGCGCACGACTGCAGGAAAGCATAGAAAAGAAACGAAGACAGCAAGCAGCAGCGAGAGCACAATGGAGACAAGAGCCATGGTGGGCAGCTCAGGCTCGGGTATCGCAGTGCAGGAATGAGGCAGAACGCGGCATGCAAGGAACATGGCCACGAAGCTTGACACTGGACACGAATACGACAGGTGGGATGACGCGCTGGTGCAGTGGACCCCAGTGGACCCCAGTGGACCCTTGAAGCTCGTGCGCTTTCCCGCGGCGAAGATTCCGGACGCGACAAGCTCGAAGCTCAGGAAAGCACCGCGCAACTATGTCTTCGAGGCTGCTGCTGCGGCGGCCAGCACGCCCATCGCTCGCTCGGAGCCATCGGAGCCATGCTGGGCCCAATGTCTCGGGCATACGCCCGCCAACACGCGCCTTCCACGCATCTGCTCCGCGACAGGACCCGGTCCTCGATGCTATCCTCTACCTCCCGCACGAGATGATGACCCTAATTCACACCCAAGTCCCATGGTACGCCGCCATCCCAGCCGCCGCCTTCCTGCTTCGTGGTGCGCTCGTCACAGGCTTCGGAACCTGGGCGCGTTCGCTTATGGCACGCTACATTGGCCTGCAACCGCTCCGCCAAGCACTCGCACGCCAAAAACGCGATCAAGTACTCAGACAGATGCACAACCAAGGCGGCGCTCGAACGCCGCAAGAGGCAAAGACACGGACCATGGCAGAAGTCAAGCAGGTGGTGACAAAGCTGGACAGTCGGTGGAGAGTCACGCTCAAGGGCCAGATAGGCTGGACCTTGATACAAATTCCCGTCTTCTTCACCATGGCTGAGGTCATAAGGAAGATGTGCGGTGCAAGAGACGGGCTTCTGGCGTTGACTGCTTCGTCCGTGAAAGGGATTCAAGGGTGGTTCGAGGCTGACACAGCTGCTACTACCAATGCCACCGCGGCAACCGATGCGGTTGGGGCTGCCCATGCACTCGGGGTTCCTGACGCCCTCTCGATTGCTGGTGCGCTCAACGACGCAAATGGGGCGGCCAACGTCGATGGACTAGCTGCCGTGACTACGAGTCCCTTCTTCGAACCGTCACTTGCGACCGAAGGAATGTTATGGTTCCCAAGTCTGATCACTCCTGATCCCCTTCTTCCCTTCGTCGTATCAGGCCTCATGTTCTCGAACATCTACTTCACCAACAACACAATCAGCAGCGACAAGAACTGGCCAAATGCTATCAGGAGGGCCCTTCTAGGTGTCTCGTTGCTCATTGGCCCACTGTGCCAGAACCTTCCTGCTGGTCTGATGCTCTACTGGGCTTCAAGCACGACTTCAGTCATGCTTTGGAACAAGTGGCTGGACTGGAAGTATCCCGCGCCTAGGGACTTTACGGCTTGCAAGAGACCGCTTCAGATGCCGCCAGCCATGAAGTCGAAAACACAGACCAGGAGGTTTTAACTTGATGACAATTCGACGTGCACGGCCAGGAACGGCCACGAGTAAGGCAGCGATACTTCAGGTCAGAGCACGTGAGAAGACGGAATCTTTGAGACGTTGGCTAGGCTAGAATTGGCTCCTGAGAGAGTGTTTTCAAGCTGGCTGCAAAATCCCCTGGTCATATCTACCAAACGAGCAAACATGCCTCCACCAAGACAGATTGAGTCGCAAAACCCTCTCACCACCATGTCCACCAACCCCCGCCATGTCATCGTCACACCTGCTCACCCAAGGAAAGATCCAGAAAGATACCCCATCTGCATCGCCGCGACTCCAACAGCAGCAGCAGCCGCACCTACCGTGCCAACAGCCGCTACGACCCCGCCCCAGCCACGTTCCGGCACCTGCTGCACCGCAGCAGCCTCTTCTGCGACCTGCTCAGACTCAAGCTTGACAACGACGCCTTCACCCAGCACACGGAAGACACACTGCCGCAACCCCTGATCGTGGCACATCTGCATTGCGAGATATCAGTCTCTACCTGTGTCGATAGGTACAGCCATGACCTGGTGGTTGTCTAGGTTGATGTTGAGCTTCGCTCGAGTGAGTGCGACGAAGGAAGCAAAGGTGAGGCTCTGCACCCTCCAGCACGTATCGTGGAATGGATGGTGCAGGGTGTCAATCGCAAGAAAGGCGGCAAGTTACCGTTGTAGTGCACTACGATAGAGCCCGGTGTGAATCGTGGATTCCAGTTATCGGTGGCGGTGGCAGGTGCTGCAGGTACGGGTACTTCTGTTGGTGCATGTGCGAGCATGGATGCGTTTTCGTTGTTGGGGCGGGACTGGGAAGGGCCGGCGAACTGGTTGTAGACTTGATGGCTATCCATACTGTTCGGTTGTTCTTGGGAATAGTATAAGATCAAAATGAGCAATGTAATGACCAATTGATAGCTTAGTCAAGTTCTCGATGAGTTGAAGAGAGATTGATACCAAAGCTGCGTGGCTGCGTACTTGTGGCTTCTTGACATGAATGCCAGGACAGTCTGCAGGGCTTTCACCAAGCATCGAATTCATTCATTCCTTTCTAGAGTCGTCCGATGAAAGGTCTGAAGCACACATGCGCGAAAGCAAAAGATCGGAGATGGATGCCGCTGCACTCACAATCCTCAATGCCCAATATTTCCACCTTGTCTCATCAGACTGCAGTCTGAGTCTCTGAAAGAATGCAAGCAATTTTGGTGAACTCCGACGCAAACATGCAAACACGCAAACTTGAGAAGCAACCACGTCCTACATGCAAAGAATCTTCTAGCATACTCCTCCGCGGTATCAACGTCAATTGTTCGCGGAAAACCTAGACCCGATTGCGCACCGTGAGCAGTATGCCGTGATTTGGGTCCGGGCGCGCAGATTGGTGTATCAGATTACGACGGCTACCTGTAACTGTGTCAAGAACTTTGCAGAGTTTACGGAGTACTTGTTTGCTTTAGTTGTTCTCGGAATAAGTTGGCCGTTCTTTGGTTGGTTCCGGTCCAAGCCAGACTTTTCCATGTAGTGAACCGTGGTATCACACTTGTAGATGAAGCCCATGAGATGACTCAGTCTGAACGCAACGTTTTGTGTCTCGCGGCTCTCCCGTCCAATAGGCAAAGTTCGAGACCAAAATGAGACGCTGTTTCAGGACTTATTTTTAGAATGTCTACCACGGTCGTGACAGTGGTAGAACACGATTCTGATCACTTCAATCGAACGGTCTAAAGAGTGGCACTTTACACGCTATCCCTTGTCCGTGTAATGCGTGTATGGCTGCATTTGAAAATCGATTTGTGTGTGCTCATGTTTTCATGGCGGATTATTAAGTCGTACAAAGAAATCGTAGGAACACAACATCTCAACAATGCATTTTCGGCGTCTATCAATGCGTATAAATACGATTCATCAGTTCGTTCTCATGTGTCGACGTATGTGCAATTTTGCTCCTTTGCTCATCTTCGACGTGGCGCATCTGTTGTGCCATTCTGCCCGTGGGCTCTCAAACACATGTTGTGAATTGCGACGTTTAGCATTCGTCAATTGCAGGCGACGTTCGGTCCTGCTATTAAGGTGAAGTTCGAGACTTGTTCTGGTATGTGTATTCGGGAGATTTCAATGTGCGTTGAGGAAGCTGCGATGGAGATACGATGTTGTGCCATTGGGATCGTTGTGTGATATGTTGCAAGGCAGGAGTGCTCCGTATTGATGCGTCACATCCGCTGCTCCCTGTGAGGTGGACTGGCCTCGATGCTGTTACCAATGCATCTCCACCGTGTGCAGTCGTGACCTTGTCTTTGCAGCTTTGTGCGCTATTCCTGCCCGACTTCATGGATATTTCTTCTCTTCCAACCGGTGCTTTGGTGCCGAGCTGCCGTGCTACTTTCCATGATGTTTCACTCCTTTTGAGAAATCATCACCCCCGGTTCGGCGCCTGGCAGGCCCATTCCCAATTTTCCAATGGCTGCCCCTCATCCTCAAACGGATCGCAGCTGCAGCAGAATAGCGACACTCTTCACCACCACCTTTCACGGTTCACGGTCTGGTAAACCCGTTCCTGCTCTTTGGCGGTTGTCCTTCATCCTCAAATAGACCGCGTGTAGAAAGCGTAACCATCATCGCACGGAAAGCAAAATCATCCACATTGGCTCGATACCTGGCAAGCTCGTCCTTCTTCTTCGCCACCTTTTCGACAAGTTGTCAATCACCTTCAAACGGACCGCATGAATAGCGAAATCATCAAACACCTGGTTCGGTGCCTGGCAAGCCCGTCCTTCACTCATCGGTTGTCCCTCATCCTAAAAAGGTCCGCAGCTGCAACGAAACAGCAGCACACGGTGCCCAGGAAGCCCGTTCTCTACAGCACCATCCTCTGGTGACTGACTGGCATTTCGCGGTGGAGTTACTCGGTTGCCAATTTCATTTTCGGTAATTTCGGGGTGTGCGTGTGCGTGGGCGCTCGAAGTGGTAGCGATTCGGATGACTCTTCCTTTTCAGATGTTCTTTTCGTAGGATATTCGAAGTTTGCGGAATATTCAATGGGTTTCGAGACGAAATTACACCCCCTTGTGGGATTATGCTTGGCGCAAGCTCGACACACAATAATCATTCCTTTGCATACGTGATGGTGACTTACCTTGGCGTTTGAAGCAGTGAACGCTTATGGCAATAGTTCAATTGTGCATAAACTCGTGATGTATTATTATACATGAGTCAATGAACACAACGAAGTGAGGCCTCGTCTCCGACAGCAAAGTGACCGGTGTTCTATGCATAAAGCGAAGGGACAAGCGGCTTGCAGTAATCTAATCATATGTCAATATTGCTATGCCATATCATGCGCAAGAAGCGCTCTTGCTTAATCACCTGCATCCTCCACAATCTTTCTTGCATTTTTACTGTGTATGGAGCTATCTCTTGTTCCCCTCGCCATCATATAGTAAATGTTCATCGTGCATTTTTCAGAACCCCCCCCCCTCCCCCCATCGTAAAATTGGTACGATCCACAAGGGGACGCTCCTACCCGATGTTTGCCATTGCGTAGATAGCTATTGGCTGAAGAATTACAAAGTGTGAGGGTTCAGGCTAGTGTTATTCACAACTATACAAGACCTAAGATACAAGTTGCTAAGCTAGAGGAAACGAAACAAGAGGCATGTCTCTGGTCTTTTATATACTGGCAGTCAGGGCTTGGGAATCTTATGGAAGCCCATAGAACCTCCCACCACATGACCCAAACCTGCTGTCACAGGACCCAAAGAATCCTCTAGCAATGTTCCTTGCCTTGGCAAGCTTGGACACCCTATGTGCCTGAGGTATCAAGGCATAGCCTATAACAAGGGGAATTAAAAGCATACTATTACAAGATGGTGCTCCAGCTCACAAATCACGCATTGCGTACGATTACCTTACTGTTCAGCGCGTTGAAACACTGTGGTGGCCAGGTCATTCACCAGAGATCAATGCATCAGAGCATGCATGACCATGGATTTGGAGGCACATGGTCAAGGACTTCACTCCCAGCTGCAAACAAGAAGCAATGCAAGGGGCAATGGATAAAGGAATGGGAGCTTATGCCTATAAAGGTTATTATTCCACGAATAGCTGCAACACCGAAAAACAAGCCTGTATACTAACTGCCTTATTGAAGATAGCTCTATTAAGCTGAAATCAATTAATTGTTCTGTTGAGTCACTGTTTTGGCGGTGATTTGTATGGGAGGTGCGAACGGCCAGCATTGAGTTAGTGGGGTACCGTGTCCGTGCGCGTAATGCGCGGATTCGCGTAATGCGCCGAACCACCAAAATAGGTCCACCAAAAATGAGGCTGTAGAGCCACACACAATGGTTATTATCATGAGATTTTCTGGTGGAGTAGTCTATAGACCTATATGAACAAGTTCCTCACTCAAACTTTTGTGGCACTCTGATTGGGCGGCCGCGGCTGTTGTATTTTGCCGGAGGGGATGGGGAGCAAGGCGCGGCAGCAGCACGACTACGGGCAGCTGCACTACCACGATTCTGCTTCTTCCT